ATTTCCTCCATTGATATCATTTCTAACCTTGAATCAGGATGGATGGATTGCCCAAGGATCTCTTCCAGCGACAGAGTTTGGCCGCGAGTGTTCTGGCATCATCACCAAGTGTGGTGCTAATGTCGCAGCATTCAGCCCAGGAGATCGAGTTGCCGTCATTGGTCAGGGAACTTTTACAACACACTATCTGGCACCTTCGCATTGCTGTAGGAAGATACCTGACTCGCTGTCATTCGAGGTAAGAAAAGCTCTGGAATTAGTGAGAACGTATGGCTAACTTGGGTCTAGGATGCGGCGGCCATCCCTACAAACTTTGTCACTGCGTTGTACGCCCTGACTACGGCTGCGAGAGCCTCAACAGGCCAGGTATGTTCGTTCATTCTTTTGACCCAGAGAGTTGTTATTGACATGAGATTAGAAAATCCTCATCCTCAACGCCATATCGAGTCAAGGTATCGCTCTGATCAAGATGGCAAAGGCTCTGAAGCTCGACGTTTCTGCCGCCGTCAGTGACAAGAACGATAAGCCCCTCCTCACCAAACACGGAATCAGCGCCTCCAAGATTCACGTTGTGCCAGCAAGCACCAGCCGTTCCCGTGCCACTGATGGTCAAGCGTTCAAGCTCGTGCTGAACACACGGTCCGGCCAATACGCAGAGTATTCTCAGCTGGTGGCCAACCGTGGAACATACATCGAGATTGGGTTGGGTGAAACTCTTGACGATGAGTTTTACCCTCGGCCTAACAAGAATGTCATGTTTGCTTCGATTGATCTGACGGATGCTTATCATGAGAGTAGTCATGACCTAGGAAGGTAAGTGGCCGACTCTTTTCGTGTCTATTCTTTGATGGCTGACGCTTGGATTGCATTAGATTGCTGGATCAAGTGATTGAAATGATTGAGAGGCGAGAAATCGATCTTGACCTGTCGGTTTCGGTGGCTGGGCTTCACTCACTACCAACAACCTTTTCGACGCTGTCAGAAGCTGGTCAGGGTAAACAGGTCATCTCACTTGCGAATGTCGACGATGAGCAATTGATCAAGGTATGTACTCTCAATACTTTTCGGTCAGGGTTATATCTAACCATCATCTAGACACGACCCAAGACATCTGCTTTCAGTCCACACAAGACATACATCATTACAGGTGGTCTTGGTGGCTTGGGACGCGCAATTGCCGTGTGGATGGCTAGCTACGGCGCCCGGAACCTCGTTCTGGCCACCAGTTCAGTTTCAAGGGCTATGCAGTCTGATGATCTTTTGCAACAGTTGTCATCATATGGATGCAATGCCAGTGTTGAGGTTTGCGATGTGGGTGATCTCGCAGCTGTCGAACGCCTCGTTGCTGCCATTGAGACTCCTGTCGGTGGAGTTATTCACTCTGCCTTGAGACTTAGCGTGAGTTTACTCCTATCTCATGTGTATACCCATCTAACCATCATCTAGGATCGATTCTTTGAGGACATCACTTTGGAAGATTTTGATGTGGTGTTCGGTCCAAAGGTCAATGGTACACTGAACCTGCATAATAGCCTTCTGAACCACGACCTCGACTTCTTTGTCATGCTCAGTTCCGGCTGCGGAGTCTTGGGTAACGAGGGTCAGTCGAATTACTCGGCAAGCAGCACTTTCCTCGACACCTTTGCTCGATACCGTCAAAGTCTCGGACTCCCAGCCTCGTCTGTTGACCTCGGATTTGTGGAGGACGTCGGAAACATCAGCGAGCGCCCCGAGATCCAGGCTTCTTTGCTGTCTCGTGGACTCAGGCCCATCACAGTGAGGGATGTTCTACGTGTTGTCGAGGGAGCTATTGCAACGGGCTCGCCCAATGCAAACTTGGCTAGAGACTCTTCCTACGATGACTTTTCAAAGAGTCAAATCGTCCTCAGCTTTGGCACGATTGACAAAGCCACAGCAGAGTGGCAGTCTTGGGCCAAGGATTCCAAGTTTGGTCTGTTGCGATCTAGGGCTGCTGACAATGCGGCACTTGAATCCGAATCTGATGGCGGAGAGAGTGCAGTCCAGACAGCCGTCAAGGCCTTCCGTAACACTCTGGGGCGGGTTGCTGATGCGGCTGAGGGCAAAGAGGCGGCTTTGCAGCCCGTTGTTTGCACTGCTCTCGTTGCAAAGCTGGCACAGGTGCTGTCGATGAAGATTGGCGAGATCCAACCTACGAGATCGGCAGTTCAGTATGGCATGGATTCACTCATTGCCATTGAGGTTAGGTCATGGGCGAGATATGCGTTCCAGATTGATTTGCCTATCAATGATTTGACGAACCCGTATAGTATTCAGGATCTGGCAGCTAGGGTGTCTCGAATGATTGTATGAAGGGGGGGTCATGACGACTCGTCCTGGGGGAAGGTTTACTACAGATCATGGGTTGCCGGTTTCTTTTTTCATAGTTTACATCTCCCGCTTCCAAGTATAGCTATTTGAGAGACATCAACTATATACACTCTTTGCTTTCCGGACATCATCATCCATTCCAATCCATGCTACTCTTGGGCTGGTTCATACTGCACATCTGAGGCTTGATGTGAATCCAAACTTATGAGCCATGGTTGGTACCTATACAAGAACTTATGCCCATGAGAGAAAGTTTTATCGGACGGGTACTGTATTGAATGTACCTACCCGGGTGAAGGGAGGGTCTAGGATAGTATGCCGCATGACTTGCTTCACACTGTTGGAATAATATTATTGCTTTATGATAAGAAACCATCATAATATTATACAATATTAAATCTCAATTGTAATAGAATTAGGACATGATAAAACTGTGTGAATAGACTGCTCTAAAGCCCCCCGTCACAAGGGTAGGTATCCAGACAAACGAATGGCGTATTAGTGTTGCTATCTAAAATCTATTTCGAGTAGGTAGTAGTGAGATGAGAAATGTACCAAAAACTAGCAGGATGTCCTGAAAATGTCCGTCTACAATCTATACAAGTGGTCCTTCTTTCCAAGTCTATAAAGATAAATGCGAATGCCCTCTAGGCTTAAAAGGCGACGTTGATCTTCCAACCAACACGGTGAACCCTCGCGCCGAGGATAAAGGTCGTGCCAGCCAGACAAAGCACTCCGGCAAAGACCTTGACGTTAACCCAACCATTCGACTTTTCGATGATAGCTCCGGCGATGGGGTTGGTGACGAGACCGCTGATGGAGGCAACGAAGAAGACGATGCCGGTTCGGAAGCCAATCTCTCGCATGGGTGAGATCTGAGCCACGAGAGGTCCGATGAGGGAGACGTAAGCGCCGGAGCAGAAACCGAAAAGGGCGGCAAAGGCAATGATTCCACCCTCGGTCTTGCAGGGGATCCAAAGGGCAAGAATCCAGATGGCAGTCAGATAGCAGACAAGGACAAAGATGTTGTACTTTCCAATCTTGTCACCCAAGATACCGGAGATGACACGTCCAAAGAAACTGGCCGCGTTGAGGATGGGGACGAGGTAGTCGACAATGCTGGGCTTCAGACCGACCTCAAGCGCCTGGACGGGAAGGTAGTTGATCGGGACATACATGCCAAAGGTGAAGAAGAAGAAACCGAGCATGACAAGCACAAACTCTGGCTCACGGAGTGGCTTGACCATCTGAGCCTTGCTCATGTTCTGGGGGTGAGGGGGATGCAGAGCCTTGATGGTGAGGTTGGCAATGATGAGCAGACCCAGGACCAAGAAGCCACAGGTACGCATGGCCCAGCCGAAACCAACCTCCTTGATCATCCGGCTAACCATGATGGGAAAGATGACACCACCGATGCTTGAACCAGTGGAGAGGACACCGAAGGCGGCTCCTCGGTTCTTGTCGAACCATGCATGGATGACGGACAGGGCTGGCCATGTCAGTGAAACCAGGCCTGCATGAGAGGGGTGACATCACACTTACCAGGTTGGACAATGGCAGAGACACCAAGGGCAGAGCAGACTCCTTGCGACAAGAGAACTTGATAGTACTGGGTGCTGATGGAGGCCATCATGACGCCAAAGACGTGGAAGAAGGTTCCCACGAGGATGAGGTGACGAGGACCATACGTATCGTAAAGCTTTCCAACAACGGGACCCTACAAAAATCAGTAAATGGAAAAGTAAGGATAAGTAAAACATACCATTGCCATCATGAAAAAGATCTGTAGTGAGGGGATCCAAGCGATGGTGCTTGATGAGTAATTGCTAAGCAGATCATTTTGGTAGTACTCCTGAAAAGCTCCAACACCTGTCAAATGTCAGCCATGCATACAGATCAAAGCATCTCCAGTAACACATACTGTTAACCCAGCCAAAACTGCAGAATGAAGTACACCAGGCGCCAAGCACGACAAGCCAAGCTCTGAGTCCACCATCGGGAGCTCCACTCTTGGGTGGTGGTGTCGGTTGCGTGCTACCCTCCTCCAAGTCCGACTTTTCCTGCAGGCCAGTGTTGTTGATCTGGTTCTGGTCTGCCTGGAGCGTGAGCTCAGACATGTGAGGCGACGAAGGAGTGTTGGGGGCCGTCATTGTCGCGGTAAATTGAGTCGTTGGCACTTGTCTTGAGGCTCTTGAGATGGCTGTCGCTCTAAGGATCAGATAAACAGGGAGTGGGTGGGACAAGCTAATGTTATATACCACCCTCGCCAGACGGGTTCGGACATCAGCCCCATAGGGTTCCATCCAAATGGTGAATTCACATCTGGCATTAAGTCCGCGCGCGAGGGTCAAACAGCGAAAGCCGAGTCGCAATCCCTCGTCGCGGAGCACACTCATCTTGGAACGGCGGCTCCTGATTGCTTCGCTCGGCGTCGGTGGATAAACATGCGCCGAGACCGAAGCTAGATCGGCCGGGGAACTAATAAGCTCGATCCTTCTTCTCCACCTTCAATACCCCGAGCGCTTCGGCCTTCACCATCCATTCTCGGCCTCGCTGATGACAAGGCGCCGAAGGTCGTCGAGAACATCTAAAAGGTAGGCACCGACCGACTCGGCCGTCAGAAGCCTTGGCACACCCCCATTCTTTCCACTATGGCATCCCGGCCTCGGCCCCAGTCGAGCCGCAACATCGAGCGGTCCTGCGCCGTATGCCACCGCCGAAAGGTCCGCTGCGACAAGAAGCTGCCCTGTAATCAGTGCATACGCGGTGGGTTTCCGTGTTCGTATCCTCCTGTGCAAGATGTGATACGCCGGACGCGCAAGACCACCATCAGCGATGTCGCCACTCGAATATCCGAGATGGAAAAGACCATCGAGGCTTTCAAGTCTGGTCAAGCTTCTCCACAAGTACCACTACCGACTCCATCAACAGCACTCCCTGCAAGACAGAGGATTTCACCAGCATCAGAAACCTCAGAGGGGAACCGCCGTGAGGGTCTTTTATTGAGCAAAGGCCGAGTTAGTCACTATGTGAATGAAGTTCTCTTTTCTCGTGTTATCGAACAGGTATGAGACCAATCACAATCAGCATCAACACATCCTCTAACATGCTCAGGAACACGATGTACGGACAGCTTTGGCGACACCGAGGAGCGAGTCTCCTCCGAGCAGCACATTTGCTTCACCATTCAACCCCATGGGTCTTATTTCAAATACTTCCTCCACAGTACCTCTTGCCAGCTTCCATCCTTCAAGGTCACTCGCCATGAAGCTCTGGAAGATGTTTATGGAAAGTGTTGACCCTTGCACCAAGATCATGCATGTTCCAACCACCGAGGTGCGAGTCTATACAGTGCTGCAGGATCCTTCCAAGGCATCGGCCGAAAACCTAGGAGTCTGCTTTGCCATCTATTATGCTTCGGCCACCGCTCTTGACCGAGATGCGGTAGAGACCTTCTTGGGGGAGGACAGGCAAACAGCTCTCCATCGTTACAAGGCAGGTCTAGAGCAAGCCCTCGCCGAGACGGACTTTTTGGAAAATCCAACCATTCCTCTGTTGCAGGCCCTTGCAGTCTACCTAGTGAGCCTCAGACCCTCAATATGGCAATGACTTGATTGATATTAACGGAACAACAGGCAGCCATGCGAGTCAACAACTCGGGCCGAGCAGTCTGGATAATGAACGGTCTTGCCCTCCGAGCGGCGCAATCTATGGGTCTTCATCGAGACGGCCGGAAACTTGGGTTATCCCCGTTCGAGTCTGAGATCCGTCGACGATTGTGGTGGCACTTCCTAGAACGAGACGGAAGAGGAGGAGAAGACTACGGCCTTCAGAATCCATCAGGTCCTAATCCACTGTACTCGGTTGATCAACCACGGAACCTCCACGACAGTGATCTCTCCCCTGAGATGAAGGAACTCCCCGAGTCAAGACCAGGCTGGACGCGCATGACCCTATCCTTGGTCAACATACAAATAGCACGAGCATGGGGACGATTATTTCAAATGGGCTGGTCCACAGAAGTAACGCCAGGAGAGGATGTACGTGCAGAGGTGGTCAAAGAAGCCAGTATCCGAGCCCACGGGATCCTCCAAGGCTGCAACCCCCTCATCCCAGAGCAGATGATGACAGTGGTGATTGCCCGCTTCCTCGTGCAAAAGCTCGACATTGTCAGTCGTCGACAGTGGCAGAGCCTACACCAGCCCGACGACCGAAACTTCTGGGCCACGGAGAACAACCTGCTCGAGGCCCTGAGTGTGCTGGAGCAGTGCAACAGCATGTGGGATGTAGAGGATCTCTCGCCTTATCACTGGATCACTCGCGCGTTCCCGCAGTATCACATGATCTTCTACATCCTGAGGCATCTATGCGCTTGTCCGCGGGGGCCAAACGCATCAAGGGCGTTTGAAGCGGTCGAAAAGCATCTGGCGACTGTCAACAGGGGGGAGACGGGTGCTCACAGAGGCTTAATGTGGACGGTTCTCACCACTCTGAGGGAAAGAGCCATGGCGATGATGCAGAATGAGGGCACAGAGGCGGAAAGGGAGCCACAGGTGTCGGAGAAGGGAGATGGTCGTCCACAAGCCACTGTCGCTGACGGCGGAGGCGTGCCGGAACAGATGCAACATCACATTGAAGGGGAGCATCTATTACCGCCGGACTGGGACACGGTGCTTCAAGATTTTCCGTGGGATATGGATGATTTTAATATGACATTTTGAGGCGTGGTTGTACTACCCTACCTGTTGTATTTCTAGCAATTAATTTCCATTGTCTTTGGTGTTTTTGGGGTAATATTGCGTCAAGTGGCTGCCTGGTGCGATACGTGCTGCATCATTAATCTGCATTGAGGCGAGGAGAGATGGCACCTAGGTAGGTTAAGAAAAATACAAGACATGAGGATAAACATATTACTTAATCCTCTTCTAAATATGATCAATAAACTATAATAAAAATTTCTTGATTATTTGATTGTTTGGTAGAAAGTTTTATAACTAATTCCCTTAATCCTCTGGTGTCGCCCGCGTAGATGGGTGCCAATCTCTCTGTGCTGCCCATACACATCCAAGGTCACGCGACCTTGACTCGAGGTTGCGCAATGGATAACGCAAGCAAGCTAAAGAAAGTCTTAATATCATCTAAATCCATCCGCTAGGTGACGACTCAACCTTGATTCACAAATACAATGACAAAGGCGACATGTCAATTAAAGTATTTGTTTGTGATGGTTCGTGGTTGTCCTACCCGAGACTCAGATCTCGCCCCGCCTGGGCCTTTGCTGACCCGACGCCTCCCGTCCCGTCTGTCGGCTGCTGCACCCCAGTTGACGGCTGCCGCCTCCAACGTTTAAGCCGCATCGTCTGCGCACGGATTGACAGACAGGCTTAAATAGAGCGATAAGATGAGAATTGATCGATCGAAAGCCAATAGCTCCGATTAATTCACTGCTTCCGGCACAGATGATGCCGATTCCCATCCATCCACAGCCTGTCAACAAGGACAATGACTCGCAGTCGTCCTCTGTAAGGCTGCAGCTGGCCGACTCCAGAAGCCTAATCCCCCCTGACCTCTAGGGGGCTGGCCCTGCGTCGACTGCCGCTATGGGGCAGCCACAGCTGAGGGTTCAGCGCTAGACCGTACAAGGCCAGAAACAGCCGCGCCCGTATCGGCCGGCAGAGAAACAATCAAATTGATTCGGTCGATCAATCCAATGCGCTTTTGCAGTCAGTGAATGAGTGGAGCCTGAAACCTCCACTTTCACCTCCACCGCCGTCACATTCATCCCCGTGGTGGTCATCGTCTCCAACATTCCATTCCATCCCATTTCATCCATCGCGTCCGCAAGTTCAAGCATCCTGCTCTTCCCTTTTTTCGGTACATATCCGTGTGCATACTTTCCCGTCCTGTTCCATACATCGGTTACTCTGCGCTTGATCTCTTGCGTCGCGCTGCTTTCGCTTTCCGCGCGTCCTGTTGTGGCACCGCTTCGTCCTCCCACCGAACGAACCGATCTCCCCCAACCCTTTGAGCCAGCCCCATCCCCGACGACACACGCGCATCTTTGGGTCCAGCGCTGAATCTCGCGCTCCAAGCGTCTTGGTTCCCCTAGGTCTCCCGTTTGGGGCTTTGCTTCATCGACAGGGGCTTCGAACCTCGTAGCCATGTCCAAGAAGGAGTCCTTGTCCTCCATGGATCCCTTTTCTCCTGCCCACCAGCCTGACGAGGGCTACTCCGAAGATCCTCTTACGCCCACTGTCAATCAAGATCTCTCGTCTGCTCTCGCTTCCTTACGATCTCCCTCCGACCTGAGCGCATGGCTAGTCGCAAACTCGTCCCTTCTTCCGCTTCAGGTCAAGACTGGTACTGGTCGCCGTTCGACTCGTTCGTCGACTTGAGTTGCTGACATATCTACAGAGTTGACCATGGCTCTTCTCGATAACCTCCCCACGTCCGTCATCGCCGAGATCGTCCACCGTTTAAACCCGAGACTCTACATCGACTTTATCCAGTACCTTCCTGCCGAAATCTGCCTCAAGATCCTTGGCTGCCTGGATCCCGTTTCTTTAGTTGCCGTGACCCAGACATGCCGGGCCTGGTACGAGTTGGCTTTGGACCGGAAGCTATGGGAGCGCTTATACTACATGGAAGGGTGGAAGACCATTAACTCCGAGATCGTTGCCTGCGAGGCCAAAGTCAACAATGGCCTCAACTATTCGATCCGCCAACTCAACCGTCTCCAGTCGATGCAGGACGCACATCCCAATAAGATCCGCGCCGTTGTGAATAGCGATGAAGACCTCGAGATGACCGACGGCGACCGTACACCCGGCCCTAATGATGGCTCAACTGCAGGAAGCATGTTTGGTAGTCCAACGTCGTCATTCTCGTCGAGCCGGCCTGCGGTTGTCCCTATGGGAGAGATGGACCTTGATGGCACTAGGATCCCGAGCCTAGACCGGACATTTTCTTCATCATCAGATACCAGAGGAAAGCGTAAGGAGCCAAGCGGCGATACCGAGTTCTCAATGCCACCCATGTCAGCCGCCGACGCATCCAATATGCTGCCGCCATCTAATCTCTATGCTTGGGATGTCAGCAGGAACCGGTATCGCATTAATTGGCGGTACCTATATGCTATGCGTCGCAGACTCGAGTCGAACTGGGAGCTGGGAAAGTTTACTACTCTTCAGTTCCCCCATCCAAACTTCCCCGAGGAAGGACATCAAGAGTGTGTTTACACGCTCCAGTTCGACAGGAACTTCCTTGTTAGCGGTAGCAGGGATCAAACTATGAGAATATGGGATGTGCATACACGCCGACTGGTCCGACCGCCGTTGACTGGCCATGTGGGCTCTGTGCTCTGCCTCCAGTTTGATGCTGATCCCCAAGAGGATCTCCTTGTTTCTGGAAGCAGTGATTCTAACGTTTTCATTTGGAAGTTTTCTACCGGCGAGTTGGTTCAGAAGTTGACTAGAGCCCACCATGAGTCTGTGCTCAACGTGCGGTTCGATAAGCGGATTCTCGTCACCTCATCGAAAGACAAGACCATCAAGATCTTTAACAGGCATCCTCTGCGCCATGGGGATCTGGGATATGGTGGTCACGATTTGGTGAGTCCTGTGCCGACCAACCTGCGACGGTACGGCTACGAGCCCGACCTGTCACAAGAGCTTCCCATCAGGCCCGCGTTTTCCATGATTGGTCGTTTGGACGGGCACAGTGCCGCCGTAAATGCTATCCAGGTTCGTGATCGGACCATTGTTTCCGTTTCCGGAGATAGGCACATCAAGGTATGGAACTGGCCCGAGCAGGTCTGCACCCAGACAATCCCAGCGCACGAGAAAGGCATCGCCTGTGTCGAGTTTGATGGGCGCAGAATCGTCAGCGGCAGTAGCGACTACGAGGTCTGTATCTTTGACGCGCCCACCGGATTGAGGGTTGCTCAACTGCGAGGACACGCCCACTTGGTTCGCACAGTCCAGGCTGGATTCGGAGATCTACCATACAGCAAGGCCGAGGACGAGGCAGAGGCCAAGGCGGTGGATGCCGAGTACTTCAGGGCGTTTGAAGCTGGCGAGATCGACCATAACCTGGAGCGAAGACGCCGGAGAGATCGTCGGGCAAATGCAGGCAGCTCCCGACCCCAGGACGTCCAGGCATTTGGGGCTAAGCTACCCCCTGGCGGCGGTGGTGGTAGGAAGTATGGTCGCATCGTATCCGGCTCCTATGACCAGAGCATCATCGTCTGGAGGCGCGACAAAGAGGGTGTCTGGAAGCCTGCTCATCACCTGCGACAGGAGGAGGCGGCTGCCGCTGCTCAGCGTGACGCTATCGCGGCCGTGTCTAACCTGGCGGCGGCGAGGGCTGCGACTACGCAAGGCCGGCCTGCGAACCCGGCAAATGGACCTCGCTCTCCGCCTGCGAGTGGCTCGTCAACGGGACCCATGATGCTTCGAGATCACCATGGGGACAACCAGCGAACATCAGCCTCATACGAGGCACTTATCGATCAAACCGTGCCCCATGGACCGGCCGCGTTACAGCGAGTGCTCAAAACGTACCCCGTTACTCTGGCTCACCACTCTCACTTGCAATCAGCCATCGAGCGCCAAACTTCACCGTTGGCCAGAGCGCAGTTGAGGGCAGTGGTGACAGAGGCTCTGGCTGCTCTCCAGCTCAGTCAGATGCCGCCGCGGCAACAATCAAGCCAAGGGGGTTCTGGAGATAGCAACGGAACTGGTCAACCACGAACCCCGCGTGCTGCCGTCGCCGTCCCCGGTATGCCGATTAACCCTGCCTTGGGAGGACAGGTTGTACACCCTCCTGTTGTGACACTCGCACAAGCTCCAGGAGCGCCGCCTGTACAGCCGGCCATGCCGGGCCAGCCACAGAACATGGCCCAAAACATCATACCCCCAGGCCATCACCACCCGCACATCGCAGCGGCGGAGAATTCACCAGCGCGCGTCTTCAAGCTTCAGTTTGACGCCCGCAAGATTATCTGCTGCAGCCAAGCCCCCGTCATCGTGGGATGGGACTTCTGTAACAAGGACCCAGAACTGGAGGAAGCTGTGCGATTCTTTGCAACAGTCAACTAAAAGCATAAGCCGATGGCCTTTCGAATCTTTCGTTTCCATGGAAAGCAGCATTCATTTGAGCAGGGAGTTTTTTGTTGTTTTGGTTGCATTACGAAATAGCAAGCAAAGATGGGGGGAGGTTTCTCGGAATTTCTGGAATATGAACTTGTACCACCAACTCGATCACACAGAGGAGGCGGCGTACTTTTTGGAATTCAGAGTGTACGACAATTATATATCATGTGCTTATAGAGGAAGGATTCTTGTAGGATCACAATACAGCGATGGATGGAGAAGAAGAAAAGAGAAAAAAAAAAAACATATTGGAGTCAAGATGCGGTTTGAAACAGTGGTGAAAATTGTATGCTTGTGCGAGCGAGACCCTCCTTATCCAACCAACGCCTGTAGCAAAAGGAATTCGCCTGGATACATGTGATGCTATCCTCGTATACCGTCCAGTGTCGTAGCGTCTATCAACCCGCAACCTGCTTCACCTTGTCTTCCGTCTGAGGAGGCTCATCGACAAACTCTGGCACAACCTCGTCCTGCAGGAAACCAGGCACAGCACCACCCATCTCTTGCTCCAACTCAACCTCCATACCCAAAGCCTCGAGCTCAGCATCCAACTCGCTCTCATCCACCTCGTCAGGAATGTCATAACTCCTCGCCAGACTATCCTGAATCTCGTTACCAACATCCATCAGATCCGCCATCTCATCCTGCAGCCTCTCAATCTTGTCAATGTCAATCTTTCCATACTGCTTCCTCAGCTCCTTGTTGGTAGTCTTCATGGCGTCGACCTGCGTCATGACGTTCTTGAGGTTGTCCTGCATGTTCTGCGCCTGCTCCATGTTCCACACTTGACTCTCGAGGTTCTCTTTCTCGCCCTCGTACGCCTTGCGCCGCTGGAGCACCTTGAGCGCCTTTTGCTTGATGGCCTGCTTCCCTGGTCCTTCGCGCATGCGTGATAGCTTCTCTTGGTAGGCGGCCAGCTCGCCGTTGAGGGCCTTGACTTTGGTGTCGAGGGATGCGATGCGCGTGTCGAGGTTGGTGATGGCGCCGTTGAGGGAGGGCTTCGGGCCCGTGGGCTTTGAGCCAAAGAGACGGTTCATGTTGTTCACTGGAGGAGACTGTTCGGTTCGGCGAAGGGGGGTTTCGTTGGAGGAGAGGTCGCTTTTGAGGTTGGGTTTGGGTGTCTGGAGATGGCCGCCTGGAGGGATGACGTTTGGTCGCACGCGGCTCAAGCGACCGAGTGGCGGGGCGGGACCCCTCCTTGCCGAAATGGGGGAGCTGTCTGGATGACTAAGCTTGAGATGTGTGAATGCTTGGCGGGCGGCTTCAGAGTCAACAAGGTACCTTGTGCAGTTGACGAATGCTGCTAATGTGCAGAGCAAAGGGTTGTCAAATTTCGTAGTAATGAGCATTGAAGCTGTAGGGTAACATTAGAAGAGATCTTGTATGCTACGTAATTATTTTAATTGCGAATTTTGCTATTCTTAGAGGAGTATAAGATTGATGTTATGGTACTGGTGTCTCGTTTTTTATCGACCTGCAATCTTGAACTTCAACTTTGATAAGGATCTGATGCATCCGAATGCTTCTCGAAACTTGAACGGAAAGTGCCAGGAATAGGTCTTGCGAATATACCCCAATGTAGCATTGCATGCCTCAAATTTCCATTCATTTACTGCCAGACAATCATCGCACCACGCGCAAACATCGGTGAGGCCAAGATCCCTGAAGACCAAGAACGGGGGCCTTCCATGCGCAGGCCGCTCGGGAATTGCCAGTAAAGTGGCTGATCGGCAGAGTTTCAGTCCAGGTCTAATTAGGCTCAAGCGATTGGTTCTCGGGGCGCTACTCTAATGATTTTATATGCGCTCCAAGCTTGACGCCAACTGATAGTGTCTCTGTTCTTTAAACGTCCTTGATCCAACGGGACTTTGCGACGTGGGCCTCATTGTGTCGAGAAATAAACAGACGTTCCTTAACCAGTAAATTTCGACAATAGAGCAGCGCGCGTCGATTTGAATAACCCTGACCCCTCACTGCATCCCCTGTCAGCGGCCATCACTGGCGACCATCGCGCGTTGTGCAGAGTGGAGTCCAAAAGGGTGCGCCCCACGTGACCTGCGCGGTTGTTTGGCACCGCACCTCGACGCGTCTGGCAGATGCGTACCCGCCCACACTCACAAATCCCAGCAACCTCTACAAACACACAACACACACCTCTCCACCAAACAATCTTCCCGCGCAATTCGTACCCGAACTTTTCTCTCCTCTTTCGCACACGCTTTTGCGCTTTCACGATCTTCGAGTCAACTGATTCTTCTTTTATACTTTCGAACTTTATTCAAAGCTTCGTCTTTTAAACCGATTTCTCGTCGACTCTTTGATCGTTGCCCCGCTGTGTTAGGCAGTTTGTTTACTTTCTCTCGTTCCCGCGCTGCACATCCTTCGCGATGGCGGCCGCGAATCTCCCCAAATGGGGCTTCGGGCAATCACCCATGAAGATGTGAGTTCTTTGTTCTTCCTGTTGACCTTGCCTATTGAAGCTTCTATTGTGTACTAACATTTACTCCCAAGTCAACCTGTCTCAACCTCCTTCGTCCCCTTCTTCTCCAGCGCCCAGACCGGCACAGAAGCCACCAACATGTAGGCTTGCGCACAATGTTGTTGCGCCACGCACGAGATGGCTAACGCGATTGTAGGTCATGGAGCACAGATCTCGCCGCCCCTACACCCATTTCTCGACTTCCAGCCTGGTCTCGCATCCCGATCCAGCGCCATGCCTCGACTGGTCAGACCGGCCAGATCATGAAGCGAGTTGGTCTCTGCACTCGACGCCGCCATCTCGACTCCGTTGTCACAAAGACCTTCAAGACCCCCGCGCCTGAGCCTGAGCCAGCTGCCGATGAGTTTACTCTCGAGGAAGAGTCGCGACGCATTCGACATCGAAGTGTGGACTTCAAGCCTGTTGAGGGAGACGTCGATTTCGAAGGACAACCTTGCTCCGAAGCGGAACTCGCTAACCTCTGGATGTTGGCCAAGGGTGTGTCTACCGTTTCTGCCACTGATTCACTTACTGACTTGTCTTTAGTTGACGTTACCAACTACTACATGACCACATCCACCGAAACCCACCTTGCAGACAAGATTGCAGCCCGACGCGGTGAACTTGTCCAAGTCGTGCCCATGAAGCGATACGCCGGTGTCGACACTATCGATATTCCTGTGTCACTTGTTCCCAACGGAGGTAACAAGCTTAACGTCTATCACCAACTTCTCCCCATCATTGAACGGGCCATGATCAACGGCGACGGCCAGGTCAGCTTGAAGACGGCATCAATCGCCGAGGCTCTTTACATCATGCGCCAGACTCAGCGCAACGTCCGCAAGCCTGTCTCTGCCGGACCCAGATTGTCTGATGTCACCGACTACACCGAACCACCCACTCCAACCGCCATCCTCCGACCTGTCATCCACGCCGAAGCGCGATCGCCACAGAAGCGAATTGCCAGACTCACAAGCCCTATCAAGAAGAGCATGCGCCTTCTCACGAACAGTGTCTACAAGCTTGTTCCTGGCTCAAGTCCCAAGGCCTCTCCATCTCCCACCAAGTCCGATTCGGCTCCTTCTACTCCCATTCAGCAATCGCCCAACCCCGCGAAGCCTGCTATTACACCTCGCGGTATCGATTCTACTCCTCTCACCCAATCCGCCGAGACCTTTGAGGATGTCTCAATTGAACATCTCACTCACGCCCGACCTGTCGCTCCCACTCCCTCTCGATGGAGCCGACGCGATCCCTCCACCCCTCAGGCTTTCAGCCCCGTGCGTCCTATGCGAGCACCCGCTACTCCCATCCAGACCGACAGCCCCATCGGCCTGGCCGCTCTCCTTCCTCCTACTACTCCTCAGCTGCCTCAGTTCGAACTTACTCCTCAATCTACTGAGCTCGCTACCTTTGACTTTGGTACCGTTTCGCCAGCTTTCAACTCTTCCATCTCTTGGATGAACACCTCTGTTCAGGCCAGTGAGCCCAAGCGTATCAAGAACGTCAACAAGGCCCGCCGACGCCAGAGTGAGCCCCTCCTCCGCAAGTACCTCAAGGCCAAGGCCCGCCGCGCTTCTTCTTCTCCCCAGAAGGTTCGATTCCAAGAGCAGGACATCTTCCGCGATGACATTTCCATTGGCTCCTTGTTTGACTCTGTCACCTCTACCCCCGCCAAGCCTACTCCTACCGACATTGATGCTGCTCAACCTAGCGCCGTCGAGGAAGCTTCCGAGCTTGAGACCACCATGGATATTGTCACCGCCGCCGAACTCAGTGTTGTTGAAGAGGTTACCGAACCCGTGTCTGCCCTTGATGTTGCTCGCACCGCCGAACTTAGCGTCGTCGGAGAGGCCACAGAGCCTGAGCCTACAATGGATGCTGACACTGTCACTGAACCCGCTACTCACCCTACCCCTACCGCTACGATTGAGCACGGCGTTGTGAACATCGACATGCGCCAGAACCCTGATATTTTCGGGACCCATGTCTCTTCACCTCCCGCTCCCGTCTACTCTCTTTCTCGCATGGCCGACGACAGATGCCAGGGACACGCTAAGGTCGTTGTCACTGAGCAGAACGGCAGACTCTTTGTCAGATTTAAGCTATCGGCCGAGTACGCCCACATGTTCCCCGCGAGCCAAGGATTCGATGGATCTCAATTTTCCATGTCACCCTCCATCTCTTCCTCCCCACGAATCACATTCAAGTCACCTGCTGTTAACCAGGCACCCACCATTGACAGTGTGCTCGAAACCCCTCATATATCCGCCACCCCTAGCTTTCACACCCCAGAGCTCCCCCCGGGGGACAACACTCTGCTCTTTCGTTCCCCTCAAAACGGCTTTACCCCTACCGAGCACACAAACATTGGCGGTACCCCAGGTGTCAACACTCTGCTACGAACTCCCGATGTTACTGGCTTCAGTGTGATCAAAGACCAGAACGAATTCCAAACACCAGAGCTCCCCGCTGGGGACAACACTCTGCTCTTTCGTTCACCTCAAAACGGTTTGACTCCTGTCGACAACACAAACATTGGTGGCACTCCTGGTGTCAACACTTTGTTGCAAACTCCCAATGTCACCGAATTCAGTGCGCTCAATGAGGGTACCAAGTTCCAAACCCCAGAGCTCCCCGCGGGGGAGAACACTCTGCTTTTCGGCGCTCATGACGAACTTTCTCTGGCCAACCATACAGCTGTCCTAGGAACCCCCGGTGTTAACACGCTTCTCAAGACCCCTGATGTTACTGGTCTAGGCATCTCGAACAACATCAACTCTACTCCTGCCATCGACACACCAAAGGTGACCGGGGCAGACGATACGCTTGTTATGTCCTGGGATGATCTGGCGGCGACTACTCCGGCTCCAAAGGCCAAGGCCACTTCATCAGAAGCTACCCCGGTGCAGATGAATGCAGACCGTACCCTTGCTGTGTCCTGGGACGATTTGGCGGAGACAACTCCCGTCCCCAAGATCAAGCCTACCCCCCCTTCTGACGCCACTCCCGTTCAAACTTCACCTGCCGAGACCACGCCTGCTGAGACCGCTTCCGCCGAGACTGCTCCCGCTGAGGTCACGACCCAACCTTCTGATGCTCTCCAAGTTAAGACGACTCCCGACACTACGCCTGCGCAAGAAGAAGCACCTGCCCAGACAGCAGACACGCGCCGCCATGACTACGATAGCCCTGGCCGCGAGTACATGCGAGAGTTCATCAAGCGCTCCCGCCAGAGTATCGCCACCACCACCACCGAGACTGGATCTCCCATGGCGTCGATTGCAAAGCGACAACCTCTGGAAGCACGAAGCCCTAACAGGGGGAGCCCACAGAAGAACAAGCGCAAGCACGATGACGATAGTGGTGAAGTACAGTCGCCTGCCAAGAAGGTCAAGCCCAGCAAGGAGGAGTCCAAGCAGACCACGCCCAAGCGAGCTCGCCGCACAAAGACCACACGCCAGAAGACAGATCTGGCAACCGAGATGACAGATCTCCCAACCGATGCTGAAGAGGCAACAGCAGAGGTGACGGAGACTGTCGAGGAGCAGACGGAGGTGGCTGAGGACGAGGGCCCAGTCACACGGCGATCGACGCGACTTCGGTCGCGGGAGCAGACCAGCGGTGCTCCCAAGTCGTCGATCCCAACTCCGATCAAGCTGAATCGGTCTGGCGCTGGCCGTAACGGCGGCGCTGTCCTGAACTCGAGCGTGCGCAGCGAGCAGCAGGACTTGACACACCAGACGCGCCTCAACACCAAGAGGAACAAGGGGAGCGCCGAGTATCCCGCCCAGGTCCTGGCTAAGCACGCAGAGACCAAGGGTGAGGATGACTCGGACGCGAGCCGGGCGTCTGGTGAGTCAAGTGCCTGCAAGGGCAAGAAGTCGGTGGTGTGGAGGGAGCCCCTGGAGAGCGTCCAGGAGGCGAAGCCCAAGAAGGGCGGACGGCCTACCAAGGCCAAGGTGACGCAGGGGAAGACGGGCGTTGCCAAGCCCAAGTCCACTGCCCAGAAGAAGCGTGCCGTCAAGGCCGCTGAGGATCTGGGCATGGTGGGCAACGGCACGCCCGTCAAGCCCCAGCGGGTGACGCGGGCTCGAACCCGCTCTCAGTCGTGAGGGAGCGTGGTGTTTTTTGGAAGATGGCAACGGGGGGGAGCATGGCTTCCGATCCTCCTAGGGAGGAGGTAATTCAACGAGTATGACTGCATTTTTTGGGGCGTTGGGGGAAAAGCATTTTTGGGCGCGGCCTTGGTGGTCGCGCAAGATACCACAGTGGGGTTTTGTGTTTGTGTTTGCGTTTGTTGTCTGAGTTGTGTCTGAGTCGGTTTTTGTGTTGGTCGGTTGTTTGTGTTTTTTATTTTTATTTTTTTTATTTTTTTTTATTTTTTTTTATGGGATATCTCGTCGAGGAAAGACGATTGATAGTTTTGGACTGGGAGAGCCGGGAGGCTCGTGTATGGAAATGAAATGTTTGACGCCGTGCCTGTTGATCTCTTTACTCGTGATGTTTTGTGTGTAGTCTTTCGTGATGTCTGCCATGTGTCTGAAGAGAACTCAACACTATGTGGTACTGCCCAGTCATCATGTATAGGCATCATCTCTAAAATCCATGAATTGTTTCTATTCTTGAGTGATGAACAAGAATACAGGCATGGGAGGCCCAGTAATGGCGCCATCAACCCGGTGGCCAGCCGTTCTTTGCGCGGGGGCAACCTGTGAGCGTAGCTTCATGGGTAGGAATAGGCTCGGCCTCAACAGTAGAAGTAGCAGCTGCCAAGTCATCCCAAGACATGACAAGGGTCTCATCAGGACCAGCGACCTTGGGTGTTTGGGGGCCAGGAGTGCGGTTAGCCTTCTCAGCTGGAGTAGTCTGAGGCAACTCGTCCCAAGACATCACGAGCGTCTGGTCAGCCCTGGTCATCTTTGGTGTCTCGACGCCAGGAGTATGGTTGATGTTGTTTGAGATTCCCAGACCAATAACATTAGGAGTCTGGGTCAGAGTGTTCTCACCTGCTGGGAGCTCTGGGGGCCCAGAAGGCAGTGTGATCCTTCATAGTGCTTCGGGTGGTAGCATTAGGAGTTTCAAGTAGAGTACGAACACCAGGAGTGCCGCGTTTGAGCGCCTTTCGTCCACGAGGCTATTCTTAGGAGCCGTTGGGCGTCTTTGGCGACCTGAACGGGGCGACTCAGGTTGGCACTGCCCAGTGGTACTGGAACTTCTGTGATGCCCTTGAGGGGCGCTGCTTAAGCGCTACCAACCCTGCCGGCGAACGACCAGACGTTCACTTTCCATACCGCCATCTAGCGTTGCATCACTGCCCTCAAGAACCATGGCACCGCCTGGAACAAGATCAAGGACTGGCACGTCAACCCGGCCAAGAACGCCGAGGATACCACGATAGCTGGCCGTCAACCGTCTTGATCAGTCTCGCGCCTCCAAGGCCATGAACTGAACAGCTCCAGAACCGTTGGCGGAGAGTCCCAAAAAAAAAACCCGCGCCGACCCTGCCCGCGGTCTCTGGAGGCGACTTTAGATCGCCCGTGTTGTAGGGAGCTTGGGTCTGTCCATGTCGCTGTTCATGAGGCAATACGACCGACATGAGCGCGCGCGCGAACTCCTACCCACTACCATTCCATGATCGTAAATGGGGCCCGGCGCCGCATCCGCGAGTGGATCGAGGACGCCTTAATAGAGATGACGGTCTAATAGAGGCCGATACTGAGGAGCTCATTCCTGCCTACGACCTCTTCCGGGATCCCTCAGCTGCTCAGTACTCCCCCCTCGCAGCCACCCCCTCCCTTCTAATCGCGCCAGTTGGTCGCGTTCTTCTAAGAGGAGAACATGTCGGGACGTCTTTTGTGCGGACTTCGTCTGATTTGATGTTCTTTCCAGGGTGCTGGACGACCCCAGAGCTCTTCTAGTAGTCGGCGGGGATATCAGGGCTAAGAATGGGCGTCGAGTTGGCGTCCCTGGTAACAAATAGACAAGTCGACAAAAGCCGTTCATGATGTATACCGTACATTGGCGACAAAGTTCTAGTGTAGCTTCAAGGTAGTTGCTAGTTGTCTTTTGACGCTCCGTAGATGCTCTATAGAGGCAGCGTCGTTCAAGATACAAGGATATCAATCAGCCTCTCCTATAGATATGCATCGACAAACGACCAGGGTGATGCCAAGACAAACCTCCGAGACTCAATAGAACACAAGGTCCAGGGCCTGTTGGCATGGAGATGACTAACTTTGGTGACCTTGCAAGTCGCCTCATCACTCCCAGACTTTTAGTGAGCAACATGATGAACCAGCATTTCGAACGAGGACTGCCAGAGCGGATCGATCTCCACTATTAGAGCACTATCTAAGCCTTTGTTAAGGTTATATGATGATGTGTTAATTCCTTATCTATACTTCAGTAAGTCTAAGAAGAGGCTAATCACAATTGATCTAGATCCCAGCTCGGCATATAATAGCAGTCCCTGGGCAAGCAAAGAGATTCCTGGCTCTTGAAACCTCAAACAGGGCTGAAAGACTTGAAGACAGAGATGTCCTCACTTTGTGTCTTAGACCCAATGCCAAAATCAGATCAAGTAGTGCACGTCATTTCCAGCGACAGGCTCACATGTGTCTCCTCAGTCTTGGATCATCACTGGATGAATGATGAATAAGCATTTGACAATAAGGCTTGCGTCCAAGTCATTGTCTCTACGATGTGTCAATTGAGTAAACAGGTGGGGCAGAATAACTCAAACATTCGGAGCAACCGATGATATATCCGTGAAAAGACTGCGGTTGAATGGATCTACATGTGATCGACAACACCCGTTATGCTTAACACAGAGTGATCAAGTCATTCCCAAGCATAGTCATGATCAACAGTATCCCAGCCTTATACATCCGTTCTGCATACACTACATAGCATACCCGAGTATTCACGACAGGCACAGCCGACTTTACCTCGTCCCGTCTATATAAACCAGAAAGCATACACAATATCCTGTCAAAGGTGCACAGGGCCTGTCCCGCATCAACCCCGCGACTTGGTCAAACAGGACCTATCCTCGCTGTGCGACTTTACAGCGACAGGTGACACATATAGAAGCTTTCACTCTTTGTATCTTGCAGTCTATTCAAGAACAAAAGACGCGTAAGATAGTCGTGTATGCATACAGAAAACAACAGAATACGAGAGACACCATCCACACCAAAGACTTTATCAACAAACTCCGAGACAGCATTGGACCTCTCTCCCCCTCTTTTTTGCTTCCCCGAATGCATCCTCCCGTTTGTACTTCCCACCTCTTTGACGGGCGACGACATGTTCAGATCTGTCAAGACTAGAACCAACCCGGCTCATCCTTCCATTAGAAAAAAAAATGGTGTCACACACTCCATGCAAGTAGCCTTTTGTCTGTGTTGTGGTTTCATGTCCAATGGCTCATCCCTTTCATGTCGGTCTTCAAACGCGGTGGCGTCTACTCTCCGACGCGTATGTTACCCGTACGCGGGGTTGAGGTATAAGCCTCTGTCGTCATGGTTTTACCTCGTTCAGCCCTGAAAAGTTGTTCACGTCCATGTTGGATTGGATTGGATGGGTTGAGGCGACGCCCGCCCGCTCCCAGCGAGGGGTCGCATCGTATCGTATCGCGGCGTCAGGTAGTGTGACGCTCAAACCCTTCTGCCTCGCTTGGATCAACCGTCTCTGGCTTTTCAAGGATGATGGCTTCACTGCATCCTGTCAGTTTTCAGAGGTGGTCTGATCGACGAAACATTCTTTGTCGATCGAAACATTTAGTAAACACCATTGAGCAACATGAGCAACTCACGAATAACATCATGGGACAACAACTTGTTTGTTCAACGTTTTTATTCTTTTACTTCATTGACCTCTTCATGGTCCGAGGGCTTCTCCTATACCCTCCACCAAGCCATTAGAGAGGCACAGACACAGACATTCTCCTCTCGATACACATGATTGTACAAACCACCCCCCTGTGTCATGTCATGCTCGTCTCTGGCTTCCCCTCTTTGTCCTGTCCTGTTTTGCCCAACCTGCCAGAGATGCTCATCCAATCATCCATCCATCCATCCCTGGCCAGGTCCATTATCTGCATTTGCCATCCATTGTCGATGGATAACTCAACTGTTTGTCTCTTTGTGTCTGCATCTGAACCTGTATGTCGTGCATGTGTGTACCACCACCATGCACCCTTCAAGAGGGTAGAATCAACCAAACCAAAAAAAAGCAGTACAAACTCCAGGGACAGGCTGATACCGCTCTGTCCCTTTTTCGCCTTCCTCCCTCCTGATCTAAGCTTTTTGACTTTTTCAACTGCAAAACAAATGTCCCTGGCAACGCCCCTCCAATCCAGTCCCTTCCCGTCCATCCATCCATTTATGTACAAGTCTAGAGTAGACAATAACCAATAATAACTAATGCGCACGCGTCTGTCTGCTCAGTACAGAACGCGAGGGGTTCGCGAGTTGCCGTCGTGGCTATACAGGGAATCATCCCAAAAAAGAAAAAGGAGTGACATGAGTCGGGGTATCTCCGCAAGTAAAGAGAAGAAGTAGAAAGAAAAAAGAACAACAGAGAAATAGAAATGCCAGGCAAACCCCATGATAGCTGGCCGTGTCGTTCAATGACTTCTAGTTTTGTCTAGTCGTCATCGCATCAAGGTCGTGAATAGGTATTATCGTTGATCTTCGAGTTTCGCATCGCATCGCATCGCCTCATCAGGCGAATGAATCCATTACTTTCGGAGTCCGACCTTCTCGGCCAGATTCTTCCAGAATCGTGCTCCCTTGCGCTCTTCGCTGTGCGTCCGTAGCATCACTTCGTCCCGTTGCATGGGTCCTACAATGTCCTCGTCGCCTCGCGCCGGGAACTTGCCATCTGCGTCAACTAGTCGTGGAATCGCACTGGGAAGTCCGTCCTCGAGCCGTCGCCACTGCATTCCGGCAAAGACGTCGTCCGTGGGAGGTCGTCCGAGGAGGGCAGCTCCGCCGCTGCTGGCTCGTGCCCGTCCGCGACCACGGCTTCGGCTTCGGGAGGAACTCGTTGATGAAGGTGCCGAGCTGGTAGCTTCCACAATCTGCTCCATCAAGTTGTCGTGCATTGTCCTCCATCGCTTCTCGAGGTCCGCCCACTTGGCCTCGGTCAGTGCAAAGATCTTGCTCGTCTCGCCGTAGTTCTCGCCCGTTCGGACCAGGTGCTTGGTGTAGTTACATCGGGCCAGATCCCAGTCGTGGCGCATTTGCCGGAGCGATTCGAGGTTCACGGTTTCGGGCTGGTAAGGTTGAGGCGTGATGGTAAAGTTGGCGTGTCCCAGGCGGTCCGACCACTCATCGTGCTCTTGCAGAATCGATGGGAGAGGAAGCGGCAGCTCGGGGCTGTTGGGGCAGTGTCGGAATGAAGAGACAGACGGCTTGGTGCTCAATGACGGTCGAGGGAAGTGGGTTGAAGGCGGTAGCGGTGAGGGCATGTCGACAGTTGCCGAGTGAGGCGCAACGGTGGGTGACTGAAGAGGCGACTCGGGCGGGGGTCCACTGAGAGGGCTCGTCATAAGAGGAGGAAGCAGAGGAGTAGTAGCCAGGCCACGCTCTCGCTCCAAACTCGACCGCTCCTTGTGGGCTTGCGCCTTCTCAATGTCGATGGGCGCAGGCAGGGTGGCTGGCAAGTTGACGCTCTCGGTGCTTCCATAGTATGACACTGCAGGTGTAGGCAGGCCAGTGTTTTCCGGCATACGGTCCTGGCCAGGTCGGCTCGGGGCAGACATGGACGACGAACGACTCGAAGGGCCTCCAGATAGCACGACACTCTCCAGGCTAAGCTCGGTGCTGGGAGAGAGCATAGGGTTGCCCCGCGCGCGGCTGTTGGATCTCCATCGTGACATGCTAGGGAGTCGCGAGCCGATGCGTGACGAGAGACCAGCAAAAGGAGAGTCGGTACCCGACCTCTTTCGAGAGGGAGCTTCGGGGGGGACGTCACCGTCACTCAGGAAGCCCATGTCGTAGTCGATGTCGTAGTCGCTCACAAGGTTGCCGTTGAACATTAGATCTTCGGAACTATCTCGGTGCTCACAGGGCTCGTCGCCTAAACAGGAAAGTATTAGGTCAGTGACTCCAAGGTCGCCAGCAGGGAAACAGGAAAAAGGTCGAGGACGGTTCCTAACGACCTAACCAAAAGGACGGGACATACAGAGGCAGCTGTAGAGACCAAAGTGATCCTCGAGATCAGGGCTGTCATCCTCATCGTGTTCGGGTTCCAAAGGCTCCTCCTGCACATCGGGCAATAGTCGCATGGGCGCCTTGGGGTGAACGGACTGGGTGGGAGAAACAGGACTCTCGTGCAGTTGAGGAGGAAGGTCGAGAGAGGAAGCCGAGCTCGACATTCGAAAGTGACCCTTGGGAGAGAAAGTCGGGGTGACGGGAGAGGCGACATCGGACGAAGACGAGTTTGTTGTGTAGTAGACGTAAGAGAGGTCGCATTCAGCGTTGACTTGTTGGATATCCCACTTGCGGCGCTCTTGGACCAGCTGCGGGAGGATCAGCGGCTTGAGATTGGGCGACATGATGTCGGCCGGGGACGGTCGAAGCCGTAGATGTCGAAAAGGACGTGAAAGCGAACGACTATTTTGGTTGGGATGTACAGTTTTGGTGTTGGTGAAAAAGAGTAGTAGAAGAGGAGGAGGAGGAGTACTAGTAGTAAAGAGGGATGCCTCGGAGGTGGATGTGGGTGTGGATGTGGATGGCGGTGGTGGCACAGCAGCTGGGTACGTAGGTACAAAGGTACTGCAGTGGCGGCGGATCCGGGGGGGGGGGGGGGGGGGGGGGGCTCTTTCCTCTAAGACCGGGGTGGGATTGCAGGCAGGTGGGATGGTGGAAGTACTGGAAGGTGGGTGGGCAGGGCAGTGGAGGGCAGCTAGGGCAGGAGCAGGAGCGAGCACGGGCGGGTCTCCTCAATTCTCTGATCCTGTAAGCCTGGGCTCCGGTCGCGACTTCTGGTCTGGGCGGAAAAATGGTGGGGTAGGTTGGGTACAGTCCACGAGGCGACGGCTTCCCGACCGGTGGGTTTTTTTTTTAGTGGGCTGTGTCCGGTGCCAACCTGGGCGTAGTAGCAGTAGCTTGTGTGGTGCTGACTCTTGTTTTTTTCTTTCTTTCTTGTTGATGTTTGGTAGCGAGCCCGCTCTGAAAAAAACAAAGTCCGGTCGTCGGGTGAATCGCTGGTTGCTTTTTCCAATGCCTTGAGTCAACTGTTGGTTGGTCGTGGTTGGCTCCGTTTGCTTTAGCGCTCGTGAGGCGGGTGTGACTCGTAACAAGCGACAGGACAGAGACAAACGGATGGATGGTTCCTCTGGGTGATTGAGAGGGGAGGGAGACTCTAGGTGGAGGTGCAGGATTTCCTTGTCCGATGAGAGGCCGTTGAAGAAGAGGGAGAGAACTAGCCGGACACGACACGACGGTTATATCAAAAGCGGGAAACCAGGTCATGCATGGGTGATGGCTCTCTCGGGCGTCTGGGCGGCGGGCGGCTGGGCTGGCTGGGGTGCGCCAGACAGCAGCACGGTATCCGTACAGGACAGGGCCGAAGTAACTTGAATGGATGATGGGAGACGAAGCGCTCGGTCGTCCACGTGTTGAGCCGTCGGTTGGGCGCGACTACATGGGCCTGCTGCTGTTGCTGCGCTGCGCTGCGCTGCTGCTGCTGCTACTACTGTACCGCGGCTGTAGGTGTGTATGTGATGTGATATCGTCGTTGTACTTTATGTATGTGTGAAGTATGTACGGAGTATGTACTGTACGTTGTTGGATCATCCAATGCTGTGTGGTGAACTTGACATGACCGGTGAGGAGAGACTCCATATGCTTGTGCGTTCTCTACAAAGTATCCTGCCATGTGCTTTTTGCTGTCCCTTAACCTGCGCGCGTTGATTTGCGGCTTGACTGGCGGTGATGGATTTGTCAATTGTCGATGCTGCGTGCAGCGGACAGTATAAGCAGCGCCGTTATACCATTTTGGGACAGGGATGAAGGATTGGGTGACTTGTCCGGGGGGACACGCGGGGAGGAGCCCTCGGTCGAGGCTGGCTCGCCTGAGACGCCGTGTCTGGCCTTGTCGCGGCTACTGTCGACTCCTGCTTCGCGACTCGGTGAAGGGGGAGTATGTGACGTGTTGATGGGGGTAAAGGGGACATGTGGATGGGGAGATGGGCGAGGGGATCATAGGACTGGCAATTGAGTCAACTGGGTTCTGCCTCCAGTGGACGCTCACAGGGCACAGTGGGTTCCGGCAGGGCTCTTCCAGCGCTCAGTCGAGTGGGGCGCGGCATTCTCTGTGGATTCTGCAGGCTCTGCAGTGGGGGACTGGAGGTTGGCCAGCTCGTCCGGAAGACAGAGAGATGTCGTTCCGGAGAAGCCCTGCCCTTACCACGAGAAGCCCTCTACTAGCCTCAAGAGGCTGGACGTTTGGAGAAGAGACATGGAGTCGGGAGAGACAGGGCGTGCAAGGGGGCAATCCTTGCGTTCTCCGTGGCTCTAGTTCCTGAGTCTTGGGCGTTGTCCCTGGGCTGATCGACACGACAACAGACTACATACATACAGCTTCGAGGCCATGACACTATGTGCATGTATATCCGCGCAGACGAAACAAACACACAATGAGACGAGTGGCTGCAGCTATTCGCTGTTTGAAGGAGGGGGGCCATGTTCAAACATCCTGGAGGCCATGAGTGTGAACAAGCACATGCGCCGAGGGAACCAGAGGGAGGAGGACCCTGAAGATAGGGACTCCGAGCATAAGCGACGTTTTGCGAAGGGGTGAATTGGTAATTGAGAATCCATAATCATTGGCGAACAAGCCAACTGACTTTACCGAGCCATTGGATCTCAATTGTGATGCTCCCTTTGTTGTTTGATGCTCGATTGAATTCATCATGGCCGTCTGAGACAATCTGTGATATCGATCCGTGGGATGGACGCCACAAAAGGCAAGATCAGTTTGGCTTCTGGCAGCTCCTTCCTTCACATGGCAACAAGCTCCCCTCCGATCCATTTCCATTGGACGCAAAGATCGTCGGTAGCTCAAATTTCTTCTTTTTTTTCTCTCTCTTCCTTTCTTTTTCCTGCTCATCCCGCCCTTTGTTCTCTTGACGCCTTCATCCTTCATCGATTTCTCATCATGCCCCCCGCCGCTGCTGCTTTGTGTTGTCATTGATCCCACCAGAGATGCTATGCAATCCTCTTGACCTCTTACCATCTCCTCATCCCATCTTCCCACTTGTCGTCCCACATTGGGCCGAGCCCCAGCTTTCCAGCGAGTCTCTCCCTGTCAACAAGGGCTTCCCACAGCCTGGGCCGACCAGGGCTCACAGAAGCCGCGCCGACAAGGGCAAGGGTGCAGGAGCTTGGGAAGCGCCAGCAGGGGGTACGTAGCCCTGTCCTCGGCCGTCTGGCACCGCCTCTCCGGGTCGACGCACCCAGAGAGCCAGACAAGAGTCCAGTCTCGATTCTGCCCTCGCCGTTTCCGCTTCCAACGGGCCTCGAAGCCCATCCTTGTCCCCGGAATCCCATGGATCCATGAATCGGGGACTTGCGACGGTACTCACCGTCTCTCACTGTCCCTTTCGCCTCGCCGCCGTTTTTCTTCTTTGATGTCGGCTCTGGACGCCGGACGCTTGTGCCATTGTGGAAGGACTGCGCGTGCTCTCGGGGCAGACATCATGGAGCCTAGCGGAACTTCAACTCCCCGTCGCGTCAAAGGTGCCTACAGTACTTTTTTTTCCCGCTCCGACAAGCAGACTTTTACCCGTCTTGCCGCCACCAATGAACTCAATCACAGGAACAGGAAACGGTCGACCGAAGCCGCTGACGGCACAGGTCTTCTCCCTACAGCATCCAAAGCAACCCTGTGTTTCTTCCAAGGCACAGTCACACAAACTGTCAATTTTAAACCATCCAAAACTGCAGCATTACGTCGTTATCTTGGGCTTGCTGCCAGAATGAGGAAACAACGTCGATCCCTTCCTCGGTGAGACTGGACGCTGGAGTCTTTGACAACTGGGCCTTTCCCGTGTCCCCGTTCTTGCGATCCAGCCGTTGTTTTCTCCAAACTCCTGATGTGTTTACCCGTTCGTCTTTGTTCTGGTCGCTTCTGCGAAGCCCACTTCTATCCGTCCTGTTGAACCGCAATCCACTCCGTCATCACGGGATGCCTGCTGGTTGTCGAGACGGCGACATCCGACACAACCAGAGATTGTTTCTTTTTTGCTCAGTGAAGAGTCAATTGACTCTAAATTTTCACTGATTCGCCCGTGCCCCTCTTGCAAAACACTCGTCCACTCACCGGCTTGCTCTCCCCTTGAACTGGATCTGAGATGGCTGGAAACTTCTGCGCAAGTCCCCAAACGCAGGGAGATGAAACCGTTGCGTTGGGTCGCTGCTGGGATGCTTCTCCTGGGACCCAGAACTGAGCCTCCCATGTCTCTTCTTCTTCAACACCGCTTTTTACATCCCAACCTTTCTGTTGTCTTGCTTCATCGAGTCTCACGTCGCATGCTCCCCGGAGCGGACAGACTCGTGGCCAACGGGGCGCTCTACCCATCGTGGCCTAGCGGCCGCAGCCCGAGCCTTCCCAGTGGAAGGGAAGTGAGGCCGAGGCGTCGTGCCGGGGGTCATAGAAGAACCTGGAAGGCTACCAAAGACAGGGCGGGTCTGCGTGGCTTCGAAGCTCAGCACTGAGAGGCTGCTCGAGGGCCCGCTGAGAAGACGCCAAAAGACGCCAAATCGCGCCGGCGCAGTGGAAGCGACCGCCGTGGTCCAGCGCTCCGGGAGACAAGAGCGATGAAAAGCTTAACCCTCCTTTGCTCATTTTACTGTCTCCAGTCTGCTTGGTGTCGATCTACCAGGATCTTGCTCAGTCGACGTCTCATCGGACAAGCATCGAGATCCGATGTGATGATCGGATGGAGACCAAGCGACGAACATGTCGGGGAGAGTCTTCGGAGAAATGACCAAACGTGCCAGCGCTCGCCTCGATCACCAACCCCGTTGGCAAGATTACCGGATTTTGCTCATCGCGAGACTCATTGACGGAAGGGACCGACTTGCCTTTCTAGCCCACGTCTCGAGACCGCTTGCACAACCGAAAAGCATGTACGTACCGCCAGAGACCCTCTCGTCGCGCGCAGTGTATCCTCTAGCCATCCCCCAGCGGCCACGATGGCCCTGGTCTCGGAGGTTGAAGGCCCTGCCGCATTAGCTTGACCACGGTACCTGGGCCGACACTGTCAAGAAGGCGGCGACGAATGTTCTCTTCCTCCCAGTCGGTGCCCGCGGAAGCTGGCAGCCGTTCCGCTCTCGCGCTTGCATTCGGTTGTCGTTGTCGTTGCAGTCGGTTGGACCTCTCTGGGCTCTAACTGTGTGTGGTAGGTCGCACATGTTTCCAGCTGCCCTCCTCTGGCACAACTGGCACAACTTTCATAAGAATGGATAATGTGCATGGGCATGGAGAAATCGCTTTGACACACGACTGCATCCAAGACTCTTGGACCTGCCAACCATGATGGTCTGCATCACCTGGCGTTGATAGCGAATTACGCCATGAAGCACCGTTGAGCGCGACGGCTACACCTTACTGATCCGGACTGGCGCTGGAATCAACAAACTCTCTTTGAAGGGAAATTGGCCGACCGGCGCTATCTCGTCCGTCTTGAATCCGGTTGACAGTCGGACAACTTGCACAATTGTCGGAGGGCAGATTTGAGTTTACACTTGGCGAGTCGTTTAGCTGTCACGCACATGAGCACCATGTGGCAGACAATGTTGACGAAGGTCACTCTTGGACGAGGAGAGGGCGAGACGGTACAATGCTCCGAGACTAGGTGAAGAACCCTTCGAGTCGTGTGATTTTGTTCTCTGGTTCCGGTCTCGGGGTTCAATATTGTCTTCCATTGTTCTTCCGTGGCGTTGTGTCATCACTGGACTTTCCGAGGCCCTCCTTGTAGGAGCTACATGCAGGGAGGCTATTGGACAATGGGGAAGCTTCGCATTGCACCGTTCTGCAACATAGGCGCCCCCTCCCTTTCAATGCCGACGTGTGTCTCTGACAATAGCTGCCGAGACATTGCCAACCTCTTGTTTTCTCCCCATGAACTCGACAATACAGCGTCGCAGCATTGAATGAAAGCTTCAACAAAGTTAAACCCGCAGGATCCCTTACCCGACCCCCCTTCAGCCATTGACAATCCGGCGCTATGAAGTTAATGGAAGCGAGCGGTTTCTTCCTCTTGGGAACAAGCTGCGTCAACCTTTCTTCTGCCTTCTCCTCTTCACCTTTGTCCGAAGTCTCCGTCCTCCTCTGTTGGCGATTGGCTGGTTGTTCCCGCCTAGGCCCCTTGCAGATCCCTACCGTCTTTGCTAGCCCAGCCCGCCTCGTTGTTGACCCGCAGCGTTTGATGCCTGGGCAAGAAGAATTGGTGCCTCGGTCGCAAGGCAGCATTCAGGTTCGGACCCTTGTCATCTGCAGGTGGTGTCCTCCCACCATGATGACGATCCATCTACAAACAAGGAAACAAGCTTGATGGGAGATCAAACGGCTCTCAGGAGCGCAAGAGGAACCACTTTTCATCAATGCCGCTCTCATCAGATGCCGTCATCATTGTCGCAACATGCTGGCATTGCCAAAATTGGAATTATCATGAGGAAACAGCGGCTACGGCTCGGTCAAAGCGTCATGGTTCAGGATGCCCAGAGTAAGCGGTGCTCAATCTGTTTGAAGCCGGATCGCCGTTGTAGGCGTGATTCAACTCGTTTTCGACTCAGAGTTGGGCCGGGCCGCAATGGCATGCTCACCACGCGGCATACGGTGTCGTATCCAGCCTTGTTGCAACCACATGAGCTTATTCAGCTCTTATGAGCTGCATCCTCTATATCGGGGATAATTGTCAAGGTCCCGGTGTCTTCAGAGCTCGACATGATGACGAGACTGTGATAGAAATGACGGCTCAGAATCCCAAATCGGTCATATCTGCGCCGTTATACCTACTCAATCCTCTGTCGCTTACGACAAGGTTCGGCCAAATGGGCGACTATTGGAGCTTGATGACTGAGCCAATGTCGGGAGCGAGACGCGGGCCGGCAGCCGCAGATGTTCCAATGCAGGTCCAACGGCTGCGGCCGCAATCTCATACATTGAATGTCAGCAAGCATCTCCCACGAAGGGTCTTGTCTCGGCAGTCATTCTTGTGATTGAGACAATGATACCAACCCAGAGAAGGATCGTCCAGATGCAGATAGCTCAACAATCCGTTTTCATCAACTCATTGGGGTCGTCTTCAAAAACGTTGACGATGCAACCGTTCCTCAAGACTGCCACACAAACCAAAACTTCGGGTCCCAAGCCCCCGAGATCTCGCCCAGAAATCTGTTCCTGGTGGCGATAGGGGCGGCTCCGCATAACGATTGGGCAATGGCTCTCTAATGTCCAGTATGGTTACATCGGCGTCGAGTTCGTCAGAGGGCTGGAGCCCACGATGTCACCCAGGGAGGGCACACTCGGAAGCTTAAAGGGAGAAATGCCGTTTAGAGCCTCCAAACTGCTGGGAGAGGTGCATGAGCCTCATAAAAATGTTGACAACAGGTTGACGTTTTAGTCAAGCCGTTGTTTGCCAGAGCCAATTGAGATTGGAAGAGCCCTTGGAGCCCTGAAAATCTTTCAGCATCTTACCAAATCGGTTCACTTGATCCAGTTCGTCAGAGGCACGTCACAATTGATATCGGAAGGCTGGAATAAGTTCCCCGAAGAGTTGAGGGAGCCACAGTTGCATTGCGCTTTGACAGTTTACACTGTTCAGCCAGCCATTGAAGCTCATTAAGGGTCGGCTTCTCAGACACGCAACTCGATGGATAAGTTCTCATCTGCAGAACTTGAGCAGCTTGTTCCAAATTGGATTCGACTCTACGGTGATTGGGTCAAGAAATCGGAGGCTGGAGCTCTCAGGTTCAAACTGAGTGAGACTGGAAGCAGGGCGTGGTGCTGACCAAGAGCCAAGAGCGTTGACCAACAATTCCCACTTGCATCTCCACCAGGCTGACGAAAAATTCGATCAGAATTTTCCGGTGATCCTGTGAGAAGTCTGGATTCTGATGCTGGACTGGCAGACTGGGTCTGGGCAGCCTTCTACGCGTGATGAGAGATACTGACAAGGGATCCACGTCTTGAGAGTCGCTTTTCGCTGTCCGAGAGTGCTCCGAGTCTCTCCGCGAGATGCGTTCTGGATCAGCGGAGAAATCGCCATGATATGCCGGAAATCTTCGATTCCATCGTGGGGAAGAGGAAGAGGGGGGAATCGTCCGATCTGGGCGCTCCAGGAAGGGGGCTCCTTGTCTCGGGCTGCAGCTCTCGTGAGAAATTGATCAGCCTCGACAACGGCTGCGAGACGGGTATTTCCATATTGCTTTATATTGCTCTCGTGAGAGTTCGTTCGATGGTGGCAACCGGATGAACAGTTCTCAGCCGAACCCTCAAGGACGCGCATCCTGTGTCGCGAGTTGATGATGTCTCGGCCTGCACACAAAGTTCCCAACATGGGAACCCACACAATTGGACTCTCTTGCACATGCCAGTGAGTTTTTCTTGCTGGCAGTCCTGGTCATTGGCCCACCGTCTGTCCAAAAGAGGTCTAACAGAGAAAGGGCGAAAGCTTGGTGTGGTGTTCCTGACGATCGCGAGCCAGGGTTTGCTGGTCACTGTGCCACACAGCCGCTTTTGGGGCTGAGTTGAGAAGGGCTGAAGCAGGTGGCCTCTGCGAGAGCAGCTCTGCTCAGTACATGGCATGCGCTGCAGTGCAGTGCGGTGCAATGCACATGTCTCTGCACCGTAGATGCCTGCCCGAGCAAGACTCTTTTCGTGGCAGTCAGATGGATGCCGACTTGTTCCTCGGCTTCAAGGATGAGCATTGGTAATCGAGTCGAGTTGCAAGCGCCAACTCCACCAGGTCCCATCGAGTATGACTGTTTTGAACGCCGACCATCGGGTCTTGGAGTTGGCTGTGGCTTTGTCAGGCACCGGGCCTCAATGGCTGGCTCAGGCACCCGAAGGGTTGAGTGGTTGCATTGGTCCTGGAGCTAGAACAGGGCTTGGTTGCGGAACCGAGGCCGGCGAGAGACGACAATAGCCCCGAGCCAACTTGACGATGGCCCTTTTAGAGGCTGTTTTTTCATACTCCACTGAGGGTCTAAAACGTGACTCTCGGCATTCGGAGGATCAATTGATTCGGCACTTGATTGAGGTGCCCAGCCATCACCAGTCTTGCTAGAGAGCTGTTGTGATGTTTGGTAAAGCTGGTGCAATTATCTCGACATGTCGTTTATCCATCGGCCGAGTGGCCATATGGATCTATCCTAATGGTATGTTTGATCATCAGCATGAAACAAATCATTTCGCGGTAAGGCCTTATACAGGCCGGACCCTACCCTCTGCGCCGTAGGTGCATCCTGTGCTAGGTACAAGGCATACAGACGCACATGTTGTCTCTGCGGGCCAGCCGGGGAAACTGAGGGACTCTGGGGCGGCAGCAAAGTCTGACGACTACAGCGACTCAAACTGTCGGCTTGGCTCAGGGTTCCTGACTCCTGCGTCGGCCTCACAGGAGATCCCTGTGATGCTTCAAAGTAAGAGCAGGCGAGCAAGTGCCCCTTGCGAGTTCGTCCTGTTCACCGCTGCGCATTCAATCAATTCCCTTGCCTTTTCGTCTGGCTATCTCGTCCCTTGTTAGTCATGAGAGGGACTGGCAGCTATCCACGTCCAGAGAGGGCCCCGGCTAGTGGCCTGCGCCGTGTGGCGGGCTCTCATTCGTCAGAAGCCTGACGCCCAAGGCTGCGCTGCACATGAGAAGCTCTGGGGACAGGCTGAAGATTGGAGAGTCTCAATTGATCACTCCTCTCAAGATTGAGCGTGGGGGAGCCGAGTGCTGAGAGACGGCCACGATATGCCATTACGTCCGGGGGAGATGATGTGAGGCGACCCCGTGACCCCAAGGATTGCGACTTGAGGCCGGGACGTGAGATAGTTCCATGGACGGCAGGGCCTCACCGGTGTACCTGCGATGCGCCTGCGTCTTCGGGCGTCAAAGGCGAGGCCATGCATGAGGCGAATACAATGAATGGCACGCTGCGTACGTGGAAGCGCCTGGTTGAAGTGTTGCGACGAACGCCCAGCGGTTCCCCTCTGCCTTGCCTTGGCTTGTATCTTCTGTTCTTTGGTCAGCTGAGGCATCCTTGATGAACTGGATGTGCAGAAATGCCGCGACGACAGCAATGTGGCGAGGGATACTGATCCGAGTCGCGCCACGGCCGCGTCAGGGGGACTTGTATGGGTGAACTACGACGTGTCTATATGCCTCAGAAGTCTTGCTGTGTTGTTCTTGCGAGATATGGCGGTTTGCATTTGTGGCATGCGGTGGGAGCGGTGAGGCTAGGAGCAGATTCTTTGCCGTGGTGTTTCGATTGAATGAGGGAGTTTCTTACCTTGATAGCGTTATAGTCATTGTTTATCGTATGTGATACTATGCGTCGAGGTATGTAGGTAGTTGTGAATACAACCTTGTTGCGCGTCCAGATGGTGGCTGTGGTTCTTGGCTTGCTTCGGGACAGAGGTGATTGCGCATGTAGGATATTTACCGAGGATAGTTTTTATGACTAGGTATTCTGGATCTGTTCCTTGCTATTAGTAATTGCTAATGAGTTGATGGGAGGGATCAGACCAAAGTGAGGATGTTCGCGATGATGGGTGATGTATAGGTCTAGGGTGGCTCACACGCGTTGGCAACAGTCGCGACATCTGTTGATCAGTGTCAATCCAGCCGTGTTCTTAGCGTGTATGAGGTATCATTTTAATGAAGAGTATGTTTAATTGATGAGACTGACCTGACTTACTAGTTTTTCGTGAATTATCGTGTCGTTGTGTGTCCTACAGGCGTGGTTTTGTTGTAAATTCCGCCGTTGTCAACATTTAAAAAGACACAAGCTCATGAACCACAGCCTTTCTAACGGAGCTAAGCTCATCGTTTTATATAGACCAAGGACTCTATATATGCTAAGATACTGTGTAAAGTGATCGGCTGTCAGTTTCATCATGTCTTAGTGTTTCTGCATCATTGATGTGAGCTTCCATCATGAGTGGGAGCAAGACCTTGATGAAACAGCAGCGGCATGACGAAACATCTTGACCAATTAGACAGAGAAAGCTACAGATCGGAGAGGTATTCGTTCTTATGCATTTCAACAGCTTGGGCATAAACACATGCCCGGACGTGAGTGTTGGTGAGAGTGCCTGCCCTAGGTTGACCATATAACAACTGTCTCATATGATAACAGTCTGATAAGTGGCCGGGATGTGGTTATAAGTCTCTAAAGTGCCGGCTGATGCCTTGTCTCATCTGAACTGTGTCATGATGAGTGTTTATCCTGGATCAAGTGGGATTAGACGGACCGTGGCAGCCAGGTTCGTGCTAAGACATTGACTTGTCCAACTCGGCAGCTCTGGTGTGATTAAGTGCTCATGTCTGAGCGTCGGTCTCAAGCTGGAATGTCTTGACGTGAGACATGGGGTTTCCTGTCGATGTCGCTCATCGTCACCTTGGATATCGTGGGTAACAAGTCTGGTCTGAGTCAATCATGAGAAAGATAAGGTAGCATACGATAAGCCCGACCGTAAAGACTGTCCAAGCGGCGAAGAAAGCAAGTTTTATCATCAAACAGCTACCGCGACCATGTATCAAAGCCCCAGATGTCATCCCTCCGGATCCTGTGGTCCGATCGATTGGCGAACGGCCCCACTTTCCCGGAGGCGGCACCCGAAGGATGTATGACCAGAACTCGGAGAGGGGAGAGGAATTTGAATTCCGTAGACTCCTCCATTGGTCATTGGAGGCATTGAAGATAAGCATAAGCTAGAGTATTGACATACTGCGGTGTCTTTGTATATTAAGGAGAAGGGAAACAGGTCGTCTTTTTTTTTTTTTAACTCCGGTGTTTAGAAGAAAATAACAACTCGGTGCGCCTTTTACCCAGCTTGAACCACGATAATACACTTCCTTGACCTCTATCCTTGATAACAATGGAAAAGGGCGTAGACATTCATCAGCTTCTTGCGGAGTTGACCTTGGATGAAAAGCTCTCTCTTCTCTCCGGAGCTTCGCAATGGAGAACTGCTGTAGTACCTCGCCTTGGTATACCATCCCTAAAGGTACTTGCACTGCCACCAATGCATAAACGACCACGTCTCTCGAGTGCTAAGACGGTTCGTCGCAGGTCTCTGATGGTCCTTCGGGTGCAAGAGGAGAGGTTTTCGGAGAGGGTGTCCCCGCCGCCTTCTTCCCCAGCGGCGTGTCACTAGGCGCTACGTGGGATGTTGATCTCCTCAAAGAGGTTGGGGAGCATCTTGCAGAAGAGGTAAGACCTGATCTCTCGCGTTTGAGTGCTTTATTGACGTCCGAGGGAAAAGTGCAAATCCAAGTCAGCATCCGTCTTGCTGGCTCCCACAATGTGCATCCATCGTCACCCCTTGGGTGGCAGAAACTTTGAGTCCTTTAGCGAGGATCCGTACCTCACGGGGAAGCTCGCCACGGCGCATGTTAAAGGTCTGCAGTCAAGGGGCGTCGGTGCCACGCCGAAGCACTTTGTTGGTAGGTTCACACTCTTTTCCAGACCATTCGAGGCTGATGACTGTTAGCAAATGACCAAGAGACCAAAAGATTCAAGGTCAACGTGCAAGTCGACCCCCGGTCTCTTCGAGAAGTCTATCTGCTCCCGTTTCAGATGGTTGTGCGAGACGCCGATCCTTGGTGTATGATGACGGCCTATAACAAGGTGAATGGCCATTATTGCGATGCATCCAAGGAGCTTCTTGATAATATTGCCCGTGATGAGTGGAAGTGGCAGGGCGTCTTTATGAGCGATTGGGGAGGCACTTCTTCAACGGTTGATTCGATCAATAATGGCTTGGACCTAGAGATGCCTGGCCCACCAGCCAAGAGATCACGAGCGGCGCTTGAGCAGAGCCTCAAAGACGGCACGGTGGACTTGGAGCAGGTTGACAAGGCTGCTTTGCGCATCTTGAACCTTTTAGAGCGAGCTGGCCGATTCAAGGATGCGAGAGATGAACCCGAGTACTGTCGAGACATGGATGACCATCTTGCCACAAGGGAGCTCCTGCGGCGAGCTGCAACATCAGGAGCTGTCATGCTCAAGAATGAGGGTCAAGCTCTCCCCCTACAGCTGGATAATGGCATCTCCAAAATCGCTGTTGTCGGCCCAAACGCGGAAAGAGTCGTTGCCGGGGGAGGCGGGAGCTCGTACATCAAGGCACCGTATTGGACCTCGGTCTTGGACTCGATCAAGGACCGTGCTGCAAACCATTCCGTCGACGTCGTCGTCCATACAGGAGCCAGGGTCAACCGCTATTTACCTACAGTTCTGCCAAGCGTGGTGCGAGACCGGTCAACTGGACAGAGTGGTGCGAGTGTGGAATGGCACCTCGGCCACGATCTGGCGAGCGACATCGTCGCCGAGACGCACATGTGAGTATACCCCAAACCTTGGATCTTGGGTGTGGCCTCTAACCTTGCTTTGTGGGATAGAGACGACTTGTACTTCATGTCCTTTGGTGATGTGCCGCCCGAGATCGGTCGACTTACAGATTACTCGTTTCGCGCCCGAGCTACGCTCACGCCGCAGACGGATGGCATACACACAATCTCATTTGCTTCGATTGGACCAGCCAAGCTGTTTCTAGACGACGAGCTGATACTGGAGCAGTCGGGGGCCTTTCAAGAAAAGGCAAATCTGTTTTTTAGTTATGGCAGCGGGGAGGCCATCACCTCCCGAGCCATGACGGCAGGACGCTCGTACCAGGTCCGCATAGACTACCACTCCCACGACCGGCAGCTTCAAGAGGATGTAAAGCACCTCCTGGACCCGATGGAGGACAAGTTCCAGGGCTTCCGGCTCGGCTTTGAGGAACATCAGTCGGCAGATCTTCCCGCCGAGGCTGCCGATTTGGCTCAGGGATGCGATGCCGCCGTGGTTGTCGTGGGGCGAGATAAGGAGTGGGAGACGGAGGGTGAAGACATTCCCATGTTTGAACTCCCAGGCGAGCAAGTTAGGCTGATACAGATGGTTGCTGCGGCTTGCAAGAGAACCATTGTTATCGCCCAAGCCGGCACGCCAGTCCTCCTGGACCCCTGGATTGATCAAGTTGATGGTCTGCTGTATACATGGTATCAAGGACAAGAGCTTGGCAACGCTGCGGCGGATGTCTTGTTTGGCCAGGTGAATCCCTCGGGTCGTCTCCCCATCACCTTTCCCAAGAAGATTCAGGATTGTCCTGCATACTCTTCCTTCCCAGGGGAGCTGTTGCAGTCTCGTTATGCAGAAGGTCTTTACGTAGGCTACAAGTGGTGGGACCTGGTCGGAACGAAGCCTCATTTCCCAATCGGCTTTGGATTGTCATACAACACCTTTAGGATCAAGCCCAAGGCCATCAGCACCACCAAAATATCCCGAGATACTGTCATCAAGCTGGAGGTTGAGGTGGAGAACTTGGGCGGAAGTCCACTGCCAGGGCGGGAAACTGTCATTGCCTGGTTTTCTCAACGCTCGCCGCGTCGTCTTGCACGTCCGGTGAAGCAGATTTGCGGTTTTGCCAAGTCTAAAGCCCTGAGGCCGGGCGAGACTCAACTGCTAGAGATTGACATTCAGGTTGAGGCCCTGGGCATGTTTGACCCTCAGAGAGCTAGTTGGATCATTGATGCTGGGACGCAGCTGGAAGTGCTGGTGGGGACAAATGCTGAAGAGACCGAGGTGATGGGGCAAGTAGAGGTACAGGAGGAAATAGTCTGGGTTTGATAAGTTGCGTAAACTTGAATTAAATAGCTATGTGATGTATTCATGTCGTGTCGATGGCTTTTACCATACGAGTTGCCATGAGGTGAGTGTAGCTCTGGTACCCCTCAAGTTTAACACTACCGTTTCACTCTGTCTTGGAGCCATTCAGACCCGACGACCCTGTGCCTGTACTTGATGAAATGGCCGAGATGGTGCGAGTGCACAATGACCTTGAGATACTGTTGGATCTCTCTGGCGCCCGAGCAGTACTTGGACTAGTCAGGCTTGCGCCCCCATGTGCACTCGGGATATCGCAGGCACAGCCGGGGTAGCGGTTCTCCAGCTAGGTACCCGCCGAGCTCTGGATTCTTTTCGTAGATGATCAGGTCAATGTTCTGACCCTGCTCATGCAGAGCATGCAAGAAGTCGATTCCCGCGACGCCCATGCCAAGAAAGATGACCTTCACGTGACGCCTTGTCCTCAGAGGAGAGTCGCGAATGCTGTATTCTTGCGTACCGTGGAAGCCTCCAAGTTGTTGGTTAACAACTTAATGTTGTACCTCTACCTTTTATTCCCGGGTGTTAAAGTCATTGGACCTAACCAGACAGGTCCATACAGGCCATGAAGTATGCTGGGCCGAGTGACTGGTTTGACTACGACTCGTGCGGTGCAGGCGAAGACTAGGAACCAGGTATACTAGGTAGATGCAATAAAGTACCATCTCAACGTTGTCGTATATAATTTCTCTCTTTAATTCGTGTCAAAGACAATTGCCAGATGCGTGGAGCACCTCACTCGGCCTTTATAGCCACCACAATCTTCCCCATTGTTCGACAGTCCACCATTTCCTGCATTTGATATGGAACATCATCAAGGGCTACTAATGTGACATCTGGTCGAATATGGCCGGATCTGATGTATTCCATAACTTGTAAAGCCTCCTGACTCCCGCCCATTAGGTTTCCCGACACTTTGAGGTTGCGTTCTATAAGATCCTTGACGGGAATAGATAGATGGGTATCACCACCAGGAGCCCTTTGATGTTCAATTAGCCACACGAAGCACAAAAGGAAGGAGAGGACACAAGAGCCTCATGATGGCTACTCACCCTACACAAATGATCCGCCCACCATCGCACACATAGTCATGCACGCTCCTGAAAGCCTCGGGTGTACTGCCGCAGATGATGACGCTGTCGGCACCCCGTAATACTCCGCGGCCGCCCCTCAGCTTCCGGCAAGCTTCGATCACAGCATTGGCGTGCTCGACTCTGCTTTCGACGTCTGCTGTGAGGGGCGCCGAGAGGAAGATATCACCGAATTGATCAGAGTTGGGAGGTAGTCGAATGATCTTGTTAGAGAGGTCAATCCCAATCACCTTGGCATGTCGAACTTGTTTGGCCATCATCCCGGCCATGTTACCAATAGCACCAGCCACGCCCACGACTACAACCACATGCTCAGGGCCAACCTCGGCACCCTTCAATGCCATAAGGGCGGTGGAGCCGGAGCATAGGGCGGTAGTGTAATACGGAAGCATAGCCGTTCCCTCCTTTGACAGGGCTTCTGGCAAACGCACGAGGCACGATGTCGGAACGGTGGCGTACTCCTTGAAGGTGCCGGATACTTGTTTCGGCGAGTTTAGCTGGAAGGGGCACGAGGTAAGGAGCCCACGGAGGCAGAATGAGCAGGACTGGCATGTACTTCCGAGATATCTAATGGCGACGAGTTTATCGATGAGTGAGGCATCGTATGCCCTGACGATGCGGCCAATGCCCTCGTGGCCGGCGACGTGGTCGTGCTTGGGGTATCCGGGCTCGGGTCCGATGGAAAAGCAGGCATCCTGATGTACAACGTAGGTTATTTACTGGGGCTGCTTCTGAAGCTCTCAAGGGGTAGACTCACGCTTCGGCAGATGCCTGAATAGTACAACTGAACGACTGCTTCACCCGGCCCTGGTTGACGCACGGGGATAGTACGACAAGTGAGATTAAGCTGAGGGCCCATGGTTGGAGTGACGATGGCTTTTTGAAAAGATGGAAGAGGTTCGCCTAACGCCGCGGCATGTTTGAGGTCATGTATTTCTTGACTTTGTGGTGACACATAGCCAGAGTCTGGGCCTGAGCTTTTCACCTCTTCCAGTTGATCAACAGGTAATATGGTGAGCGCGCCCACAAGCAAGGGCATCGCGTTTTCCGAGTTGCAAGGTATGTAGTCGTGACAGGCACCGGTACTTGGATGTTGCTCTCGCGATACTGTCGTGAGGCTGTTGTCAGTATAGTCGGCCATGACACGGAATGCGTTCATGAACCAGCGAGGGAAGAGAAGGAAGAGAATTACGCTGTCAGACTAGATTGGCTAACAAGAGCACGATAAAGCCGCTTGAGTAACTCGTACTGTGGCCGATAGTAATAAATAGCATGGCAAGTATGCGCCCTCTAGGTCGGCTGCTCACTGCCGGCGGCTCTGGCCTCCCTGGAATATGCATTCCGCGTCGGAAACCTATATTCCGCTCTGAGGCCCTGGATACTCACCCCAGTCATCAGAACTTCCGTCTGGGGCATGAACCAGCTATTTGCGAGCTGAGAGATAAGAGATGGATTCCATTATGCGGGTATTTAGTAGAACTACGCCCCAGAGGGGATGCCGATATGATTTGCAACGTCTCAAAACGACTTTGAGAACAAACTTCGAGCTCTAATTTAGGGACTTTGTTGGTGATTACTGATGAACAGAACAAGTCAGACATGGTGAACAACTCTTATGATGCAATCATCTGAGAAGAAGTATGTGTACTTCAAGTTTCCCTGACAGTTGCCGCAAACATTGACTTTGCCGAGAGTGAAGCTGCCAAGCCCAGAATACCTACTAGTAATGGTTTATCTTACGGTTTTTATGAAGTTTAACTTTGGTTCCGTTTTCACAATTGCATGCTTCCTTATTGAGGTTGATGGCCTCGTTGAGAGACGTTACCGAGAACAACAAAACGAACAATATCTAGGCAGACACCTATGCAAAGGCACGTAATTGATTGAATACCTTAGTAGGATAGACACACACAGATCACAAGATACATATTGATACCTTGTTAAAACATATCCGATACATATTCAAACAGCTGAGAGACACCCTCCTGCTACGGTGATTGTCCCTCGAGAATAAAAGTCCCTACGAAAGAACGTTGGCCATACGTGTACCATGGTCCTTTGTAGAATATCACATCCAAGCCGGGGAGTGATGGGCGAGAAATCCTCAAAACTTGCGAGCAGGGGTGCGACTCTCAAAGAGCGCATCGAGCTCCTCGAACGTCTTGCCCTTGGTCTCAGGCATGACAAAGTAGGCGATGGCAGCCAGGAAAAGACTTGGGGCAAAGAAGACCAGTCCCGTCTTGGGACCAAGGTTAGCCCTTTCACTGTTGACCAAGTATGGGATGGCAATCGACCATCCCATGTTGATGAGCGAGTTGATGGTGGCCGCGAGCGAGGTCGTCTTGGGTCGAAGTCGAGGGGATGAAATCTCTCCAACAATGGTCCAGCCCACGGCACCGACCGAGAGGTACCAGAGGAATGACCAGATGATGCACAGAGACGCGACCCCCCTGAGAACAGCGGTAGACGAAGGCACGAAGCCAAGAATACCAATGCAGAGTAGAAGAGGAAGGATGGCAAAGGTGCCCACGAGGTACTGGAGCCGCCGTCCGACCCGTTCGATCAGGACAAAGGCGCATATGATGGCCAGCATGGCAACAGTCATGGAGATGACAGTTATGGTGAACGAGTTGTCCATACCCGACAATGTCAGAAAGTAGGCCAAGTAGTTGCCGCAGAGGGGATACCCGAGGAAGTGCTGCATCACCATCGGCAAGCAAGCGAGAAAGGTTCTTCGGAGGTTGGGGCCCTGGAAGCACTCCATGTAGGAAGGGCTCGCGCCCTTTTCCAGTTTCTCATGCTCGAGGAGGCCGACAATGGCTGCCAGATCCTCCTCGACCATGTAGTTTGCCTCGGAGCCTCGCATCTTTAACAGTGCCGCCTTAGCAGCGTCCAAACGACCCTTGGATACGAGGTAGTATGGGGATTCTGGGACAAGGGGGATGAAGAGGGCCAGGCACATGACGCCCAGCCCAAGCTGGGATACGATGGTGCCCTTCCATGACCAGGGACCCTCCACGTGAGACGTGCCCTCAAGGACGCAAGCAGCAACAAAGGCACCAAACATGATCCAGAACTGGAAGAGGGAGAGCAAGAACCCTCGGACACGGCTTGGTGCGAGCTCAGAGATGTAGGCTGGGATGGTGCCCTGCATGAAGCCCATCGCGGCCCCAAATAACAGCTTCGCCACGATCCAAACCTTCCAGTCCGGAGAGAACAGCTCGATGATGGTACCGACCATGGTACAACTGCAGTATAAAAGAGGTTAGTTGAGTCCTGCAAATGTGTTTGGAGGAACTAACGCGACTAGGATACAGAACACGGCGCGTCGACCGATCACATCGTTCATATATCCGGCACCCATTGCACCACACATGGCGCTGACATACTGGACAACGCTCCAGACCAGCTGTTCGTCGGCCGGGAGTGACCAGGTATCCGTCTTTGCATCGTAGTCGCCAAATTTCTTAACAAACTCAACGTTGGCGATGATGGATCCAATGAGGGTCATGTCATATCCGATCAGAACCGCAGCCGAGGAGCAAGCGAGACCTAGACAAAGCGAGCGTCAGCACGGCATCCGGAAGGTCATGGAGGGTGGGTTCCAACATGAAAAGGCAGCTCGTTTGCACGCCCAGAGAATCTGAAAGTGTTCAGACCATGTTGTCGTGACAACTTCGAACGAGGTTCCTTGTCCGTGTTCAGGGTCAAGGGGCTCCTCACGAGACTCTGCAAGTTTCTCACTGATTGACATGGTGGAGGAAGATGTATGAGTATTGATCTGGATTTCCAGGGAAAAGGTTAGTCAGTCAACAAGGTCTGCTGCCATGCTCTTATATGTTTGTTTCCCCGCAGCTCTCCCTATCAATCGATTGCGAGCGCTAACAGTACTTTGCAGTATCAACACAACCCACGTGAGCCTCATTTCCCCCGGATCCCCTTCCCCATGGTACGAGATAAACGCTATCATGATAGTCCTGGGGCGCCCATGTGGGGAGTGGGTTGGCGGAATTCAAATTCCTCTTGATAAGGTTCTCGCCGGGGGTCAGGAGTTCAGGGGCTTGATATTTCAACGGACTAAGCTCATATTACTGGTAGATAAGTCGCTTTCTTTTTATCAGATACCGCATACAACTAAACCTCTTTCTTGTTTGCCATGGAGAGTGGTCGCGTGTTACGAGTTGGCCTCATCGGCTGTGGCGAGGTGGCCCAAGTCATCCATGTTCCGACCTTAGGGTTCCTCTCCCACCTGTTTCGCTTGACATATCTCTGCGACGTCTCCAATCAAGCCCTACAGCACGTCAAGAGTCGAGTTCCAAACAGCGGCGAGATCCAGACAACAAGGGACCCAGACGAGCTGTGCCGATCTGCTAACGTCGATGTTGTACTGGTGCTGAGCAGCGATGAAAACCATGCATACCACGCTATCCTGGCCCTCGGCCATGACAAGCACGTCTTGATTGAGAAACCAGCTGCACTCAACCTGCAAGATTTGCAGCAGATCAAGAAGGCTGAAGAGGCCTCCAAGGGTCGGGTTATGGTAGGATATATGCGTAGATATGCCTCCGCCTTTAGACAGGCAGTCGATCAAGTTGGAGGGCTAGACAAGATTCTTTACGCTCGAGTTCGAGGTATTCAATGTCTCTTTTCTCCTGTAACTATAACGCAGATGAGCTGATCCGCCATACATCTAACAGATATCATTGGTCAACCGCAGCCCTTTGTCTCCCAGTCCGGCACATACCCCAAGCGGTTCAACGATTTCCGCCAACAAGACGTTGATGATCTGGCAGCCCAGCGTGACAAGGCTTTTGAAACTGCGCTTGCCGAGTGCTCTGCTGAGTCCAGCGAGGAGAACCGTCTCTTCTGGAGGTATCTGGGAGGTCTGGGGTCACACGACCTCTCTGCCATGCGCGAGACTCTGGGAATGCCGATTGGTATCCACGGCGCCTCGGTGACTATGCCATTTTGGAAGTATGTCCATTCCCCGGCCGTCCTTCAAACTGATCTGACATTCCTGCAGCGTCCTTTTCAAGTACCCAGGTTTCAACGTCAGCTATGAATCTGGCATTGATAATGTGCCGCGATTCGACTGCCACATCGAGGTCTACGGCACCGACAAGACCATTCGCGTGAAGTTTGATACGCCTTACGTCAAAGGGCTCCCGGTCACGATGCACATCTCGGAGAACGTAGATGGAGCTTACAGGGAGACGACGACACGCGTGACGTACGAGGATGCCTACACTTTAGAACTGAAGGAGCTGTACGATTGGGTCACAACTGGCAAAAATATCAAGACTGACCTGGTGGATGCGGAGCAGGATTTGCGCATCATGGGGATGATTATGAAGGCTCTGTAGTCATGGCATGTATTGTCTTTGAATGAGTAGATGGTTACAGACTATCTCAGTCTGAGAATAAAACGTGTTACCTTTTGCCTTTTCTGAATGCCTTGTACAAAGTCTTAAAATGCATAGATACGCATCTTAAACTAATCAAGCAATATTTGACGTTTCCAGTTCTCACAAAGCTATGTCTAAGCCAGATAAAGGGCTTTGGGGGATCCAGTCCCAAAGATCCGCTTGCCAGGTTCAGGTACCCAATCGGAGGAAAGGGCATGCATATCTCCCCCTGGCTAGATCATTCGTATATGCCGAGCTGGCTCAGACAGGGGCTGAGGAATCTAAATTCCGCCGTATCATGCCAACCCCTCGTTCCCCAACGATATCATGAGAGGGACCTTTGCTCTCGAGTCGGCATACCTGATAACAGACTTGAACAAAGCAAACTTACATGTGCCGTTCTATTATCAAGATAAAGGTCGCCACTTGTGACTCGTGTACTCCCAACAACGCAAGCCGTATCGTCAAGAACAGTCCAGCGTCAAAATCTTCAGTCATGTCCTCGCCACGAATCATCCGTTGGGGGATCCTCGCCACCGGCGAGATAGCAAAAACATTGTTCGTAATCACAACTCTTCACGGATAGGTCTGCTCATGGGCTGACACTTGCAGTACCTGTGATCTTCTACTCGACCCTGCCACGCGTGGTGTTCAAGGTTTCCAACATGCCATTGTTGCCGCGTCTTCGTCTTTCTCGGCCTTCCGAGAAAAATTGTTCTGGAAGAGCCTGGTACAGCATCTGCCTCGGCGTATGGCTCACACAGCGAGCGGACCCAAGACGATAATGTCGATATCATCCACGTCGCCACTCCTCACTCACATCACTATCAAAACGTCATGATGTGCCTCGAAGCCGGGAAGAATGTACTCTGTGAAAAGGCCTTTACAGTCAACTCGGCACACGTCAAACGCCTGGCTGAAGTAGCGAGGGGCAAGAACTGCTTCTTGATGGAGGCCTTTTGAACCAGATACATCCCGTTGACATCCTACGTGCTGGACACCATTGTCTAGGGCCACATTGGCAACGTGAAGAGGGTGAAAGCAGACTGCAACTTTGCGACCGACCCGGAAGAAACCTTCAAGGGCGGCAAGCATAGACTGGTCAACCCAGCCCTTGCCGGCGGTGCCCTACTAGATCTTGGTGTATACAGCCTCACATGGCCTTTCTTGGCACTTCATCTCACTCAGCCTATCGAGACTCGCAAACGACACGGGGTGCAAGCCGTGATGGAAAAGGTAAGCTCAACAGGCCAAATTTTCAAGTCAGTGTTGCCGATAATGACCCAGTACCCTCCGGATCATCTGGCAGATGAGACAACAACCATGCTTCTGACGGCACAGTAAATGACGACCACTGGCCAATTCCTGGGCCTGGAGAGGGGAGTGGCTGGCACAACGGATTTGCCGGATATATAAACGCTGAAGATGAAGGCCAAGGTTGTTATGGGAGGCAGATGAGGCGGCACTGGCGTTGATGGAGGGTAGAAAGGAGGGAAGGTTGACCACTCTCGAGGAATCTATTGCCATGATGGAGGTGATGGACGAGGTTAGAAGACAGGGAGGGTTACAGTACTCGGATGAAATCGAGTCAGTGGAGTACCCAGTCAAGCTGGGAAGTGGCTAATAGCTTTATGAAATTAAATACCATTTTTAACATACTAGTTGGCTTGTACTAGATACTGTTTGACTTTGATTTCCAATGGTTATCAGCGCAAGTCTTGGTGACACCTTACCATGCCACAATAATAAGACAAAAGAAGAAGGCAAAAGTACCCAACACTGAGTAATACAGCCAATGAATTGAACAAATCTCTTTGCAAACAGAAGTTGTAAAAGGTTACTATACCTATCTAGGTCGCTCTTTAGGGATAACTTATCAAGCTTCGTCGAGAGACAAAGACCCAGGTGGAAGGATAGCAAGCCATAGTCAACCAACGACGAACAAACGATACGAGATAGGCTACCCCGGCACCATCTACTCAAGATAGTTAGATTTCCAAGTTAAATCTCCATTGGTGCGAACTTAAATAAGGAGATAGGCTCTCTCTGCTTCTTCATCAGTGTTTTCTAGATGTGGCATAGGCGCGGAATCTAGATTCCGCCGAGGAAACAAAAATCCTGCCCCGCCGCCCACCATGACCATCCTGGCCAGTATCACTTACACATCGAAACAAGATCACCAGTCATGAGTGAATCAGCGCAGCATGCCACAGATTCCCCTCGGCGAGACCGGGGTTCCGTCAGAAGCCGGACCAAGTACGTGAACCGTGCCTGTCGAGAATGTCGCCGTCGGCGAGCCAAAGTAAGCCAGCCGCCTAGCACTGCCCAGACCTCTCGCTCATAGTAGCAGTGTGATGGTCAGAAGCCATGTTGCTCCAGATGTTTGGATCGTCGCCTGACGTGCGTCTTCTCCACTGAGGCTGACAATCGGGGGTCCGCCCCCAAATCGCAAATGCAACTCCTTCAAAACAGAGTCAACCTACTCGAGCAGACGCTCCAAGTCCTCGGCATCAGCATCGATGTCCCTGATGGGTCACCGACTTCTCCGTCTGCGAGCCTCCAGGGAAGGATTACCGCTGCTATAGCGGACCACACTACTCCTCCTGCCCTGAGAACAGCCAGTGCTGGTTCTGCATGCCTCCGAGGTCAAGACACCTCGCGGAGTAGCGGTGGTGGCCAACCAGGCTTCTATGGCTCGACGAGTGGGCGCCCGGAGCTTCAATCTCGGCTAGCTGCAAGCACTGAACCGCATGATCCACTTGTTTTAGGGGACACCGGCAGTGGTGATGGCGTGCCTCGAGATGCAGTCAGGCGGGACGTTGTCACTTCCGACTCTTCACCAAGCACACAAGACGTACCCGAGTTACCGACCCATCTGGTCGACCACCTTGTCGAAACATACTTTGAATGGGAACAACCCTGGTTTCAAGTAGTCGATAGGAAACTGTTCTTCGAGAGCAGACGCGATGGCGGTCGGTACTTTAGTAGTTTGCTCCTATATTGCATTCTTGCGATAGCATCCAGATACTCTCCTCTAGAGCAGGTGAGGACCGACGCGCAAGATACCAACACTGCCGGGCTAGGCTTTCTTCAACAAGCAGAAGCTCTTCTCCAAGTGGATCTCAAATGGCCAAGCATCACGACGATACAGTCTCTTACCATCATGGCCATCATGTACGTGGTAAGCATTCTCTACCTGCTCTTTTCTATGACCAAGACTCCTGACCGATCTCATCTGTCCTAGGCTATCGGATCTGATGCCTCGGGCTGGCTACACCACGGGATGGCAATCCGCTTGGTGCTCGATATGGGTCTCAACCTTGACGCCTCCTCTGCCCCTGGGTCTTCTTCTCTGACAGCTGAAGACATTCAGCTTCGACATCAGATCTATTGGTCGCTGTACTGCTCTGATAAACTCTGGGCTACCTACACTGGGCGTGTGTGTACCATGCTGGTAGGTCCCTCATGCTCATCTGCCCCGTCGCCATGTGGAGGGCAGTCCAGATCTGGTGCTTGACTCTAACTCTTGCAAGGACTACCAGGGATCTGTGCCACTACCAAGTACGGTACTTCCTGCAACGGTCTCGGCAGCATCATCCGACTCCAACGAGACGATTACTTCGCCCGTCTCTATTCTGCGGGAACTCAGCACACATTGCGTAATTCTGGAAAAGATTCTCACGACGCTGTGAGTTCCTCTTGGTTCCTCGTCCAAAGGGTCCGTACTCACGAATCTCAGCTATGCGCCCAACAAGACGGTGCTCGATGCCGAGAAGTACTCGTTCTTTGACATGTGCCTCATGACACTAAGAGGTTGGTACCATTCACTTCCCGACCATGTGGGATTAGACACTCGTGAACAGCAGAATTCTCAAAGATCGCCGCATGTCCACATCCTACACATGGTCTATCACACGTCCATTATTCTTCTTTGCAAGCCATTCATAACCAATAAGCCGTTGGGTGAATCTGACACCGCCCCGGAGCTTCACCACACAGCCGCTTCTGATGTTCGCAGGAAAGCATCCGCCATGTGTCGGGAGGCCGCCAAAGAGATATGTCTCATAACTGAACGATACCGTGAGACCTTTGGGAGCTTTCGGCAGAGTCCATTGACAGCTACACACTGTACACTGATGGCTATTCTCGTGACGCTTCACGGCGAGGATTCGCGTGCATACGAGACTAGTCAGGGCGCACGGAAAGGGTTAAAGACAGCCATGAAGACTTTGGAAGAGCTATCTGACTCTTGGACCCCTCCAAGACGGTATTGGCACACCATGAACCAGGCCCTACGGATCGACTCCCCGTCGATCGAGAACCAAGACGCAGCTGAGGGCTGGCAAGAGTCGCGAGAGGCCCTGGCGCCGGCTGCAGCAGGTGGAGAGCATCGGCAGAGTGACGGCCAGCAAGAGGTTCCTCTGAACAGCCAAGACAACTGGGTTAGCGCCGAGCCTCAGGGCTCCAGCTCCTTTCCGTTGACATCTGACGACGGTGTCCAGCATGCCACCTACTTCAACATTGATGATCTTGAACTGACGGCCTTTGAACAACTTCCATCTGACTACATGACGTTGGAGTCTCTAGGCTTTGACTTGTCGTTTAGTATTTAATACACTGGAGTCAATTACAAGTGTTACAGTAAAAGCAAAGCCCCTTGCAATAGAATAATAAGTGGTGCATCGCCCTGGGGTTGATGCTTTTACTAGCATTTCATTTTAGTGACATAACCGATGACCGCCCTATCTACAGTAATACTGTAACTAGAGAGCTCTAAAAAGATGCAGTACTACCGTTAATACACTAGGCCACCCTGTTTTCACGTCGTGGAAGACATAATACTCGCGTCGTTTTCAGCTGATACATATCTCATGACGTCACGACTCGTCGCTGGATTGTCCACGACGGCGGTTGACGTAGGCGGCGGGGCGCCTGAGACAGATTCCAGGTTGGACGAGGTTGAGATGTGCCTTGATAAATGATGAAATCCTGTTCAGGTGAGCTCTTTCTCTTGATCAATCTTCTTCTCGTTCCACCAACTAAACATGGACGTGCCAGCAAACGACGAATCCACGCGTCGGCCCTCGACAGCCGGCGCAGGGAGCGAACCAGAAATCATCGAATCGCACCAAGAAGAAGCCCCAACGACAAGCCATGCCCTTGCTGAGGAGAGCAAGAACTTTGAAGAAAAAGGCGCAAGCCAGATCGAACACGGCGACGTCGAAGTAAAGAACCTAGGCTGGAACGATGAAGTGCACCGTGTGCCGCAGCCCCTCGTCGGGGGTCTCAAGAACGACGACCTGTGGACTCTGATTAGGAGGTTTGACAAGCAGGTTTTTTATGTCAGGAGTATTGAGGAGCCACCGCTGGGAGAGTTGGATATGAACATTGCGGACGATGAAGAGTTTTCGCCGGAAAAGTTGAGGGCGCAGATTGAGAGACTGTACATGTCTGTTTTTGTGCAGCTGTTTTCTTTCTGGAAGCATATTGTCAGACTCCGATCTTGGAAGGAGTATCAGAGGACATCTGCTTTCTTGGCTGTGTACTCTCTGGCGTGGCTTCTCGATCTTCTCGGACCAACCATCATCATCTTTCTAATGACCCTCGTTGTCTCTACGCGAGCGAGAGATATCTGCTTTCCCGGAGCTCCTCCTTCTCTGATCGACCCCAAGACTGGAGGTGTTCAGACACCAGCGGCTGGTGTTCTTGCGTCGGATGATTCAGTTACTGGAGCACCAGAGAAGCACAAGGGCGAGGCGGTTGAGCAGGAGGCTCACAGTTTTGTCACGAGTTTGTCTACGGTATGTTCAGGTGTAAGAGTGACGCCATGCTCTACAAGGAGGCAACTGACTAATGCTCCCAGATTGTTGTGAGCACCGCTGCTGGAAAGCATCCTCAGGCGGATCCCGATGAGGATAGCGCCGCTCCGGATCCGACTCAGCTCACAGAGGATGTTACCGATGCGAAGCAAAAGACGGGAGGAAATCGAACAGGTGTTGAGCATAACAGGGCCAAGAAGCCAGTGTCCGACGCCGTGTGGGCCAAGGCTCGTCCAACGATGCATCTGATCGCCGACTTTGTCGATACCTGGGAGAGATTCGGAAACGCCCTCAGTCCAGCTGCGCCTTTCCACCGTCACAGACCCAAGATTATCCTCGTGGGAGCTCTCTTCCCTCTCCTCCTCGGAGCATGGTTCACGTCCCCGTACATGCTCATGAAGGGCACAGGATTCGCCGCTGGCTTCGGATTCTTTGGTGATCCCGTCATCACTCCGGCTTTGAACTTTGTCAACAGGACGTACCCTCGCTGGGAGAAATATGTTGAGCTGCGAAACACTATCCTTAGGGGGGTGCCGACGAATGCTCAGCTGGCCATTACTCTTTTGCGTATTGGAGAGAGGAACAAGGCTCCTCTGCCTCCGCCTCCGACTTCTGATGTTCCTCCCCCGTGTGAACCTCATGCGACCGCCGGTGAGGGTCTGGATCATTTAGGTGTGTATCTGCAACTTGCAATTGCTGAGCCAAGACTGACACCATCAGAAGGAGTCTCTCAGGGTGAAATCGCCGAGGCGGTGCAACCCGACCCGGAAATAATCCACGAAGACGAGCACGAAGAAGAAGAAGAAAAGACCAAGCACAAGAAGTCGCACAGAATCATGAACTTTATCCGCGGCACGACAAAGGGCGGCGTACAAACGGCCCTCGCAGCCGACAAGGCAAAGGCCAAGATCGGAGCCCGGCACGCCAAGAACCGCCTCGGCGTCGTCAAGGGTCAAGAGCAGCCGAACCCGGCTACGGGGCCGATCCGGTTCCCGGCGCGGTACAAGGGTAAAAAGGGACATGCTTACATTACTGCTACGGCTACGACACCTGCTGTGAGCTGGACGTCGGATATTGGAGATGTGAAGCCCGCGTGGACGGTTACGATTGGGGAGATTGCGGAGCTCAAGAAGATGGGCGGCCTTGGGTGGAAGAGCAAGATTATTGTTGGGTGGGCTATGGGGAGTGAGATTGTGGATGGGTTGATGGTCAAGACCAAGGATGGCAGGGAGTTGCATCTCACCGCGGTTGTTATGAGGGATCAGTTGTTTAACCGGCTGATTTCCATAGGACAGCAGATGTGGGAGGCGTGGTGAGTCTTGTCAAGACTGTTTTTTTTATGGATGTTGCTGAGGCGGTTTAGCATGTAAATTGGTTGGCTCTGGTAGCGACGAGCATTTAGCAATGGATTCCCTGTGTTATGACTCAAATGAACTAGGCGTATCCTGGACTTTGACGATGATGAATTCTTGGTGTTTAGTAATTATTTCTTTTATGACTCAATTGATCCATCCTAATCACACGGCAAGGATTATCCCGAGATCTACACATGTGCCGAGAGTGGGTGTGAACATGTTTCGTGTGACGTCAGTAAAGAATCGACCATCTCCGGGGCAGCTGAGTAATTCGCAAGCTTACAAACACAATTCTTTTTGGTGTTGAGTACCATGATAATTCTTCTGTCGAGTAACAGCCTGTGCAGAGTCCGACCTCGGCTTGAGACATCCCAGGCTTCAATTACGCCCTTCGTACATCAAGAAGCAGCACGTTAGCCTCGAGAGTGGGGGAGAAAGTGGGATACGAGAAACAAGGCAATTGATATAACAACCACTACAGCCTTGACTTCGGCACACACTCGACACGGCATCCCGGCTTTCAACTCTGTAGATCACTCAAGAATGAGCTTCACCCCAGAGCCCTACGACCCCGTCACCGCGGCGACTTGGCTCGTCTGCGTGACGTGCGGCACGCAGTTCCCCACGGATGATCGCTCCAAGGTCAAGACGTGTCACATTTGCGACGATCCACGGCAATTTGTCCCGGCGTCTGGTCAATCCTTCTCAACTCTGGAGGAGCTGGGAAAGACTCACAGGAACGAATTCACGCCTTGCCCCGCAGACTCTAGACTCACATTCATCTCATCGACGCCAAAGCTCGCCATCGGACAGCGCGCTATTCTCATTCAAACGCCAGAAGGCAATATACTGTGGGACTGCATCTCCCTCCTCGACGAGGAGACCATCTCCAGGATCCAGGCCCTTGGGGGCTTGCGGGCGATTGTGATAAGCCACCCGCACTTTTACAGCACGCATGTTCAGTGGGCGAGGGCATTCGGGTGCCCCGTGTACCTGTCCGCCGAAGACGCCCGGTGGGCCACGATGGCGTCGGCGCACCAGATCCCGCTGGCCTCGACCGAGACGGAGGTTGTGAGCGGGGTGAAAGCCATCAAGCTCGGGGGACACTTCCCCGGATCCATGGTTTTGCTCTTTGACGGGCGGTTGCTCATCGCTGATACGCTCATGACCACAGCCTCGGGCGTTGGAGGCTGGGAGGTGGACGCCACTGGGACTTCACGGTCCAAGCCGCCGGGACTGAATTCGTTTTCGTTTCTGTACAGCATCCCCAATTTCATACCCCTCAACCTAGACGAAATGTCTCGCATGTGGGGGATCTTGAAAAAGTACGAGTTCCGAGCTACGTATGGGGGGTTCACGGGCATGGACATTGAGGATGAGGGTGTCAAGGGGAGGGTGCTTGAGAGCATGAAGATTCAGGCGCGACACATGGGATATGGGGAAAGTGAGTTTATGCAAACCAAGCTGTAACGAATATATGAAGGCTATGATGATCCATTCTGTCAGGGTATCGAACAAATGAAAATGATTTTGAACAGAAAAGACGACGAAAAAAAAACCTCCAATTACCAACTCCGGCTTTGTTTCAACTTGCGAGATGATGCCCTCTAAAATGTGCCTGTGCCCACCATGCTCAATGCGCCGTTAAAGCAATTCCAATGCACCCCAATTTTCCGATCCTATGAAACTCCCTTGACAGTCTGATTCATTCCTTCTTCCAAAACTTCCACTTTTGCTTTGTCGCGCAAGATGATGGGCATAGAAAGCGGTTGAGCATCTCGCGGCCTTCGTTGGGGAGGTCAATGACAGATTCATTGAGAGTATCGATGATGAAACGGTTCGCTACGGCAATCAGCATTAAATCACACTCCTCAATTGACGAGAAAACTCACGCATAAGATCAAGCCCTTCATCACCAGCATCAAGAGCCATGTCTATCCTCGTAGAGTTGTAGCAGCCGTACCGCAGCTGCAGCTCAAGCATGCACCTCCAAAGATCGCGCGTCTCATCGGCCGACATGCCCTCGCAGCTGCGTTCGGAGCATGTGCTCGCCTGACGAGCCCGATCCATCGTCGTGGGACGGTCTTCGCGGTGGTGGTGGTGGTGCTTGGGCATGGCGTCCTCGGGAGGGCTCCACATGGCGGGGAGGGAGAGACGACCAGGGCGATTCTCACGATACATTTTGGTGGTGTTTGTGTAAGTCGAGAGAGTTGATGTGAAGAGTATGGTGAGAGTAAAAGAGGTAAGAGTCGTAAAAGATTTGTGAGACAGCAGGGCTGTCGAGATTATATCGCAATCAAAATCAATTAATTGCCAGTAAATATAGCCGCGCAATCGGCACTTGAAACTCGTCGCTTTTCTTGCTTTTCCTTCAAAGGTCAAGGCGTTTGATGCGTTGTCTCTGTTGTGGTGGGTCGGATCGTCATTACACTGGCTCGCCCAATATGACAGGCAAGACCCTGTTAATTATGCGACCACAATAAGGAGTAAAGTAAAGCTACTGAAATAAAAAGAGACTGCGTCAAAGAAAGACGTCAGGTCCCTTTATATCTTGGGTGCCCAACGGCGAGTACCGAGATGGGTGTGAGGGGGCCTCCCCCCCCCTTGGTGGATAAGCGGGCTGAAAGGGCGGCAGACGCCACGGCTTGGACGGCCTGTCTTTTTTTGATGGATTGCTCGGATGTGCAGGGCGAGGGACCAGATCAGGGAACCTTGACGGCGCGTGTGGCGGGCTGGTTTTTGCTCTGGAGGAGGGCGGGCGTTGTCGTCACATGCAGGAGGGCGCAGAAAGGGGCTGTGAGACGGGACAGCAAGTGAATGGTTTGTAGTTTTGTATCTTGGGCAAACTGTCATGGGGTCCAAATGCACAACGGGACCAGGTTTCATCATTGTCTGGAGAAAAGACGTGTGGTTGTCAGTCCTGATCAGCAGCTCACTGCAACTACTGTAGCCAAGACGACCAAACCTCAAAAACAAGACAAAGCACAAAGCTTGGCCTGCGAATACCCGTGCGTGAATCCAGCTTGGCGGGATCTAAGCCCAGCTCTACAAGAAAAGGGTCACAAGACCATGAATTGGCAACGATAAGCTTTGGCGCCAGAGACAAAGATAACGGGGATCCGGCAATGATTGTATCATGACGATGAACCGAACGGCCGGCCTGAGTCAAAAGTAAGGTACTGTAGAATTATCATGATATCGTACATAAGCCCTGGATGCCCGCGGCTTCCGATATACCCGGTCATCAAAAGATTTTCTCTTGCAGACATCATGGACTTTGTTGACTCACACTCACACACACACTTTGTCGCTCAAAGGGCTGAAAGTCAGGGAGAGACCCGCTTCGCCGATGTGGGCTCCCGTTAGCGGACCGGGAGACCCTTGGATCCACATGACGGGACAAGATGACACTGAACAAAGACACTGATAGATAATGAAATGAGACACATTAATTACAGACAATGGAAAGGGAGGGCAAGCGGTCAATCATGCGGGGGATGTGCAAGTCTTGCATGTGGCTACCTGCAAGGCGGCATCAGATGCTTGATTGTCTGTCTGTACGAGGACAAGTCGTATGCCCTCGTCTTGTACCACCTCAGCTAGGAGGGGCTGTGAATTCCCAAGCTTGCCGAGAAACGAGAAAACAAAGGCGGACACACGGGCTTTTCCTTTGATTCCGGGGAATGTGGCTTACCATCCTGTGGCGTCACATCTTTCTGGCGTTTCCCACCCACCCATGTCCTCGGGTTCTCGACCGTCAGCCCTATCGATGTTTCCTAGCCAGTTGGCAAATCGTGTGTGTGTGTGTTATTTTTATTGCTGATGTGGACAATAATCAGGCCATAAGCACAGAAGAAAAAAGCTGGCGTTTTGTCGTCACCAATTCATCCATGCGGTCAGCTACACCGTATCTCTCTCTTCCGGCCAGCCTTGAAAGCCGTATTCCGGTCTTGCCGGACTGTGCCTCTCAAGTAAATGCCGGAGTCTAAGCGCCGGGTACGACGGCTTCGGCGGGTCGTGAAGCCCAGGAAAACAAAACCCTCATGCCGAGATTTTGTTTACTTTTGATTGCCCCTGTCACCTGTCAAATTTTTTTTTACTCCTTGCGTCGTGAAATCTGGTTTTTTACCCTGTACGGGATCCATTTGATGCCCGACCCGAGTCCGCTTCACCTCGGCATCATTTGAACGAGGTTTCGGCATTCTCATGCAAAAAAATTAGTAACACGGTTGGAAAAATAAGCATTTGTTTGATGTATTACCCCTGCAGGGATTGACCTTGGGTCTCACCCGGGAGGTTGGGCAGGATGCAAAAGCTTATATCCTCGAACGGACCCTCTGGAAAGCTGGCGAAATTACGTATAAGGCATTGAGAGGCATTGATCGTGAAACTTCTGCGCGGCGGAATTGTAATTGGTCGCTTTGTTTTTGAGGCTCTTTGGGCTCCTGCGTTGACAGGCCCAACCGTTTTGTTATACCATTCGATGACCAAACGCATGGCTCATCTCGTTCACAAGAGCAAAGAAACAGACAGTGCTATTACTGCGCCTCGAAGCAAAAGCTTCAGGAAGAGAGATTTACAGCTAAAATCTCCTACGGTGGCACTCCGGATCGAGTCTACCAAGCTCCCTTGAGCCCATGGCCTTTGCCCTCTTGCTGGCTTCCGTCCTCCACTTAGAGGGCTATGACTCGGAGTGACTCTGACAACACATGAATTTGCTGGTCAACGGTCCTTCTTCGTGGGCCCACCGTTTCTTGAGGGGGGTTAAAATTGCAGTGAAAAACGAAACAACGCAGACAATGCCTTCATGATTGGCACTTGTGCATTTGCCGGTTTTAGTGCCTGGTTTTGGGGCCTGGTTTGGATGCTGACGCAGCTCTTGGCTAAGTACCTCTGCCGTTCCTTGGGAGGGGTTTAAATTGCAGTGAAGGTTGTCGCGATGCGATGACCCCCCGCTCAGTTTACGCATATGCAGCCAAGGAATACACTGCCACAACCATGCTTGCCCGATCTTGATGGACGGTTTGGACATTTGTTGACACAACTTAGCATTGAATCCGGGACTGTTGGTTACCCAGGGAACATACCTTGCATCTAGAGAGCACGACTGGTCTGACTAATAAGCCATAGTGGGAATTACTTCACCGTTGAGTGTTTCCCTTGCGATAGGCTGGAGAGGTTCTGTGGTTTAATGTAAACGATCACCATGCTGCATGCAAGCCGTTGAGGGAGTAGGCAACTAGGCTAAAAAAGAAAAAGAAAAGGCCCTAGTCTTAAGGAATTGAATCATCCTCTTATTAAGGCAGTGGATTTTATGGAATATTTAGATAATTAGATAGTTTCTGTGTTCTAGCATCTCGTTCATTTCTTAACTCACAGCCAAAGCCTTATAAGGTGGCACCACCTCACGACAAGGCTATTCCCCCTGGCAATGCCGATGATTGTCTGTTTGCTTCCTACTAGGGTCTGGAATCTGCATGCTTATTGTCTTAGAGAACATGTTATACAAATATTTCCTAGGATTAAACTTGGAGTTAGCTTAGACTGTACACATATAAGCTCGCGACGAGTGGCCCGGCGTTGTCAATCTTACACGCGATTGACAAACCTAGGTACGACTATCTTCAATACGAGTATCAAAATAGACCCCGTGTGCGTGTTAAAATTGCAGTGAAAGATGGGGGCTTGTTTGCCTCGCCGCGGTCGCCTTGCGCTGCAGAGCCGAAGGCGAACCACCTTGACACCGGACCAGGCGTAGACACTGAGAGGGCGAGATGTCAATTCACGTTGCATTGCCGCTAGATCAGCTGATGTCATTGCGCATTTCAGGAAAGGCCGTGTGCCTGTTAAAATTGCAGTGGTGGATTCATAGGGCTGAGTGATGCGAGGCAGACATATGTAGATCTGAAGGCGAACCACAGCCGAGCATTGTACCCAGGCCTGCTGATTGATCGGAGAACACGCCTTGTGCCTGGAGAGCTCGACTCTGTTCCGGCTGGTAGACCGCAAATAAGAATCCCCTCAGCGTCGATTAGTTCTCTGGCAGTAGACAGAAGAGTTCTAAACGTTGGATCGAAACGAGGAAGACAAGAGGCAAAACTAGTATGACCACATTGAATCACCTTCTTCTCAAGAAAATAATTACAATACTGTTTTTGAGAGAAGCTACGTAAGTTTGGCGTCGTGGTGTCTGGTTAATTTCCTGGACTGTCTGGTAGCCTTGGCTGCACAACTGCAAGACCTTGGAACGTGACACTACTTCACGGCAATGCTGTTCTTTATGTAGGATCTGGCCTTTTATGACCTATTTGCCTTTCGAGGAAGTCCGGGCTCGATTTTGTCATGCTTTGGGGATAATGCTATATCGACTCTTCCTAGAATCGAGCCTGTAGTTGGCTTAGATATCACATATACAAGTGTGCAGGGAGTGCAAGTCCGTGGGCGGGTTAAATTTGCAGTGAAGAAACTCGACAGGCAACAAGGCGACCACCGTAACGTAGAAATATGCAGAACCGAAGGCGAACCATGCGTATGCAAGCAATGGCTGATAAACACAAAGATCCCCGTTGGGCTAACTCATCCCACTGTGCGGGCTAAAATTGCAGTGAAGCTTGTTTAAACTGCCGGACACCTGGTGTCTGAATTGCAATACTAAGCGATCATCTACTACTCTCCTGCCTCTTCGCGCCTGTTTGCTAGCGTTATTAATTTTTGGGCATAAAGACATCATGAAAGTAGTAGACAGAGTATCTGGAAGTCAAAGAATGAATATTGGCTTTGCCCGAATGGCAATGCTCGGGGTGCTGGCCCTATATGAACATCTATGGTTTGTTTGAGGTTGTCAAGTCGGCGGTCCTGCTTGGGCCATAGGCCGGGGTCGCGTATTTGTTACTGGGTCGCGTCTCAGTTCAGGTATTTCAGATTAAACACTACGGAATATGAACATACCAAGACGATGCAACACTGTAGATATGGGAGGTTAACTCGAGCCATTGTTCGCCCTGTCTTGATTGCTGTGGTGTCAAGCTGATCACCCTACCAACCCATGCGAGTGTGACACAGACGGTCTCTACTGGGAAACCCTTGTAAGATGACCGTAGAAGCAACTTGGAAAGTTGACGGTCTTGATGAATGCAAGTCAATATTGGCCGAGTCATGTGGGTTATCCTGGCTGGGCAGTGTTTCTTGTCTGTTGCAGCTCCAAGGATTTGTATCTACCACTGAGGGGGTTGACTTGATAGAAACAGCTCGAAAAGATGACTCCCAGATATGCAATATGCGATCAAACAACCTGGAGCTGTACCTGAGCCAAAGGTACTGATGGGCAGTGAGCGGGACATTTGGGAACGGGGGAGCATGTAGACCAAAGCAGGCAGGGCAAGAAGTTTAATTTGGACCACGGACATCTAAAGAAGTTGACAAGATATATGTTGGAGCCCTTGGAAATTATGAGAAAGAGTGACACAACTGAGGGTCCAGTTCCCATGGTGAAGTCTCGAGATCAACGCCGGAGGCGGGGGGACGTGGAGGACAGACCACGGTGAAAAGATCTGGGGTTAATGGAACCCCTGCAAATCCGCACTAAATCTACCCTTGGCTCTGGTTTATATCTCCTTGCTTACGCGAGGGCTACCAGGGCGTATTAACCTCTACTATTAAAGCACTATCTAAGCCTCTATTAAATTTATATAATAATTTATTAATCTTTTATCTATATTTTAGTGAGCCTAAGAAGAATCTAATCATAATTAGTCTAGATCCTAGCTCGGTACGCGATGGCAGTCCCCGCGCAAGCAAGGAGATATTGAAATGGCCTATGGTCTGGGAAAAGACAGAACAAGTGCCGGCCCGTCGGAGGCCTGGGTGCTAAGTCTCAGCCGTCAGGGTCTCAAGTTAACTGAAGTCTGACACCTTGAGACACTTCTGTCAGTCTCATAGCATGAGACATGGCCCATTCTAATAACTAGTGAAGCTCTCAAACTATAGATAGCGGGAGTCTTAGTTTGACTATAGGCTAATCTTCTTCAACTGCCGGTTACAAGGTCCCCTGGCCGCTCGTGTTCCGGAACCACAACTGAAACCATGGACACTTCCTTGTACCTCGATAGGCTGATGAACATAGGCCAAGTCAATGTTCAGCCTAAAATTGCAGTCCTGGTAATGTCTCAATCAAAGGTAGTTCCACCGGCAACTCGGGAACAACTACATGACACCCTCTTCAACACTCCCGCATAAACCTGCCGTCCAGCAGCCTCACTCACTTGTACGTAAACCCGACTCCCGAGTTGCCCAATTTACGCCCGACGCCCCGGAATCTACAACAATAACCGAAGAAATGATGCAAATCATGATACCCGACCTTGAAATGGCATCACAAAACCTCAACCCACAACATGGCAACACCCACCACCCCGCGTCTCACCATGCGTGACCTGATCGGCAACCCCCACGCGCTTCTTGACTCGTACCCATGCCCTGCCTGATGACCCTACGCACGTCAATCAAAAAATCCCAGATCTTACGGTCCGGCGCGGCTCCGAGGTGAGTTGTTGCCCGAGACATAAGGGACGGGAGAGCAACATGGGAAATCACGCTCTTTTTCTTCTAAAGTGGCGAAGACTTCAGAAGTCGATTATCTGCACAATCGTATTGTGCGTATTCCCTCCCACCCTCTTCTACTTAATAAGCCTTGTATGCTTATGCAACCTCTTTCCCCCAAATGATCGACCGCTAAGCTCGGTTTGTCAAGATCAAGCGCTGTCCAGCCTTACTTGAACCGCAGCATGAATCACGACGTCATCCATCATGGCAGTGAAAGAAACAAGAGGATCGCGTTTCAATGGGCCCTGACCTGCAAGCACTGTCCCTGAGTTCGCCCAGTCCATGGAGAGCTGGTCCTCGCTCTACACGTGGTAGTGGCATGATTGCTTGCTCTTGACAAGGGGAGGGGGGGCGTGTTGGATGACCTCATGGGTGGATCATCTGCCACTGTCGGCGTGATGCGCAACAGCTCTCAAGAGAAGCTGTAACGTTGTAAAGAGTGAGACGTAGAGCTTACTCTGGGTGAGCTCTGGATACGGTAGCTGTGTTTTGTTTAGGCTGCGATGAACGCGTCGATCACCTCGCTTTCGCTTCGTGGCGTATCTCATCGTAATCAAACTGTGGCGTAAAGCAGACGCGGTCGACGTCAACATCTCAGATCAAATACATCACATACAAGGCGCAGCAAGAGGCGAAAAAGTCATTGTGTGGTTAACTTATGGTATTTCTGCCATTCAGTAAGAGCTACCTCTTGCGGGATCAGAGTCGCCGCCCATCTCATAATCCAGGATCCGATTCCCTTTGCCCCCCTTCGCACCGAGATCACAGAAGCAGGACAGTGAAAGTCACGCCCGCGTGCGTCGTGGTAATAAATAATTTCCAACCGTGTGGGGTATCCCAAATGCAAAATAAAACAATAAAACAACGCCTGAAGGATGTTGCGAGACCCCCTTCTGTGCTTTCCCGCCTTGCACAGATGATGAAATGGGGGTTCGGCAGAGAAATGCGTGTTTCTCCATAAGTCTAAATGCGCTTTCCGTGAGAGTTCCGAATGCTAATGCTGATGCTGATGTAGACCGAGCAAAAGAGAAGAGGTAGGTTGGGTTTGAGGGAAGTTGTACATGTGTGTTCCCAGGTGGAAGAGGTTGGAGGTGTATCGGGTTGGGTGGATATCTGAGTCTGAGTGTCTATAGTCGTTTCGTTGTGATGGCGAGGTCTGTGAGGTAGGATGCAAGAGGTAGATGGTAGATGGAGATGCCTTGTCTGTTTGACAGGCTGATCCGTGGAGAAAGCATGGGATTGCTAGTGGCGGTAGATGTCGAGGTCGTTGGACGCGTCTAAAGGGGTATCATAATGTCGAGATGTCCGCCATCAAGCTCCCTCTTCCTCCTGATCTTGACTCGAGTCGATTACTTCTTGTGCGACTTGGAAGATCGCGAGTAATTCCTCCTCACGCGCTCGCGTCCGCGGCGCTCCTCCTCGTCGCTGCCGCTGCTGAGACGGCGACGTTCCTCCTCATACCAGGTACTCAAGGCCTTTCCGCCAAAGGTAAGATCCTCATCCTCGATGATGGTGGGCTGGACCCAAGTGTAGGCTGAAGCGTCGACTTCGCGGGCTGAGGGGTCGAGGGCCTGGAGATTGGGAACGAGGTAGTAGCAAGTTGTCTCGGTTGAAGAAGCCATGGTGACGGTTGTTGTGTGTGTGAAGAGTTGATCGCAAGAGTTTGTAATTGTGAATTGCGACCTGCGCTGGGCTGGTATGTGTATAGAGTTATATAAAAAGTTGTTTGTTTGCGCGTGGTTGTTTGTTGTTGTGGTTGATGTCTTTGTTTGGGTCGTTTGGAATGGACACGACGGTATAAACAAAGGGAGATGTACCTTCTCGGTGTGTGGCGAGTAAGTAGTTGGTGGATGCGTCAAGCACTGATCAAAAGGAGCTCCAGCTCGTGAATAAGAAAAACAGGCAAGAAACGCTGAATAGATGTGACCAAGATTTGAGGGTCTGTAGATTTGTAGATGATATGATGGGAGAGGAAGGGAAGATAGAAAAGCTGGGGAAGGGGATTTCGGGGGGATGGGACATGGAAATATGAAGCCCTGGAGGTCTCCACTCAAAATGGATGGGACTGGAGCCTCAGGTCGGTCGCTGGAAGTGGAGGGTGGCGGGTTTTTACAGGGGGCGCCTCTAGGGGAGGGGGCGTGATTCACTCAAAAGGGGCGTGGGGTGCTGAGCCGCACTGTGCCTCGTCGCTGGGAGAGCTGGGCCTCATCCACTGTGGCGACCTCCGCTCCCGCTGCCCAACAAGGCAGCCCGTCCCGGGGCGGCCCAGCGGGCAGACAGCACAGTGTGAGATTCAACCCGGCGTGGCCATAGCGGGAGAGCTGCTCGGCTGTCTCGTCCCATGTGGTTTGAAACTGGAGTGAGGGCCAAAAAAAGATGGGCAAGGCTTTTGCTTTGCTTTGTTTGACACGAACAAGGCACAGGAAAAAAGCCTTTTCGGATCAATCCAGCCTTTTTTTCTGCGGGGAGGGAATACCTAGATACTTCCTAGTCAAATGCCATCTTATCTTTGTCTTTCGGGGCGACCGATGGCTGACATGTCGTGAGAGAGTCAGATTCCCGGGTCCGACCTAGCATCGGGATGTCACGAAAGATGGCATCTTTTGAGGGAATTTCTTCGAGTCCATCTGTTGTTGTTGAGTATCATCCTCGCACACACACCAAGCGGAAAGATGAGGGTTCGCCGTTGGGGTGTTGAACCCGCCCTGTTGGAGTCGTCCGAGTCGAGATGGATGGACGGCCTGAGATTTGACTGGATGGCTACGGTTAACTTTTGGGGGGATGCCGAGTTTTTTCTTTCTTCCTTCTTTGCTTTTTGGCGGATCTTTGCTTGACAAAGTAACTACATCTCACGTATTCGGTCAGATTTTTTTTCTCATTCTTTATTTTGATGCTTGAAAAAGAATGTTGGACGGTCGCTGGTGATACGAGCGCTACAACTCGGCGTCGTATCTCACCCGCATTCGATAGAACCCTCATGGTAAGACAAACCGACACTTGGTCGATCCCACCTTGGCGTTCGTCCACGTCAAGCATTTTGCACATTTTTCAAGGGGAATCTTTTTGCGTGTCTTCAATTCGCACATCAATCAAGCTCTGATGATGTGTTCTGACAGGTCTGGGTCGACGGGGTGCGGCCATGTGGAGCCAGCAAACAAAGTCCAGACGCCTCGGTGAACTGATCCGATCCATCGCGATACGACCAAAAAAAGTGAGGCTGGGGCTCTTTCGCTACGCTACCGTGGTTATCGTGGGAGAAAAAAAGGGGAGAAAGCTCGGGCCTCATTCGGAGCGAACCCGGCCGAAGAGAAATGAGTCGATGGTACGATGTGAGACCTTTTGTCTATCTGTCTAGCTGAAGGACCATCTGATTGTCCTATCTTGTTGATGCTATCGCAGACACTGATGAGGACATTTAAAAAAGACACACTGTGTCTGAAGCATCGTGGCATCCGTCGCTAGGGTCGTGATACACTGCCCGGGGCTATTGAATGGCTATGCAGCAGCTGCCTGGGCTCAGCCAGCCCTGTCAGACAAGACCATCTCCTCTCTTGGCCTGTCAGATCAGAGAAGTGTGGGAATAAAAAAAAGTGTATAAAAAATGCTGGCCTCAGCCTAACCAGGCAGCTCGCATGGCTCTCTCCTCCGTGATCTCCATCCAGACGAGCAGACATGGGCTTCTTGCAGGACGAGGCCCAGCAAATCTCGGGATCCGCCGCCACTTTTGGCACCCAGCCAACCAACCCCTACGCGACGCGGCATCTTCGCCATGGGGCCTGATTGCGGGGGAAGCAGGCATTTACTTAACAGGGGGCCCACGAGAGGGGAGTGTGGATATTCATCGTCTCCATCAGCGCAAATAAACCATGCATATGATATGTTGTCTTCTTTTTCAACCGAGAAAGAGGGGAAGCACAAAAAAGAGGTGACGACGACGACGACAATAATGGGGAGCTGCTGACTTGCTCCCGGACTGCTGACGATGGTCGCCGTCAACCTTACAGGGCTGGCAGACCGACCTAGAACGTACAGCTGACGGTGCCCTCTGGAATGGGAGATGGGCACCCCGTGCGCCGCTGCCTCGCAGAGCTCTAGACCCTCTGACACGAAAGCTGTGAGGCACGCGAGCTGGACTGTATAATTGTACTCTTCTTATCAAGGACAGGCTGGACAGCAGACTGAGGCTGAGTTGTTCCCCCCCCTTCCCTGTCAGATCACCTGCATCCGTGCGAAAAGGCAATCTAGCAAGGCATTGACTGAGACAAGCCTAGTATCCAAATCTACCCCATGATTTGAAAAAGAGGAGACCATGTGCCGCAATCTTGAATTGGTCGTCGGCGAACAAGAACCTGGGGTTTGTCCCCGTCGTCACATGTTTTGAGTCCTTGTGTGTGAATTTGGGGGTAAAGAAAGCGGGGAGTGGGGGGGAGGGATGGTTGGAAGTTATGCGCCACGAGGACAAGGACCATGGGCAATTGATCTCGGAGGGGGATAGGGCGGTAATGGGGGATAAATGATGAGGCAAGTGTTGAATCACTGTCTCTGCTTTGTGTTTGAATCACCGCAAGCTTGGTTTTGCAATAATGATGCTCTGAATGGCATCTCTCTGCGCGTCACAGCCCAGATCGTTTGCGTGTGCCGAGGATGCACAGAAATCCGGGGTCGAGCCTCCGTGTGATACCCTGAAACTGCCCAGCCTACCTCCGCCTTGCAGGCAGGGCTCATGAGTAAAGATCCTTGTCTCCTACGAATCCCGGAGCCGCCATTCTCCATCACTTTGGTCCCGGGGTCCCGGGCTCCAGGTGTGTGTGATTCAGCTCCCCCTCCTTGTCGAACAGCCTCGACCGGCGGCCGTTGAGAGTCTATCGGAAAACCGTAGAGTCTATTGAAACCCAGCCGCACATTGAATACGGCTGAGAAAATCCTATTGAAAGAGCCTTTTTTGGCGCTGAGACAAGGCGCAAGCCCAGGGGAAAGAGACACTTTTCGCAAGCTCCGGCTTGTCCCAGCTTTCTTGCTTGTCAAAGTTTTTCATCCCCTTGCCCTTGACTCGTCCGCATTGTCAAAGATTTTTTTGAGTCCACCGCCACTGAGCAAGCTCCGAGTCATGGGGTTCACATTAATCGTACAGTGTGCAAACCTCACCCCTTCTGAGAGTCAAGCCAGAAGCCGTCAAGATTGCCGACCAGAACAAACTTGACACCGCCGGTGGCGCCTCGCTCTCTCACCGACTTCTCCGGGTCGGGGAATTTCTATGTGTCTGTTTGACTCGAACCGTCTTTCTCCTAGCTCGCAATCGTTGATAGCTAGCTTGCGATATCAGTCAATTTCGATGACTCTATCGTCAAGAACCCCCTCCCCGGTGCCAAGGCCGTTCACCCCGCTCCGGCCTCGGCCCGGCCATATGGGCTTCCGTATCCGGCGTCCCGCCCGGGCAAGTCTCGGCATGAGATCAATCGCCCCTCTTACACAGTATAAACATTTTCTGGGGAACAAGAAAAATATCCCCTTCGACCCGGGATGCAGAAGAGTTAGCCGAGCCGACGACGCACGTTTCTTCTTCTTTTCAAAGACGAAGTGCTGGGATCTACAACCCGGAACAATACAACGCTGATCAATGCATGTGAGAAAAAAAAAAACCTCGCCTTGCGATGATTCCAAGGTTGTTTTTGCCCCCAACGACGTCACTTGAACATAATTCCCCAGCATTGACAAGAAATCTGTGTTCCGAAGAGACCGAGGTTCCACCTTGGCCTTCTGGGCAATTGAGTAAAAAGAAAATGGCGGGGTGTGAAAGATTGTGTTTCGCGATAAGAAAAATACCGGTTTTCGGAGCCGGGCAAGGCTTGAAGAGATCGGACCCCCCTTGGCAATGATGTCACCATTTTTTCACTTTTGACAGCTGCGTCCATCTCCCGCTTCCGAACACGACAAAATCTTGGATACCGAGATCCTGGGAAAGGGGCAAAACAAGATGGACCATCCTTTTTTACTGTGCGGTCAAGGGGCGTGTACATTCGGTCGGGCTGTAAAGGGCCCCATGACCCGGACCGACGCCCAACGTTTCGAAGACCTAATGTTGACGCCATTGATAGATAGCGGAACCGTTCACACGACGTAATTCTAGGATCCGGCTCTAAACTTGTTTTGAAACGAACGGGTAACCTGCAAGTCATTTGCGGTAGGAACGGTTCGTTTATCTACTAAGCTGAATAAGCGCGTCGGGGGTGATCACTCGGTCGTTTCGAATGGGGTAATGTCGTTGTCGCAGTAGGCTTCTTGCATGACAGGTCGAGTTACACTCGCATGTGGACCTATAAGACTTGTTGTATTCATATCTTTGGTCTCCAACATGCCGGTTTGCTTCAACCCCAGGTTTGTGTTGGTGGTTTCCCCTCAGCCCCAGATAGAGCTACCTTCTCGGTCGGGATCTGATTGGAGTTGGCATCTAACTCAGCAGGGCCCCTGTTGATCACGGGCTGTACAGTTGCAACCTCTTGGTTAGACACTGGTTTCGGCGAACGTTTGTCCAATAGACACAAAAGGCCTCGGCAGCGCCCGGAGCCTCCCCCTGATGCTTCTGGATGGGCCGGTCCTTCTTCTACCGATGCGAATCCCTAAGCAGAGGGCAGCGATGATGAGCCCACAGCCACCTACAGAGCCCACGACAGCTCCGACTATAATGTTGATGTTCGGCCCTCCGTCATCCTCGGCCCTTTCCTCACTATCTGTCGTCTTCGTGGTCGGAGTAGGCGTAATGATGGGGTCGGTGACTAGATTATCTTGAGCAACTGGGGGCATCTAAGGAGCTGACTTTTCTCACATACTTTTGGTAGATTCTCTGGCTCATTTCGATACAGCCTGCTCACCGATGTCGGAATATTCTTGGGCATACAATCGATTACCCCCTCGTTGATCCACAATCCGGCCATGAGTCTATAACCTTTATGCTGCCGCAGGGAATCGGGTAAGGGTAAGGATCTTGACTTTTTCGATAGCAAGAGAGGAATTCCGTAGTCCTAGATTCGCCAGGAGATGATGTGTATGTTTCCACGGTGTCTCCTTTGTCTCCACAGTGGACTGTTATTACTATTGTGAGTTCTTAGCATGATGATGTCGCCAGAGGAGAGGAAGTGCCTGGGTTTACTTGGATGCCCCTTTTCGACAACATAACCAATAACATCTGGTGGCTGAGTAGTCTGGGACGACGTTCTGTGTAGAACACGACTTTGTCACTGACAAGGCCATCGTGGCGTCACCTCAAATGCCCTAAGGCCAAGTGCAGGAATAGTCGACTGTATACAAACAAGAACAAAGAGAAAATGAAACCGGGAGAGAGCCTGATCTTGTAGAGTCGAGCCCAAAGAAACCAGGCTCGAAATTCAGTCGGTGGCGCCTCAAGCCAAGCATGCCACCACACTCTCCTCGCTTTTAACAGACTTACCGTGGGGGTCTATTGTCAGAGATTGGCTGGCTGCCTTTGAATATGCAAAACATGCCGTCTTATGGCAGCCACTGAAGAAGCTTGAATTTCAAGCTGAAACCGGGGTAGATGCAGGTCCTGTACCACAGAAGCCACCAGGACGCCGGGGAAGGGCCGGATCAAGATACCTTCTATATATGTATACTAAATATATTATTGATGAGAATATCTATGAGAGTTGAATCTGATCATTGCATGACCCCTAACTCAAGTTTCACCCTGATGGCCAGAGATCCACTAACTAATATGGTGCTTAGAGAATGCTCTATTTAAGCCAGACCCCATTCATAGTCTGTGTACTAGAGCTGACAAAACCACTTGGCATTATACCATCCTCAGAGACCATTAAAACCTTCTCTATTCAAATTGTAAACGCCATTCAATGATATACAAACGACTTGCCAAATGCGGTCTCCTTAGTAATAACGCGTGATCACCTGATGAACCCCGCATCCAAACCCATCCCGCAAAACCAGGAGCAGCGCGAACACAAACTGCCGACGAATAACGGGCAACAAGAAAAAAACCACATGAGAAATCCAGGGCCCACGAGAATAACGTCATAGGCCGCAGCATGGGGGCCATGGAGACCACCAAGCTGCCTAGCCTCGCTCCGAAGCCGGGAGGCGCACCCGGTCCCGACCTGGCCGCCGCAAGGAGGGCCTCGCGCGTCGCCGTCGCCTCGTCCCGCAAGACGTCGACGACTAATCATGCGTGCGTGCAGTGTCGGAGGACAAAGACAAAGTGCGACGGGAGACATCCCTGCGCCAGGTGTCAGTTCAACGGGCACACGTGCGCATACGACACGCGCACCTTGTCTGGCGACAGGCTGAACAAGCTCACGCATGCGTTCAACCAGCAAAAGGATAGGCTTCAGCAGCTCGAGACCATCCTGGCGTCCATGAGGACCGGGACTGATGCGGAGGCGGCAGAGGTCATGGCCTGGATCAGGATAGGGGAGCCTGTTGAGTCGATCGTTTCCTATCTTGAGTCGAGGTCCAAGTCGGTCGTCATCTCTGAAAGGTCAGTTGCGTTTTGTTTTGTGAGCATGGGTGTTTTTTGGTACAGACGAAATAGACTACGTTGGACTCATGGTTCATTATTGCTTTGATGTCATCTGCTTGGCAACTCTTTCGCAGTGTACCGCCCATGCTTTCATGTTGACTTCTCTGTTCCTTGTTCAGCAACTCAGCCCTTGGAAGATCCCCTAATCTGTGATAGGCTCCTCGGTTCAAGCGGCGAAGCACAGAACAAGTTTATCGAGACGCTCTTTGACAGGACGGAATGGGTCCAAGGCGTGACCATCCCGATAGAGGCTGCGCCCATCGACCTCAAAGCCCGTACCCAGTGCTACTTTTCATCCAATTTCGGAAACCTCCCCTTTTCCAGCGGCATCAAGGCAAACCACTACCCCCCTGCAGCTCAGAGGAGTCAGCTTCAGAACTACTATGCCAAACACAATTGGGAAATGATGACGGCCAACGACGGGCATGGCATGGCATCGGTGACAAAGGCGTGGGCTGACACCATGAACAAGGCCCGACAGCTCATCGCCTCGGGGGTTAAGCCTGACGAGCTCACTGGGGCTTTCCCGACGGTGACGGCATTGTTTGACAAGAGGGAGTACGACACTGCGCCGATGATCAGCAAGTGGGCGGTGCAGTTCATATATAGTTCTCAGCATGACGACTATTCGTTTACTTCTATGGCTTCTGTATGGATTGTATGGGTCATCATGAGGTGGATGATCAATCCGACACCAGATACATACTCGGTGAGTGTGATTCCTAGTCCACTATCTAACTGGAGACGCCTGTCCAGTCGCGTGACTGTTGGATATTTGTTCAAATACGAGGAACTGGGCTAACAACACACAGGCAATGCCAGATTGGATCCGGCCGACTGAGCTCCAGGTGTTTGTTCCACACATCGACATGGTCGACTGCATCATTTGGCCCTACTTCCGAGACTACGTGATCCAACGCCCTGAGATGCAACATGGTGGCCTACAGTGGCTCGCCGCCTGCACAGCAGGAGTCAAAGTGTCCTGGACGGGGACAGTAGAGGACGCGTTATGCATCGATGAGGCTACGGGGAAGAGGAAGCTGAATGCAGAAGCCGAGGTTTGTTCCCTTGAGTTTCTGACGAGAACCAAGACTAACCAAGAGCAGGCAACACTACGAGATCTGAATAATTGGTCCCTCGCAGCGTCATATCGCGCATTCATGCCGGGGATCGACGGAAACATACCCATACGGACGATGGAGGACTCTGTGCAGGATACCCGGGAGTTATAGAGACTGAGCATGTAGAACCGACGACGTAATTATGTACTAGCGGCTTTGATTTGAGAGGAAATACCCAGGTCAGAATAGCCTCGCGGAGAGGCAAGCCACGCGGCTTCATGTCAATAGACAGGTGTTTGAAACTGAGTATAATGTATTTTGTGGGTAGAAGAGTCTTTGCGATGGGCTTTTGGACATAGAGGGGATATTAGCGACATGCTGAATGCCCTCATCTTGTGCACACTGCGCAGATACTCTATGTCTCCGCAAACCATATAATGTGAGACTTGCATTAGTCAAAACGAGGTCAGGGAGCTGCATTGTTCCAAGGGCAGAGCGACCTGCAGCTATTCAGGGTCAAGGCCGTCCTGGTCTGTCCCTGGGTCGATTTCTCGCGACGCCTCCAATAGGGCCACTGTCTGTGACGCTTGACCAGCGGATTGGCGCTGGCTACGAGACGGCAAGAAGACGCGTTGTGACTAAAAGAGGGAACACAAGGGTTGAAGTCATGTCACGCTTTGTAGACTCAATGATGGATGTTTGTTGAACTCATAGCAAAACGGCGTGGATGGTTTGCTGAGAAGAATAGCTGTTGGGGGAAGGAGTTTTGCGTTGATACTGATGAATAGACAGGTAGAAAGGTGTTGTGCGAGCCGAGGTGCCTTCCCATCTGATCCTTCAATTGTTTCCTGAGGGAGGTACCTGTTGAGCGATCGGGAAGCATGAGCCAGAGATCTTCAAACACTGACGAATTGTAAACGTTCGCTGAGAACAATGCTCATTCTGTTCGTTTGTTGTTGACTGTGACTCCCCTCCTCATAACTATATTATGAGCTCTGATCTCGCCTTTCCACCCTCTTCTCTCCTTCTTCTCCATTCTCCGCAAACCCTCCCACTTTGATCATCACCAAACCTTACCATCTCCACCATGCCTTCCGACTGGGACCGAGTCCCCTCTGACGCCGGCTTCGATAGCTGGAACGACCTGAAACTTGCCGCCGACGATCGCGCCGAAGAGATCACCGCCGAGCTGGAGGCCAAGAGAGCGCAAAGAGATGCCATATTTGCGGCCAAGATGGAGAAAAACGAGTTGGAATGGGCCCAGACGCTTAGAAGGAGACTGGCCATAAAACCTACTGAACCGGAAAAGAGCCAGACGATGGGGGGGATGCTGGTTATGAAGCAGTTGGTCAGTATTGTGTCTAATCATCTGTTGGAGGAGGATGAAGCTGACGATCGGACAAGCCGCAGATGAGGCCTCACGACGAACGAGCACCTCAAATTTTCGGAGCAGGAGGGCAAAGTGAAAGCCCGGCACGAAACGGACAAGAAGCTCAACAGGAGACGGTCAAGACACCCACGGATCAGGGCACGAAGCCAAACATGAAGCGCAAGCACGGTAAACAGCCCGTCAACGGACCCTAATGCGAATTCGTTTGACATGGAGCATTGCGGTTCTTGTAAGTATACACCACCGCACTGAGAAACTCGGCCAAGCAGTCACTAATCTGTGTATGAGCAAGGATCTTGAAGTTCACCTTACGCGACGCGGACGAACAACTGGTTCATCTTGACTAGCAGGCTGAACGGCTTCTGTTCTGGGTTGGATGAGAGGCCAAAGATTACTATGAGGTTCTAAGCAGGGATGATTAATGGGCATTTGGTAGCTAAATAGTTACTGAGCAAGTCTGATGCCATCAGCCTCGTGCTCGTTGTTGTTCCGTGGCCTGCGCCTTGTGTAACAGACGCAACACCGTTTTTTGTCTAACCGTGTGGATAAATGAGGGCAGTAGAAGCTCCGTTTGCAAAGCCTCGATGACTCAATGCAAGAACCCACAACATGTTCATTAACCACAGGATGTTGGCATAGCTTGGTCAGCTGCTAGTCACCATGTCACGTATCAAGAGCAATCAAGGGTTTTATGTGTCCTGGTGCATCTATTTTAACGAATAATATGGCAGCCTTCAATGTGTAACAGTCATTATCTTCGTAGTAGTCATCATCCAAAAGTCTTATTTTCGTCCATCCTCACTCAAAGTCTACGACATCCTCCAACACGCTCCTCTACACCATCTCTAAAGCATCGTCATCCTTGCCAGACTTCTCCAGGCGTTTCTTCAACTTTTTGAACTTGTTCGCCCGCCGCTCCTCTTCTCCGATCCGCAGTGGCGGAGCAATGATCCGTCGAGAATACCACCCTCCGGCCGTGAGTAAGGTCACGGGTATCGCAATGACCCAGTATATCCAGAATTTGTTTGAAACGCTCCATTCTCCTGTGTCATCGTCGATGTTGAAGAAGGACATGCTAAAGACAGCAGAGATGAACGTCGCGGGGAGGAAAGTCAGGGTTGCGAATGCGATTGTCTTCATGGCTGCGCTATCGGACTGAGTGGCCTGGCCGATCTGTACGGAAATGGCGGAGTCGTACTGCGCGACTAGGTTGAAGGAGAGTTGAATCTCGTTGATCAGCCTTTCTTTGTTGGAGAGGGCTCGAGATTTGAGACTTTCGAGGGTATGCTCGTACCAGAACAGGCGCTCGCGGACTTGTCGAAAGCTCCCATTCTTTGGCTTCCCGCCACGCCAAGTTTCCTCTTCGAGAGTCTTGTGCTGCTCGACTATGGACTTGACCGTCTTCAAAGATACGTCGAGTGTCTCGGAGACGTGGATGGCGTGTCTCGCGAGGTCGTGTAAGCTCCGGTAGTTGGGGTCCGGCTTGCTGCGCTGCTCCTTCTTTTCGACCTTGCGGATCTCGGTCCTCACTGTCCAGACGGCGTTGTTCTGTAGATCTGAGAGCTCTTCAAGAAGTCGGACGTGGACCCAGAAGGGGTCGTGGTGAGGTTCGGTGTGTGACCCGTCGAGCAGCCCTTTGGGGATGAGCTCGCTGAGCTTGGACTGCTTTTCGGATTCAAAAACCAGCAGAATGGTCTGGTAAGACGAAGCGATCCATCTGGTAAGTGTGTTAAACTTGTACCAGTAATGCCCGTCTTCATGTAACTGCTTGACGAGGTACCGTGACCATGCATCTGCTGGTGTCAGTGTGGATCATACAGAATGACTGGGTTGCTCACTGAGTGATGTAACAGTGCCTTCAGCGTCTCTAAATGTCTCGCAGCCAAAGTGACCGTTGGACTTTTTGGCGTAGTTTGACCACCATAGCTGTGGCATCTGGAATTGGGTGGTGAAACATCGGCGACATGAGGGGCACTCGCGGACCTTGTCTGCGTCGGCGAAGCTGGGAAGATGTCAGCTATTGTCGTGTGAGGCTTGAAATGGAATGACTGACATTACGACAACGTGTGAGTCAGATTGGAGGACAGGAAGAATGTTTGAGCCATGAAGTTGGGTTGGCGTGATTGTTTCATCCCGCCAGTCATTTTTGCCTGAGGCAAGATTAGCATCTTCTCAATCAACCAGCGACATCCATCATCAACTTACTCTTATCCCAAACCCGAGCCTTCAATGGCACACAATCGGGCGAATTATCAGTCATTTTTGGGTATCATGAAGAAAATGAATATTTAGAGGTTCAAGTTGCGAAAAAGGAGGAGAAAATGTTTCAATAGGCGCCCAGCCTGATCTGTCGGACCAGGGTGGTGCGCGGTCTGAGGCGAAGCACATCAGGCAGGCTCTGAGAAATCAGACATGATACGCGTGATAAAACGAGGCTGTAATTAATTGGACAATTGTTTATGCGGATTTGTACAACAAGAACGGGATTGCGGTGTGATTCTCATGCAGGCTGGAGGAAGATAGTGAAGAGAGGTGATACAATAGATGCCAAGCGGCCAGGTTAAGCATGGGTGCCATAGTATTCCGCACTTTGCTAGACTAGCCAATAGAGATCTCACCATAATTCTGACACTTTAACTATCTCCTAGCTCATGTACACTCTCAAACTGCTATCCATCTTTGCTCCAACAAAACAACCGTCCATCCATACTTCAAGCACAGATCACACAACAAGCCTCCGGCCCCAACGGAAGCTAGCATCGAAATCTGCCTCGGCTTCCTAAAAGAGGATCCCAGCATCGATAGCGCGCGCCACGAAACGGCCATGCTGCGCCCTCGTTGGTCGCGACCGGTCTGCGGCTGAGGGACCCCTGTTCCTATCTAAACTGAGGGGTTGAAGACGAGCTGTCTCGCTCTCGACCCCGTGGGCATTCTTTACCCCCTCCCTTTTAGTGCCGGAGCAGGGTCCTTGCTGGCAGGCAAGGTGGACGTTGGGCTGGGCTGGGTAATAAATAGCTAGGAATGGGATGCCAAGATGTCCGGGTTCTTGGATTTGCGACCCTTTTCGCTCGTCTTTGCTCTCATCCCGCGCGTGTAAGTAAATGGCTTCTCCACAGCCTACCCGTGCACTCAGCACGGCGCCGTCTCAGCGAGTTACTCGAAAGGCAGTTGGAGCATCTTCAATTCATTCTGCTTCTCCGCGTCCTGTTTCTTTGGCTTTGAGGCCTGCTTCTACGTGGAGTGCCCCGCCGATTCATCCCCAGCCAGGCCAACAACATCAATATCCTCATCAGCAGCCGAATCAATATCCTCAAGCTCAGCCAGGTCAATATGCGCATCCGCAGCAGTATCCTCAGCAGGGTCAGCCCGTAGCTCAGCCAAACTCGGCGGGTGGTGTTCATTATCCTCAGCAACAGCCGTCGCATCAGTACCAACAGCCTCAACAGCAGCATCAATCGCCAAGTCAGCAATACCAACAGCCAAGCCAGTATCAGCAGCCAAGCCAGCAGCATCACCAACCAAATCAACAACAGCCGTTGCCAAGCCAGCAACATCCACCACAGGCGCAGCAGCAACAGCCGCCTTATCAGCAGCCTCAACACCAGAGTCCGCATCAACAGCATACATACCCGAATCAGCAGCAATCGCAGCCTCAACAACAACCACAGCAGCAACAAGTATACCCGCAGCAACCCGAGCATCAGCAACAGCAACAGCCCCATCAACAAGTCCTGCCACATCAGCAAGCGCAGCAGCAGCCTCCGCAACCTCAACAGCCGAATTATCAACAGCAGCAGCAACCACATCAACAAGTCCCTCAGCCCCAGCAGCAACATGACTACCACCAACAGCTGTCGCAGCAGCAACATAAGCAACACCAACAGCAGCAGCAGCCGCAGCCGCAGCCTCATCAACCCTCAATCTCTAACCCCTCGGTGCTTCAGAACCCCCCGCCTCAACCAACACCCGAAAACCCACCACAACCACCACCAGCGAGCCCAGCTCTGCAGCGTCCCCAATCGATAAGCGATCATAATAGCATACACTCATTTACGGCCGAGCATGGAAGAGCCCAGAGTATCAGTAGCAGCAGCGCTGGTATTGCGACGCCTGCGACGACCATCACTACACCAAGTACATTGACGAGCCCGGTGTGGGAGCATGCCGCTGTTCCTCCCGTGACGCAGCCAGTGCCGAGTGCACAGGTATCAACTGGGCAGAATTCTTCGAATTCTTCGATATGCAACCATTGTCGCAAAGGTGAGTCAAGTTGAGCACAGCACAAGGAACAGGTGCTAACTACCGCAAGCTATCCCGCCAAACGTCTCCATCTACACCTGTCTCATCTGCAGCACCGCACACATCACTACAGTCTTTTGCGTCTGGTGCTTCACTGCAAATGCTGTTAATATGTCCCACGGCCACGACAAGACCTACTACGTAGCCGACTCTGATCCCCGCGTACAACTCTCCGTCCCAGACCCCACCTCCCACCTGTGGACGATTCGCAAGAATGTTTCAGGACGACTTTGGTATACGCATAAATCGACGGGCTTGAAGACGCATATCAAGCCTACGGCTGCTGCGCTATTGGGATATTCAGGTCTGCCGGTGGGCTGGGAGGAGAGAAGAACACCCGATGGGAGGACTTTCTACTTCAATCGCAAGATGGGTAGTAGCTCATGGACGAAGCCTGCTAATTCCTTGCCCGACGGATGGAAAGAGTTGAGGACTCCAGACCAGGTGCCGTTCTACATCAATGAGAACCTCGGACTCTCAACTTGGGATCGTCCAGGTCAACAACCAAGAAAACGACCAGGGCAGAGCAACAAAGTCATCACAAGATCAAGATCCGGACAACCCAACAACAACCAAAACGCCGGAGACGCCCTTCTCTCTGCTACCATCAACGCAGCTAGGCTCACAGGCCATGGTGTCGAAGTGGCAAGTCGACAGATGGGCAAACTCGGCAAGAAAAAGAACTGGAGGAAGATGGGCCGAATGATGACTCAAGCCAGCGGTTTATCCATGGACTCTGATGGCGAAGGTGGTGGTGGGAACAGCTCTGACGATGGAGGGTATGAGGATCAGGGACAGTATCAGGACAACTCTGGCTTTCAACAGGCTGCGTTTTCGGAGCAGCAGTCGTTTATGGATCCGAATCAAGCACAGGCTGGGTATCAGCAGCCTGTCTATGAGCAGCAGACGACGTACCAGTATTCTGCGCAACAGGAGCAGCCTGTGTTTGAGCAACCGGCGTACGACAACAGCGGGCAATTTGCATTTCCTGGCAATGAGCCTCAGCAAAGCTATGAGCAACAGCAGGAACCTCAGTACCAGTATGGCCAGAATGCGGCGTATGATCAAGAACAACAGCCAGTACCTCAGCAACCTATCGCCCCGCAGGAACAGCCACAGTACTACACACAAGAGGCCCAACAGCAGCTTGTTCAGCAGCCGGTTATGCCTCAAGAGCAGCCGCAGTACTACCCTCAAGAAGCTCAACCGCAGCCTGCACAACAACCAGTTCTTCCTCAGGAGCAGCCTCAATACTACACCCAGGAGGCTCAGCAGCAGCCTGTACAGCAACCTGTGCAACAGCAAGTGCCTCAGCAGCCAATTTATCAGCCAGCCCCTACCCAGCAACCTACTTCATTCGATCTCTTCACGCCCCCGGACCAGAACAGCGATCCTCCTCCACCCGTTCCCCAAGAGCCATGCATGCCTCCTCAACCTGTTGTCGCCAACCAGGTCCCAACGACTCAAGCACCAATGTATACCTTCCAGCAACCATTCTTCTACGACCCAGCCCCCACGACACAAGCCGAAGCTCCTGTGACATACCAGTCGCCCGTCTACTCACCGACGTACATACCTCCAGAGCAAAGCCAATTGCCGCACAACAACCAGCCCGAGATCATAACGAGCGACGATCCCCTGGTCGAGACCTACAACTCAGAGAGCACAACCATCTTTGTCGACAACACTTCATTCGTGACCGGACAGCAGAATGCTGTGAACGAACCCGTCGGCATTATACCTGATAGCCAGGGCGACATTGTAGTAGAGGTTACGATCCAGCAGCAGCCAGAGCCTCTAGGTGTTCCAAGTCAATCGAGTTTGGAGGTCATTTCAACTCCGGAGCCGTTGATTATACAGGAAAACAATCAAGCGCCGGACTCTGTTTCGGCAGCTCAGTCGACACAACTTCAAGGGGACATGGATGCATCTGCGGCATGCTTGGCCCTCATCTAGGGGATCAGGATCAGCCTTATACATGAGAGATTTGTATCTAGAGATATCACAAGTAGTAAATGATGAATGAAATCGAATTCGCTGTCTATACTCGGATGCCCATTATTCCCAGTCCCCAGTAAAAGCGCCTTCCCACATTGTACTCCTTTTACGAGTTTAGCCTTATATCTTCATGTTCCCATTCCTCAAGCATTTTATCAGTATCTTTCGTGTATCGATGGTCTGCTCCCAAAACTTTATGATGCAAGCGTGAACACTCTTGCATCAGTTCGACAGCCTCCTCTTTCTGCCCTTGACGTCTCTGTGAGTCGGCCAGGTTGAACATGATCGTTAGGGTATCTGGATGTTCGTTGCCAAGTGACTGGCGATACAGGACCAACAGGGCAGATTGCACTTTGACTGTTTCGTTATACTGCCCTTGGCCGTAATGTAGATTGCCGAGACGACTGAGGACTTTTAACGTGTCGGGGTGGCTCTGGCCGTATTTGTCCTGACGCAGCTTCAGTAGCCGAGGAAGGAGCTCACCAGCCTCATCATACTCCCGCAGGTCCAGGTAAGCGGCGGCCAATTCGTCCATACAGCTGAGGATGAAGTGATGATCCTCGTCTAAGAATTGTCGTGCGTCGTCCAATATTTCCGTGAGCAACTGCTTCGTCTGTTCGGCCCGGCCTTGTTTCGAGACAAGTTCCGCGACGAGACGTTTACATTCGAGCGTGAGTTTATCCTTGTCGCCCACTGTCTCTTGCGCCAGCGTCATTGCTTTGTTGGCGCAATCTTCAGCCCCTTGCAGTTGGTCCAGATAACTCAATTCCCACCCAAGGTCCAGCATGACACCAATCGACTTCCTATGCTTCTTCCCAAAGGCGGTTTGTGCTAGACGCAGCTCGGTTCCTCTTGCAAGCCGTAGCTCCTGAAATCGACCCCGCAAGTGGAGAAAGCTGCAAATCCGAACCTGAAGATAATACGCCTTCTTTTCCATTCCATGAATCTCAGCCCAGTCACATACTCGTAGTGCATGTGCCAGGTATCTCTCGCAATCGCCCTGCGTCTTATTATTGTGCCATGTGTATTGAGGATAGACACTATCCACAACGCGCAGCGCAACTTTGGCAAAGTATCTTTCATCTTGACCCGGGGATTGCTGCGTCTTGAGGCCGTATCGGGCAGCGTCCTGCACAAGCTTGTGCATCTCAAACGTCCGCCTGTTGCCTTCACCCCGGTGCTCTGTCATGAATGAGAAGTCTCTGAGTCGGCGCACAGCCCGTCCCAACTCATCAGGATCATCAGGATCCTCGCTCTTCACCTGTTCCCCCGGGCTAGGCGAACTGGATCTGAATGACAAGTCCTTGAGCCGGCGTACTACCCTCTTCAGCGTCCGCTCTCGTTGCCTCGGTTCTGCCGGTTGAGTTTCCTCCCTGTATTCGGCGGCTGCTGCCAGCAGTTCCACCGGAATGTTCTGGTTGTCGACAAACGCGAGGACGTGAAGAATCCTATACGCAGTCCGGCTGTCTTGTTTGAGGCGGCGAATGGATATGGCCCATGTCCTCAGCACGCTGTTCTGGGCATCGCCCCTTCTGTGTCTGTCAAATTCGTCCTCCCCAAGAACTCGCCATCGTCCAGTCTCTCGCTTCAACTGGAACAAGTACTCGGATATGGGTATACCTGTTCTGTACAGATACGCCCCCGCTTGTGAAATGGCCAACGGCAGCCATTGAAGCTCTTCAAGTAGGAGTTCTACTTCTCGAACCTCTTCGCTTGGTGTCACTTGACGTCTCCATTTCTCAAGTAACTTTCTTGACTCTTTAGCTGTCATCTTGGCGATTTGAAGACCTCGCTGCGGGCCTACAAGACTTCCATCAACTCTCTGGTCGCGACTTGTCCACAGTACCGTGCCGTTTGGCCCTTTCGGAATCGAGTCCAATAGACCCCCCTGTTGTTTGCCAGATGCCTGGCTTACACCAAAGAGGCCCAGATCATCGGCATTGTCCACGACAAGGACCCATCGTTTCTGTGATTCTATCCTACGTCGTACTGCCTCTAGGAGTTCGCTTCCCTCCAAGCGGCTCCCCAGTCCTAAAACACCGGCAATTGTTTTGTAGTCTTGCGTGAACGTCGCCTCGGTATCCGCGTGCACCCAAAAGACCGAGCAATCGGGGTCGCGACAGCGGTTATAGGCGTATTGCAGGGCGATCTGAGTTTTTCTATAAATAGCTTTAGTGATGCCTTCAGTAAAATACTTAGTGTCATCTCCCCTTACCCTGATCCGCCGAGACCCCAGAGTGCTGCACTGTGGAACTCGTCTGAGTTGATTGGCAATAGCCGGTCAAGTTTGGAGTTGATATCGGGACGGGGAATAAAGTTCTCGTTGCGATCGTAAGCGAGAATGCGACATGCATCCGAAGAGAGGGTCCTCAGGTTGGTACTTGAGACCGGTTTTGTGTTTCTAACTAAAGCGCGACTGTAGGACGCTGGCTCATTATTGTATAGATCATGATCTAGGCCATTGGGTTGCCTCGAATTGGAAGGCTTGTCGGTTCGCGGGTACCTCTCCACAAGCGCCTTTGCGACTGACGCGGCCGTGGCAGCTGCAAACTTCTGCCAGTTCTTGTTCTTGTGGCTGTCGGCGTAGTCACAGATACCTTTGACGATGATACAAGGGATCTCATCCCAGGCGCCTGCCCCCTCCATCTCGAAAGCAATCAGATCGTGCGCTTTCGCGATTCTATCGCGATCCGTTCCGGATTTTAGTACTGTGTCTCCTGATCCAAAGCGACCGATGAAGGCTCGAGGCACTCGAAGCCTCTCGCTGTCTTGGAGCCGTTGTCTGGGGACATGCTGTCGCACATCACATCCGAGCTCACTGCACGAGAGTTTGCGGCTAGCACTGCAAACAGCACGAGGGCTATCGTCGCACACCCTACAGCGCTCTGCGGAGCGATGTTTGTGGAGATAGGAGCTTGGATAGAGATGGTCATTTTCGGCTCCAGGATACCAGTAGTCTGCTGCTTCATCCCCGTTTCCTTGTTGGCTCCAGAGCTTCTCCAAGTGGGATCGTGCTTGTTGTTCGAGCCATCGAAGGCCTTGACTTGTCGCCAACCTTGCAACGAGGTTCTGGACATGTATCACCGGCCTTCCAAGGTTATCACTGAGAGTGTCTTTGGGTTCGAACTCGTTTGGGTATCGTCTCCCCAGGTCGTATTGGACGACAGTGTTGCTGACAACAACATCCCCAAGGACTAGTTCCTTACCCGATGCTGTCTTTGGGACGCCGCCGCAGATTCCCGTCACAAGGACGAGCTCCAGTTTCGGGTAGCTAGACCGAAGGCTGGCGGTTGCGCTCGCAGCCTTGGCTTTGCCCATGCCGGACAACAAGACAATAACAATATTGAATGGCCCTATCCGTCCGGTCGTGTACTCGTTGGGGTCGCCGGCTGCCCTCCCGTAGTTCCCGTCCCAGAACTCGTCGACAAGGTGGTAGACGGCATCGTACTCGAGCGCCAGAGCGCAGATGATGGCAATCTCAAAATCGTTTCGACTCGCTGGTGGGGCGGCCATGATCAACGCAGTGCGGATTGAGACACTTCAGCGATGGTAGACCTGTTCAAGTGAAGCATCAACGATGGATGACTGGGCGCCAATGCTGTTGTATTTGGGTTGCAAAAATGAGGCTGGCGGCAACCATCGAGCTGACCAAATCCCTCACGTGGACGGGTTCGCATCGCCTTCTTCCACAGCCTGATTTGTCTTGGCAGGCAGACAGAGTGTTCAGCTCTTTCCCCTGCCTGCATGTCGCGATACCAACCAACCATGGGTCTGTAAGCGAGCCTTACCAAAGAATATCCTAACAGATGAGGAACTGGATAAAGACGCACGCCTGGCCCCAATCACGGTGGAAAGAGTCAAAACATGGCAAATTAAAAGTAAAGAGCATATAGTTCAATTTAAGAACTTTTATGGCGACTGTAGTAAACGAGTATGCTTCCAACCCAACTAGGTCTTGTACTTTCTCTTCTCTTACTTCTCCTTACCATCTGTTGATCGAGTTGCTAATTGGCTCAGAGCCCCAAGGACCCTTGTGCTGCCGGTTGATGGGCGCTTGTAAGCTGTGGCTGAAATTGGTGAGCCATTGGCAATCAAGTGCGGGACTTTGTTCTTCATGCCGAGAGAGCCCTGAAACCGCCTCTTTGGGCCCTTACTGCTCCAGCAGACCTCGCTGTGGTTGCCCTTGGCGGACGTAGTAGACGCGGATGCACAACTTGTTAGCCAAGGTGTAATCTATAATTCATTACGGGATTTCAGGCCTACCTGGCTGACGCCGCCGGGTTCGTCCGTCTAATGGCAGCGATCTGCGTGGGCTTCTCATTGACCACGATATCGTCGCCATGCTCATCCTCAATTCTCCTCTAGATGTAGTCATCGTCTCCATCAGCGTTTGGAGAAACGAGATAGGTGAGCTCTCTCTCAGAGTTCAGGTAGAACAAGTAAGCCTTGTCTCCGCTATGAAGGGCAACGGCATCCTTGGGAAGCTGGGAAGTAGTGTCAGTCTTGAATTGAGTGAGTCTGGAGAGATAGTGTTCGTACTTTTTTTTTACTATGGTCTACAATGATGACAAGAAACCATCAGCCACAACAGTAAGTGCTTATACTTGAAGAACCGCTATTGTTGATGGGAAAAGATGTTGATCTGAAGGAAGATTGGCAGATGAAGTAGCGTGTTGAAAGAGCTGTGAACTTTTGATCTCAAATAGGAGAAAAGTGGCAGTGATGGTTGTTGAAGTCGTGAGAAATTCAGATTTAAAGACGAGGGAAACCTCCGGCTTTATACTTGCTCCGTCAGATAGAGTGGTTTTGAGGCTCATGTTAGCCTTCCTCATTATAACTAGATATCTCTAAGGCATCGGGAATCGCTCGCATATCTGGTTCGTACTGAGCAGATGCCCCTCTTAGCTCTTCGCCGCGGATATGCTGCTTACCGGAACATATCGCTATTCAAAAGAAGGTCATCGCCAATCAACATGTTGGCCAAAGACCCTTAGAATGGAAAGGAGACATAGCCTTGCCGCTGACGATCTGGACTTTGTAGAATGAAGGGTCGGCTGGTCGAAGCATGAGTGTGTCTCATTCACATAGCCAGGAGCGCATGCTCAGGCAGCCACAGATCAAGCCATTATAATATAGGTCCTCAAAAATTGTGGTGTTGGTTTACGTACCAGAGATGGTCTGTCACAGAAGCAAGTCTTGAGACACTATCATAACCCAAGCCGATCGCCCAAGTTTCCAACTCTGACTCACCCCTAGCACACTCGCTTGAGAATCATCCTCATCTCTGCCACTTAATCGCGTCTTTGTCTTGCACCTATGAGTAGTCACTGTTGTCTCGTTCCCCTAATGGTATTGTGTACGGCATATTCCAATCACCTTGAGTTAAGTCCAAATGTGCCTTGCTCGAATATTCTTCACCCGCGGTCAGATGAATAAGTCAACGCCTCTTTATCACCTTCTTTTCTCTTTCCCTCGGGAGGTTCCTCAGGTCCAGGACAGAAGCAACGCCGATTTTTCCTTATCTAAGTAAGTATTAAGAGATTTACCTAACTGTTTATAAATATATCTAATTATAATATAAAATATATTATATTATATTATAATGAGATTTTTTTTATATATTTTTATTAAAATTTATTAAATATATTTAGGGGAAAATTAATAATTGTCTTATTTTGTCCTTGACCTATGTGCTTACCTATAGGTAGTTCGATGATATTCCGACGCAAGATTTTGGTGGCTGGAGCATTGGAAGAACTTCAACGTGATGAATGTGCTTCTCAACCAGCCACATTCTTGCCACTACGCGCTTGCGTATTCACTTTATAAACATCACTGTTGGCATTTGACATTGCCAAGGAAATCTGCATATCTTGTCTTTACGCATCAATAGTTCTTCAATCCAGGCTTTGATAACGATGCAAGGATGCGCAATGGCGTTTGTGCTCAATGAGCCCAAGCATGAACTAGCATCGACGTGAAGTCTAAGATGGCGAGGCACACCCTTCTTAGACGGGGAATATGGAGTATATGCTTGAGACAACGCAGGGAGTCAATTAATAACACGCGATTATCGCCTACAGCCACAGATATATATCACAGACATCGAGCGGGTACAATTTCCGTTGGATGACAGCCCGGTGTTTGCGGCTGAAGTCACGTTTCTCATACAATTGAACTGCCGAGCCCATTACTTGCAGCTGAAAGACACTAAAAAACGAAATGCTGATCGTAATAGCGTAAGAAGAGGGAATCTAAGCCATAGGCATCCATCCCGGTCATTGCGGATCGTGTTTCGAAAAAGACATTGGTCAAGTCAGAGGTGATACGTGAGAACACGTCTCGAGGTGCCACGTGACCCTCGTAGGCGCGAAGGGCACTCACAAGCCCAGCCACAAGGAAACCACCAAATCTTCCCTCTCACGACTGATTTTGCATCTTCATTAGTCCCCGTACCAAGAGGTCTGTGCTAAGAGATCACATAATGTCGCAACACCAATTGCACCTTAAGCCCAAGTCGTATAATCATCTCAAAAATACTACGATATTTCTTCATCCACCGTTTAGGCTGAAGTGTATGCACATAGGTTCTCAAAAGGCATTGTTGCTGTACCGCACCAGACATGGCCTTTGCCGGTTTTGCCAACCAAGGGCGACCCAGGGCGCCACCGGATTAGAGTAACTATAGCACTGGGCACTATTTCGAAGACACATCCAATGGAGGGAGCAAAGATTACACAAAGACATTGTCTTTTATTCAACGTTTCATCATATTCATGATAGTAGACATAGATCCTATACGATTGGCCGAGTTCCCATTCCTTCAGAGACAGCTCAAACATTCTGTTTGCGTCTATCCTCAAGCTCAATACCAACAGCGTTGGTCTCCTCAGCAATGCGCTGCTTCTCATCCCGAGCGATATCCTTCTCATCGGCATCCCGGTTTCCGTACAGACCAATCTTGTACCAGGGAAGCTCGAACAGGTGATCCATGCTCTCGAGGCTGCGTCCGCTGGTCTCGGGGACGGAGAACCACACCCAGACACCACCGACAAAGGTGACGGCGGCGAAGCACCAGAAGGTTCCATTGGGGGAGATGCCGCCGTCAGACTTGGGGAGGAGCATGTTGGGCACGGCGCGGGAGTTGCCGTATTGGTTGGCAAAGTGTAGAGTCATGGCCCACGAGGTGGCGAGAGCTCGGATACGGAGAGGGAACAGCTCAGCAGTGAGGAGGTACTGCATGGAGTTCCAGCCGAGAGCCCAACCGAAGCCGGAGACGTAGATCATGGCGATGGCACCGCGGCTGGCACCCTTGTCGGCGTCGGGGAGGACAAAGCCCTCGACGACACCGAGCTGGGGGATGCGGGTGAGGAAGGCGGCGACGTAGATCATGGCGATGGTCTGGAGGGTGATACCAGTAAGGAGGGCGCGCTTTCTGCCGATGACATCGACGAGGAAGAGAGCGCAGATGATGGCGGCGGTGAGCTTAACGATACCAAAGACGGCAGTGACGAGGAGAGACTCTTCGCTGCCAGTGATGCCGAGAATCTTGAACAGATCAGGAGCGTAGAGAGTGATGGAGCCGGCACCGGACCACTGAGACAGGAACTGAACCATGGTGGTGAGGTAGAGACGGTAGAGGTTGCTAGGAACAAGGAACATCTCCTTGATCTTTCCAAGCCAGCCAACACCCTGGCTAGCCTCAAGCTCATGGTCAAGAGCAGCCTGGATCGTGCTGATCTGAGAAACGACATACTCGCCATCAGGAGGCTGTCGGCGAAGACGACCCAAGACGTGAGCAGCCTCATCAGGCTTACCCTGCTTTACCAGGAAACGAGGCGACTCGTACTGGAAGAAGCTGAGGATGAAGATGATGCCGGACATCATGATGTGCAGGGAGGTGGGAACCAGCCAGCGGTTGTGGGTATGCTCGTCGAGGTTGATGGCGCAGCCATAGTTGGTGAAGTAGGCGAGCACGATACCGATGTAGACAGCGCCGGTGAACATGCAACTGCAAAGACCACGGACGGCGGCAGGGGCGATTTCGGCGATGTAGACGGGTCTATAGCAAGTTAGTTGATGAAGTGGCAGTGAAGTGTTGTGCTACTTACCCAACGACAGGTGTTTGACCAACACCGAGACCACAGATGAAGCGACCAGCATAGATGGCTCCAAGGTTACCGTTGACACCGCCGACCATGAAGATGACAATACCGAGAGCCCAGATGGTGCAGAGGAATCGAGTAGCCCAGATACGTCCAATACGATCACAAATAACGAAAGCGCTAGAACCTTGTAAGCAAAAACATACCACTTGAGTGAACATTCATGATCCTTACATGAGAGCACCACCAACAGAACCAATCTGAACCATGGCAGAAACATTAGCCTTGATGTTGGCCTGCTCAACAGTCGAGTACGACTCATAGTTGATCGTCTCCTTAAAGTCGGCAGAGTTGAAGGCTCCAGAGATGAGACCCTCATCGATACCTCGGGCGGCGCCGAGGAGCGCAAAGGAAATGACCGAGAACCATAGTCGCCAGTTAAAGACGCCCTCTGGCTCGCCCAGGTCCTTGAGCTTGAAGATGTTGACGGGCTTCTTTACGCCTCCTGCCATTGTGAATGATGTAGGTAGGATGAGACGAGGGAGAAGAAGGGGAGGAAGAGGTGGTATCTCGAATGGATCAGAGTAAAAAGAAGATGGAACTGATCTGGTCATTTATACATTCTTCACCCTTGCTCGGACGTTTCTTTCTCCACGGTCTTCTCCACGCGACTTCTCCAGGTTCGGGATTCTACGTCCGCCTAGTGTCTCTCCGGTTTTTCTCTTTACTTACACCGACGGGGAGCGGAAAATGAGCTATATCCGCTGATCTCTAGGAAACAAAGTTCACCACCCCACGAGACCTTCAGCCGAGCCATCCAATAGCGGAGACTCCATTGCCCATCTCGCTCGCCTCCGTACTAAACGCAACTAGGACGTTGCGCCCGTCGTGGGGAAGAAAACGGAAGGGTTGGGGGAACTTCTCCACGGGGGACACTACGCTATGACAGCGCTTCCCCTTCTTCTTCTGGGTCCGAGGTTGGTCGTACATGAGTCGTGTCTACCCTCCTCCATTGTCGTATCCATGTTCGTGGTCGGGATATCATCGTCCGACCCCGCTTCTTTGATTATGTGACTGTAGGGCGGTGCCCAGCCGCCGGCGGCCGCGGTACCACGTTGTTGCCAAGGAGGCCAAGAGACCAAAGGTGAGCCGCATGTCTCGGCGGTGTATCCAATTGGAGGCGGGAATAGCCAGCCGTGATTAATCCCAACGTCAAAAGAAGAAATCGAAGACGCCACAGAAAGGGACGAGCCGAAGACAATTGCCGTCGGGTGGCCAAAGAATCATCAAATCTATTGTGCTACCGACCCTGGCTAATGGCCAGATCCAGATCCCTCTCCGAAACCTTTATTGGAAGGGTTCCCCTGGTGTTCTGGCACGAGTCCCTCCGCATTCCCCGCAGCGACCATCTCCGTCATCTGTGAATTAAGGTGTGGTAAGCCTAGCTTAACGCAAATAGACTCGTGTCTGGCCCCGGCCATCTCTTCAAGCAAGGAATCGGTCCGGCTGTTGTTCTGCCCACCGAGGAATCCCCACATCCCGGAGACGCTTTCTGTATTCAGGCCTGGCTAGGAATAGTGTGGATAGGCGCGAGTAAGGATGACAATCCAGAGGTATCTGGCTCGTCAGCAGGCCGCCTAAAGTGCGGCCGGTTTACCAAAGTGAATCCACTCAGACGAAAAACCCCAGCAAGATCCGTTGTTTGAGTTGACCAAGATTCCCTGCAGTCGCTTCCCCCTGCCCAATTTGTTCTGCGGAGAGGTCACAAGCGGCACGGTATTGGAGACTTGTGATTGAGAGAACTTTTCAAGGTGCGGGGTGGCACGATTATGAGGCCATAGAGTTGGAGATGCATGTCCCCTCAAGTCCAGTATCGACCCCATATGCGATACTCCTCTTCTGTGCCACGGAACCTGAAGCTGACTTCTGTGATATCCTGGAATCCTTCCTTCTTCTGTGGAGGCTTGTGTCGAGCAGAGAAGCCAGAAAATGCCAGCTTGGGCAGAACCTGTCGTGACTCTGGGTTGAGCGACTTGTTCATGGCGCGCACAGCATCATTGTGCTCGCACAACGCGATGGGAGTCTTGAACCACACACAACGGATAGAGATGCCGAATTTCTTGGCAAGCTCTACCCAAATGGTCCTGGTGTCGGGATCGGCGTTGGTATTGTCTAGGCAATCCCTGTTAGTGTCATGAGGGGTGGCATGGGGCATGGGGTAACGGCAGTCGAGAAATTTGGGGAAATGCGCACCTATCGCGACAGACCGTCCCTCTTGGAGATGTTCCCTCGCCGCCTGCACACACTTGTCGCGACTCTTGAGGAGGTCTTGGTTTACCCTCTCGTACCCCAGAGGTTTGAGGTATTTCCAGTAGAAGCTACTCTTCCCCGCGCCGGGAGGTCCACAGAATAAGACCATGTCCCTGTCGTTAGTCTTGTCAAAGACGACGTCGTCGGGATTCCCCGGTTCGGATATCTCGAAAGGATGGTCGGACAAGTCGAAATCTCGAGCGAATGTCCGAGGCTTTTCTCCGAGGAAGAACTCCTCCGGCGTCTGGTATTTGATTCCCACGTTGTGCGCAAAGTTCCTGTCCGAGCAGCTGAAATCCTTGGCCGTCGCTGCGCCGTTTTGTCCCTTGCCCAGGGAGGCTGTGCGCCCTCCTGCATCGCCGACAAAGATGCTGTTCTCAATGTCTACCTCTTCTTCCGGGATGTCAAAGTCGTCGCACAGTTCCGTCCACATCCCTGTTCTCGGTTTTCGGTATATGTCGTGCGCGGTTGCGGCGTAGACCGATGTGGGAAGGTTCAGGTTGCTGAGGACGGCGCTGCACTTCTGCTTGAACTCTGAGACACGCTTTTGGGCAGAGGCTTTTGGTCCCTTGAACTTGGGATCAAAGTGCAGTGTCAGACCAGCTTGGTTTGACAGGATGACCACTCGGTAACCATCCTGGTACAGCTCTCGAAGTCGACTAGGCACACTAGCATCCCACCACTTCCAGTCTGTGCCGTTGCTAGCATGCTTCTTGCCTGAAGCAGTGGCTATCAGGGTAGAATCCAAATCGAACGCAGCAACCTTCCTCCTCTTGATGTTTCTGTCTTCTGGCGTCTCCGGCTCGTACCGACCGACGAGGAGTGTGGCAGGGGTATCATCATTCGGGCTCCGTTCGGACCAAATCGTCGGGTCTTTGGGCTTCTTTGACGTCGGTGTGAAGAAATTAGCTACAGCAGTCTCTAACTCGAGGTCAGTCTCCCGTTGCATAATTCCGCTGGGACGTCTCACTGGTTGTTCCACTCTGGATCTTTCGCTTGACCATCGGCGGGGAAACTGGAGCGTCGGAGGCTTTGCGCTTCTGAGAGGGGTTTCCTGAAGCCATCGTGGTCGCAGGAATATGGTTATCGACCGCATGTAATTTGTTTGTGATATCAACGAGGCTGTTCCGTAGATGATGGGTCCGTAGGTGAGGCAGAATTCTTTGTGGTTAAAGGAGGATGCTTAGATCCATCGCCAAGCCTTGAGGCTCGGGTTCACGCGCAACACCTCCTTGACGCGAAGTCACGTGCTGCAAAGGCCAGCTCTTTCGGAGCTCTAGTGGGGCACTTCAACCATTGCTCTTCAATATCTCTACGACTTCCATCGCAACACGTTAATAACGCCTGCGCATTTCGTTGAAGGATTTCCGCCTCTTCTATAAAGCTCCAGCATTGTTAGCGCCTTCATTTCGGTCAGACAGGGGTCTTCAGCCGGGTTCAATCGCACCCTTTGTCGTCAAGATGTACGAGGTCTTCCTCACAGCAATCGTGGACGACAGCAGCTTTGGCCCAGCATGCGCTGTCCTGAGCGGCCTCTGCGGCATGCGCCCATGGGAGAGCTTTCAACGGGTGCTCTACTTCCACGGACCCCCCAGAGCTGGCGGCATGACACACCTGGCGAATGTCGACAAGCCCATGCGCAAGGATGTCACCTTTCTGTGGAAAGAGATTAGCCAGAACCTGCTCCGACAGTCGTACGTCATCCAGGCGCGATACGATATTGCCAAAGAGCGTCAAACTTCTCCTATGGATCTCATCACGACACCTGGGATGTTGCGGTGGACCGACTTTCCTGAACCGCCTCATGGGCGACCTATGCTTACGCAGCGCAAGAAGACTGAGATTTGGGATCAAAGGAATCTGCCTGTAGTAATGCGCGACAATAATTACCAGTGTGTTGTGTCCTCTCTGCTTCATCTAACTGCAAACTAATGGGAACAGGTTCAAGACAGAGATCGTAGAGGAGGTCCACCGCTTCTACCGTGACGACGTCGAGTTCTGTCTCTTCCGCTCTTATTTCCTTCACCCACAAAACAGATACGTCTCTGCTGAATCAAAGACGGAACAATTCCCCCCATTGGATTCCTTGCCGCCCTTAGACTCGCTTGTGCCGATCGACATGGAGAAGCGCTGGTTCCTCCATGTCAAGGCGCATGTCATGTCGGAGAACAAGCCCGATGACCTTCGGAAAGCGCAGGACCAACTCTTGGCGATCCGGGCAGAGCTTGAAGGCGTCTTTGACTTTAGATCTATTGACCGCAAGGTTTATGATACCAGGATAGCTCAACAGGCACAGGGTATTCAAGCCTTACCTCAGAAGGTGGTCATTGGCAGAGGTTGAAGCTCGCTGTTGGTACTTGTCAGGACCTAAGCAGGGCTTTATATTTAGATACGAGGTGGGTGACCTCGTCCATACTCGCAGCTCGTCACTTGTTGCGCAGGTCAGCCAGGATACGGTTGTTCAGACCTCTCTAAACCGAGTGGTCTCTTTTAAACATTAGATGATACCCTTCAATAGTCAATCTACAGCTTGCCTATTCCCCATACTAGTTCATGACGTCCCATACGTAAATCCAACAAGGGAGGTGCCAGACAGGTACCTCATTGGTTCTTCCAGGCTTGATCTGCATCTAGCACACGGTTAGCCACGGTTGACGCGCAACAGATTAAACTCACCCTCGTGAATAGCTGGGACTGGAATGTCCTTCCTAGCCTCTCGCTTCTGCTTGTGATCCACTCCAAACCTCCTATCCCTATCCCTCACATGTTTAAAGTCCAACTGGCCGTCAGCTGTGAAACTCGTCATGAGCTTCGGCGGTCCCAGAGGGAGCATGTCACCCCTGTCTGTTTGCCACAGATGATACACCTTTCCGTATAGATGGACTACCTGGTCCATCTCCATGTTTTCGGCGACTTCCCACGCCGATTCTGGCACGGCGCGATTGGGCATGATGAGCATGCCTGACTTTACTTCGTAGGCGTGGGAGTGCCAGAGTTTGCGCTCCTCCTTGGAGAGCGTGTCGTATAGTTTCGGGGTGATCATGTATTCAATCCCAATGAGGCGTGCAGTAGGCTCATCAGAGTCGTACAGGAGGCACTGTCGAACATCCTCATCTGGTCTTTTGTTAGCAGGAGCTTGGCCTCGGGCGACATGGAAGAGTACTCAGGTGAGCGCAGTAGTGATTGGCTTCTACAAATCGCTTGGGATCATCCGCGTATGCATGAAATGCGTTGAGATGAGCGCAGATACTCTTTACTGGTCGAAAGTCCTGGACACATGAGTTGGTTGCACAAATTTGGAGTGCACAGGGGGTCTCTAACCTGGGTCACCGCAGCGCCGGCAGTCAGGACCTGGTTTGTAGCCGAGAGCGGCTGACCCATGCCCTCATTAGTGATGGGAATCTCTTCCCTTTGAGATGAAGCCATAATGAATTCCCTCAGGTGAGTTTGATGTCGTCAAGGTAAGGTTTACGATCATCGCTACGCAAGAACATCTCATGGCTATTAATAAAGCCCAAGTACCACCCAAAATCGGGCTACGTCATGGATAGATCTATCTTGCACCAAATGGGAAATAATGGGTTCCATTCCAAGATTGATCAACACCAACGAGATTTCGCTGCACACGATCGCATCTACTGTAGCGTCAGTATGACGACCCAATGACCTCCGAAGTTCTCGGCGCCGGAGACCCACTTACTCGGCTGGGACTCGGCGGAGCGGGGTCGAATCTACCCTGAACTCGGGCCGTGGATTTTCTTTGACGACCCTTCAACGATCAGGATTCATGGAGTTGAGATGCAATCCAGTATAGGAATTGACCTGAAGTCCTTTGATTTTTAATTATACCAAAATAGTGTAATTTTCTCTACCTCTCTTCCAAATTGTCCTCTTCAGACTCAGTGCGGTTTTGTTTTCTAGCTTTATCCGTCCACGTTTCCACCAACTCGAAAGGTTTCTCCAGCGTAGCTTACGTCCTCCCCTCTTGCCTTCAACTCAGCTTCAATGTCCATAAGCCGATTGTACTTGGCGACTCTTTCACCACGTGCTGGTGCACCTGACTTTAAATGACCCGTCCGAAGTGCAACTGTCAAATCAGCGATAAAGTCGTCGGTTGTCTCTCCCGAGCGATGAGACACGAACACGCCCCACCCTAGACTGGTCGCATAGTTTGCTCTGCTCATGATATCAGTACCCAGTAACCTTTGGGCAGATGGGGGGTACTCACGCCTCAATGGCTTCGCTTACGGTGCCAATCTGATTCACCTTGAGTAGCATCGCATTGCACGCCTTCTTTTCGGCCGCCATCTTGACCCTCTCGATATTTGTGCAGAGAAGGTCATCGCCAACAAGCTCAACCGGACAGTCCTTGTTGAACTCTGTCCAAATCTGCCAGTCGTCTTCAGCAAAGGGATCCTCGAGGAGCACCATGGGGTACCTGTCAAGGATGCCCTTGTAGAGCTTCTGCATCTCCTTGGAGCTCCTGACATCTTTGGCTGACTTGTTCTTGAACGCCAAGTCATAATTCCCCGTGTCGGAGTCAAAGAACTCGGAAGACGCGGGGTCGCAGGCCAACTTGACGCGTCCAGTGAAGCCTGCTTTGTCTATGGCTGCGGTGAGAAGGTCAAGAGCCTCTTCTAAGGTGGAGATGGGAGGCGCAAAGCCACCTTCATCTCCGACACCGGTTGCTAAACATCTATCGTTAATGTTTGCTCAGAGTCATTGATGTCATCACTCACCCGGAGGTCCGAACTTTTCTGTAATGACGCCCTTGAGAGTGTGGTAAACTTCGGAAGCCACCCGAATAGCCTCTTCAAACGACTGTGCGCCCGTGGGTGCAATCATGATCTCCTGGAAAGCCATGGTATTTCCGGAATGAACGCCTCCGTTCAAGACATTGAGAAATGGAACAGGCATCACGTATGGCTTCTTCACGGCTGCTTCCGTTCGTAAGAAGTCATAGAGAGGAACACCCTTTGTGTCGCGTTAGTATTGAAAGCAAGGTATCGCTCAATTGACAACCTACTGCGGAAGCCGCACCAGCTCTGGCACATGCCATGCTAACACCAAGTATGGCATTGGAGCCTAGACGAGACTTGTTGGGCGTACCATCGAGCTGTTTCATGAAGGCATCAATGTCCTTGAGTTGAGTCTTGGGGTCAAAACCCTTTGAAATAAGAGCTGGGCCAATGACCTGCTCCACATTGTGGACGGCTTGGCTAACGCCCTTGCCTCCATATTTGGAGCCATCCTTGTCCCGTAGCTCGACAGCCTCATGTGTCCCGGTTGAGGCTCCGGATGGAACCAGGGCGCGGAATGTGCCTTTGGCGCGTTAGTTTACAGCTCTTGAAAGGACGGATGGAGTTGGCCAGACCTTGGGCAGTCGTTACTTCCACCTGGACGGTTGGGTTCCCGCGAGAATCAAGACGCTGTGCAGCTCTGATGCCCTGAATCATTATGAAAAATGATAGGGTATGAGGTCGATGATGTTTCGATGTTCGCTCTTGTGGCTTGTTGAGGCTGTTGTCTGGTGGTGGGACTACTTGCTATCACATCACTGCAGGTCAGCTATTTCCTGCCTACTTATAATGCTACAATAAGTCAATTACTTCATATCAGTTCATGGCGGTTGGCAATAGAACCGGAAATTACGGCATTAAGCCTGTTGCCAGCTCTCTATTCTGTGTACTTGGCACACGTTCGCAGAAAAACATGATATACTGAGTCAACGATCTCTACTTTCTGAGGCAAATAAAGGTCCCTAAATATAATAAATAAAATACTTAAGGATTTATAATATTATTCCTTAGTTTTATTTCTTATTTAGTATATAATTAGATTATTATATGAGTACTCTTTGCTGAGTATAAATATTCTAGTATCTTAAGTTTTCTTACGTCTAGGTGCTTGGTAGAGTCTACCCGCCTTAACCGACTTATCCGGACATCGAACTGACGTCAATTCCGACTATCCCAGCGGACAATCAGCAGAGCCTGGATATTCCCGAAGGAAACATTGGGATACCAGCTCTCAGATTCTTGAAAAGTCACATGTTATTTTGAACGCGACGAATCAAGAGTGTCATATATTTACGGTCGAAGAGATTGGGGGATTCTCAAGGAAATAGCTGTCTAATAGCCTACTCCACAATGGTGGCAATTACTGGTCGACTTTTCTCTCATCAAACTCAATGATCGACGCCTCAGCACTTGCTGTGGCAAGAAGATTATAGCGCTTTCGCCTACGCTCAAACTCCAAGCATAAATGTCAAAAGATTTCCCTAGTAAACTTTCCCAAAGATCAATCGCTAGTAGTGACCTAAGAGTCGAAAAACTTATTAGAAGATCCCTGGTCAAGCTCAAGAGTCTCCTATTCCTTGGGCTCTGGCTTGGGGACTTGCGGCGCTTGCTTAGCCTGAGCCCAGAACCAGTCATTAACTGCGTCAATGTGCTCGCGTTCATCCTCGATAACCTGACGGCTCTCGTGAGAATCCTGGCCTGCAAGGCCCTCCGTCTCCTGGTTCTCTCTCACCTGCACACGGGGCTGAACTACCCAAACAGGTCGAAACATGCTCCTGCGGTGGATCTCGGCCTGGTTTTCGAGATACATCTTGTCCCTGGCTAGTTCCGGGCTTAGAGGTCCTGACTGTCCCAAGCGTGAGAAAGCTGCTGGGGCCCGAGGGGTTTGCTTGTCAGTGGGGCTCACCATTGGGGAAGCTCCTGGTGTGAAGTCGTTGGCAACTGGGTTGAGTCCTGTGGTTCTGATGGGAGGAGGGATGTTATGCCTCGATAGGTACGAAGAGGCTGAGGAGTAGACATCTGTTGGAGTTTTGTCACTGCGAGGAGTGACGGGGTCTGCGACAGGAGTGATAGGAGTGATAGGGCCAGCGATTCGACCGGCATCAAGTTGGCGAGAGTTCGGCACACCCTGAAGTTGACAATAGCCCTGCGCACCGTAATGTGAGTATTCGCTCGGGATCAAATGAAGAGGACGATCATAGAGATTGGCCTGGCCACGATGGGCCTCAGTGAAGCCGGGAGGAACCTGTCCACGATAAGTAATCGTTCTGGACGTACGGTCAAGGGGGATTCTAGACTTACCTTCGGCCACAGCGTCCTAGTCGATGACGTTGGGGTACCTGTCAGAATCACCGGACACGTTAGTCTTTGGTTCATACGGGGGGATTTCCTTGTCTCGACGAAAGGTGATAGTCCCTTGGACCTTTGGTTTACCTTGTGTGGTGGTACCTGTGGAGAGTTCACTGGCAGGGCCGGAACCAGGGAAGGGAGGCGGGTCGGGGCGGAACTTGATGGTTCCGTGGACCACGGGTCGAATAAACTCGACGCCCTCTTCGTCTTCCTCTGGTATCCAGACTTTGCCAGCGGGAGGGTCAGCGGGGAGATCTTTCAGGGGGATGCCGTTGATGAGGATGAGGGGGATGTTTTGGGGGGGAACCCAGTTGGGAGGGGGATCGACCCGAGTGGGACGGAGGGTGATGCTCTGGGGGGGATTGCTCTTACCTTGGGTCCAAGAAGTGTTTGGGGCGTTGGGACCGGGATACGTGGTGTTGATCTCCCGGAACGTAATAGACTGCTTCTTGTCAGACATGGTGAGCTTCCGTTTGCTGTTTCTGCCTTGTCGCGTTTGATGTAGTAGTCGGTAATGTTTGGCTGTTTGCCTTGATGCTCGAGAGAAAAAATATCGAGGTGAACATGAGGAGAACGTAGAGATTTTATAGTAAAACCTGGAGATGTTCATGGTCTGCTCGTCCACGTGGTGTTGACAAAGTGCGCAACAAGTGCTCTTTGCAAATAGCACTGAACAAGTATGAGAAAAGTCAGATGCCTTTGTGAGAATGCCTTTGTTTGTGATGATTCGTTTCTTTGATGCTCAGATGATTGAAAGCGCTGGGTGAACAATGAAAGTTGTTTGGTCTGAGTGTTTGTGCGGTGTTGGTGATTCGCGGTTGCAAGTAGTCACTCGGGCGACTGGCTTGAGGTCATTCACTGATGGAGCGCTCGATTATAGAAAAAGGAGGACGAGAGAAAAAAAAGGATGAAAAGTATTCACTGTAAGCTTTTAGAGATGAAAATAAGAAAAAGGCATCGTAGCCAAGCTACAGATACACGTCAACCCGCCCCCGGCCCTGGCACAACAGACCAAGTTTCTCCGGTAAATACCAGCGATCCTTCTTGCCGTAGCTTCTCTGGATCCACGTATAGCTTGACTTCTACATTTGGTTTGTCGACATTGGAGACGCGGGCGACGAGGTAGATGATGGGCGACACCATGGGCGAGAGCGTCGTGTTGGTGTTCTCTTGCATCTGTCGTAAAGTCAGTGAATAATCCTCCCCCTCATCACGGGATTAAACATACCCGTTGGTATTGCCTCTTGCTCATGTAAAACGGCGTGCGCGAGTGTCCAGTGGTAGCCTTGACTTCAATCATGTATAGCGGCTTCTTGGTCAACCATGCCGTCCGATCGAGATAACCCTTATCCACGAGATGCGTCGTCAACGCGCGCTTTCGATCAAAGTAGACAATGTCGGCTGTTTCTCTTCCTGTCCATGGTAGCATGTCGGAGTAGTTGGGGTGGACTGTGACGAATTTGCGCATTTGGCTTTGCCAGTTTTCTCTGCTGAATCTTGGTAGTGAGGGATCCATCTTGGAGAGGAGTTCAAACACCTATTGTGTGTTAGTAGGCGATAACACAAATTTGCAAAGTACTTACGAATAGCTCTCCTAGGGCGCCGATCTTCATATCGCGTTCAAGAGGATTGCGCGAACGGAATCGTCGAGAGAGCTCAACCTCGTCTTCTTCAACATCCGGAAGGGCGCCAAACAGACCAGACATGTCGTATGCGCCCTTGCTAGGGAACCTCGCGGTGCTGGCTGCCGAAATGACATTGTTGACAAGCCTCAAATACTCTGCATCATCATCAATAGTCGGCTCCTCAGGCCGTCCACCCAAACCCTGAAACTGGAACGCTGAAGTGGTGGACTGTGCCGCAGGCGAAGACCCAAAGACAAAGGCAGGTTGCGTGGCTGGTCTTGGCTGTGCTTGTCCGCTAGTTAACCTGCTGCTGGCGCTAACATTCGGTGTTTGAGGAGCGTTGTTTGATGTTCGGCGGTTTTGGCGGGGAGGTTCGGTTGTGGAAGATGCTGGTGTAAACAGTCTTCGGCCGGTGATTGATGAATTTGACGTCGCGGGGCTTCTTTGGCGGACGGGGAGATCTCCCCACCGGGGAGGAGATCTCATGTCGGCGAATTGATGGAATACGGAGTCTTCGTCATCGCTGGAGATGTCGTGTTCGTGGATCTCGGGCTGCGCTAGGTATCTAGCGATGAGATCCTCTTCAGCTTCGGGACTGATAGTGTCGTCGGGGTCTTCCTCTTCCTCCACGACTTCCACGGCCGGCTCTTCCTCTTCACCTGAAGGTTCTTCAGTGATAATCTCGCCCTCGACTTCAAGAGTATCTTCATCCTCCCCTTCCTCTTCCACTTCTTCCTCTTCTTCAATCTCCTCTGGAATCTCAACCTCTACAATACCCTCCGCCTCCAAAATCTGCGTCATGTTGATAATCGGCGCATTCAAAACAGAAGTAACAACCTGAATAGCCCGTGATCCAGCAGGCTTCGTCTGAAACGTCGCAGGGTCCATCATCACCCACTCCATTATCCGTCGAGGAAGAGCCGAAAAGTAGCAGAAGCCTTGTGTCTTGGGGTCTCGTGGAACATAGACCTTGAGGGTCTCGTCGTCTTCGCGCAGGTGAAGTTCGCTTCTCTCTTGGACGTGGACTAGGTCGTGGCCGTCTTGGGAAAGATGTAGTTCTGATGAGATGCCGTCTGTTTCGTAGACTTCTGTGCGGCAAAGAACCCAGTAGAGTTCTTGGTTGTCGGCCATTGTGCGGGGACTGTTGAAGTGCACGGCGATTCTATGACTGTCAGTGGTAGAAAAATTACGTAGCCAGAGAGATTTACCTGTAGAGACCATCTGCCTTTTGCCGAATGTCACGATCAGGGTATTGCAGTCTATCCATCCTCCCACCTGCCACAGTCGATATCTCCCTAACCATGGTGGACAGATACCTCGTCTCCAGCCCAAGCCAGGAGAGGAACGGTCTCAAGCGACGAACTTCATCAAGCGAAAAGTCGAGAATCTTTGCTTGAGGACCGAAAATGTCGCCGAGAGCTTTTCGATCGGTAATAGCGAACTGAGTCCTGCCCGTTTGCAACTTGACCGATCCGTTGGGATACTTTACGGGAAACACCTTGCCGATGAAGATGGGTTCCTCATCAGGGAAATCGTCTGCCGAAACCAACAGAGAGTTGAGCGCCCATATCGTTTCCTTGACTGCGGTGATTGAAGGAGAGGGCACTCTTGCACCCATCTCTTTGAGTTCATCGTAGGCCATGTCCAGCGTCAGCTCTTGCACGCCGAGAAAGCTCACAAAGAAGTCCTCCAAGTCGGGATAAAGATCATTCAGCGCCACTCGCCCTCTAATCTGGGTAGCGCTGGACCAAAGACATTCGCCAGCTGTGTACCAGCGACTCGTGTTTCCAATGTTGACGTAGACCAAGGGTTCTTCGGCAAACGCTTTCCTAGGACTTGTTAGCTTGTCATCTGGGCAATTAAGTGAGTTCCATACTTGAGCTTCAACGCATCAATCTCAGGAAGGGTTCGCCTGATATCATTCAGAGAAGTATAGAGGTCGTTGATCCAGTCAAAATCCTCACTTCCCATACTCTTCAACTTCCGTATCTCAGCCAAGTAGTGATTCCACGAAGCGTCAGGAACACCAAGTGTTGTTTTGAAGAACTGCCTCAAGACATCGAGCTCGTCTCCGGATCGCCCGAACTGTGCTTGGTAGAGGTGCTCCAGGGGGTACGCCGTCTGCATGTCTTCTCGAGCAGTCCAAAGACACTTTTCGGGAGATGCCCATGTCGCAGGGTTGGAGTCGTGTCCCGGAACAAAGATCAGGTTCCCATCGGTAATCTCTTGCCTGGGAACGTTAGTCAATGGTACTCTAGGGAGTGCTTGAGAACACCGACCTTGCCTCTGCTTGCGCATTCAGGAAACTGTCAGCCTCACGGCAGCGCCCGTAGATAACCTCGTAAAGATCCAAGATCCTGGAATTGCGACGAACACCTGCGGCTGTATTGCTGAAACGAATCGTCTTGAGAATGCTCAAGTAGAATTGGAGATCGTCGGTGTCACCAACGCCCAGATAGTCGACCAGGAATCCCCATTTCGACCGGTAGGTGCCCATAGTGATGGGCTCGTTCAGATCAAGAAAGATAAAGTCCTCGTCTTCGGCGTATCGAACATGCTTTCCTTCAAGTTCAGGCAGGGGCAGGTAAGTCGTCGATAGCGGTTCCGACAGCGCAAACTCATCTCCGCCCTTGCAGACGACCTCCATGTCTTGCAACTGCCTCATGATTTCCGGCGATGCCGTCACAGTCGCCTGCTCGAATTCCCATACTTGCTGTAACGCGCCCAAAAGACACTCCGGTCGGTGCTGCTCAATGAATCGGAACACAGAAGAGAGTTCCGGCTTTCGCCCAGCTCCCATCTGAGTAAGCCTCAGGTGTCGACGTAGGAAGAGTCGGTGTTCCATCCACAATACCCATGACCACTTGGAACCCGGAGGTGTCGCTGGTTCTTCGTCAAAGTATTTTTCGTGTAGGAAGGGTGCTGTAAAGCCTGTCGACTCTGCGCTTGGCTTGAGGAGTTTGCTTGGGCCGTATTCGTCGTCGGTCGCAAGGTAAACGTCCTGCCTTGAAGGTGAGCACGCTTTCATGTCCTGATCATATACATAGTAGCCGTCAAGCCTTATTTGAGACTCGTCTCCATCCAGCAAGCCTTCCGACAGGTACAAGAACTTCAAGTGGCTGATGGAAGCTGATAGAGCTGCCTCATCTGCAACAGCAACAGCCGGCTTCTTCAGGATCAGACCCCGAACATCCTTCACCAGCGCCTCGATGACGCCAAACTTGTCGAACAACGCTCGTCGGTCGGGATTGCCAGCGGCGTTCGGGTCCACCAAGCTCAAGTTGAGGTCGTCGGGGATGGCCAGTTGTCCGGGGCAGTGCGAATAGTACAGAGGGCCACTGCCGGCAGAAACCCACTCGCCGTTTTCCAAGGGGATGAATTTGAGGTCTTTGATCCGATCTTGTGACGTTTTTAGGGTCGCGGTGTCTTTTAGGAGGACGAGGGCTCTTGCTGCGAGTGAATGCCATTCGTTATCCGTGTCTGGGTTCTTCATTCGTGATGCCTCAGGCTGCTTTTGGAGATCTTTTTCCACGCGGACAATCATATCCCAAGCAGAGACATTCTCCAATCCATACGGCTTCAACAGAGCCAAGTCTTCCGTCTTGTACTCCTTGGAGAGATAAATCTCCTCGTCCATGTCCATAAACAGGGGATCTCCCTGCTTGTCGCGCAACCACGGCTGCAGCCGACACAGCTTGTGAATGTAGTCAAGCTTCCCCGTGCCGAGTGTGCGAAGAATCTTGACCTCTTGGATGCGCTCCTCGATTCTGTCCAGCAGGCCCGACCAAAAGCTATCCCACGGGTAGGAGTCGCGCTGGGGAAGCCATCGCATCCATTGGTACTGAAGCGTGGGGTGGTCGCAGAACTCTTGGATGGCCTTGATGAAGCAGTCTGCGATTCCGGTTAAAAGCGCGCGGTTCCTGAGAGACGTGACGACTAATCCTTGTCGACTTGCTTCGGTGACGAAATCGGTGTGGATGAGGAACTGTGACAATGTAAGCTTACGGGTGGCCCCCAAGTGTCTTGCTGCTCACCTTGAAACCCATTGGGCGCATCGGCAAAAAGGCAAAGACGTCCTGGCTTTCAACAACAGGCGTGGCAGACTCCGTCAACGGGAACGCTAACACAACCTCTGCTGATGAATCGGCGCGATCTCTTTCTTCCGAGTAGGTCCTGTTTTCGCTCTTGGGAATGTTCTCGGCCATGTGCTTTGTAACGTGATACCGTCGCTCCTCCACACCTTCGGAACTCGTCTTTCGAACTGTTGCTGGGTTGCTGCCGTGGAGCGAATATGTCGTCGCCGAGGTCAAGCTGTCGTCTTCATCGAAGAATGAGACCTGTACTCTGCGTAGCTTCCGGAGGAAGAGAAGGATGGTATGTTGTAGGTCTTGAAACTGAAGTTTGATCGTCTCCAGTTGCCGGGCATCTTCTTCAGGGTCGTCGCTCGTGTGAAGAAACAAAGTGATCCTTGTTAGAGTCTCCCCAAGAACCTCATCCGTCTCCTCCCACACAGGCGTGACCATACCAAGTCCAGAATCTCCCTTTCGATGAGTAAAAGAGAAGGAAAAGTCATTTGACTGAATGTGAACCTTCCAGGCGGCCATAAACACAGACTTGAAACCGATGCCCTTCTCACCGATGTAGCCCGCTGCGCCGACTTTGGAGCTCTTGCCGATGGCGCAGATGGCTCTTAGGTTTTCATGCGTGAAGCCATTCTCATTGCACTCAATCGACACCTTGTCGGGCCAAATCTTGAACGAAACATAAGGATCTTCGCCTTGCGATATAGCGGTACTGTAGTTGTTGTCATCGGCATTCTGCAACAGTTCAAAGACGAATCTTGCATTGCTTGTGTAGAGGTTTCTCGCTAATCTGACTGGCATGTGAGCATTTCACCTCGTAAAAGCGGCCTCGGCCTGTCACACGTACGTCAAAACAGCCGAACCGATCATCTCATCCTTTCGGAGAAGAGCCTCTTCAACCTCACGCCTGAGGTTGGGGTTGATGGCTCCGATGGCGGCGAGCTGGTCTTCGCCTAGATAGCCGCGATCTTTGGCAATCTCCCTCACCAGATCCCGAGCCGTGGTGCCCGGCCCGTCCAAGGCGCCCTCGGAGGTGGACATGGTGGAGAAACCGAACCCTGTTATGTGTGTTTGAAGCGCGTGCGTGGGGGATAAATCGAGATCTGGCTGCAGTGCGAGATAGCAAAAAGATGAAAGGTTTCAGGGAACAATCACCTTATGAGCTGCGGGTTTATCAGGCCCTCCAAAGGAAATAGCAGCGACAATTTGCCGAACAGGCTTCGAGACACATTCCCTCCCCGTGTCGTGACTCGTACGAGGCGAAAAACAACACATCGGACGCGCCTAATCTCATGCAGGGGCCTTCAGCTTTGGGTCCAGCAGAGTCCATGATTGGCTCCGCTCATCGCCAAGGTGTCAGATTCCCGCGATGATCCCAGTTGCACATCGATTGTCGACACTTTTCTTCTGTGACAAGACGCGTTTTGTTGTCAGCAGAAGGGCCCATTTCTTCCAATGATGAGTGTTAGATGCCATGGACTCACCTGTGATCAGCAAGCTGAACAACCAGTATGTTTCTTCAACACGAGGAGCAGCTCGGCAGTCGAAGACTTGGTCTGCGGGAGGATGAAACAGTCTGGGGTAGATCCCGTTCAGCTGCCGTAGTGCCCGCAATCCCTGTTCACCTGGTTAGCGATGGTTAGCTGCCAAGGACGACGATTGGTGGTCTGTTCTGCAGTTCAGCTCAAGCAATGTCACAGATGTCACCTCTCATCATATCCTATCACCAGACTACACAAGTTGTCGAAATCAGGTGTATTGATTCATTATCTACACCTCTGCCTCTGCTATCCATCACATCACTTCCAAGATACTATCACACCTCTGTCAAAACCACTCCAACCACTCTTCAACACTGATGTTGAAGATCAAAACATGGGAGTACCACTGAGAAAGGCCTTCATGTTGGCCATCTTCTTGGTCGCATGGCGGACCTTGGAAGCATTGCCAGGGTCGGCGACAAAGACAGGAGCGGCAGCTGGGACAATTCGCTTCTGTGAGGGAGGTGAAGATTGCTTCTGTAGGGGAGAAGGTCGCTTCTGTGTGGGAGGAGATTGATTCTTGACCGAGCGCGCGGCCGCCTCCTCGAGGTTCTTTGGAGCCCATCGGCTCGAGCCCAGTCCAACGGCCGAGTCTACACTGGCAATTCCTGGGCGAGAAATGTTAGTCAACCGGAACACTGTTAGTATGACGTGTTGGGTGTCCTTACCAGTAGGGGACGCACTGGACTTGCGCGAGAGCTTGCTCTTGGAGCTGTTGTTGGTCGCCGCCTGGGAGGTCCATCCCTTATCGACACTGTCGCGGCTCATGGAGTGAGACTTGGTGACAGACTCATCGTTGGTCTGGGGCGTGACTGGTCGTTCGTCAAAGCGCTTGGTCTGGACGTTGACAGTGGAGGCGGAGGGTTGGCGAGGTCTGTCAGGTTGAAGGTGGAAGGGGCAAGTTCTCGCGCCGCCCCAGAGCTCATGGAGCATAGCAGAGTGCTTCTTGTTGACGAAGTCATCTGTGGGCTCGATAGGAATGCGCTGAAGTAGCGGCGATTCGATGATCTGTTTGGCGTCGCGCCGGTCGCCAACATTGTCCTCGCGGGTCGTACACTCCGCGCAGCGGATCTTCTCGATGGCAGAGAGGTCAATACCAGAGGTGCTGGCATTCTTCTCGACGGTGCCGCAAGTGCCAAAAAAGCACACACACGAGCCGCGGGCACGATCGCAGACGTGGCGCTGCTGGGCAATCATGTGAAGTTTGCCGCAAGTGAAAGACAGCGACGGCGCCTTGGTAGGAGCGCAGAGAGCGATGGTGATGACCTCGTGGCACATCTTGACGGTGGGGATGAGGGAAATGTGACGTGGTCTGTTGATCGAGGGAGTATGAGAGGTAGAGGGATGATGAGGGATGGGTGCTTGTTGTGCAAGATCTCTTTGATGGTTGTGTGAAGATCGGGATGAAAGATGATCTCGCGGTGATGAAGGAAGAAGGAAGGAAAGAGGGAGAAGAGGCGGGAGGAAAGAGGCGAATATATAGCTGAGGGGGATCCTAAGGCTTAGGATAAGGAGTGGATGCAGAGGAGAAGCTGGCAAACACTGGCACCACCCGCGGCGGTGACGAAAATACCCTAATCGGGAGGACAATAGGGAGGACAATAGGCTTGATGAATATTCAGAGTAAATTCACCTATTCGGGCATGGCCTGTCAATAAAAAAAACCGCCAAATCGGGGAGTGTCGTCGCAACGAGGGGAGATGCCCCTGGAGTTGAGTCGCCTCACAACAACCTCAACATCAATATTGTTTGTAGGCCCCGCTAAGCCATATTGGGAGAATTTCCAACGACAATAGAAGTCCATGCCTATTGTTGTCTACCTGCGTACCTAACCAAGAAGTATCACCTTGGCCACCGGTCGGACGCACGATTTGGTGACTACCGAATCCAACACTTGCCCAACCCCTCGCCGTTCATAGATGCCATCCTTCTCCACTACGTGCATGACCCAGAAGAGATTCCAATCTTCGTCATCGCCTACTGGGCTTTTTGGCTTAGGGAGAGCCGAGCCTGCTATGGGTTCTTTGGAGTATGCGATGATGAGGCACTCCACCTCAACGCCTGGCGTGTGCGAAGCGATGTTATCTACATGTAGGGATCCTACGAGCTCGCCATCTGAGGTGAAGAGAGGTGATCCTTTCACCCACTGTAGTGGACGCTCATGGCGTGGCAGCGCCTTTGATGAGGGATCCTGCTTCGGCTCCAAAGGGGGTGGAGGACCCGTGATGAGGCGGATGGATAAGGCTTTGAACAGGATAACAGGATGTATAGGGAATGTTCTATTTCAGTCAGCAAGCACTGTGAATGGCTCAAGTCAAGGGGCAGACGCTTACGGAAGTTTAGGGACAGGCCCTTTATTCTCTTCTCGGATCGATTCAATCGCCCTCCTCGCACTGCGAACTCGAGCATCCAAAGGTTCGTCATTGTCATCGGCCACAATCTCCTGTACCTCTGAAGCAGACGTATTTCGAAACTCGTAATCCAGCTCGTCTCCCTCGCGTCTCACAGTAGTCGGACCAGAGAGCTCTCGTGCTTTGCAGTTACGCGCCGCTGTCGCCACGGTAAGCAGGGGACAGCTATTCAGGAGCCATACTTACTGGATGCACGATAGGTCACCCAAGAGATCAAGAGCAACCAGGAAATATCTTGCTTGATGTTGTAGGCCCACTTGTTGACCTCGGCTTGGCTGTTGATCTCGTCGTCCGAGTAGATGCCTCCTCCTCCTATCCCTTGACCGTATCGCTTGCCCTGTGTGAAGCACGGGAGGGGAAATAATAGAGACCAAGGTGAATGACTGGCTAAAAGAAAGGAATCTTGGAGATTTCGCGACTGTTTGAGGAATTCCACAGTCTCGTCGGTGAGTGCGCGCGCGTATCGGTTGGTGAATCGTTCAATTCGGCTCGGCTCGTTATATTCCTCGATGTTATCTACCTCGCTTACTGTCCCTCCTCTCGTCCAAACATGCCACTGGATCAATGTTCTTTTTTGAATCCAGTCGAAAAGCCTTTCAGCTGCCTGGTCGTCATGGCCTGGCCCCAGACGAGTCTCGGGCGCCCAGCTTATTGGGCCCGACCAGCCTGCCCAAGAGTAGCTCGCAAACCCAGGTCGTCGTCGCAATTTACCGTCCGTGGATAGAAAGAGAAGCGCCAGGTTGAGGTAATTTGCAGGAAGCCCGTCGGCATACCACGATGTCAATTCACCCCCGAGTTGGCGTAGAATACCAGAGAGCGCCCGAAGAGCGTCGCCGCCGTGCCCAAGTGTACGGTCCGAGTAATCCTCACACAGCTTTTGATAGACATCCCACGCAGCCAGATTTCCAGATCCAGGTCTTGCGATTCGCAAGATACTGTCATCATCAAAGTCTACCCATTTCTCTTGAAGATCGGCGGCAGTCTCCTCGCACCAGTTGGCTTGCGTGCATCGGAAATACACCTGGTTGTTGACAAAGATGAGAGTTCGCCGAGAAAGAACTAGCTCCTGCAGTACCCATCCTTGCTGGTTGTATGCGCTGTTTTGTAGATGCCAGTACATGCTGTGGACAACGGCGATCTTCATCCTCGGATTGAGCTGGGCAATGTGCTGGGAGAGTTGCCTTGAGCCAGGCCTGACTCCCGGTATACCCGATTGCGCATCTGTTCCAGATGCAACAACAATCGCAAAGTGTGATCCTCGAAGGATGGAGTTCATCATTTCGATACCACCTTTCATGTCCCGTGGGTGGTCCTGAATGAGGCAGAGCGCGTCTACCCAGAGATACCTTTCGCCCAGAGATCTCGCAAGCTCCATAGCATCAGCTATGGTCCGCGGCAGCTCTGTAGCAATCTCGTCCAGTGCCCCAGATGTTTGGAGGAAGTCGAAGTTGCTTTGGAGGAGCTTGTAGGCGGGCGATTGGCCCCGGACGTAGCTCAATGTCACATATCGGGTACCAAGCGGCATGTACCGAACACACTTGGTCTCAAGATCTAGCAGTCGAAAATTGGACGTTTTCTCCTCATTTATTGACAAGGTTTTGTACTCTATGCCCTTCTGATCTGCTTGTTAGGTGAAATGTGTCGAATCAGGGTGTGTCCTGCTGCTTACCACTTCGGTGGGCATCAAATGGCTTGGGACTGGAGTGAACTTGATGTCTCTCTGAAAGAGGGTTCCATTAGTCTAAATGGTATCAAGTTGGTTTGGTAATTAGAGTACTTACAAGGAACAGAGGAAGGTGGAAGCAAGAGTCTCCGTGCTTCTCCTCACATTGCTGCAGCCATGAACGAACAAGCGATGTTGAAACGTGTTCTTCTTTGACCTCTCTTGCGATGTAAGGGCCCTGCTCTGGGTTAAGTTTCTCGGTATTGTTCTCAACAAAAAAGATTCTTGTTCCGTATAGCGAAGGATGCGAAAGCCGAAGGCAGTGTTCCCCTGGGTGAATGGTGATGCGGACTGGTTCAGCCTCGGGGGCTTCAAGTCCTGGATCTTTGGCGGCGGAGTTGAGAACTGCCTCGTTGAATGCTTTCAGGATTATCTGACAGAAAGGGCAGTCTTTTCTCTCCCGGAGCTCCCCAAGTGTTCCTAGCAAGAAGCCATCAGCGCCGAGACCAAGCGCACTTCTCAATTGATCATGAGAGGGCACGTCGCTATTAGAGGCGCCAATGCCTCGAACAGCTTGACATAATTCCGTACAATGACCGATGCCAATGTCGTTTTCGCTTCTTGACATTGTTCTTTAATCTCGTATGGTTTCGCTGCGTGTTGGCAAAGTGAGGATGTGAGGTCAGATTTGTCGTCTGACTTGCTGACAGCATCCGCATGAGCGGGGAACCAGGCTTCGGAGAACACTGGTTCACCTCTGCTGACAACAGACTGAATCGATCATATGTAGACCTAAAATGCTATTATGTTCTAGGTTACCACGTTTTATGGCATTAGGCTTCGAGGCAATTACGTGTTGAACTATGTTCTTTGTCAATGTGACTGATGTTCTTATTGAGAGGCTGTTTCAGGCTGTAAAGTTCCGGACACGACGCGATCATAGCGCCGTAAAAGGGTCAGGAATAGCATAAACTCTTGTTCCATGGTGATAAATTCTACAAGTCCACAAGCATGGGAACCACAATGAATCCTAGCAGTTTAACGTGGTTTATCTTGCTTGGAAAGAACCAATGCCTGCGAGTGCCAAGATCGTGGGAATACCCTGGAGCTTCCTGGATGTTGGATCGTCTCTGGGAACTGTGGGACAATTGGGCACTTTGATTGGGATAGCGGAAGGGACGTTGACTCTTAAATCTAGGAGTTTAAGATAGACACGGGCCTACCTAAGGGTCATCCATAAAGGACGGTGTCTGCTTGTTCAACGGGAGCATAAACCCCGGGGGGTCCGAACTATAAACCAAGCTATCATATACATAGTAGACGCAAGAGTGTGAAGAACTGCATTGAAGATTCTGCTACAAGGGGGAGATGAGAGCCTCAAGCAGCTTACTCATGAAAGTAATTAGACCAAATACCGAGCAAACCAAGACCTGTGTTCGTCTTCCAGCACGGTTCATTCACGTGCAACTGCTCCGAGACGATAGCGGCACATCCTTCTAGAAACGGGCGCATCCACCGCCGCTCAAAGTGCCGTTGGCCCCCCAATGTGTGGTGTGACAGTGGCAGTTCCAAGACGTCACAGTATGAGTTACTATGGAGAATTTTCTTCAAAAGGATCAAAGAACACACCGATCAACAACTCGCGTCTTGGCTACTTGGCAAAGTGGCTAAACAAACAGGCAGCAAAATTAAATCTGCAGACCAAGACAGCCAAGTCGGGGTATACTGGAGTTGATCCACTGTTGGCTCTGGGCATAAAAGTTTTGCAGGTCAGGTGTGTTTCTATATGCTGGGCAATTGCTCTGCTGAATGGCATGTGCAATGAGGCCCTCTGCTTTGCTCTTGTTCAATGCCCAATCCAATGCTGGTGGTGTTTACACGCATCAACCCGATGCCAACTCGAAAATTAAACAAAAAAGAAGAAAGGATTCGGCATCTCCGCGATCATCCTTATTCCCTCCCAAACCCGTTCACACTAAAAACCATCATTTGACGTCAGGCTCATCAGGGCGGTTGTGAAATGGTGACGCATGCCTAGGCAGCGCCAAGAGGACAGCCCTCGCGTGAGTGCTAACCATTTAAGCTTAACTGGCTTGGCGGATTGGTTGCGGGCGCCACTCCCGGCTAACCGACGTGGTAGATCTTCTTGTCGATCATTTTGTTGGTGGGCGATCTGACGTCGTTGGATCTACGGGTGAGGGTGAGGCTCTTTCTCAGGTGGGAGTCTGAATTGAGTTTTCGTGTCGGAAATATTCAACTTGTGTCTATCATTACAGATATCATAGGTGATGATAGTTGTATACGAATATGCTGTACTCTGAGTGACTTGGCAGCAATTAGATCGCCAAGCTGTTCAATGTTTCACTTGCATGAGCCTGCCGCGTAATTATCACAGTCGGGCAACAGAACAAACCCACAAATCCAAGGCAACAGAATTAAACCAACAGCTCCTGCAGTTCATCACATCTTGAACAACGTCATACCTCGGATTGCCCAGACTGGGATTCACCGAAGTTTCGGCCGTCAACAGCCAAAGAGAGCGACGCTCGTACTCGACGATCAATCTTGGCGAGAATCCACCAACACTTTTTTTCTCCACATGAGCCAACATCCTTTTCAAACGCCTGATTTATGTGAGGGAAGTGGTTCTTTTGTTCATGGTGATGGGATTGCATATAATAACTGGGCCGTGCCCATCCTTTTTGACAAAACAGAGATTTTGGAGTTGCAACTTGTTACGCCTGGGGCCCCAGATTTACCCCAGAGTTCCCATGTCATTGGTATAAAGGTCAAAGCCCTTACCAAGTCTTTACTTCAAGTCTTCATTGTCACCATTGCTCAGCCGGCACAATGCCACCTCCACGGGTAGATGATGAAGCTCCCTTCCAGGAGTACGGCGACAACAGCCACCGAAACTCCAGCAATGGCACCCACGACGAAAAGGTGACGACCGGCGAGCGCCGGGCGTCTACAGCTGCCCTGCTACGCAACCCCTTGATGGGGCTGAGCAGAGACCAGGTTCTCGCTGACGTTGATGCCTTTGTCGAGGAGAAGGGCCTGCAAGAGCACCGCGAGGATTTCCGCAAGGGAGCTCTCGTCGCGCAAGTCAACAACCAGGCTGGCGCCTTTGAGCGGATTGATATGCTCACGGAAGAGGAGAAAGGTATTCTTCGAAAGGAAGAGACTCATCGTTGGCACCAGCCCTTTGCACTTTACTTTCTCTGTACTCTCTGTGCGGGATCAGCTATTGTGCAAGGTATGGATCAGACGACAGTAAACGGAGCCCAGGTATGTTTCTCTCACCCATCCATTCATCTCAATGGTCTAATGAAACAAAGGAATTCTACTTTGTAGAGTTTGACATCACCAATGTTTGGATGAAGGGATTCACCAATGGAGCTCCCTACCTCTGCTCTGCCCTCATCGGATGCTGGACCAGTCCCATTCTAAACAAGTGGACTGGACGTCGAGGAACAATCTTTATCTCTTGCCTTATGTCTACTGTTACTGGCTTCTGGATGGCTGCGTCTACATCGTAAGTTGTCCTTGCCTTGTGCATAGGATTATCCACTAACAAGCTGCCAGTCTTGGAAACTTTCTTGCTGCTCGTTTCATGCTCGGGTTTGCCGTTGGCGCCAAGTCTAGCACTACACCTGTGTACTCTGCAGAGTCTACGCCTAAGAACATCCGTGGCGCACTCACTATGATGTGGCAGGCAAGTTAAATCCCACTTAGTATCAGCTACCCTCACTAACTTGTACCTACAGATGTGGACTGCTTTTGGTATCGCCCTCGGCTTCATCGTCTGCGTAGCCTTCCAAAACGTCACAATCATCGGCGGTGAAACATCACCCTGGCGTTGGATGATGGCATCCACCTCAGTCCCCCCTCTCATCGTCATGCTTCAAGTCTACTTCTGCCCCGAGAGTCCCCGCTGGTACATGGAAAAGGGCCGCTTTGACAAGGCCTACCGATCAGTGAGGCGACTGCGCTTCTCTGGTGTCCAGGCTGCACGAGACATGTACTATGCCTACAAGTTGCTTGAGATTGAACGTGGTGAGCGAGAGGGACGGAACTTGCTCAAGGAGTTCTTTACTGTTCGTCGAAATCGACGTGCGGCTCAGAGTGCTTGGTTTTGCATGGTAAGTTTACAGGACACTCTTCCTTAGTTGAACACTCTCTAACATTCATCGTTCTAGTTCATGCAACAATTCTGTGGTGTGAACGTCATTGCATACTATTCGACTTCCATCTTTCAAAACGCCAGCTACAGTCTGTCCGAGGCTCTCCTCGTGTCCATGGGCGGCGGCATCATCAACTTCCTGTTTGCCATCCCGGCAATCTACACGATTGATACTTTTGGCCGCCGCAATCTGCTGCTGGTCACGTTTCCTCTCATGGCAGCCTGTCTCTTCTTCACCGCCGGGACATTCCAGATCGACGCGGGCAACGCCTACAGTCAAGCCCGAATCGGTTGCATCACCACAGGGTTATATCTATTCATGGCCGTCTACTCGCCCGGTCTAGGTCCAGTGCCATTCACGTACAGCGCTGAAGCATTCCCTCTTCACGTACGAGACATTGGCATGGCCTCCAGTACCGCCATAACATGGGGATTCAACTTCATCATCAGTCTCACATGGCCACCCCTGACGGAGAAAATCACAGATACTGGTGGCTTCTGTTGGTACGGAGCATGGAACATCTTTGGCTGGATTTTCTGCTACTTCCTCCTCCCAGAGACAAAGAACCTGACTCTGGAAGAACTCGATAACGTGTTCAACGTCACCAACCGGGAGCATGCTGGGTACTACAGCAGGAAGCTGCCCTGGTATTTGAAGAAGTACCTCCTCCGCCAAGATGTCCTTCCTTTCCCTCCTTTGTACGAGTTTGCGGCCAATGATGGGTATTATCCCAACGAGAAGCCGTCTACACGTCATGCGGAGAACTACACCACCAGGACAAACTCTGAGGACGACCAAGTCCTGGCTGGGCGTAATTAGATAAAACGCTCGGGGGTCAAGGTTGACAACCATCAACGCGTTCTCACATGAGTTTCCTACATGTATTTGTATCACTGAGGGCAGTGGGCTAAAATGCCCTGGCTGGGAGGATTGAACTTTGGATTGATGCTATCTCGAGGCTGGTATTGACCAGTTGTTTTGCATGCAGTCGGGAATTACGGTTGTTTAGTTATGATAGCGAATGAAACAAGATAACCACAGTTTCTTTTTCTTCATTTCATGTCGTTTGCTTGGTCGCTGTTGTGAATTCAGAGCTGACTTGTACAGATTGGCTATGCTGAAGTCAAATTGCACGCTCAATGACAGGTCTGAATTTGGGCTCAAAACAAGTCAAGAAAATAAAAAGACCATAACCTCTGATGAAAGTCTCGTTAGATTGGAGCAGGCTTCTCATTTGAAGTTTCTCTCTTCAAACAAGCATTTCAGCAAGCATGGCATGACCTTGGAGATGCGAAACCGAGAAAATGGTACGCTCTGCGGTGGCTAGCATTTCTCTCCATCTTGTGGAGCTGCGCGTTGATTGTTCTCATCGTTTGCTTTGCCCTGCTCTCTGCTGGCAGGTTTGGCTTCGAGGATAGCTCATATCACCTAGATGGCGAGTTCAATTCTTTTCGCAGCAGCTTCAACTATTGGGCGCTCAAGGGGACGTTTCAGATCACGTTGAGGGTCGGAAATGTTGATTTTGCGACGGCAAAGATCATCGACGTGATATGGGATCTCGTGAGTCTTGGACTGGAATCTGGGCCTGAAAACGGCTGATAGCTGATATATTGTAGGTGGTTGGTTGGGAAGGGTAGACAATGCTCGCTTTGATATCATGGCAGGCATTCTCCGACTACCTTGTCGTTTTCATCATAACCAAGCCTGCTACCTCCACGACTGTGTGGCTTCTGAGATTTCAGACACGGGAAGCAACATTTTCCTGTTCTCTTTCACCCTCATTGTCAACTATCATAATTTTAGCGTGTTTTCTCCAATAAGTTGAACCAAAATGTTAAGATGGTTGTCGATCACCACCCGAGCCTCGGTCTTGATCACATCACGTTTCGAGAGCCTTCCACCATCGGCTTTTTCAACACCTATCAAACCCCTACTCGGACAGGTGAACGATCTAAAAACTCCGATTTTTCTGAGACATGCTCAAGTTGAATTCCGACTATCGATGCCAAAAGCTGGTCTAGGCCCGCCCCTAGCGGAGGAACTCGTCTCCAGCGGAGGAGGCTGCGGAGCAATATCCCGCCGACTCATGGGCCAGTCGCTGCTTTGGGTAAATAGTTCATTTCACCTACGGAGACGGGCCTCGGCACGATTTTGATGGTCGGGACGTGTTTTTTGATCCGTAATTCCACACTAAATCTCAATAAATATTGTCCTAGATTTGTCGTTTTGAAGAACATCTTGTCACCTATGATCTAGGTATCTCAGTTTCTACACCAACACATCATCGCCATGGCGCAATCACCACTCTCCCAGCCACTAACGCTGCCCTGCGGCTTGACCTTGCCAAATCGACTAATCAAGGCGGCCCTCGCCGAGCAAACGGCCGACTGTCAACAACTTCCCACACCAGCTCAATTCACTCGAACATACGGCGCATGGGCGGATGGCGGTTGGGGCATGATCATGACTGGCAACGTCCACATTGACGAAAAGTTCCTCGGAGACCCTGATGGCACAGCTATGAACGGAAGTATCGCAGAGGAAAAGGTTATCGCGGCGTATAAGGGGTTGGCTGATGCTTGTCGACGGGCAGGAACACCGGCCATCATGCAGATTAACCACCCTGGTCGACAGTCCCCGCTAAGAGCTGGAACAAAATCATTCTGGACTAAGAATCTTGCGCCAAGCGCTGTACCTTTGGACATGGGTTCGGATTTGGTGTCAAGGTTGGCGAGCTGTGTTGTCTTTGGAACACCCAAGGAGATGACTCTCGAGGACATTGAGACTGCCATCCAACGCTTCGCCAACGCGGCAAGGATCGCAGCAGCAGCAGGCTTCGACGGAGTAGAAATCCATGCTGCTCATGGATATCTGCTTGCACAGTTTCTCTCAGCAAAGACCAACCTTCGAACTGATGCCTACGGAGGATCAGTGACAGCCAGAGCAAAGATTGTCGTCGACATCATCAAGGCTGTTCGCGCTGCTGTTCCCCCAAACTTTTGCGTTGGGCTCAAGTTTAACTCAGCGGACCATCAGTCTCCAATTGAGTTGCAAGAGTGTCTTGAGCAGACTGCTTTCATTGCCGAGGCTGGCCTGGACTTTTTGGAGGTCAGCGGAGGAAGCTATGAGAACCCAACAGTAGGATTTTCCCGAGTCTGAAACAAATAGGTTTGAAGCTGACACATAGTGCAGATGATTATGGGAACTGAGCAAGTTGCCAAGTCAGAAAAGACAGCAGCACGAGAGTCCTTCTTCCTGGAATTCGCCCGCGAGATGAGAGCTAAGCTCCCCGACATGCCACTTATGGTAACAGGAGGTTTCCGTACTCGTCTAGGCATGGAAGCAGCTCTGAAGGAAGGAGCATGCGACCTCATCGGCATCGGAAGACCATCGGTCCTAAACCCCTCTCTTCCAGTCAACACCATCCTGAACGCCGAGGTCAGCGACGAAGATGCCAAGTTATACGCGCGCAGGGTACATGCCCCTTGGCTTCTGAAGAAGTTTGCGCCGAGATCAGTTGGTGCAGGTGTTGAAAGCGTAAGTTAGGATATCCGCAAAGTTGTGAATAGTGCTGACTCTTGGTTAGGCGTGGTATAGTAAGCAGATGCAAGAAATGGGGAGAAAGTAAGAGAGGTTGAACCCTGTCAAGCAGTCACTATTTCATATGTCTTGTAACATTAGAGCTATATAATTAGAATCTAGAACCTGATTCGTTTAGAACAGAACGCGGAGAATTCAAAGCATTGCTTAAACTTAGTTATAAGTGAAGTTTCAGTCGATAAGAATCTTGACTAAGTCGCCTATGACCTTTGACTCGATATGTAACCAAACGATAAAGAAGCAATACTCTTCCTCTTGGCACAAGTTAATAGGCATAAAAGAGCCTCTCCTCATTGTTCTCCCGTCTGATCTTGCGGTTCTCACGAATCAGCATCCACCTCATAAGCCAAGCCAACAAAGCCGAAGCAGCAGAAAACGCGGCACTGCTCGACATGGCAATGGTATAGCTGGGTGCATCCGACTTGGGCCACAGATACTATAAGAGTTAGCACCGGGTCCGTAGATACAACTTTGAAAACTTACAGGCGTGTAAATGGGACCCAGCGTGGCGATGGTGTTCACTATAGCGAGGGAGACGGCCTTCTTCTCCTTGGTTTGGCCGCATGTGCTAGAGACCCAACCGAGGATGATGCTGTTGCAGGCGTAGACGCCGCTTGCAAAGGCGCACATGGCAAAGTAGCGGGCAGCTACGTTCATGGTGGTGCAGGCCAGGATGAAGCCAAAGACGGCGAGCACTTTGGCTGCAGTGATGTGCCAAGTTCTCTCGTTCATTCGACCTATTCGACGTCAGTGTGATGTTCTCTGTGTCGAATCGTCAAAACATACCAGAGTTGGCAGCCCATGCAATGCATACAATGCCAGAGATGATGTACGGCGGACAAGTCAAGGCAAGAGTAGCATTCCGGCCAAAGCCCAATGTGCCCACAATAGTTGGAAAAAAGTTCTTGAAATTGCTGGCGGCCATATGAAAATGTTGCATGAAGATGAGGACCCAGAGTCGAGGATCTCGACAGGCGTCGATGAGGCCGGCCCAGGTTGTCGTGTTTGTCTTGATCTGTACTGTATCGGCCGCGACTCGCGAGTGGGCTAGTTCTCTTTCCTCCTCTGAGAGCCAGCGTGTATTGATGGGTTCATCTGGAAGGATCCAGGCTGACATGACCGATATGACAAAGGTGATTATGCCTTGGAGGATGAAGAGCCATCGCCACCCAGAAAGGCCTGCTACGCCACTCATTTCGAACACCCCAATAGCGATGAGACCAGCAAACGCCGTTCCGCAGATGTTGGCTGTGAAGAGGATCGAGATTCGAGTGGCAATTTCCTTGCGTGTATAGAAAATCGAGAGCATGTAGAGCGCGCCGGGGTAAAAGGGGGCTTCGGTGATGCCAAGGAAGAATCGTGTGAGGAGGAGACCCTTGAAGTCCTTTGCGATGGCGGTGAGTGTGCTCACGACGGCCCAGAGGGCCATGGCCCCGGACATGAAAAGGGAAGGTCGAAGACGGGTCATGAGCATGTCTGAGAAAGGTCAGCGAGGGTACAGCTATGGGAAGAAAGGGTGACGAACTAGATGGAATCTGTCCGAGGATATATCCCACAAACAGGATAGAAACACACGTCTGATACTCTGTGGAAGAAAGGTTAAGCTCTTCCTCCAGGTTATCCAGCCGAGCCACGGTGATGGCATTCCGGTCAAGGTAGTTGAGCCAATACATGATCCAGAGCATAGGGAGAATGATCCAGTCCAGTTTTCGAACAAGTCTGATCTCTGCTGGATTGGTCTTGCTGCGAGCGCCTGTGTCATCTCTCGCCGCAGAAGCACGACTTTCATGCTTCTCCAGGTGATCACACTGGCCCTTCTCCTCGTCATGGGCCAGCCGTTCAGCGCGCGGAGCCTCAGACATGTCGATGCGTATGTTTATACAATATAGGGAGTAGAAGAAGTGATGAGCTTGATGAGAAAGTCTCCATGATAGAGAGGCGAGTCCTCTTGATATAGGCCTCGAGGAGCAACCGGTGGCCATACCCAGAGTTCAGATTACCCCGGACTACCCCGCGTTGCGCTAGTGATGCCGGCTGGATAACATGTTCCCCGCCTGGAAACAAGGTTCACGGACTTTGGCTTGCTAGTCACGCTCCATGTAGGTTGCCCATAGCTTGGCTCGGTTTTGGGGCGTTGAGAGGGTTTGTGTGAGCCAAAGCACCAGGCTATCTGTTCAATAAACCAAATGAAATAGCCTTGAAAGCCCCAAGGTACGGATTGAATATCTTCTTCGAACATGCCGAGGGAACTTGTTGCCCAAGCAGCATACGAAAGGGGTTTCAAGACATGGACAACATCGCGCAGATCAGCCCCGTCTTCTCGCCCATGGATCCAGACTAGACTGAGCCCCTGCGCCATTACCTCCTTCCAACGAGAACCTAACTAAGCGCGATCGTATGAGCCGTGTTTGCCGTTGGTGTTGTTCCGGCTAAGGGCGGGCTGATCCGGACCGGGGTGGATATCGATGGCCCGGAGAACATACCGCCTGAGAGAGGAGTGTTTACCAAGCCATTTCCCCGAACTTGTGATTGGATACTAACTGCTAGCTCATGTATAACAAAGAACACATCATTGGCATTGGATACGGTCATGAGCATGAGGTGGATTGGATGAATTATCCCAAGACGGCCAAGAGAAGCTCTCCCCCTGCCGCCCCATGCCAAACTACTCGGGGCCCAGACCAGGGAGGCTCCAGAGAAAGTTGAGAGAATCAATATCCAACCCTAGGGACAGCTGGTCACACCCTCCTCCAAATGGTGCGATGCTAGAATCAAACGGAAGCGAGACCCAAGTGTCCCCCGCGTCAAAGCCCACAAATCCGAGGTCATCTTCAGATGTTCCCATCGTTGCCATGTACCCTTCTGTCCCCTCCGTTTCGTTCTCGCCAGCGCCGTTAGTAGGTAGGGTCCGAGCATGATGCTCCCCAGAGCCTTGCCCTCGACTCGAGGTAAGATGAGCCCGGAATTGGGCAGTATGCTTCTCTATCAGGGCTGCATACCTCAACGCAAAATCCATATCATCGGGAGGAGATGAATTCAGCGTAGAAGTGCACTGATCCAAGACATACAAAGCATCGTTCACATCAGTGTGTGTAGAACCGACACTCAAAGCCTTGAGCAGAAACACAGACGAGCTAATGACGCTGATCTTTACGCGGGCTGGTGCGTAGGGGAGATGGGCTTTAAAGTCACTCATGGTTGCGATGCGGAGCAACTTTTTGCTGTCCGAGATGACCTCCTGCAAGAACCTGGCATCTTTTGGAGTTATGAATGCGGATAAGACCTCGTCTGGGTCTGTGTTTGTGGTTGTGAAGCCGGCGGATGATGCCCGTGAGACTACTGCTTGGATTGAGATGGCTCCCGTGCAAGCCTTGAGGTGGTGATACTCGATGAGGAGGGAGTCTCTGAGCGGTTCGTTAATGCCTACTCGTTTGATCAGCTCACAGAACAATGGCTATACGAACTACTCCTACCTTTGCACACAGAGTCGTATTTCTGCTGCCATTTAGACAAAGATGCTGAAAAGTGCTCCAAAAGGTCCGCGTAATGATCACCTAGAACCTGACTCTGAAGATGTGCAGCAGATTGAAAGAACATGGACGACGCCGTACGTGATAGTTGAGTCAGCTCCAAGCTCAAATCCATGTAGGCCATCCAAGATCGATGAGCAGGCTCGTCCGAGTTCTGCATTGGAAGTCGTGAAGCAGTGACAGCTATGCTCTCAGGAAACACGGAGGGGTAGCCTAACCTTGTGGCCGTCTGTGTCAGGTAGACATATAGAAGCTTTTGTACCCTGAGACTGCGGATTACTTGCAGTTCTGTTGATCTCGAAGCTTCGGGTCTTTGACTTGAAATAATCCCGAGCTCGTATGCAAGGTTATTGGCCATTCCCAAGAGCATCCAGGACATTCTATTTGCCCGCTTAGCGGGCTCAAAGACGTCGTCCTTCCACCTAATAAGAGGAGCCTCGTCGTTCATCCTCCTACGGTTCACAGGATCATAACCAGGTGATATGAGTAATGCATCCCAGCCATCGGTTTCCGGAGGGAAATGCAAGGCTCGGGGGTGCCAGTCGGATATCAGCATCAGGCTCTCAACGGTCCCGATCGCTCTCGTCTTTGCCGTCGAGGTCTTTTCCTGGCCGAGCAAAATCCGTTTTATGAGCATCTCGCAGTGACTCCAGAGGCGTTGGTGGATATTATGACTTCGTGAAGTACCGCCGGCTCCGGGGAGCATGAAGAATCGTGAGGCTATGGTGAGGATGGTACAGCATAGCATGGCTTCTTCGTGAATCAGGTGCGTGTGGGCTGAGTGGTTTCGAAACTGGTCGACAATGACGGGCGAAAGAGGCTGCAGTTTCTCAAAGAACCTATCACTGTCAATTGAAGCCAGGAGGATGGGAAGCTGGGACTTACAGGTCCATGTACGTGACAGCTTCTTGAGCTGTGAACAAGCCCTGACGCACGAAGCGACATTTGTCCCACAGGTCCAAGGTGGAATCTTCGGGCTCCGACAAGGCTGTGATCGTGAAACCCACCCCATTGAAGCCTCCAGGTGTAATTTTTGGTCCATTGGTCGGCTGGGATGGCGTTGACGCGGCGACACTGCGTTGTCGGTCGACTGCATCTGACAGAATATCCAGGGCATCATTGGTGCCCGTCACAATGCTCGACCTCACTCTGTCGTAAAGAGAATGGCCTGTGTTGTTTGGCGATTGCGAGAACCCTAAAGCATCTCCCTGGTAACCACCAAGCGACACGTCGAGCTGCTTAGGCGACGCGCCAGGTAGCTGAACTTCAGGAAGGGGACGTTGACGGGACGTCGTCGCAGCCTCCTGCTGTGTCCATTTCGGAGGTTCACGGTGCTTTGGTCCTCTTTGACGATGATCAAACCGACACTCTCGATGCTCCCTCTCACACTTGGTACACGGAGGCTTATCCTTGACGATGCACCTCGACTTGCGAGTTCGGCACGACACGCATGCGACATAGCTCCGCTTGAAGGAGCGTTGATTACCAGAAGGACCGGGACTCTCCATTGTGTGGGAACAAGGAAATTCTATCAGAAAGATCGGACCTTGTTGTCGGGGTCAAGATCGCAGGGGAAGTTGAGGGGTCGTATCCGGGGCCGCGAGTATCCGCGTCGGTCCGGCCCCATCCGGCGGGGTCCGGTTGAGCGTGGGAATATCAGAGGAGGAAGAGACGCCACGGTCAGTCAATCGAGTGTTTGAGACATTCCTGTACAATCATGACGTCTGAAAGGTAAGCACAGCAGATGCGGAGAGAGAACCAAATGGCGCCGATTATCGGAGGGTGTCTCGAGCATGACGACAGCATCTCTGGTATAAAGTTGGCGGCATGTGAACCTCATACAAAGCATCAATCGGATATCATCCAAAGAAACATCACACCTTTTCCAAACTCGACCAAGAAACAACACCGCCAACATGTCCAAGTCCATCGTCAACACCAAACCCTACCCCTTCCACTTCGAGGCAAGCCAATACCCAGCCGTCCAACCCAGCGGCAAGGGCGTCAAGGTCGAATACTCCAACTGTCGCGGAGCTATCCCGTCCATCCAGGCCTCGCGTCTACGAGCCATGATGGGCGAGGCCCACGATGATCCCTCCAAGATCGTAGCGCACGTCTGCAGCTACGACGCCCTCAGCTCGCGACTTTGCGAGGAGGCGGGGTTCCCGGTTCTCTTCCTCGCTGGATATGCCATGGCTTCGGCGTTTGCGCTTCCTGATACTGGGTACATTGCTTATGGAGAGGTTGTGAATAAGATCCAGGAGGTTTCCAGAGCGACGACGGTTCCTATTATCGCAGACGGTGACACAGGCTACGGCAGCCCTATGAATGTCCGCCGAACTGTTCAGGGGTAAGTCCAGACTGCGAAGCTGTGTCTAATATCAGTGATGTTAACGGCTGGTGATAGATTCGCGCTGGCTGGAGCGGCAGGCATCATGATTGAGGACCAGACTTGGCCAAAGCGTGAGACATCCCACCAATTCCAGCCCTCCATCATCTAACCTCTTATTCCAGGGTGTGGCCACACCGCCGGCAAGAGTGTCGTCTCCAGAAGTGAAGCATACGCAAGATGGCAAGCCGCCGTCGACGCCCGAAACGAAGGCCAAGACATCTGGATCCTAGCCAGAACCGACAGCCTCATCCACGGTTACGAAGAGGCCCTGACCAGAGCCCGCAAGGCCATCGAGATTGGCGTCGACGCCGTTTTTGTCGAGGCTCTTCCCGACAGAGAGTCCATGGCCCAACTTCGAAAGGATCTCAACTTTCCCGTGTTTGCCAATATTATCGAGGGAGGAAAGACGGAGAATTTGTCGGCAAAAGATCTTGCTGAGCTTGGATATTGCGGAGTCGCCTACCCTTGGACTCTGGTGGCTGCCAAGTTGAAGAGCATTCGCGAGACGCTTGAAGGTGTCAAGGGATCGCTGCTTGTCGGAAAGCCCCCGGTTGTGCTGTCTTATAGTGAAGTGTGCGATGGAGTTGGGTTCAATAAATACTACGAGCAGGAGGAGAAGTACAAGTATGAGGGACGGACGAATGGTGCTAATGGCCACCAGTGGAAGGATTAAATGAGGCATCAAAGAGATTAAGGCTTGTAGGGGGAAGGTGTTGGAAGAAACGTTACGAGTTCAGGAGAACATTCAGAAATATCAAAGAAAGGGCTTTGCCAGTCTCACAGATTGCCGTGTTCAGACCACAAGTTGTTCAGGTCAAAGTCGACGGAACAACTAAAGAACCCTTAAAAGTAAACTTGATCCGAATAATAAATTACGAGCCTCTTCTGCTCGAATGAAGACAAGTAGTTCACTCCAAGTCTGTGTGAAACAGACGTGAGGATTCCAACCACAGGTACATCAGAAAGCCAACGTGCGTGGCCGGACAAAGCAAACAACAGGCGTTGCAGAAACAGTCTATCTTCTATTCTCGAGGCTGACATAACTTTTACGATGAAACTACCATTTGCTTCATAAAGCAAGTTTCACAAAGTGCCCGTATGGGCATGGCTTTGGTTGTTGCAGAGGGCCAGTGCCAACTTGTACAGAACCTAACCAGGAGATCATTTTCCATTCTACCCTCGCGAGTGACGTCCCCAGTCATTTTCCAAACTTGGACACCTATAATGATGCCATATCCAGCCTGGAAGCTTCTGCAAATTCGCACTTGCGCCGTCTACCGCTCGGTCGCAGAGTTGTGAAGGCTGCAGTAATGTTAATACCAGAGCATGCCCGAGACTGTTGGGCACACATACCTGATGTCATCCTGGTCAATGACAGGCTTGTCCTCTTCTTCTTCTTGGACCTTGCGCACATTTACCGGTCCACTGTTGGAAACCAGTGTGAGCTTCTTCGCATCTGAGCCCTCCTCCTCAACATTCTTTCGCTTCTTGCCCTTGGCGCGGATCTCGCTGAGGTGCTCGAAGTAGCTCTCTGGCACATCTGTCTGGTACTTTCCAGAAAAGACTCCAACTTCAAAGTCCTTGATCTGGGTCTCGCCATCGATGGCATCGAGACAGGCGGCCTTGAGGTCATCCAGTGACTGGTAGATCAACTAAAGACTCGTTAGCGATGCACATTTGTAGGTGACAGATGGGTTACCTCATCGGCGCCAATCTCCTTGGCGATCTCCTTCACAGTCCTATTGTGAGCAACGAGCTCTGATTGTTCGGTTAATACGGTTCCAGTGAAAGCATATCACTACGTTCGACTTACGTGCGGGGTCGGCAAGATCAATGCCGTACTGCAAGAAGTTGCGTTAGCCAAAGGTCTTTACCTATCACATTGGCAATAAACCGAGCGAGTACAGTCCAACTTACCACATGGGGGTGTGTGATTTCAGGAGAACACGAAGCCAGGATGACCTTCTTGGCACCAGCTTCTCTGCTCATCAAAACCTGAAAGTCAAGTCAGCCACTTATCTTATCGGATAAGATGATCCCGCCAGTCCCGGAAGAGCATATCTTGGTGATTCGTGACCACCAGAAACAAGGTACATACAATTTCGCGCGATGTGTTGCCACGGACGATGGAATCGTCGACCAACAGGACAACCTTGTCCTTGAATTCGGACGCGATGGGCGACAGCTTTCGTCGAATGCCCTGTTGTCGTGCCTTTTGGCCCGGCTGCAACATTGTTAGTGCTGCCGACATAACCCCGGAGGGGGGCAGTAAGGGGTCGACAAACCATGATGAATGTTCGGAAAGTGTACCTGAGCAATTTATCAGTTACTGATTGAATGCGCAAGCTTTGATGCTTCTTACCTGTTCCTGACAAAAGCATTGGAGAGCGGCTTCTGCAGGCGGCTCGCCAGGGCGGCGGCGGATGTGTTGCTGGTCTTTTTGAGGGAGGTTCGTCAGTTTAACCGCTTGCGTATAGAAACCCATCGTGAGCGCTTACCTCGGGGATTGGAATAACTGTTCGACGTCAGTCAGTCAATCTGTCTAGAGTAGACTTGTCAAAAGGGGTTACTAACCAACATCAATCTCTTGGACACCCTTCTCTCCCAGCACATCCTTGACTCTCTCTGCGAGCCTCTCTCCCATGTTCTGCCGACTACGGTAGATGGAGATTCCATCTTGGGAGGAGTCAGGTCGAGAGAAATAGACCATCTCAAAAATGTCGGGGGTGTACGACTTCATCTCGACAATCTGTCGGAACTGGGGGTGGCCACCCTTCTGGATGAAAACAGCTTGTCCGGGCAGAATGTCGACAATGTTAGTAAAGCCGAGCTGGGTCAGAGCAACAGACTCCGAGGCCATGAAGTAATCCATGGTACCATCAAGAGTGGCAGAAGGTCGGGATCCGAGGCAAAGGGGGCGGATTCCATTCTCATCCCTGAAGGCATTAGTAAAAATTCCAAAACAAACACGCAGATGAATTACCTAAAACCGAGGACACCAAAGCCGGTGATCATGGCAACACAAGCAAAGCCACCCTTGCACCTCGAGTAGACTTCACGGAGGCCGGCGAAAATGTCGTCCACATTGGCTCGAGCCTTACCGAGCTCGTGCAGAGCGTGTGCGTAGACGTTGAGACTATCATATCAAGTTAGCAGATGCCAACAGAAGGTCGCCGGAGCAAATTAGCTTACAGAAGTTCTGAGTCGGAGTCGGTGTTGACATGGCGGTGGGCCTCGAGATCCAAAAAGCTGCGGAGTTCGGTGCTGTTGACCAGGTTGCCGTTGACGGCCAAACTCAAACCGAAGGGGCTGTCTGTTGGAAGGGGGTGTTGTCAGTAAACTGAAGAATCGCCTCTAGTTGTTCCTGGGGCGGTATAACTTACTGACTACAACATGTTAGCTTGAATTTTTCAGTGATAGATTGTCGGTCACTCACCATAGAAGGGCTGGGCTTCAGAACTACAGCAGGAGCCGTCAGCAGATACTCCTTGAACAGCAACAAGAGATGCTTACGCAGAAGAAGTTCCAGCAGTAGGGTACCGGACGTGAGAAATACCGGCGTATCCGGGCAGTGTCTCGGGGATACGGGCTGGTTCCTGGAAAACCTTGGAGGCCAGGCCGTTACCCTTCATCTGGTACAATCTTCCTCCCTGGCAGACTGTGATACCAGCAGCATCTTGTCCACGCTGGTACTGCCATCAGCATCATGATTAGAGTGATGTAAAATTGTGGGTACTCACATGTTGAAGATAGTAGATGCTCTCGTGGAGCTCGATACCAGCCGTGGTGGCTTTGGGATCGCCGAGCTGGGTTGAGGTGAGCCAAGGGTCTCATCAGCACGAGGACAGGGGTGGGAACTAACAAGAATGGCACTGATACCACACATTGTCGCGCAGGTGTATCGATTGTGACTCGAAAGAGGGTATGACCCAAGTGGTTGCGCAAACAATGACGCCCTTGTTGATGTTGCTCAACGCAGTGACCTTTTGTTCTTGAGGCGAGATTGAGATTTTAGTGGGCACTGAAAAAAGCTGCAAGCACCGGACACCGGACACCGGAGGAGGGTGGGGCGGATCCTGCTGCCTCAGGCCCGAACCTTTCCACTCGTCGCGGGTAGTCATGATTGCCTTTCCCAAAACTCTTTCGACACCAGAAGTATTAAAATTAGGAGTTTAATGGTTGTCCATCCGTGGTCTATCAATATCTAGTTCATTGTCAAACAAAGACAATGGCCCGAGAATGCGAAACCGGCATTTGGGGAATTTGTGTCGGTACGCCGATGCAAGAACCCCAATTGGGTCCCTGCCGCAGGGCAAGGGCCTATCGCGCACGGCGAACACGATGGGAACCAGGATCAGAGATAGATAGCCCGAGGTCTTGGACCGAAGGCGGGGTTGTCTCGGGCCAAGCTGGTTGGGGCTCAGTGGCGCGCGATTAAAGAGTCATGATGGCAACCTCCAATGTGCGATAGTCCATTAACAACCACATACCTGTCTAATGGTCTGGGTATTATCAGGGACTTCGATGAGCTTCAATTTCACTTCTTACTTGGAAGCTTGCATTGATCTTCAAAATACCCTTCCAGCGCTCAACGTCCAATGGATAAGAATATTTTGAAGGATGCAACTGACTCGCGATCTCAACGGTCTCTGTTCGGCGGACGATTGGCGAAGACGGGCCGGAGAATGATCCGCAGCCACCCTAGAGTGGAACACCAAACAAACTTCGCTGAACTTTGTCATCGCAAAGGCGAACACAAAAGGGCCAGATCATGTAAGTCCCGGGTCAAGAGGTAGCAAGTACGTTGACTCTCCGATGGTACCTTACGAGGGTGTTCTACCATTGAGATTCATGACAAAGAAGCCAAGAACGTGGCCAACTGACTTCCAGAGTTGAATCTTGAAACTATTTTTACATCCAGAGAACGCACTGAAACCGAACACACGTTGCCATTCTTGTCGTAACACGAGATCTAGTTTCACTTAATATTTATCTCCTTGCACATGGCTGAGCCCCTTCCGCTCTTCCAAATTAGACATGCTTGGTCAAAGGGAGAAACAGAGGAATTCTAAGATAGCCTCGGTTCAATTATTGAACTGAAAGCGTGATAGGGATTTCTCTTGATTTCTCCTCATAAGCTGTCATGCCGACGCTATTCTTGCCCGGGGCACACCAAGTCTCTCAGCGAGAAGGGTGTCCAGAGGATTTTCGTTGAGGTACTTATCCATCATGGTAACTCCATCACTCCTCTACCTGTCACAATCAACGAGCTTTATTAGATGCAAGTCAGCCGAATTTAGGCCGTTGGAACACATTTGCCGGAGATGTAACAAGGCTCATGGCCCCTGAGGGGTACATGTGAACTGCTGTGTATCTTCAGCCGAACATCGCACATAGCACAGCCTCTGAAAGCCGGAACTTTCCCAAGCCCTCGATTCTAGTTCATGGTGATGCTCTCGGACCCATGCACCCATGGTTGGATGCCTCGCAAAGCCATAGATTTGATTCGACGGTCCAATCGAGCTCGGGATCCTCAGCCTTCTGTGATCCGCAAGCAATGATCATGTGGTAACGTCTTGACGTTGGTTCTTGTTCCACCTGATTGCACTGTGACACGTCTCTTCGTGGCTGGACTTTCGGGGACTTTTTGTCGCCACGTTTCATTGGTGAGTTGATTTGCGTCTTGAACCTTGGTCGGCTGTTTCCCGTCTGTCCTCTGATGCCATCTGAGGGCATGTTTACTGCCTTTGTTGAGAATGGTGGCACCGGTCCTAGAGAAAGACTTTTGTAGGCTTAGTTATGACTAGATAGGCTTGTTGCGGTTGTTGTGAACGGATATATAAGCCCCGTGGGCTTCTCGTTGAAACTTGAAAGTGACCAAGGCATATACAGCTATCCAGTCTTTGAAATTCCATAACTTGTTGTCATTACCATAGTGATCGAACCTCGTCACAAAGATGTCTGATCGCTCCCCACTACCCACACCGGAGGCACCTACCGGCACACCCTTGAGGATTCCTATACACCCTAGGCCTCCAGAAACCAACACTCAGCCCCTCATAAACAGCGCCGCCCCTGAGATGCCGCCTCACAAGCTCAACCACAGCAAGCGAGGGAAAGTCTCCAGCGCGAAATGGGAGGAACACAAAGATACCCTTTACAACCTTTACATTGTAGAAGGATTGACATTGGAGAAAACCATGACCTCCATGGAGAAGCAGCATGACTTTCAAGCCTCGTGAGTTCTTCTCTATAGATGTTTGACTCTGGGTACTAAGACTTGCCAGAAAAGCGATGTACAGACACCGTTTCAAATCCTGGGGGATGTTTAAGAAGTCGAGGAAGGCCAATGTTCATAAAGACGTCGCTCGGCACCCGGAAGAGACGCAGAATAGCGACAGCGAGGTCTCATCTTCTGCCAACACAGTCTCTGGGACGCGAGTGCAACGCTATCTGACCAAGCACGGAGTGTCCATTCCGGAGAAAACCACCAGTACCGTACCGGCTTCCGACGCCAATGATGCGGGCTCGCCTATGGCCACGGGAACTCCAGCGAAGGCCCCAGCAGAGAAGGCATCTTGCGCGCTCTTCCTCCCGGCTGGCTTCAAAAGTCCCCTTGATTACCAACATTTCCTTCCTGGTGGGAGAATAATCGTTATCGATGGGATTCTCACCCTGCAAGCCGAGGTCATCCGACTGATTTCAGATGGGCAGCTCAACGACGCGATCGTGAGACTTCGCAATGCATTAATCACGCTGCTAGACGTCTTCACACCAACCCATCCAAACATAGTAGGAACAGCTTGGCATCTAGTTGATGTCTATGCCTTGAATCAAGATATCCAGGGTGCAGACAAAGTCATCGACTGGATATCCAGTGGCTACAGTAAAGAGCTGGGCCTCTTACACCCTCGAACCTTGTACCATTACCAGCGTGTCGTCGGAAAACTTGAAGCCTCTCGGCGAAGTAATGACGCCAGATCATTGGGATTCCGTCTCTTCACTGCGATCCGTGACAACGCCCCGCCCACCAAGATCATCTCAGTCCTCCAACCCGTGGTATCTGATGACGAGCTCGCGGGTATTACCGAGAGCCCCGAATTTCAGCGCATCTTCAGCAAGCCGTCCGACGTGGGCCAAATGGACCAGCAGCTGAGGTTGGCTACCCTCTGGTCCTTGGCCAGGCTTCCTGGAATGCAGCTGGTGGCACAGAAGCTGATTTCGGACTTTGGATCTCTTCCTTTGGACCTTCGGGGCCGAGAAGTAGAGGCAAGGTGCATCTACATCTGGGGTTTGGTCGATGAAAAGGCTCTCGAGACTGCCAGGTCGGAATGCCTCATCGCTCGGAACATACTGACTCATCTGGTCCTCCACGCCAGTCCCCAGCGCATAACAGAGCTCATCCCACTTGCCGAAGAACTGCAGTACATGCACCGTATTGCGGAAGACACTTCTGGGGCCAAGGCCATGGGGGAATGGATAATGGACTTGGTTCGATACCGGATCTTCAAGCCGTTCTGGGGGATTTACAGCCAGGATACAAATGCCAAACTAATAGACCACTTCACATGCATTGGTTTGAGGTGTCAAAACGGCTTTAAGCAAAGGGGGGCGCTGCTTTGGTTTACTTTCGCCTACAAGACCTCAATCAATGTATTGGGGAATGACCACCCCACCTCGCTACGGCTTGAAAAGGCAATCAAAGACCGATATTTCGATGATGGAAAAGAAGTTTTTAACGGGTTTAAACTTCCTCGATAGTTTTTTATTGTTTTTGCAAGACAAGAAGACGGAAATTAACATCTACAATATCGTCTCCACTGTGAACCAAGAATTGACTGGTAGACGGGCTCGTCACACATAGCTTCATGTTGGAGACAGCAGATGAAGCCTTCAAGTCAACTATTAATTCCAAGCATAACACTCTCAAAGAGTATCAAAGAGTAGATTTTTAACGAGTCTGATGACTCTCAGGATTAACCCGTATCTTGTGTTGGTACAGGGGACTCGCCTTTCAATAGTAGCAGATGCTGTCTAAATAAGATTTACACGGCCCTAATGAGGAGAACGAGGATCGATGTTCTGACCCACTTAGCCCATCTAGGGCTGAGCTTCAACCACAATATAGAACGCATTGGCAATACACCCACGAACGACGATACTACCCACAAGGCCCGAGGAATAAGTGATGCCCTTACGCAGGCAAAGAAATAAATAAGACACTAGAGTTTTCAGAGGATTATTTAAAATTATATAATTATTACGAGATTTATATATAATTTTATGATAATTATATTTAAGGGGGGATTAAAAGAGATTATCCTTACGTCTTATTTTTTCTTTACCCTAGGTAACCCTCTATAGTATATTGTTTAACTAAATGAGAGGTTCCTAAAGTTGGGCGCTGGTGGCCTCGAATTAATCACCTATAGAATATATTCGTCGATTGCCAAGACAGGGTTTTCTCTGGGAAGAAATGTCTTGCAACGGGGGGACGCAATTTGTAGACCGAGTACTTTGGACCACAGAAATACAAGATTTTCCGGAGATAGGTAGATAGCTAGAGAGTCCAGACACCGCATTCTAGATCCCCAAGTCCACGCTCAGTAACAAATCCTGAGTAATGCCCAGCTCCCCTTATCCATGCAGCTGCGGATCTTGCGGATCAAAAACCAAGCGGGTGAGCTGCTCCGAACAGGCGGGCAATAGGCTAATACCAGCTAATCGTCATCGGATTGCTGAAAATTAGGCCGTAATGACCTGCAATCCTACTAAAAGGAAATTCGTCCGCCTCTAGGTGCGCCGCCACTTCATCTTCATTCATCTGCTTACTTCTACCCGTCACCTCCACCGTCATATTCTTGAGTTCTTCTTCCAGATATGTCCTCTTTTTACTTGAGGCTCTATTGGATCTTCTCAAACAAAGAAAAACCTGGTCTGCAACCTTGTAAGCATCCTCATCCTGTATTCGCCAACCTTGAAGGCCGCCCTCGCTGTTATGCCATTGAAGGCCGCTCTCTCTGTTATGCCATACTACCATTATTGATTTTGCAGATTGCGTTACTCGTTCGTGCCCTATATCAGCCATGTTGGCCTCTGGATCAAGGTGTTCGAGAAGTGCATTGATCAGCCATACGGGGTTGGCCGTGAGTATGATCCACAACAAATCACCAAAGGAACTCTCTTCTGGATCAGGCCTGGGCCGCCTGGCGAGCTGGTAGCCTATTCCTTCGCCGGCGAACGTAATCAGTACTGGAATGTCGCCTGAGAGGGAAGAGCCAATTTCAAGAAACGTCCTCAAGGTCAGCACAATCTCTCTGGATTCTTCTAAGCCCATGCTTTCGCTGATGCCCCGCTGTGATAGGCGGTTCGAAACTGTAGCCAAGGTTCTTCTGAGGTAGAGAGTCCAGGGTTTTGTCAAGGTACCATCGACGCTGGGAGCAATACCCTGCTGTAGCAGCTGCCGGATCATCGGGTTTCGGTCTACAATTTCATGCCCACTATCCCAAACGCAGAGGGCAGCCAGAAATTCCTTCATGATGTTTGCTTTCAGGCTGTTTCCTGACTGTACTCGAGACAGTCGACTGATAGCGTAGTCCGCAAGCCCTGAAAGGCCTGCCCAAAACAGAAATACAGCCTCGCCTGTTGCGGGGAAATTTAAAGCCAATGAACGTATGTTTCCATTCTCGTGAGCCCTCTCAATGGCCGAAAGGAGGCCTACTGGAGGAGATGCACCCTTTTCCACAAGATACCTAGTTGAGACTAGAAACGAAAGGAGCTCCCAGTGCCCTGAAAAGGTCCCTGGATAGGCCCATGGCTGCTCCCTGTCGGGAGAAGGATTCCGAATGTGACACCGTACCAGACAAGCTCTGATAAGCCTGGTGAGGGCTTCATTGGTGGAGATCTCGCTTGTCTGCCAGAGAGCCCGCCCTTCTTCAGTATGAAGGAGGTATTCAAGGGCAGTCTGGTGAGTAAATCCGATCGTTGTATTCTTATAGTCCTCCAGTGTGTCGTATCGATCCGGTTGTTGGGGATAAAACGACGACACCCACGACACCTTTGACACTACAAGGAGTCCAGCCGACCGAGTCTCGACAGCTTTTGCGATGCGGCAACATCTCCTATGAAGGTCCGCCGTGGAGAATTCATCGCCGCGGTCCAAGAATTGATCTAAGACTGTTGGATCGGTGGCGGCCATCAGCTCAAAAACGGATACTGACTCGTGCTGCAAGCAAGGGAGTCTCTTTCCTGCCCGTAGCCGAGCAAAAATGATGTTGAAGAACCAGGAAGCAGTCTCCTGGTAAATCCGATTATCTTCGTTTGATCTCAACCACATGTCCTTGTATAGTGCTGCCAGGTCTCCTGGCATCGAGTCAAGTCTCCGCCTGAGCTCCGAATCAGAGTCGCCGTTCTCGATCCCAATCACGAGACTCTTAGAAACGAGGACAACCCAAAGAAATACCCCATCGGCCCTTGCGAGGATCCGGTCCACAAGAATGTCGGTGTGAAGTTCCTCGTCTATCGGTGAGATGGCCCGGCCCAGGCATCCTGAAGCATACTTTCTCATGTCACTTTCTGTCAAGTCTTGCATTCTCAGGTTTGGGCAGCCCTGTAGATGGTTCTCCAATACCTGTTCTGGACGACTCGAAATGCAGAGTTTGACGGTTGGTCCCAAGAGGCTTTTCAGGAGGAAGAGTAGATCGTGGTAGTCCCGATGGGGCGTGAATTCGTCTAGGCCATCAATGAACAAGCAGATGCCGCTTGTGGAGCCAGAAACATAGGTGTGAAGAAGAGCCTCTAATTTCTTTGTGTCCCAGTCTGCGATTGTCGATGGCTTCCTGTGGATCTCTTGTGTCTGGCGAATGTAATCCAAAGCCATCTGTCGGTTTTCGCAAAAGATCTGATACATCAAAGAGCCTAGAAGGCCCTTTAAGCTTTGTTGCATCTCAGATCCTACTTTCCAGAAATAGTGCGAGAAGATCTGGGCTTCAGGCTGCCACTTGTTCAAAAATTCCCTCGTCTTAGGATTGGATGAGACGAACTTCATCAGAGTGCTCTTCCCTGAACCTGGTTTGCCAGAGATCCAGTAAATCGGATCTCCGGATCCCAGCCAGTCTGTGAAGCTGTCCCATAGTATTTCTCGCCTTTCAGAACAAGAGCACGGCGGGACGCTAGTCCCACCGTAGCCGTCATCATATGATATTGTCGACCCCCAAAGGAGAGACTCCGAATCAGACTCCTCATCAGGCTCCTCGAAGATCCAATGGCATGTACGTGGATAATTCTCATCGATCTGGTTCTTTCGTTCCTCCATGTTTTCAAATTTGAGGCTTTGCAGCAGGCTCTGATAACTGAGTTCGTCATTTTGCTTGTCCCTCCATTCCTGGAATTGATCAACTTGTCGTTGGGTGTTGCTTTCAACAGTCGTAATGTGTGTTTGTAGCAGTTGGGTGTTCTTGAATGACTCAGACTTGATGTGCGCTTCCATGCGAGATTGCGCATTGTTCATGGCCTGGAGCAGTTGATCTCGCGTTTCCGTATTTTCCTGAGTGATCAGGTTGAGCTTGGTTTCGTTTTTTGCGGAGCACTGCTGAATTGTGTCTTCCAGAAGGCGACTTGCGTCTGTCAGAGCGCTTTGCTGCTCGATTGTGGACGTATCAACTCGATCTAGTGTCCCCACGAGAAGTTGAGTGTTCATGGCCGATTGGATATTTCTGAGGCTGGTCTCCAACTCTTCCAGGCGTGATTTCCGAAAGAGTGTTTTGAACCCGAGTCGAATGCTGGTTCGAACCCCTTTCTGCCCGTTTTGAGGGGAAAGATTCTGCATCTCTTGGGTCAACTTGGTTGCGACCTCGAGACACTTTTCTGCTGTGTCCCGAAGAGCCAGATCATCACGCGAAAGAACCCCGCTGCCTGTGTTCAGATTGTTTTTCAGCGTCTCGGAGATGTTTGACAGTTCCAGACTGTAGTCGTTGAGAGCAGGGTCCGGCTGTCCATCATTGTAGACCTTCTTGCACAGCGAGAGAGTCTGCCCAGCGAACGCTATCGTTTGCATGACGCTGCAGGCAAGCCCGAGGGCTACCAAAGGCTCTAGGCCAGACATTGAGGGAGTTTTGGTAGAGGTGGAAGCTGCGCTGTTCAGATTCTTCTGGTTGAAGCTGAAATATGGGAGGAAATGCGAGAGAAAAAGAGAAAAGATTTGAAGACGAGGCTCTCGGCTGGATGGCTGTGAAATGGCTGAGCGTGCAGGTGCAGGGGTGTCTCTCAACGGCCAATGACAATGATCTCGAGGCTTTCCGAGAGGGCGTTCCAAGCCCTCAAGCACAGGTGGCCAGGGCATTTTTCTGGGTATTCTTGCATGTTTACAACAGCAGTCCAGCTACCGATAGGCATATTGCATTACTGGCGGTAGCAGTTGTAAGCCATGAATCCAAAGCGATAGATGATGGGAAATGTGCGGATGATTAAAGATTAGGTAGGTAGTCGGGAGCCAGAACGAGATATTGAATGGATAGGTAGGTAACGTTGGTGAAAGACTATTTGGGCAAGCATCAATGATCGTTGAGGAGGCAAGAGGTAACACGAGCGCTGGTCAGCCCACTTGCACCCTGGTGTGGCCGAAGGTCGGCCTCAACATCCATGGGCGTATAAGAAGGCACCGTTGAACTTTCCGATTAACTCTCTATTCTCAAAGAGTCGAAGAGCAAATACTAATTTTACCAATCTTCTTCCTAAGTTCCTCATGGCAAACGTGGTAAGACCGTCACGCCGGGAGCCATTGAAGCACCACCAATCGCCGATCGGAGCGGAAAGTGGGGCCGCTCACCGAACCCGCCGGGCGGATTTTCTCTTCTCCCTCTAAATTTTGGCGATAACCATCGGCCCACCACGGACGACCCCTCGAACAATGACTCAATTCACTCGAGTATAGCTTCCCCGCCCTTTCTCTTGCGATCATGGTGCTTCCTCTTGGTCGCGGAAGCTTCGCGCTGCGTCGCGGGGCATGCGCAAGCTCCCTGACGCTGCTGCGGGCACGACAATGCCTGCCCCGGCGCTGTTACGCCCAGAGCTCCGACCCAGAGACTAAAGCTACAGCCGATGGAGCAATCAACGAGACCTACAAAAAGGACATTCTGGGCCTCTGGGAGAAGTGTATGGCTCTCGCATCCTCTCCGTACCCAATTGCTAACATGCGTCAGACAGCAATGCGGATCTGCCCCTCAAGAACACCAGACCTGGCAAATACTCCGGATTGCTAGGCAAGAAGAGGGCCGTATCCAAGAACCTCATCTTTGCCGACCTCACGACCTCTTCGGGGGAAGTGATTCAGCTCTGCGCCGATGCCGCGAACGATCCCGAAGCCCACGCCCTCTTGCGCGACGTCCCTGCCTTCAGCCCCGTCCTCGTCGATGCGATAAACGAGACCCCGAAGAATGAAAGCATCGGAGAGCCTTCGTCTACCTCTTCTAAGCCTACCGTCTCCCTCACGAACCTCCGAACCCTCAATAGCGTCCCTAAGGACCTTATCGTTACGAAAGAAGTCAACTTCCCGCCGCACAAGCGACACTACCAGATCAAATTCCACCCAGAGCTTCAGGCCCGCCTTAAGTTTCGGTCATGGCTCAAGGCAGAGCTTACCAAGGGCCTGCTGAACAAGGGATTCATCGACGTTGAGACTCCGACACTGTTCAAGTCAACACCCGAAGGCGCTAGGGAATTCCTCGTGCCAACCCGCCGGCGCGGCATGGCGTACGCTTTGAACCAGAGTCCCCAGCAGTACAAGCAGATTCTCATGGCGAGTGGTATCGGGCAGTATATGCAGTGGGCGCGCTGCTACCGAGACGAGGACTCTCGGGCGGATCGTCAGCCGGAGTTTACACAGCTGGATATGGAGTGGTCCTTTGCTGGTGCGGCAAAGGTGAGACAGGACGTCAACGACATTGTTCTGGAAGCCCTGGAGGCTCTACGGCCGGCGCATAGCTATAAGGAGATTCGGAATCAGCGAGTTCCTATATTGACGGAGATTCCTGATGGCCCACAACCTACGGATGAGCCTCTCGCGCACGAGTTCACAACGATCAAGTTCCAAGACAGCATTGCTTCTTATGGAACTGACAAGCCTGATCTGCGCATCCCCAACAAGGTACAGTTCTCGTATGTGTTATGTCCCTACATGCCACTAACAATTTCAGGTCCATGCTATTCCAGACCTTGAGCCTTATCGCCAGTTCGTCAGCATGATCACTGATATAGAAGACCCGCTAGTCGAAGCTTTCACCTTCCCACTAGAAAACGTCTCTCCCCAGGAGGCGCGTGAGTTCGTCATCAAGTTTATGGACGACCTGCCAACGGGGCTGGCCAACAACCCCGACGGACAGCCTTCAGTGCTTGTCTACGACTCGAGCAAACCACTCATGGGCTTAAGCTCCGTTGGCTTCGAATTTGAGGCCATCTTGGATCTTGTGTCTGAGGGCAAGGAACTCAATGACGGTGATCTCGTCGTCTTCCAGGCCAGGGAGAAGCACCAGGGTCAGTACTGCAAGGGCTCCACCAAGATAGGCGAGTTGCGCAGTGCCCTCTGGAAGGCCCTTGTCGAGGCAGAGTACATGTCGACACCGAAATTAGGCACCCCGGGCTCGCTACAGTTTGTGTGGGTGACCGAGTTCCCCATGTTCAAGCCCGTCGAGGAGGGTGAGCCAGGTCAGGAGGGTGAGCCAGGTCAGGAGGGCAGCGCTGGCATCGCAGCATCCCACCACCCCTTCACAGCTCCCCTGTCCCAGGCCGATCTCGAGCTCCTCTTCACAAACCCCCTCGATGCCAAGAGCGCAGCCTACGATCTCGTGCTGAACGGTGTCGAGGTCGGTGGTGGCAGCGAACGTATTCACGTTGCCGAAGTCCAAAAGTTCATCATGAAGGACATCCTTAAGGTGCCCAAGAAGCGAATCGCCGACTTTGCTCACCTATTTGAAGCACTGCAGTCAGGATGTCCTCCTCACGCTGGTTTTGCGCTGGGCTTTGACCGACTCGTCGCGCTCATGACGGACACGGCGACGGTGCGGGATGCCATGGCTTTCCCCAAGACGATGAAGGGAGAGGACCCGCTCGTCAAGTCACCAAGCAAGTTGACAAAGGAGCAACTTGAACCTTATGGGTTGTATCTCCGGGGTCAGAAGGATTCATGAAGACCCTTCCAAGACGGGAGGGTTTGGATAGCGCCTTGGCCCGCAGTACCTGGGTGTAACATCGCGACTCACTAGCAATGTTTCATGTTTGGGCTGGGAGGCGAGCTATATACTGTATCATAGATGTAGACAAGTGTACCATAGAGGCGGCGTTATAGAACATATCACTCAATAGTAGATGATCAGAAGATAAAGTAAAAATGTTTAATGAATTGATGCTTGTCTAGAAAACAGTTCTGTGCTTTGCACGTCGTTAAACCGTTGCATTATGCCCTATGCCCAGCCAGTTCCGGCAACGACGTTCTATCGTGTTGCTCGTACTCTAATGCCCTTGGGTCCCCAAACTCCGGTAATCATGAAAAAATGTGTATGCCTTTTTCGCGCGAGGGGGTATCTCGAAGGTCGTGACGTTGTTGTATTGCGCTTAAGCCATGATGAAGCCGAAAGCAGTGGCGCCGAGGGCAACCAGGGCGGCGACAGCACCAGCCTGGCCGCGCAGGCTCACGGCGGCGTTGTCGTTATCGTCGTCATCGTCGGTGCTGGTGGCAGCCTCGTTCACGGCGCTGCTGACACGGGAAGCGACGCTACCAGCCTTGGTGGAGACCCAGGTCTCAGCGGCATCGATGGCGGTGCTGATGTGGGAAGCCTTATCCTTGGCCCAAGACTCGGCCTCAGAGGCGTGATCCTCACCCCAGCTCTTGATATCGGAAGCCTTGTCCTTAGCCCAAGACTCAGCTTCGGAGGCGTGGCCCTCAGCCCAGGTCTGGGCGTCGTTGGCCTTGTCCTTGGCCCAGGTCTCGATATCGTCGCCAATATCGCGGCGGACCTCAGGGGCCTGGGTGATGGCGGGAGCGGCGTTGATGGCGGCAGCGAGGCCAGCGATGGAGAGAACGGCGATCTTGGTGAAGAGCATGTTGATGGTGTTGTGTGTGGTTGGTAGTTGAGTGTTGGTGTAGAAGTAGAGTTGGTTGTTAAAGATGTAAGGTTAAGTAGAAAACCCGGGGTATTTGACTGTTGTGATGTAATGAACTGAGATGGAAATCAAGATTAGAAGGGGCATAATCTCCCTTCATATATACCTGCGCTGGCGGCGTGTTTCAATTTTGTTTGCTTTCCCTGGTCATCTCATTTCGCAATGTGGCGGGGACACAAGTTGCGTCAATGCCTCCACTAATTTTCAGCTACCCTTGTCACAGCCCTTTGAGTAAACCAATCACGGCTTCTCCCTCTTTCAGGGATCTCCAGCTTTATTCGTCCCTGCCGTCGATCGGCTGTGGCTCCGCCTAGACTGCGCCATGCCGGGCCATGTCATCACCGCTGCAGAAGTCCGTCTGACTATCAACTGCCGTCTTTTGTTTTTTCCCCTGTCAGACAACAAGATCTACAGATTTACCCTGATTTGTCTCGGTGAGTGCGCGGCGAAAGTGGCAAGGGACATGCCACCAAAGGGCAATAGACATTCCCGATTGGGAAACTGCTGCACAGCCAGCCACGGTTATGCATCAACGGTTCGGTTAAACTGTAGAGTTTTTGGTCGTTGCTATTTTGGTTGCTACGCGTGGTTGGCAGCCACACTGGGGCGCAGGGAGACGTGGCGACGCCATTTATTGATGGGGCTGGTGGTTCCCTACCATGGGACGGAACGCGAGAGCGAGAGGCCTCCTCAGCAGCCAAGAGAAATAATTGCGTGGCGCCAAGAATTCAGTGGTTTCAATTGAATTGCTTCGCAAACTTAGTTTTTCAGGTATGCATAATGTGAATAAGGCAGGCATCTCCATTTGCACACTTATTGCGTGCTCAGCAGGAATCTGAACTGTGATGATGAGGGCCATGGGATCATGCTAAGGCTAGGATAGGGCAGTAACGTTAGCACACTAAGTTAGCCCGCATTTCAGATAGTGCCCTAGCAGCTAGTTAGGTACAGGGTGGGACTTCTCGCACCACGGGGTGTTCCATCTAACCAGCAATAACCTTCCCTTCCCTTGGCTGCGTAGGTTCCCACTCCAATAGCCGCTGCAAATCATCCAAGGCAGCCTTGACCTGGGCCTTCTGGGAGCTTCAAAGGCAGCCGCTGTCCAGGAACCATCCACCTGCACATTTTTGTTTGTAGCAATCAGCCGCTCCCAGATAAGTGCCTGGGCGTCATCTGAAAGGTCGCCATAGGAAATTGTGACATGAATCCGACTCTTGAATGCCTCGTCAAAGTCTTGCTTGCGGTTGGTTGTTAGGAACAAAACCCCCTGGAAGTATTCCATCTTTCTGAGAAACACTGGTCATCTCACATATTAGCTTTGGCCTTATAATTTCTAGGGACCCAAGAGAATCTGGGAGCAACGCATACCTGCAACGATAGCATTCCGGTCCATCTCAGATGAGCTTCGTTTGCATAGGAGCACGTCGGCTTCATCGAGGAGACAGACAGCTTCCCATCTCTTCGTCAGACGAAATATCTCATCCAGCCTCAACTCCAAACGTGTCACTTCAGTGCTCAGTTCTCCACCAGATATGGAATATAGGGGACGCTCAAGGTACTCCGCAACGCTTTCTAAAGATCCGGTAAGCATTTATTCGTTCACATTTGGCTGACAATCACCCACCTGCTGTGAGCGTCTTGCCCAATCCAGGCTTCCTGTGGCAGTGTTAGCCGATGCGCATTCAATTTGGGTGAATGACGTGCCCGTGCAAAAGAAAGACCAACCCCTGGCCTTTGCCGGACACCACGTCGTCAAATGCAGTCGAGTTGACCTTGTGGCCTTTGACCAGAGCTTGCACGAGATGTTTCGTCGCTGCCTCTATCTGCAAAGACTCAAAAGCGACCATATTCCAGGTGACATCCTGAAGTTGATCACTGAGTATCCAACGCCACTGCTTCTTTTTGAGGCCAAATGCAGGGACTTGGGCTGGAAACAAGAGATCGAAATCCGTCTTTGGGATGTTAAATCTTTCTTTTACCGTCTCAGATAGCCCGGATAAGTCGTTAGTTTTGGGCCGAGACGAGTCATGAGGCTCTTGGGAATCCCCGGCGGTTTTGAACTCCATGATATTCGCATCATCCTCGGAATCAAACTCGACCGATTCCGAGTCGGATCCCGAAGAATCGGTATCCGAGGAGTCATAAGAACGGGAGTCCTTGAGCCTGGAGCGATGCTCAGCGTTAGCAAGCACGCCCCTTGCCTTGGCCCTCGACTTGGGCTGCTTGAGCTTGCCCTCTAAGTCCACGAGCTCAGCAGCACCCTTCCTGCGTTCGCTGAGAAACCCTTTGTAGTCAACAACGACGCGGTCATCAAGCTATAGTGCACATTAGCTACTGATCGTTCTCATCGGTGATGTTCTCGCCTATTCGCGATAGCTTGAAATGACTGCAGCTTACCTGATCCGCATTCAACATAGGGTTCAGGGATATATGGTAATGACAGTGTTCCATCGGCCATCCAACATCGGCGTATGTCTGCGGCGCGAATAGCGACAGGTCATTTCCAAGAACTTTCTGCAGCCTCGATGCCCTGGCGTGCAATGTCTTTTCTAACAAGGGCCAGCCCTGGAAGTTCTTGATTGGGACCAAGGGCAGGTCTGAGATCTTACACACCTGCATTCCCGTAATAGGAAGCCGGAAAGTCTGCCGAGTAAGTCCAGGGGAGGCGCCGCTATATCCTATCCTGAACCCAACCACCTCCCACTGGGAGAATCCGTATTCGTCCTGCTTGCTCGAGACGTTGCGGCAAATCCAACACTCTTGGAGCTTTCCAACATTGAGAACCACAAGGCTGTTTGGAGGATAAATCGTCCAGAGAATGTCTCCAACAGCCTTACCTTCTTTAGAGTATTTCTCGTGATCGGTGACGATGCTCGCCATAAGCCCGTTTTTGAGTATAAAATCGTGCAAGATCTCAGCACCTTGACGGATCTCCTCGCTGTTATTCTCATCTTCCATCAGAGATTTGATCTCATTGCGATAGAAGAATAGCTCGGAGAAAGGGCTTCGAAGCTTGATCGGGAAGGATTCAAGGTCGGTGTCTTCGTAAGAGTCAATGGCAACCTGCCGGAATGCTCGACAGAGGACCTCGGACTGGATTTCCAGCTCGACTCGAACCAAGAGGGAAACCTGTTTGTGCTGCATCCATGTTCGACGAAGGACAACGGCGTAGTCTTTGTACGTTTGTTGCTTCTTGGTACTCTTTCTCTTGTGGGGAAGAAATCGTTCGGTGGAGATGATTTCCACATCATGGCCACTGAGGCCTTCGGTATGGTACTCGATGATATCCACAAAACCCTTGGTTTTGGTATGTTTCGATGGCTTGGTCTGGTGCTGTGTTGCTATTAGCCCCTTCAAGCGAGACTGGAGTCGATTGAGATCATACCGTGGCCACTGTTCCCTCAACAGCGGGACGGGTTGTGTCGGGGGCAGTAGGCTGTATGGTCCCCGGGGCACCAAATAAATCAGGCAGGGCAGCCTGATAATCTTCAAGTGACATGGTTGCAGTAAGGAAGGCCCTCGAATGAGTAAACCAGTCCGTTGTCGCCGAAGAAGATGTGAGAGGAGAGATCTGGATAAGGTGAAAACGATGGGGCAATTGTGATAATTCTTTAACTTGGGTAGGTCGGCAGGTCAAGTTCGCGGACTGGTGATAGCCTTGGAGGCAGGAGGAATGGAAGCGACTGCCATCTCGCAACCAGAGGTCACACCAATGCAAAAGGGAAAACAGCGCCTTTTTGAGGCCTCCCACTATATTGACATCACGCGATTGCCTGATGTGACTTGGCTTGCAGTTGTTCTGCGGTTCGGTTGCGCTTTCAACCCATCCATCCAATGTCGGGCGAAGGAAAGACATGGACAGCTACCCAGATAGCACTCCGTTGTGCGGCACGTAATCCTGGGCAAAACCACGCCCAATGATAATGATACATTAGCGAGTCGATTTCCAGGTTCATGCATAAAGACACATGCCCTACGCCCGAGTTGTTGGTGGCGGAAAGCAGGCTCAGAGCCTGATGCATCTCAATGCTTGTCCCTTCGGCAACCCTCTTCGCGCACGCCTGATCTATTTACTCTCGGAATTTTTAAAAATTCTCATCCATTATCCTATTCTAAATATCTTCAGATCACCCATTATTCTATTCTAAATATCTTCAGATCATCCATTATCCTATTCTAAATATCTTCAGAGCTAGGAATAGCCCGCAATCTTGCCCATGGATCCCGAGTCCAACACACACACTTTGGCTCCCTCGAGCCGCGATGACCCTCAGTCTGGACCGAGACCCTTTGCAACCATCACTAAGGATGAGGTCCTTGAAGTCGTGAGCATGCACAAGCGTTTCTCCATGCCGTCTGTGGCACCGGGGGTTGAGGTAACCGACCTGCCGAACTTTGACGATGTCACGCTGTATGAAGTGAGCGAAGAGGCCCAGGAACAGCTCTGGGCGAACGAGGTCGTTCGACTGCTTGAGGCTGTCACTAGCCCCGAACCTCTGGCTTTTGAAGGGAGCGAGGACCTGGCTGTCGACTCTAAACGGTCCTATGAGATACTCGCCGACATCGCGGATCATATCTGGCACGCCTTGAATATTGCCAAATATGATGGCGAGAGTCTCCTCGCGTCGAATTCTCAAGAACTGCATAGTGTCGATGACTTGAGGAATAGTCGATTCATTCTCGACCACCTGTGTGACCAGGAGGAAGAAGACGATGCCTTGAACGACTCCAGCGAAGCGATGCCACGCCACAGCCGTCAAGACTTCTTCAACTTCGTCAACTACTGTACAGCCGTACTGACTCAGGTACTATGCGCTACAGTTGATGGCAAGACCTTCTACATCAACATTATTGCCCACCTGGCCAAAATATCCACCAAAGTCAAGGTTGTGTCAACAAGACTGCAAGAATGCGCTCAGATCTCCATCGATAACGGTGTTACCGATCGAAATATTCCTATACCGGATCAAGACGATATCCGTGGACGGCAAGGCGAGAACAAAATGATGGGAAATAGTCCTGGAGACAATAAACCTAATATTGGGCCCATGCTTGAGAGTATGCGAGGCTTCAGAGGAAATCTTGCGCCGTTGGAGTCCATCGGCAAGAAAGATGCCATGCGGAACATTTACTTCCACCAGTGTGAGAAGTATCGACACGGAATTTTTGATCTTCTCTTCTTCATCATTCTATCTCTGCGTGGAACAAACAAGCTGGTGAGGAAGTCGGTCACGTCGTACGAAATTTGCTCAATGGTCTATGGCACGGGTTTCGAGCGCTTTCGCACGCTAGTTCACCAGGATTATGGGAACGACTTTCTCGGCACCTCTGACATATCCATGGTCAATTGCGCCAGGAACTCGTTCAACTTGCTTGACAAGACCATCCAGCGTGTTGAAAGCTCGCCACCTACACATAACCGGCCGCCAGCTACCACACCAGGTGCGGATAGTCAGTCCAAGAGCATCAGCTCTTAGGAAAAGTCGGTTGGCACCCGCATCTCTTGGAGTTACGCCCCTGATGGGGACGGCAGCGAGAGTCTGCCAGCGCGTCACCCGCTTATGCTCAAGTCCATGAGCCATGCCGTCACGGTCATGATTCCGTTAATCATGACGAGCCCGAGGCTCGTGGGCTCCGTGAGCGAGTTCATCAATGCGGTCATCTTCAACGAGCTCCTGGACGAGCGGGAAAAGAACCCTATAAAACCGCACGCGGTTGGCAAATACACGGCCTTCTTTTGCTTGACCACGGCCGAGTATGATGCTGCGCAGCGTAATCTCGGATCGGGCGAGCCCGGTTCCCTCTCGAAAGCATTGATGCGGCGGAACAACTTGTTCGCGGGAAGACAACTTGCCGATATTGGTCGCGAGGCTAGCTTTGCTTTTGATCCAAACGACCTTACATGGCGAGCGTCCTCGGATGACGACCAGACAACCCCAGATCGGATTCAACGTCACCAGCAGGAGCTTGACGGCTTCAGCAACAAGATGAAGGCTTGGGTCCTCGAGGAAAAGGGCGTAATGGTGCACTGTAGGCTCTACGTGTCGATGCTCATGCTCCTCTGCGTCTTGCTCGTCGCCGGTGGAGTGTCTATTGGCGTGGCTGTCGGCGATCGCATCACTGGCGTGGACCCCTTCAACATCACTACGTACTGCTGGGTGCTAGCTGCCTTTGTACTGCTCGTAGCAAAGAGCGTTCGCGTTCACAACTGGCCATGGAACGACTTCTTGCACGGACGCGTCTTGTGCAAGAGTGTATCGGAGCTATCCTCGGTAACTGGTGTCAACGAACAGCTCATCCTTGCGAAGATACTCCAGGACGAGTCTATATCGGTCCTCCAGACCCGAGGCCCGTACAACACAGTGTTCAACCGCAAGTCGGAAGATGGGTTTTCCATTGACAGACCGCTGAGCACGTGGACAATGCTACTCAGTGGGCTAATCATGATTGAGGTTGAATCCACACACGGGAGAGCCCTTGTCTGTCTCGACCTCCGGAGGGGAACGAAGTATGGGCTGATCCAAAACATGTGCGTTTATACAGACCAGGGGAATGAGTTCATTCACTGCCCCCGCCTACCAAACGAGAAGGATCAAGAGGTGCACGGGGACCCAAACAGGATCCGACTTGACGAGGGAAAATTGATTTGGTTACGCGCTCTTGGGTTCTACGTGAATCGACATGCCGAGTTCATCTAGTTGTTGGCGCCGGTCGGGTTGATGTTGGTGAAAGTAGACGGGGATAGAGGATGCTGTTTGCTCTGCGCATCTGGATGAGCCATGCTCTAGCTGTGGTTCATAGTTTGAAGAGATGGATAGTAATCAATATGAGTCAATTCTAAATATCTTTGGGAGAAGAGGTGACAAATTTCATCAATCAACGTCCATGGTGCTGCAATTGTGGCTTATGGAGCTGGAACATGACGTCTCCCAATCGGCGGGAGAGGCAATACCAGGGCTGAGAGAAGGGGGTGGAGGGCCAGGGTAGTGGGCATCTCACACGGGCAACTAAGGCAAAGACTGCAAGATGGGAGATGTTTGAGCGTCGTTTGCGATAATAAGAAGAGTGCGTGGAAGCCAGAGCCTGTTCCCGTCGGCCATCCCAGGCATGGCTGCCATGCGCAGGTGACATACAGCGAGACAACTGGCTGAACCATGTCTGGGTAAATTAACTGCTTGTCCTCCGTAAAGAACGGTATTAGTTAGCACTGATCATGATGAAGACTGCTTGTAATAAGCATATGTGCGGTTGACAGCCTAGGAGTAAATAGTCTTTGGCCTTGACAGCGGCAAAAACTGGCGAGAATGTTTAGCTTCTTGAGATCAATCTCTCTGCTCGGCAGCCTGTCAGCCGGGTTATGGCTAACTTCATAAGCTGTATCGAACAGAGAAGCACACCGATCACGGACACAAGTCAAGTGTAAAGCCAAACTAAACTCCACGCTTGCTTCTTCTATAAACTACGTAGTCATGAACCATCCCGCTTTTTCTGCCGTTCTAATATCCTTGCCAGTTCGCTGTTCAAACGGTCCATCATTCATTCAATTCATCTGTAAGGGTGAGCCCTTCTCGCACCTTGCCTCTGCCTTCTCCCTCCTTGTACCTCCCTACCGCATTTCTCACTATGTCGGTCCATGTTCCACTTTCGAGGGAATACCTTTGGGCAGGTAGGGCATGAGAACAGCTTTCTAGCACGAAGGTAGTCAGCAAACAAATACGCTAGGTGTGTAGGCTAAAGATGCATGAAGGGATGGCTCACGGGGGACTGTTAACCCATGTAATAAACTTGCCTTGGGCTTTTCCATCCCTGAATAACGACTGGATCTCGAGAATTAGTCTGAGGGAGATATTTTCAGTCACAAAGTCGACTTACGCTGGCTATATGCGCCATGTAGCGCCTGGTTTCGTCAGTGCTCTGCAAATACCCCATATCGACGAATCCCTCGACCACGGACACTATCCCGCGAGACGTCATGTCTCGTTTGTCCTTTTCCAACAGTAGGCGTGCAAGGTATTGCTCTTGGATGGACTTCTTCTCTCCGGCGCGCCACCCGTTCCAGTCGAGGCGCGACCCATTGTCTTTCGATATGATGCCTCGCCCGGACAGGTCGTACCAGAAGTCTCCGTTATCGCTGCAGTACTGGACCACGGCGTCAAAGATCTTCGTGGCGTGGAGTCCCGCTGGATTGTCCATATAAGCCAAGACAGCACCGAGGGCGTCGCTGCGTCGCTTTGGGACGCTGGGCGGGACGAAGGGCACAGCGCTCAACAGACCAATGCTGGGAATTGAAGCGGAGGCGAGGAGGCTGTCTGGAAGCATGGCCACTGGAGTGTTCAGCTCAAAAGAGTGAGTGTTGGCTTCAGGCCAGAGGTTTTGGGCAAGCTTCTGGAATGCCTCTTGATCCTCTTGATCCTCCAGGGCATCCAACCAGACAGGGAGGCCGGCCAAGATTTCTGTCTTGTCGAGTCTGCCCCTTGTATGCAGTAGACCGGCCATGACATGCGAAAGGCTGCAAAACGCAAAGAATGTTTCAATGTTCTTGCGGGCATCGCCTGTCAGGATGTCTCGGAAGGCGAAGACACCAGCTTCTCGAAGGCTTTTAGCATCATGGTAGGTCTCGCGAAGTCTGGTGATGATTTGCTCGTCAAGGCTCTGCGACACCTTGTCGAAATGCTTCCAGCCGGATTTTATGCCATCTCGAACGTCTCGAATAGAGGAAAAGGCTATCTGGTCGGCCGATTGGGGATCGGGGGGCAGAGGGGTCGTCGCCTTTGAGAAACACTCTGGTTCGGGAAGACTGTCACCAAGCTCACTGGCCTTGAGGGACTCCGTTACATCGAAATATCTCATACCAGCAAGAAATCCATCGACCACTCCAAGCGCCTGAGAGCGGTTAATCTGGGCTCGAGCATTAGAAGGGACAGCATTGGAAGGAGTGAGATTTGAAGGAACGGCACCACCGGCGTTGCTAGGGTGGTAAGCAAACATGCTTGCGGCGATGGATAATAACCCAACCTTTGTCCCGCGGGCCGGGCCTAGTCCTGCCAGGACAATGACTTGCAGGTATCTCTAACAGCAAGGGGACCATGGCTATTTATGCCCGCCCGCACTAATAAGCCAAAAATGCCCATGAGGCTCTGCAAGGTACATTGTTAAAGGCTCTGCGCCAGGTCATGTTAGATTCTGCCCTGCGCTATGTCGTAACTTAGGCTTTCTGTCGGGCTTAATATTCAGTCTCTGGGGGTTGAAAACGAGGCTAAGGTTGAGTATTTGGTTGGGTGATAACAGTTGCGAAGGGGCATTGTGCAACGTCAAAGTGCACTTGGCAGGGGCGAATGTTAAAGATACTTACTCAAGGAGCAGTGCTCTCGACTCCTGAGTAAATTAAATTGTTCCTTGTGAATAGATCAGCGGTTCGCGAGTTGCCACCAGCATTTCAGTGAGCCTTGAAGCTACTCATGAGAAAAGCTGAGAACTCGCGAGCAAGTTGCGAGTATTTACCCCTAACAGCTCTACTCCTTGAGTAGTTTCTACTCACAGATCAGAACAGAGCACAAGAATGGAGGGGAACGCCAGAATGTATTTAATAGCTCTCAAGTTCATCTCACATCGCGGACCTTGTTCACGAAGTCATTGCGACAAACTCAATTGAAGCCGCCTTGAAGACATCAATAAACACCAAACGAAAAAAAGAAAATGAGCACCCCAGGAGATAAGAACACCAAACAGAGTTGGTTACCTAAGCCGGCATGCCTGAAGCAACTACTGACAGTGAGAACTTAGCGACACCAGTCATGTTGCAGCTGTGGTTGACGGAGCCAAAGGATGCCCCCTTTGCGATCGACGTATGGTCATCGGAACGAGCCATTAGTGGCTACACGACAGTCGACAACAGGAAAACAAAGACCAAGGATACAAAGGAATCACGCGGACAATCCGAGACTCGGCTGTGAGCTTTCAGTGCATTTGGGCGTTTTTCTGTAAGAAAAAGAGGGCCTCCAAAAATCTACCATATACAATACAGAGCCTGGCGCCGCGTGACGCTGTTGAATCGAAACCTAGTTAGCATATTTCCCCCCTCTAAGTGCAAAGAAGGAGAGAAAAAGTAATCAACAAGTACCGCTCTTTCCCCGAGAACCTTTGCCATGTACCCATTGTTTTCTCAGAGCCGGCCCCTGTAAGGACAAACATGACTTGGCATGCGAGGCATACAGCCTACCGCCCACCGGCTGCCCGGCTGGCGGGGCACTGATTCTTCTTCTGGTGTCTTTTCATGTTCCACTTTCTGGGGAAAATCTTGTTGCAGTCGGGGCACTTGACAGAACCCCTGGGTGAGCAATCAGTAGTCAGTATAACTGTCGCTTGAGCTGCGTTAAGAGAACTCACTTTTTGGTTGGCGCGCTGCAACGGCATTCCTGTGTGGACAGTTCAACAGTTGTTGGAAGAGTTGAAATGCTCTGGCAGAACATTTCCCAGTCAGTGGTATCATAAAACAGCTCCTGGAGTTGGGGCATTAGCACACTGCAGGGCGTTAGGGGCCAAGTCTACTCACCTTTGCGACCGCCGTCATGTAGGACTGAGCCTCGTCAACGCTCTGTAGGAAGCCATAGCCGACAAACTTCTTCGTAATTGAGAGAATAGTCGAGCATGGAGCTTGCGAAAACTCTTGCCTCTTGAGTAAAGGGTCCATGTACAGTGATTGAAGGCATTCCTTGTCCGTCGACCGTTCCTGGTTGGAGGAGAGACAGGAATCCAGGTTCTTAGCGGTTACTCCGTTCCCAGAGAGGAGCACCAAGAAGTCGGACGAGCCATCCAGAAAGCTTCCAATGGCCTTGAACAGCTCTGTGTCTTGGAGATGCTGTGGACGATCACTGGGGGCGGAAGACACTGCCGTTTGTTGGCTTGTGGCTTCCAGTTGACCATAGGATCCAACCTGCAGCCCGACTTGATCTGGACCCGGCCATGGTGCAGACGGTATTGGAATCAAACTGAGAGGCAGATAGTCAGCAGTGTCGACTGCCGCGTCAAACTGCTCAAAGGGGCGTTGTGTGGTTTGAGCCCAGTTGGCGGACACAGGCAGACCACCCACTAGGCCACCAAACCCAGAGGCCGTTGAACTGTACGGTAGGCAAGAGGTGGCCTGTATCTGCCATGGTTCAGAAGACGTGGCACTAGGGTAAGTAGATGCATGACTGCTTGGATAGTAAGCCCAGTCTTGGTCCTGGTGAGTGGCCATCGTGCCGCTCCCGACATGAGAGTCTTGATCAGCTTGAACGGGCCAAGTCTTTGCCATGACGACCTCAATCATCTGCCGGTCTTCTTCCATTTCCACAGACTTTAGACAGACCTGAACATCGTCTAGAAAAGTCTCCGACGGCGACGTTCCGTCACGCTCGAGAATGCGTGACACGGCATATGACAGGCTGCAAAGCCCAACAACCTTGGGAAGATCAACAGGCACAAGACCAGCCAAGGCGTTCCGATACGCAAAAAGCGCAGTCTCACAGAAGCCTTCTAGATCATCCACAGCTAGGGGTACATCTCTCAGATGCTCCCATTGGCGCTGCATGTCACCACGGAGTTCTTCTAGACGAACCCATGGTTGCTTTTGCCTGTCAATAGGGCAATCTGACGCAAGAACGTTGAAGCCGGCGAGCAGTCCGTCGATTTGTGACAGCCTTCTCGACGTCGGGCTTTCCGGATTTGGTTGAACCTGCATTGGGGCCCGTCGCTTTGTGTGTGGCACTCAGCTCGGTCAGAGATGCAATGAGACAGACCGAGGCTGTGAGTTCATCCTTGCGTCGAGGCGTGGGTGTAGCGAATGTTATAACAGAAATGTTTCGAGAAAAGAGCTGCAAGAGCAGTGGTAAAAGGGCATTGCGAAAAGCCTGCTTCATTAGGGGAGGGAAGACGCTTTTAATAAGCAACAGACGGCTACGTGCAGCGCAGGTTTTTGCATCTCCCACCGACCACGTCTCAACATGTTAGGGCGCTGCTCGATTCATGGCCGTGGCACATACGTTTTCCCTCGCACAAGGGCTTGCAGAATGCACACTCCCGGGCGACAAGACAAGGCATCCGACCCCCGGGGCTACAATCACTTGCGAGTGCATATGCAGCATGCCGGCTGAGAAAGGGACAAGACACCAGAACCGCTGAAAGGGTTAGCTAAGTGCTCTGAATCATGATGAAGAAATAAAAGCAACTTAAGAGTAGTTTTATCTCTTCTTATTATGCCTTATTTGACCATACTTAGAGGAGGATGATCTAACATCTATCTCGTTTTTTCCTTGTCCCAGGTGGCATGGCCTGAAAATGGGAGCCCGGGAGCTGGTGAACTGCATCAGAGGCAAACAAGGCGCGTCGAGATGCCTCGCGCTACTGCAGCGCACGGCAGTGCGAAACGGACTGCTTGACGAATAAGATGGACGAGAGCCATTGCAGGCAAGGGTGTTTAATTATTGCTGTCAGAGGTGCATAGTTGCACAACCTCGGGGCTCCTGGGAGCTCCCAGGAGCTATGGCGGTGTGATTCAGTCCGAGTTGTGCGTGTGGACTCTTGATCTGGGGCGAGAATATTCCAATTTTCCCCCAACACTGCGGTATCCAATCTAAAAGACGGCCATGTCACGTCATGGTGTTATCTTGACCTTCTAGAATCTCCAACAGCCGTCCTCATCAGCGGGTGAGCCTCCGTGTTAAAAACCCACTCATCCAGACTGATAACATCCTCATCCGAAAAGATGAGGAAAAAGTACTTGAGCGTCTCGGCCAGCCAGAAGCTCTCCATGTAATCCTTGAGCTTCACATCTTCCCTCGTCACGTCCTCAACCGCCGCAAACGCCTCGCTCGTCTCGGCAGCGTCCCGAATCGCCGTCCACATGGTCCACGCAATATCACGGAACTCTTGGTTGCCCGTGATGCGGTAGAGGATGAAAATGCTCTCGATGGCTTCCGGGCGGAGGAGGTATGCCCTGTCGCGGGCTTGGAAGCCTAGGGGCTCCTTGTTCGATCGGGGTGCGAATTCACAGGGTTCCCAGCTTGGACAGGCTTGGAGGTTGACGATTTCAGGCATGAGACCGGAGGGATACGCAGCATATGCGCGTGCGCAACCGCGAGCCAGCTTTTCACCGACGACGACGTGGTCATCACGTCCAAGAACCTTGCCTCCGATGGCATACATACCTCCAGCGAAACAAGTGAGGTGTTCAACGTCCGTCTTCAACCTCACCTTCTCCCTGAACAAGCTGGCCTCTCCCAGCATGAGAATATCGTCCTTGTCTGGCAACATCGGTCGAAAGATCAAATGCTTCATGCCCGCATCGGCGGCGTCAAGGTACATGTCTTTATACTTGGGCTCCAGTCCCTGCAACAAGACATATTCCTTGATGAGATACTCATACAGAGAATCTCCATTGGCACCAAACCCAAACGTGTCATCGTTCACCTTGAATCCATTCCACGCATCGATTCGAAGAGGCCAAAGACCAGGGAGAGACGTCTCGTTCTGCGTCCGCTTAAAAGCCTGGGTAATCCGATCAATGGCGTCATAATACCGGGCATCGCCAGTTCGCTGCGCAAGACGAGTAAACTCCAAACTCATGCTTCCTAGGCTGGCGGTGCTTTGCCTGGGCTCCGGATGGCCTTCGCCTTTCTTGAGATGGCGGAATTTGATGGTGTGTGGCGGCATGTGCTCCGAGTTGTCGAAGGTCGCGTACAACAGATCACCGAGCTCAACCGCCTTTCTCAACAGGACACCCTCCCCACTGAGCTCGTATGCTGACAACAAACCTCCAAGATGCCTAATCGTGGTCTCAAAGACGTTGAATCCGTCACTGGTAGGTTGATCCCAATCCATCTGTGCAACATAACCGACAGCCTTGTAAAACTCTTTCTTCATACCCATGATCCACAAGGTATCGAGGTTGTCGACGATGGTGGCGGCCCATCCACTAAAGGTATCGCGCCCGTCCAAAGTAAGCGGCGCCAATTCATCCCGACCCCAAGCGTACTTTTCATACGCAGTCCAAGTCTTTCGAAAAGCCCGCTTAATCTCGTCTCGCCGTTGCTTGGCCGTGTCGAGGTCTCGTTTCCTGAGGTCGCCGGCCGAGAAATCATGCTGAATCCGGGGTAATTCGAGGGGGATGCCACGGGGTAGGCCGACCCGCCCAGAGGGGCTCAAGGGTTGTCTGTGGACGTGCTTGCTCCAGTCATAACTGCTGGGAACATATGGGATGTTACGGCGACCGTATGATGGGCTGCTCCAAAGACAGTAAAAGACCAAAAAGGCGATAAGGAGTGAAAGAATTGCCCTAGACGGGGTAAAAGGTAATCCCACGCCCATGATATCACGAAGAAGGCCAGAACATTAAAAAGGAAAGAGAAAAAGGTAAAAGGAAAAAATCAGGAACGAAAGCCTGGTTCAGCTCAGGTAACCATTGGGATTCTGCAGAATGAAACGCTGACGGGTGTCAATGTCAAAGCGGGAGGTCTCAACGCCGAAGAAAGTAATCATGACGGCAGCGAGCGAGCGATCGGGGGCCGGGAGCAGATCTTATACAGAGGACAAAACAACCTTGGCTTGGCCGCCAGGGGCCCGGGATAGGGATGCCGCTCTCGTAAGGAGACGAGATGAATTCTCCTGATTCTCGTTCCCCCACAAGCTTGGCTCGACACGCGTCTCGGTCGTCAGGGAGAATATTCTAATAATAAACGCGAGATCCGCCATCATCCTTACGGGCCAAGGCAAGGAAGATAAGAGGGGAAGATGCACGGTGCTTGGCAGGGCAAACAAGGCGGCTCACAATGGATCGCCAGGGGTTTGAGCGACTGAGACTTGCACTGTGTCTGTGTCTCAAGGGATGGCTTTGGCTGACTTTTGCACCTGGGATGCTTGCCGATCAGGCATTCTAAGCCAGCCACTCGGCAACTCGGCGCAATGGTTTCAGTGTCAAGCTCCATAAAATGTCTTGATGTGTGAATCTTGGTGAAACTTGAAGTGTTCAAGAGGCACGCCAAGAAATGGTAAAAGCTAAACCATTCCTCCTTTGGGCAGCTCCGTACGGGATGGAAATCTCGATCTCACTTTAAACACACATCAAGTGTGGCGTCGGGCAAGGGGTCAAGCCACACACACTGTGCTGTGCCTCACCGCCAAAAATTCAAAAATTCTGCCGCTTTTCCAGCTCCAACGTCCAGGCCAGACGAAAGCCATTGATTCTTCACTCTACCAGCCTTGTTCGACGTCTTGACCCCCACACGCTCAAAATGTCGTCTATGCGAAATGCCGTCGCGCGGCGACCTCACCGGGAGAGAGCGCAACCGCTAGAACGCCAGCGCCTTGGTCTTCTTGAGAAACACAAGGTTTGTCCAGCCTCGCCCCGCGCAGCCTTCAACGAACTGACAATCGCAGGATTACTCTCTTCGAGCCAAGGACTTCAACAAGAAGAAGGCAACACTCAAGGCGCTTCGAGACAAGGCCGCCGAACGAAACGAGGATGAATTCTACTTTGGCATGCTGTCCCGCAAGGGACCTGGAAATCGTGTCAAGGATGGCAAGAAGTGGTCTGGAACCGTTCAGGGCGATCGAGGAAACAAGGTGCTGGATGTCGATACCGTGCGACTACTCAAGACGCAGGACATTGGCTACATTCGGACAATGCGCCAGGTTGTTGCGAAGGAGGTTGCCAAACTAGAGGAGCAGGTGGTTCTCACACGAGGCTTCGATAAGCTTGGCAAGGACGAGGAGGAAGAACAAGATGATGACGACAACGAGTTCGACTTTGCTACAGCACCCTCAAAACCGAAAGCACCCCGAAAGATTGTATTCATGGACGACGAAGAGCAACGGGAGAACGTAATACGACAAAAGATGGAGGATGACGACGAAGACGTCGCGGACAAGACGTTTGAGGGCTTTGATGACGAAAAGAAGGAGGATGCAGAACTTGAGCGCGCCAAGTCCCTCCGGCGTCTACAGCTACAACTCGAAAACGCACGCAAGAAGCTTCACACCCTGAAAACAGCCGAGGAGGAACTCGAGATTCAGCGCGCAAAGATGGCAAAGACGGCGACGTCGGGAGGAACCACACGCAAGGGCAAGAAGATTATGGTTCGGACACGAAAGCGATAAACTGGGCACATTTTCTAAGGCAATTCTTTTTGGCATCATCATCGTGTTTGTTCGTTACTGGCTCGCTCTGCTGTGCATAGCTCCCCTATAAAAAAAAAGAAAGCTAATCGATACCCTTTAACGCCCGTGTTATGAATGGATATCTACATGATACAAGAATGGATTTCCCCCGCCAGAGTCCTTTGCGATTATCCCGTCCCTTTGGTATTGTCATTAATACTTTGATCCAACGCATTTATACATGCCCTTGAAAACACCACCGAAACACTTGAAGCCGAGTGTCAGTACCCAGATGAAGCAGGCAAACAGACCCTTTATGATCTTGACGACGACTCGGATCAGGAAGGGTAGCTTGTCCTCAAAGTCTTTGGACTTGCCCTTGCCTAGGCTTTCGTCTTGGCTTTCAACGTCAATCTCGAACGACTCCATCTTGCGACGCTTCTTCTCTTCACGTTGCTTTCTTTCCTCACGCTTGCTCATCTTGCTAAGACGGCGCTCTTGCTTGGGTGTGAGGATCAATGGGGGTGGGGGCTCAAAAGCTTCCACGGCGGGGGTGTTCTTTTCATCGGCTGCGGCGACGAGCATGAGTGCTGCGACAGCCACATCGATGATGTAGTACGACTCAATCTTGGAAGCAATTCCGGTGTCGACCTCGAGCCAACCGCCACCGGTACCATCACGGGTCAGCTTGGCGAGGTGCTGTGGTGACTCGTGATGCTCGAGAGTGTACTCGACACGAGACCAGGCCGGTGACCGCTCAATGGTGACGCAGAAAGGAGCAGCAAGTGCAGGATGGACGAGGAAGTGGTTTGAGCTGTCATCATCCCACACAAGACGAGCACATTCTCGTTCAGCCATCATGACGGTAGTGGGATCAGCAGACCTCTCAACGGCCACCTTTGTTGCCGGGGTAGGCATGAGAAGAGCGACGAGACCATCACTGGGGGGATGCTTTCGAGACTCTTCCTCGAGGGTGGTGTTCAAGGCCTCATGCCAGTGCTTGCCATCGGTAATCTTGGGGCTGCTTGTGCTGCTGCTGCTTGGGCGGATGATGCTGCTAGCCGATGAGCTGGTGTCAGGCTTGGGGCCCTTGTATGGCTTGTTGGGGTCGTGGCGTGTGAGGGTGACATAGGCCGAGGCTGATGTCGGGTCTAGGCGGAGGTTGTAAAAGGGTTGTGAGGCGGATGAGAGGTTGTAGACGGGAGCGTCCTTTTCCTGGCTCAGCTTCAAACAGTACACTCTTCCTTCAGAAGCCGAGGCTTTCCATCCGTTGGCAACCTTCCACAGATTCTTGAGCTGCTCAGTCGAGCTGATTGTGGGCACGAGGGGAGGTTCCTGCTGAAGTCTTTGGGGTCGGGGCCATGCTGACTTAATAGACTGGATACTGGAAGGGCTGACAATGGGACTCCGGACAGGACCGTTTGGCGAGTTGAAGTCAGATGGCGTCTCGTAGTACGTCTGTCTGCTGAGGACGGCCCTCGGCATCGGAGCGGGTCTGTTTTCTGTGGGGGCATAGACCTGCTGCTCGAGGGGAACCTCAGGGTTGTAAGTCGGGAAGATGGAGCGCAGCGGTTGTTCTGGGGATAGCTCTCCCAACGGTGGCTTGGCTATTGAGCTTCTGAACCGGTCGCTGCTAGGCCCAGCAATGACATCCGGATCAGCGTGTCTCGGGATCTCAGCCGCCGCTTGAGGTCTCTGAAGATGAAACTGTGCTTCCTCATGCTGTTGTTGGTAAATGGCCTCAAACTCAATTGGCGTCTGCGAGAAATTCTGAGGTGACTGGCGTCCGTTTCGAGGAGGCGACGCCGGCTGCTGAGTTATCTCTGGAGACATGGCTTGTGGTGTAGCGGCTCTCCTATCATGAGGCGTAGGTGCTCTACGCTCGCGGGACTCTGAGCGACGAGATGATCGAGACCGGCGGGACTCGGAACGGCGGTGTCGAGTCTTGGAGGTTGACGGAGGCTTGGAAGAGTTGGGGCTCGGGAATAGAGAGAACCCTCCTGGGGTCGGTGTCGACGACATTCTGTCTCGGACAGAAGAAGGCTTCTTCTCAGAAGAAGAGAGTATTACTGGCAAAGGGTATCGGAGGAGGGGGTATCAATAAAGAGTCGAGACTAGCAAAACGAAAAGAATAAACAATGTCGACAAGAATGTCTCTTTTCTCTACCGGCTCATGGTTCAATGGGTTTTGTCTCTAATGGATTCAGACCCAACAGATGCAAAAGACACGAGGCAGCAGCAGCTGTTCCCAAACAAGAGGAACAAAAACAACAACACAGAAAACGACCATCCATTTGTTATATCTCCTCCTACACTTCACCCACAGGCTCACGTTTTTAAGCGCTCGCATACTCATACTCGAGCATTGCAGCAAACTTCTACCCCCGCCAAAAATAGAAACCCAATCAGAAGCCGCATCACACTGCATCGAGTCTCTAAGCGCGCAGAGGTGAGGGGGACGCGGGACGTCATTGGTCAGAGGGGCAAGATGAGGGTGCGCTTGAGATGGGTTTTTACTGGGTAGGGCGGCGGGTGATTGATGTGACGGGCTGTAGGATTGACGGAGAAGAACGGGGGGAGGTTGGGGTTTATTGGTGAGGTTACTAGGGACTCATCTGCCGGGAACAGACCATATTCCGTCATGGTTCTGAGAGGAACAAATAGAGGGCTGTAGATTTAGACCTGTAATGCGGCCTCTGGAGCAGTTCACCGCCAGAAGCATGGCATAAGTACATTTGCAGCTGTCAAGTCATGTGCTTGAGTAAAAAAGAACGGGCGCTACTGGATGGAGATCCCGAACCCTCGGACCCGGAGACCAGAGCCTGCCCCGGGCGCTACATGGGCAAGGCTCCGGAGACTGCCGGACTGGGTATTTTGAAGTTGGTTCAAGACAAGTCAGGCTATTTTCCATGTTGTTTATCCTTTCCTTCGGGTAGGGTCCTATTTATATCGCCCAGATTCCAGATTCCCGGGTTGATTGAACCAGGTTGGCGGGTACAAGATGTTGGCTGTCCATGAGTTGGCAGCCGATTTTCACTGCCCGTTGATAGCCATGGTGACTACGACTACACCACCTACAAATACCCATCCTTGTCTTGATCCCTGTGTATTCTTATGCTTGGTTCTTGTCTTGATCCTTTTTATTCTTGTGCTTGACGCTTGTCTTGTATTCTTACATTCACCACCATAATCCCATCGTCCTCAACTGTACAGTTAAACCCCTCGTGTCAGAGCGGCGTAGATGTCAATATCCTCCCAAACGCCGCAGATGCAACACTAGCTCTCCCAGCCACTCTTTACTTGTCCTTGTCTCTTTACTCGCCCTCACATCCTGACTCTTTACTTCTCTGGTCTGTCCTTGGTTGTGAGCCCGTGTATCCTCTCCCCCCTCTGCTCCATCTCCTTCTGCCTCGACAGCCGGACGTGCTCGGGTAAACCCCACCACTCGCGCATAAACTCTTCCTGCGCAGCTGCCATCTTGGCCTTGCGCTCCCTCTCCCTCTGTCTCTCGATTCGTAACGCGAACCACTCCTCCCGCGCGGCGTCGTGGTTGGCTTGCGTTGCATGAAGCTTCATGCAGCTATTCATGGTTCGGTGCTCGGGACGGCAGGCGAATGAGACGGTGAATGTTCGGCCGAGGGCGCAGGCGGCAAAAGCTGAGATAGCAAAAGTCAGTTGTTGAACATGGCCTGATCATATGACCGGAGAAGCTCACCCTTGATCTCCTCTGCACACTCCTTCCGAACCCTCTGGTAAAAGATATCTCTAACCTGAGCCTCCTGCGATGCCGAAAGCGGTAGCGGATTCCTCGAAGGCACCCCCAACCTCTCCTCCGGCGCCGACGGGTTCTGGGTGGCCATTGCGGCCATGAATCGAGCTCGCGGAGCTCGGACCTGGGCGGATCGTAGAGTTTTGAGCCGGGAGATTCGGTTCCCGTACGTGAGAATCGGCGCGTAACGTCGTGGGTGTCGTTGTCGTCGTCGGGTCTGGTCGCTGAAGCTATATCGGACGAGGAGCTTGCGGGCCGCAGCAAGTGTGAGCCCATGAGTGGCAGAATTTCTTGACCGCCTTCTTGTTTTGTCAGTGGGATGGGCTTTTGGCCTACCCCGTACCAAAGCTGTTTCATCGAAACAACAATTGCGACAGAGGAATTGGTCAAATGATTCTTTCATTTTCTAAATTCGCCTGGAGTTCTCTCTGATATATCTCATCTGATCATAGTAGAGGACTCGGGTCGCTTTGCCACTTGACGCAACTCTTGTCTTGTCTCTTAGCTAAGCGTTTGTCGCTTGAAACCGCTGCGAACTGAAGTCAGGTATTGGCCATCTGCATGCTTACGCGGGGACTACTATTATATATTAAGCTAAGATTTAAATAAATTATAATAAATCTCTTCTTATATTTAATAAATCAAGATAAAATATTAATTTATTTTTATATAATTTTTATATAATTTTTATAAAATCTTTAATATTATTTTAATAGTAGAGATAGATATGCTCTAGTGGCTTTTGCGTAAGTGAGGAAATATACCTGCATGCCCTTCAATCAAAGTGACTTACCTCCCATCGGTGAAATCTTCAAATATCATAGTCGGGCAAGGATTCGCTTCTCTGCCAGCATTAGCGGCTTAATTCCGCAAGTAACATCCAACGATTTAATGCAGAGATGACATGGCGAAGAGAGTCTTGAGTGTCCAGTAATAGCCCACTTTCTGCCCGTTCAGCTCTGCACATTAGGGGGCCTCCTTGACCGAGTTTCGGCCACCCCGACGAATCTGCAATTGTTTCATCCATTATTGCATAAGAACGAAATATGGCCCCCAAGATCAAACCGAGAGGAGCAGGGAGATAAGCAGGAGAAGAGGGTGGCTCGGTAAAAAGCAGTCAAGGCTCCGAGACGGTATGCATTAGAAGCAGGCTGTCAGAGCCTGACAGCAGTAGACTTTAAAATTTGAGCAGAGTGCTAGTGCGTAGTGGCCAAACGACGGCGGGATTTATTTATCTGGCTTTTATCTAGAAGCCTCTTCTTTACCGGCGTCCCACTCGAAATGTCAGGGGAGGGGTTGTTGGATGTGTTGTACCATGCAGCTGAGTGCCAGCAACTTGCAATTATCAATAACCCCCTTTCTGCTGGCTGCGTTGCAGTTGTGAGACACCAAGGACATGGAGCTGGTTGATGACTGAGTGTTTATTGGTGTTTAGCTGCTCAGGATTCTTCAGCTGAGGGTGAGCCGCCTTGGCTGACAGGCTTGGATTGGTCACGCTGAATTGCCGACATGATATGAGTGGATAGGGTAAATGGGGTTGCTGACCTGGTTGCCGGGTGTGTCCTGTTGTCGCGCAAAGTGTTGCGTCGGGGCGGTTGGCAAGGCTCTCAAGGCTGATCAGTCAATCACAGTTTTAAACGAGTTGCGAGAGATTAATTGTACCTTGGAGGCACATAATGAAGAACAATGGTAACAAGGCTTGTTATCTATCAGAGCGACAAAAATCAAAGATGCAATTCAAGCAACAGAGTATAACCTAGGAGCGGATAGAGCCTAGCTGAGAGTGAATGGGAGGGTGAGGGAAACCATCAGAGTTGTATAGACAGCTTCTACAGGCCAGCTGCTGACGTGTCCTTTCCAAACTTTTCCCGTATCTCCTCCTCTGTGAATTGCTGCACATGGGATTCAAGCAGAGCCATCCGATCTTCTAGAGTCATGGATATCTGTTCACCAATCGGCACCATGCACTCGGCAAGTGTCTTGTAGTCCTTCATCATCAAACGCACCGTGATCATGATGTAGTCAATGTTGTGGAAAACTAGGGCGTGCTGAGAGGCGTACTTTTCCTTACCCCTGAGGAACGACACGGGATGCTCACGCCAGTGTCTCAGGGGGTTGAGGTGATGGGAGGTGTGGTAGCCATCGTTGAAACAGTGGCGGTTGCTCTTGATAATGGGTCAGCTTGTGTACAAAGGGATTAGTGGTGAGAGTTTCTGGGACTTACCGCGACGTCGATCAGAGTTATGCTTGACCGATAGTCAGAGTCAGGCTCTTCGTGATCCACAAACGCGTGTTGACCAAAGTTTCCCACCATAAGGCCAGCTCGAAGCAGCAGCAAGGGGAGAAGGAGGACCACAAAAGTAGCTCTTGGGTTGAGCCGGTACAAAAGGACAAGTGTTGTGTAGTAACTCAGCTCCCAGAAAGCAGCCCTCGAGGCAAGACCTAGCTTTCCCGTCCGGATAAAGTACCGGGGCAAGTCGAACCAGATGAAAAAGTAGAACCGTCCGACGTAGTGTAGAAAGTGCCATATGTTGTCACGTTGATACCGGAGGGTGGACGAGAGGTCGTTAGGTCCGTTTCCTTCCACGTGATGATGCTTGACGTGATGGTAGAAATAGGAATTCCAACTGTGTCCCATAAGCGGATCAAGGACGTAGGGGAACAACGTGTCGAAGATGATGAACTTTTTGCTAAGGATGCCTCGCATGTGAATGTGCTGATGCATCATGAGAGTATACGTGCCCACATAACTGATTTGCATAAGACAATGAACAAGTGCGTGAATCCACCAGAACCTGTAAAAGAGGAGGGCAGCGCTTGGGACAGACGTGGTAAAGTACAGCAGCAGGTGCGTGACCATCACGACGTCTGTCTCAACTCGAACGATGGAGCGCGCAACACGGATGTAGGGTTGTAGAACCCATTGATCGAGGAATTGGGGCAGTTTGAGTTGACTGAGTTCTGTCCCGTTGAACACTGTTGGTTCAAAGTTTGGATCTTTGGGATTGTTGAGGGCGGCGAGTTTGGCAATGGTGCCATCGTCAGAGTGCCCGGCTGATAAGACGATTAGCTAGGGCCACTGTGAGGAATTGAGAAATAAAGATGAGTACATACCTGAGCCATTTGCTGGTGATTCTTGGTTGGAGGTGTGCCCATTCGCAACTCTTTTCGCCAGGCCTTGATGTTCGACTTGCTTCTCAGTCGTTTCAGCGCGAATGTCAGCAGCAAGGTTTTCAAGAACCAAAGCATCAGGCTTTGTCAGCTGAGGGTCAAACACAAGACGACCCATGATTTCTGATAGTAATCGAATTCGTAACTCGGCGCTTGGAGAGGTAACTAACGAGGTTGTACGTGTGCTCCGAGACTTTTTAACCACAGTCAACTCGGCGTAAGTAAATCAAGAGCTGAAAAGAAAAAGGAGAAGAGGAAAAAAAACCTTTCAGAGCCTCGGGGAAGAAAAAGAGGCGCTTTTTGTGCAACCCAAACCTTACGCCCTGGTTTGTTGAATTTTACAGGGTTTCTTCAGCAGGCTCTCGTGTAACCAACCATCACCACCGGCTCGGCGCGTAGCTGCTATTCCTGGTTTGATGAATATATGTGGCGGGCGCTTTTTTTGGTTTCAGGCAGAGCCTGCTTTTCTTTTGGATGGATGTGTGGTTATCAGGTAGGTCAGTGAGATGTGAGGAGTTTACGCATTTGTAATGTTGGTGTTGTACTTGGGGCTGAGGTGTTTCTGCTTGTTCAGAGATAAAACCCCCTTGTTGGTCTCCTCATATCCATCTTACTGTTCCTGAGTTTCCTGCATCTATCAGCCGATTCGCAGTCAACTGCTGAAGTCAATATGGACTATCACAAACGCATCGCTGAAGATGCTATCCAGCGCTTCACATACCTAACATCCTTCTTCCCTCCCGCTCCGCTGTTCCTGGCCTACCTGCTGCCCCGTCCCGCTCACGCCGCCTACACAGAACCCTTTACACCAGCCCATACCCTTAGCCCAGAGCAACTAGAGTCCGTCGATCAAGCCGGCGGCAGTCTCGACTTTGACAACTGGGTTGATCGCGGCATGACGATTCGCAAGGGCTCCAACGTCTACGAATGTCTCGCCAACCTCACTGCCGCCCTCGACCTCGTCGGCTCGCTCAGCCAAGGAGAGTACAACGGCGCCGCCGGAGCTCTAAGCCTTCTACCAACTGCTGGTGCTCTTCTCGGCGCCCCGACTCGAGAGATGTGGATCGTGTACAAGCTTGTCCCGCTGGCGGGTTTGCTGAGCATGTTTCTAAGTCTCGGGGGTACCATCACGCCGTCCAACGTTGGAGAGTATGATCCTGCTGAGCCCTTCTCCTACGGCGGCTTCATGCCCACGACTCGTGTCAGGGCGGCCAAGAGAAGGCCGACGACCCCCGCGAGCTCTGCCCCTGGCAACCGCGGTGCGGCAAATACCTTTGAAGCCGAGAGTGAACAGACCCAGGCGCAGGCCTTTGCCCAGGAGGTCCTCCAAAGAGCCGAGGATGACAGCGGAGGTGGGATCAAGTTTGGCATCTTCTTGGCCATGGCTCTGCAGTTTGTTCTCATCGTCTCGCTACTTATACCCATGTGGTATGCGCAAAGGGGTGCAGTGGTTTCATGGTGGTGTCGTGTATGCCTGATCTTCTTCTACTCATCAACCCTTAGCTAACATTGTTCAACAGGTCTGGGGTTGGATGTACTTCTGGTACTTTCTTGTCACGGGGGTATCCATCTTTGACAACCTTGTCGCCGCCCCATTCACAAGGAGCTGGACCATCCGTGTGTCCAGAAAGCCAACGGGAATCCTGCTGGACGATACCGTCTCCAGGATAACGGACCGTCGCAAGTACGACAATGCCCTTGAAGCCATCAAGGCTGGCCCAAACACGAACCAGCGGATCCGAATCGCTACCGACAAAGGCTCGGGATACTCGCGGACGTGCTTCTACGTTGTCGTCTCGGTTCAAGGCATATCGCGCATGCACGCAATCGCTCAAATCATCTCCAAGGCGTCGAGCGTGGCAGTGTACGCCTTTGGAACCGCATTATTCGCGTCAGCGAGCCTCATGTCCATCTCGATCGCATTAATGGTGCTCTGCCTCTTGCTGCCGGCCGGGGTGGCGGGACGGGTGATCGCCATGTGGATCGTGTCTCAGATCGGTCGCGAGAATAAGCCGATACTTCACAAACTGGTCAAGTCGGAGAACGAGGCTGGCGAGTACATCCACGCCATCGCCGAGCTGGACCTGCAGCTTGAAATCCACGGACATGTCATCATGAGCGGGTGGTGCATCAGGTCGCGCAACAGACTGTTCTCACCTGCCACGTACATCGGGCTGCTGGCGAAGCCGTTTGACGCCATCGCGCTGGCGGAGAAGGCTATGCGGGGGACGCCACATGCAAAGGGTTCACCGGTAATGCAGCCTAATGGCTTCATGATGCAGGAAATGTCAAGCCCTGCGAGAACTGATGAGATGCCGCTGTATCGTGACCAGAGATTGAGCGGGGAGTAGGGTTGCCATCCGCGCTGGGAGAAGGTAATGGAGGTGGTTGGTTGGAGTCAAGGGTGGATGATTTCTTGCTGTGGAATGTAATTCGTTTCGACTTTGATGGATGCTTGAACTCGTTAATTCTTAAGACTGAGTGGTGCCGCCTGTTCCAGGTAGTCAATCAGGGCTCCTGGACACCACCTTTCTATGAGCCTTTGTCCAGGCTCCTACTCCTGACTCGCGACAACCCAATCAACCCATTTGTAACCTCCAATGAGCCGAGCCACTAACCCAGTTTCCCCAGATTCTGGGGGAATTGACTTTCTCTCCCCAACCGTCGGGCGATTCTCCCCGCGTCCGACCCCTGCCCCAAATGATCCTCCCACCATCTTTCCTCAGGCAGTCGAATTCTCCACCCTCTGATTCGACGTCAAAGGCCAAGCTACCAAGGATGACGTTCCATGGCCTGTCAGCCTTGACGGTTATCCCTTGATCCATATAACCTGTCGCCTCCCTTTGTCAATCTGTTTTGCATGTCATCTTTGTCAATCCCGCTCTTTTTGCTGTATAAAATGTCTAGCCATGGCGCCGACGCAGCCAAGCCCGGAAAGTAGCACGCGCGAGCAGATCATTGTCGAGGCGTGGGCTCAAGGTCTCAATGTTGGTGCTATTGTGATCCTCATCCTGCTGGTTTTGTGCAATTATCGCCACAAGGCTCTGCTGCATAAACTGATTCTCAGCGAAGTTGGTCTTGCCCCCGTCAACTTCTTTCTCTTGCTAACTGTTGACTCTAGCTGCTACTCGCTCTTGGGCATGGGTTCTTTGCATTCTTTCAAGAACCCGAGTTTGGCTGGTAAGGAACCTGGGCTAACAATTTGACGCAACTATCTGACTATCTCAAGGGTCCTGAGCAGCACAGCAGCTCTGTTGTACATTTCCTACTTTGTACACAATGTCATCGCCTGGCTCAAGATCAAACCCTTCCTCCCAAAATGGGGCTCACGAGTCTTCATCATCTCCCTCCTCGCCGTCCAACCGTTCTGGGTCCTCGAAACTTGGGCCAACTTTCAGTATCACAACAACCTCGGCAGCAGACTCTTGGACACATCAAGGCTTTTTGAACCACTAGCAAGAGACCCCTGGTGGGTGTTCACAACTATAAAACTGGTCCTGGCAATCAACGACAACTACGAATTTACGATACCCAAACTTGTTCGGATAAGCCCGAGGTTCGGCGTCATGCTTCTTTGTCTTTTTATGTCCATCGTATTCGTTATTGTGGATGTCATCTTTATGATTCTGGTTTCCAAAAGAGGTGGCATGAATCCATTCTGGCGGGTGAGTACCTCGCATACCTCTAACCAGATGATTGTTTCTAAGCAACCCATTAGCTCGCCCTTATTTTCAAGTGTGCATCCGACGTCATATTTCTAGACGACTTCAAGAGCGTCCTGGATCGTATCTCAGAGTCCGCCATGAGAAAGATTGCCACATTCAGTTACCGAGACGATGACAACCACTCACAACCTATAAATCAAAATCGTTCAGCGCCTGGCTTTTCTGGTTTCGAGTCTCGCCGTAAAAGTTCAAGGCCAGCAGCATATGGAAATGAGAACGGGTGCTTACAGGGACGCTCGGGGTCTTGCGCAAGCGCTGATGATGGCCATTACGAGTATGCAACCAGCTACGACCATTTTCTTGCAGAGGATAGTAGCCCTAGCGGCCATAGGGGACAGAGGAGGGCCTCTGAACATGGAGATACACATTCAAGAGGTGAGTAAACACTTGAAGAGGCTATTTTCTTGAGGTTGGCTAATTTCATGTCAAGATATTGAGCTCGGGGAACGAGAAGATGGCATTCCCATGGAGCCGGTGAGAGCGCAAACGAGAAATAGCGTATTTAGTAGCAGCTTCCCACAACCGACATAGCGGGATCCAGTATCAGAGCCATGGATGGACATGGTTAAATACTGAGTTTTATTACACGCCTCTATGCTCAAAATCGCGATTGCCTGTGTGTGTCAGTGTTCCATATGAGCAAGGTTCTTGATTACGTGATCAAGCTCGGCCAATCCAACCCAACCAACTTGGCCCTGGCAGCTGCTTCGCTTGAGTATTCGTTGCCAATCTCCCCGTCTCCTCAACGTTTTCTTTTATCCATGGGTCAATCCATCGGGTCTCTATTTCCACTGCGATGGCGGCTATGGCTCGGCAAGCGACTCTTCCGTCAGCTCGGCCCCTTTACAGTGAGAGTGAGCTGGCATCGCCTCATCAAGGGACCATGCAAGCCTACCGAGGTGGAGGCCATGCAGTACGTCGCCACCCACACAACGATTCCAGTGCCCAGGATCTACGCCGTCCATACTGAAAAGAACGGCTCTATTTACATCGAGATGGCATACGTCCAGGGAGACAGCCTAGACAGTGCTTGGCGTCGCATGTCGGTCGACGAGAAAGATACCGTTTTTGCCGACATCAAGCAGCATGTGTCTTGCCTCCGCGAGCTTCAACCTCCGACCCAAGATATAGTCTCCTCGGCTCTTCAGAATCCCGCGTTTGACTGCCGCATAGGAGCTTGCTTCTATGGTCCTTTGAACCATGACGAGTTCCATTCATTGGCGCGAGGACATCTGCGCATGGAAGACGTCGCACCTTTCCTTGGCCCAGAAGTGGCCAAAGTGCACACATCCCGCTACAAAACTCATTTTACCCATGCAGACATGGCACCGAGGAACATCATTGTGCAGCGTGGGCGTGTTGTCGCCATCGTTGATTGGGAGTTTGCGGGATGGTATCCGGAGTACTGGGAATTCACCAAAGCAAACTTCAACTACTTTCCCGGTGAGGGCTGGGAGGATTATCTTCGTGTTGCTCTTCCCGGCTATGAGACGGAGCTTATTGCGGAAGAGACTCTCTGGGCAAGGCTGCCGGAGCCCGGCACAAAGATGACTTCATATCGTGACGGAGTTAGGGTCGAACACCAGGGCTCAGGCCCTTCAGCAGCTTGGTTAGATGCCAGAACAGGCCGTCAGCTTTCGGATCTGTGGTCTTTGGCCCTTTCTTGAGGACCATGTGACAGTGGATAGGATATAATGGAGGCATGATGCTTACGCCATGTTCCAACGCGCCTTTGCCGATCAAAGGTGCCAATGGTGACAAGCCTTTTAGAGAATCCACAATCGAGTTCACCTTCAATCTTGCTTAACTGAGAATTCCGGAACCATTAACTAAATCATCATGGCATTCGAATAAATCTACTCCGTGTTTGTCATAAACGCAGTAAACTCTACAAAAGTCATCTGCCACTTACTTGCAATAGTGGGAATGGATAAAATAGACCGTGCCCAGGTGCGAGTAATGAAGGTCTCTGCAGTCCTACTGGCACCCACCTTTTCTTTATTTTCGTAATAATTCTATTCTTAGACTGTCCTTCCTTCATCATGGCGCTTGGGGGGGTCTTAAGCGCCGTGAGCCCCCTCCCCGAGCCTGGGCGCTTATGTTCTCATCACTTGACAGGTTTCTCAGGCTGGACCACTGTTTGAATTGCAGATTAGTCCAGTCATTCTTTTTTGAAACGGCATCCTGTTTGCTGCAACGGCTTCTTATTATAGAACCGGTTCGCCGTTGGCGCTGGTTCCATCCATGCGACTAATGCAAAGTTGGGTACAGCCTTGGTTCATCTTCCACAGTTATAAGGCACCCAATTTCACTGAATGAACGGCTGTAGAGGCTCTTGTTACTTTTGCTTGTCTGTCTCTATCCTATATTGAGATCTTTCTTGAATGTGCATACATATTCTTGGCGTGGTAAGCTTTCAAATCGCCAAACACCACCATATTGCTGACTGTGCTCTCCTTGAGCAACGACTATGGAGCAACTGGTGGCTCTGGCGTTCGATCTTGATCAGTTCAAAGACATGGCGCTCTCTTATGCTGATGAAAGAATGAAAGGAGAGGATTCGAGCGAGCCGAGCATCAAGTATTACAGTGTCTAGCGCTCTGTGGAGTACCTATGGATAGAAGGCTTCAGACCTTTGGTATGTGTGTGATGATGTAAATAGTGTCTGAATACCTAGGCAAATATGAATATATTTGTTTACCTGTTGAGTCAAGGAGCCCAGTCCACTCTGCGGGTCGCTTGGCGACGGGTCTATGGCTTGAAGCTCATGTCAAACTGCCCACTGGTACTAGTTATGTCTGTCTGTATGTGTTCCCTGACTCGAGGTTGACCACCCTGTAGGCTAACCAGTGGATAGGTCAATAAAAGTGGACCCTGAACTAACGTTGGATCTTTGCAATCAACTCCAGCTTCAATGCTTCATCAACTCATCTTACTTCCATATTGGGTCTCAGATTAGAGTCTCGACAGCGTCCTATCGATACCACCTGGCGATACTCAGGGTAGCATTATTAATAAGAAACGTGTATTACGCGTCTGGAAAGTTGTGATACGCGTCAGAGATTATCATTCGTATTAGTGTTGAGACAGTGTCTGTGTAATCAATGCGCCCGCTTCGGTCTCGGTTTCGGTCCCGGTCTCTTAGCGTGATGCCATGGTATCTAAGCCCAACCCGCTCCCCCCGTAGTCTTTCCAGGTCTCCTGCATCTCTTGGATGTTTTTTTTTTCACTCTGCTACTCAGCTGAGATCGAAAGAGGGAATCTGAGATCCGATATCGCCACTTGAAATCTTCCAAGATGTCTGTCACATCGACTGCGGACCTGCCCCCTCCTCCATCGGCCGACAAGATCAATCTTGCCATAGCTGACCTTGTTCTTTACATACTCCTGCTTTTCCCGGTTATCCGGATCACTTGGAGACATGGAAAGGCCGGCATGGTCTGTTGGCCCATCTTTATTTCATTCTTTCCTCTTCGATTCGTCTCGGATGCCTATCAAATCGCCAAACGCAACGAGCCTTCAATTCCCAATGCGGTTGCCATCATGACTAATGCTGGGAGCATTGCTTGTTTATCCTTGACCATAATTGGATTGATCTATGAAGTGTAGGTTCTACAGTGATCCAATGGTTGAAGAAGTGTTGCTAACCCATGGCTTTTATAGAAACGTGATCCTTCCGCTACCTCCGAAACGCTGGACCGAAAGAATAATGCTAGCCGTCACTCACCTCGCCATCACGGCGGGAATCGCACTAGCTACATACGGAGGAGCCCCTAAGGCTGGAGCCAAAGGGGGAGTTGTGGCCGAGAACTTGAACCAGACTGGCAACTGCTTGATGATGTTCACCATGATATTCGGCCTCGGTTGGTGGTTGTGGGAGACTAAGAAGCGTGTCATGTCTCTCAAGTCCCATCCCAACTTTGAACCTGGAAAGTACTTGCTGCTGGCAGCATGTGCAGCACTCCCCTTTCAACTGATTCGGATTGGCTATAACCTCACTATGGCCTTTACTCCGTATGCTGTCATAGATCCGTTCTCTGGATCTTTTGCTTCGAGGTTTCTGTTGATGTTTGGGACGCAACTTTGTGTAGCTATTGCTGTTACTGTGGGTGGATGGATGAGTGTTGGGCTTGTGCCGGCACATGCCCTGGGGCAGGAGAACCAGGGGTTTTCACGATTTACAACTCCACGGGCTTGGGTTTGATACTATAGAAGCTATCTTTACGCCAATAAAAGAAAAGAAGACACTGGGATAACTGGGGTTGAGATGGTTAGAAACTGTTAGAATGTTACGGGATTGGCTGGCTTTCGAGTTGGGCTTGGTAGGGAAACAGGTTACTGCGGATTTTTAGTTGGAGTCAATTGAAATTACTTGAGATCGAATAGACATGGCTTCAGAAAAAAATCTCGGTTTCGGTTTTAGGGTGTTGGGTATTGATGCTGCATACGTGGATAGCCGTGTCTTTCGTTATCGTGGCTGATGGCACTTTTGGAGACATCGTCAATGAAAGACCGTGATTGAGCCGCAAATACGTGTATTTACAACCCTTGACTCTGAAACCCTGCTCTCTGACAGCTGGTGGAACTGTCTCGACTGACGGATCTGCCCAGGGATCTCCCATCTTACGTCGGCCATGACGACGCCCCCCTATGAATCCCATGCACCAACCGCCCTTTAAGGCTGGTCTAGGCCCTATTGGGCTCTGGAATCTCGGTCTCGGCTTGAGCCTCAGGGCTTAGATGGTCAAGGCAGGCCAATTAGATTCAAATGCGAGACCGAGACTAAAATAGGCCTGATACACAGGGAGGTGCTTTGATTTAGGCTTATTCTTAAGGTAAATTGTCAACAATAGAGATTGAAGAGAGTTTGGAGAGTTGTATATAAAGATTGGCAATGCCTTGGGATGTGTTTGTCTTGATCCATCAACACCATCCAGCTTCACAATCTCCTTGTTTTCAATCTCCTTGTTTTCAATCTCCTTGTTTTCAATCTCCTAGTTTCTCCAGTTTCCTAGCCTTCACACATATTTACCTTTCTTTGCATCTTTATTTCCTATACAATCTCAAACTCAGCGTTTCCTATCTTTCTTTTCAACATGTCTGGCTTCTTCTCTAACCGGGTTAAACTCCCCGTCCATCTTTTTCAACTCGTCCTCATCGTCGGGGTCCTGGTCGTCTCAGTCGTACGAATGATGAACCAGCCGAAAAACGCGCCTCGAGGCCGTTCAACCACCATGGCACTTGGAATGGTATTTATCGTCTTTTGGAGAAATAGGGATTGGTCGCTAACAGTGTCTTAGGCTGCCAAGTCGCTCATCATTATCCTATATGAGATCCTGTCCGCTCATGTGCGAGCGTTCAAGAAATGGTCAAGCCTCAAGGCCTATGTTATCCTCAACGCACTGGAGATTGTCTTTTGGGGCGCGGTGGTGTTCATGATGATCCAAGCAAACCTCCAGTTCTGTGAGGGCATGAGTTGCACGCTCAGCTGGATTGTTGTTGTCATGGGAATTATCATGAGGTATGCTCCAAACATGAACAAACAGTAAAGAAACTAGGCTAACAATTGTTTTAACTTAGCTCTCTCGCCTTTTACATGACTATTGTCACTTGGCTCGATTTCCGACACTTCCGCACATACGGAACTCACCGTGGCCACCATTACCATGGCAAGCACCTCGAAGTGCAGTCATCTGAGAGCATCACCATGGACACTGCTCCCATGACTGGACGACACCCAGGCGACCAAGGACAGGAGCGACTTGATATTCCCAAGCCAGTTCAGGCAGACTACGCGTATTATTCACCAAACGCGAGACGCGAGACGAACCATTATCACCACAGTGATGGACATCACCACAGCAGTGGACATCACCACAATGGTGGACATCACCACAGTGATGGACGGTACTAAGCACGTTGCTTTTTCTGAAAAAGCAAAACTGGATGTTAGACCACGGAATGGCAGAGGTTTCTTTGATGGGGACGACAAGATGAATAGAAAATAGAGGGACATGACAAGCAAGAGGTCTTTACTTGGGCAATGCAATTGAGCGGGCACATAGAATTTGATTCAAATAGGTATTCACCATCAAACAAGACGATAACATCCAAGCTGCCATCCATGAAGCAATAACGTTATGGTAAGGCGAAAGTTAAATCAACAGCCACCAATTGACTGCAATGCAACCTGGTCAATGCAAGCCTCACTCTAGCCACCCCTTGCTTTGGACGGCAGAATACTGATCCAGTTTTGGTGTTTTTAAACCCAGCGCTAGACCACGTAAACCGAACCCCCCCACGGCAATGCAATCCGCCGACACCGCTACCTACAATGCTTCCCTCGTCACTCAAGAGTATCTATCGCCAGTACAAGGCCGACACCGACTCTGTGGCCACATGGTTGGCGACTACTGCAAAGGCTAATGGATATGTTGATGACACCGGCAATGCACTAGTTGCTGCTGGGGGCAAGAAGAAAAAGAAGAAGAAGAAGAAGACCAACGCCGATTCGGCACCCAAGCCTAGATATGTCCTGAGGATCAAAGACTTTGAGCCCATGGCGAGATTCATCGCCAAGCTCGAGTCCATCAACATTCCCGAAGATTTTGCTATTGCTCTTGAACGAGTCATTTGGGGTACGTACATCTGCTTCACATGTCATCGCGTGAGACTGACGATATCACAGTTCGCAAGACATTTGTCGACTTGCTTGCCGATAATGGCATCCCTACAAGGGGCGATATAGACGCAACTCATTCGTACTTTGCCGATGTGCTCGAAAGTGTTGGCAGGTGTCTGCAGCCTCTCGTGAAAGCGCCAGCTTTCAAGGCTCCTGAACCAAAGTCTAATGCCACGTCCAAGGATCCTCTCAGGAACATTTTTTGACGTTCTGGATGTGTACACACCTTCCGAAGAGTTCTTGAACGCTCCAGAGACTGCTGCTCCCAAGCCTACGCCCGACGTGGAGTACACCGTCGAGGAGGACGACACCTTGGGAGATGCACTCTTTGCTCTCACCTCTCTCCTGGATGACTTTTCCCGTCTGCGAGAAGAGGTCAGGTCACTGTGGAAGCGACACCTTGAGGGGTCTCTTGATCTCGCTGCTGCAGCTGTCGCCACAAACACGGCGTTTGAGCTCGCTCGCAGCATGGAGGAGGAAGTGAAGCCACTACTTAACAAGCACGACGGTGTGGATCAGCTCATCACGGTGTACTTTCAGAGAATCTGCGAAGCGTGTGGTGTTGACGTGGAGTATAAGGGTCAAAACGATCCTTACAACTTGGTGGCGTACGATTTGGCCAAGGCTTGCTTCGCAAACGGTTTGAGCATGCTCAGAGACTATGCGGTCGAAAACGCTGGTGATAACATCATCAGCAAGTATAACGGCAAGTGGGGATGGTATGATGAGGCCCTTGCGGGAGATGCCTGGACAAACCGCGGAAAGTGGGATCAGGACTTTTTAGCGTTCAACGGCGTCATCACAGAGCTGCAGTTCCTGGCTTCTAACATGGGACAGGGAGCGAGGATCGAAGACGAATTCATCCGTGGTGTGGGAGCGCTGATGAACAGCACCGAACAAGGCGGCCAGCCTGATATGAATCTCTGGCTGTCCTTCGCCTTGCAAACATACATCGAGGTGCTGCAGTCTTTCGGGAAGAACTGCGGTGATGCATATGAACAGATGCAGCAGGAATGCCGCAGGATCAAAAAGGCCATGCTCAACGTCCCTCGCATGTCAAAAGACCGCGACAACGTCCTCAACTCGGTCACCAAATGGGACAAGGACCCGATCTGGCATTGTCGTCACAAGATGATCAGGCTAGGCATCATGCCTAGACCCAACCCTCCTCAGTTCCTGTTCCTGCGTCGAAACCCAATCCACTGCGGTCTCCTCCTCCACGAGATACGCACCACTTTCCACATCTCGGGCGTGCGGTATGCGGCGCACAGTGGAGGGTTGATGGCGATTACACAGCTGTATCACGCTCTTCACAATGAGAAGCTACTTCCGGAAGAGGTCGTGTGGGAAGATCTCGACGAGTTTTGGAAGAGACAAGGTAACTCGGCCTTTTTTGTTGGTGATCCTCCTACGGACCGTGAGGGCTACTTTAGGAACTACTGTCTCAGCATTGGCCTGTCGGCTAGCAACTGGGCGCCTACCAAGAGACAGGGCAAGGTCAATGTCAACACCGCAAACCGACGCAACCTCAAGTTCAACGGATGGGTGTCTCTGACAATGAAGAACCGGCTTGTCCCTACTGGAGACCGTACCGCTTTGTCGCCCGACGTGATTGAGGGGATCTTGCTTGACGGTCGCCGACATGAGATTATGGACGGCAAGGGACATGTCCGACCAGAGCTCAAAGAAAAGACTGACGATGACAAGGTAAGCCTGAAACGCAGTGAAGCGAGATCATCACTAACACCGGATATCAGGTCGATTTCATCAACCTCTCGCCAGCCAGCCTCATCGAGAAGCTGGCCTTGGATGTGCACGACGATGTACCCAAGATCACATTTGACCTCTTTACCCTCCACAACGCAGCCTGGGACCTCCTAACCAAGCTCAAGGGCGAGTTCACCAAGGTCATGGGCACTGAATTCCTCAGATACGTCCCAAGAGAAGAACTCCTTCCATTCGTAGTAGGCTACGTCTTTTCCACCGCCGCAGGACGCCAAGACATTGAGACAAAGACCGAATCGGTGGACATTCTTATAAATGCCGCCGGAAGGTTTGTCAAAGGATTCCTGGAAAAAGGAAAGGGAACGGTTGTGAAGGAGGGTAGCAAGGCGATTGTCAAGCCTCAAGAGGTGGCTAATATACAGTTCAATGCGACTGAGCCTTGGGGGCTGGACCATCTCATGGCGGAACTTCAGAGGGAGGCCGGGAGGAGGGGTGGAGGTCGTGGAGGGGGAGAACAGTGTCCTACGCAGTGAGGTAGGCGTGTAAGCTTGTTTGGCTATGGATTTGTAATGTTTGACTGTCTTTTGAGAAGATCTGGTATGTGCATGGATAACTAGGGGACGTCAAACGGATGCGGATGTTTACAAGTTGACGGCTCTAACTTGTATCAATGGTTAGGCCAACAATTCTTCCCGCATGAGCGAATGAGATCCATAAAATTGTCAAGTATGGACAAGTTTTAGATGAAATCTGGTGTCGCACAGAGGGTCCAAGTCAACAAGTGAATCTCACAGCGCCGCCAAGCGCAAACAAATTCACAACCCGACAAACGGCATTCACGCTCCCCCTCAGGCTTTCAGGCAGCACCGAGATCTGATTGGAGTGGCCTCAGGCTAAAACGAGACGGCTACAACCTTGATTTCCGACTAAGAAGTCGCTATCGCACAGTACCCGAAGCACTGACTCTGTTCGTGCAGGTATCATCGTGAATGCAAACGAATCTTGGACATGATGGTAATTAAACGGAAGCCGCGTTTGGACGCTTTGATACGCCAATAGGTACATAATCTCGACTTACACCTCCTCTCAGGCGCATTTCATCTTCCTCACACAACCAAGATGAACTCCTCCGACGAAGGCGATCGCGTCGTCCAGAACCTACTCGACAATGTGTGGACAACCCTCAACCGCCCAGGCCTCGCCGTCTTTGCCATTGGAGGCGACGTCCAAAAGCCAGATCCCGCTCCAGAAACGACATCCTCACTTACAATCCGCTGGGATCGTGATGATCAAGGCCAATGTCGCAAATTGCTCCTTCCCGTGGGCGATGATACCTCTTCGAAAGAGTCGTTTGACATGATCCTCGAGGATTGCCAACCAGCGACGTTTGGAGTTGGTAGCAAAGAGGTTCTTGATGAGGAGTATCGCAAGGCTGGAAAGTTGGATGATACTGCTTTCAGTACCAGCTTTAATCCTTACGAGCATGGCATCATGGATACCATCAATCAGGTTTTGGCTCAAGGCGCGCATCGAGCGGGTCTTGGTGTGAGGGCAGAGATGTACAAGCTCAATGTAATGAATGGCTCTACCATGATACACGATGCGAGTTCTGACGTGTTAGGTCTATTCTGGTCCCTCTGGCAAGTTCAAGGCGCATGTCGATACTCCACGATCAGATCGCCAGATGGGCTCACTCGTCGTCTGTCTCCCAGTTGCGCATAAAGGTACATTTCACTCATGGGTGCATCTTGCGACTACTAACAATGCGCAGGCGGCCAACTCGTTGTACGACACAGAGGCAATCAAGTCAAGTTTGATTGGGGACCCAAGAGCGGCGACACCATTCAATGGGGAGCTTTCTTCTCCGACTGCGAGCATGAAGTTCTCCAGGTTACTGAAGGACATCGCATGACCCTGACCTACAATCTCTTTTGGACAAGCTACGGTCCTGCTTCGATGGCCAATAACCTCAAGGCTCTGGATCAAGAGTCTCTTCACTTCTATTCTGCTCTTCAGAAGTTGTTCGATTGTGAACATTTTCTAAGTGATGGTAGGTGTCATTTACCCGTAGTCTTTCTTGATCTACCGCTGACGCCCTCGCAGGAGGCCTTGTGGGCTTCACTTGCGCCCACGCCTACCCTCATACCTCGCATTCCTCAATGGACGATCTCCACCACATGCTCAAAGGCATCGACATGGTCGTCTACCAAGCCTTGAAACGTCTCCTAGGCTCAGCCTGCGTCACAGCCGTACTAGACGACTCGGAGTACAATCAAGCCACACATGAATGGAGGATGGATTGCTCAGACGATGAGGAGGGCGACTATGACTGCGTCAGCGATTCTTTGCAGCCAGTGCTCATGAGCGAAGACTATGACGAAGAGCAAACGCCGGATCCGGGCACCATTGCAGACTTTGGTTCGGGGCCGGCTTTTCCTCGTCGAGGTGTTACGTGGTTGAACCATGGACCGAATCATCGGACGGCCACTGAACTCGCTGTTGCGTTCATCACGGTGAGTTTTCATCTATATATATGGTGAACGGGAGTTTGGTCTAACATGACTAGCAGTATGGTAATCAGCCTGGGATTGATGCTTATTACTCTTCGGCCGTCATCATGGCCAAGGCGAATGGATTTAAGAAACAGTGAAGTAGGTTAGGAGTTTGGGGGCATGTTATTACAGGATTGAGCGGGCGACACATGAACCGCCCAAAGATGAGACCAGTGTTCTATCAGTCGCTCGGTTCGCGGAATCATGGAATAATAGGCCGCCAGAGGCTGTGATCGTGTGTAATTCATCCAGTTAGTTCACTCTTTGCGGTCCTCTCATACATGTATGAGATGTGTGTATTATGAGTAGCAAAATATACAATGAATACACCTTGTCCGAAGCCATTCCTTCCAACCATTTCACCACGGGATATCAAACAAGCAAGCAAACTCCACGCGCCAGGATTGCCAGTTCCTTCTTCAAAGTTGTCATCTACCATTGAGGACATCACTGCTGAGCATAAGGCTGCTGCTGATACTGCTGAGGAGGTGGTGACACGGCAGGAGGAGGAGCAGTGTACTGGTTCTGGCCGTCAAGCTCACTTCCGTAGGTCTGGGGTGCGGGCTGTTGGTAGGGAGCCTGCTGGGGCTGCTGCTGAGGGTACTGTCCATATGTAGGCTGACCCTGGAACTGTTGTTGTTGCTGCTGCTGCTGCTGGTCCTGAGGAGAGTAAGGAGCCTGGGGAGGAGGATAAGCACCCTGTTGCTGGTAAGGACTCTGAGGCTGTTGGAAGGGAGGCTGCTGGTAGGCCGGAGCGGGAGTAGGCTGGGGAGAGAACTGAGGCTGCTGCTGAGGAGCAAACTGGCCGTTAGGAGCAGGCTGCTGGAACTGTTGAGGCTGAGGCTGGCCTTGGAATTGCTGAGGGGGGGCGTTCATGGGCTGGGCCTCGGAAATCTTGTTCTCCATCTGGTAGTTGTCGGTAGGGGTTCCGGTGCTGGAGCTACCCACGGCGAAGCGGCCTTCCTTGCGACCGCGGAGGAACATGAGAAGAGTCCAGACAAAGGTCGCGATGAACAGGACCCTACCAAGGTTAGCCAACGTCTTGACAACATGCGACAGCAAAGACTTACCAGACGAGAGCGCCCAGTCCAGCGATGGAAGACAGCATGGCAAGACCAATCTTTGTAAGAATGACATCGCGCTTCGTGTGAATGGCACGCTTAAAGACGACATCGCAGCTCTTGCTGTTGACAACACTTCCATCATCATAACAGTCGCCCACAGTGACGGGAACGACATACTTGGACCGACGCGAAGCAGTAGCAGCCCAAGCAGCAAGCCAAAGAATAATAAGAAGCCCATCAACGATGAGGACAGCGAGGATATGGTATGCGCCGCGAAGGCTGGGGATCTTTTCGGTGAAGACGACGTAGGCGACTGCGAGCCAAGTAAGGATAGACTAGATGTGTTAGCTGGAGGCTTAGTGAAGAAGGGTTGTTGTTGACGTACAACTGCCAGGGAGAAGCCTTCTTCGTCGAGGTAGGCGTCGTGAATCATGCGACCGCAGAGACCGACGATGATGAGGGAGATGAGGAATTGGAAACCGCGGATTATCATGATCCAGAGGGGAGTGTGAAGGACGTGATCGCCCTGGGGCTTTTCCACGGGTTGCTCCATTGTAAGTGAGTGCTCGAGTGAAAGTAGAGTCGTGTAAGTAGAGTCGTGTAAATGAAGTCGTATAAGTCGCAACAACTCAGATACTAAAAGAACAAGACCTTGAGCCAAGAGATGGAGGCGCACCCATCATCTCGAGGACGGCGCAAACAGCCTTATACGTCCCTCGCGTCTCCCCTACAGAAGCACACACAAATCTCTAATCTGCATCTACCGCGCAGCCCAAGGCAGATTTGAGAGGACCCTGTCGGATAGCTGCGTTAGCGTCCCTCAGCCGCACGCACGCCGTCGGGCGCTTTCAAGGAGTGGAGCGTTATTTCCAACGAGGCGTCAAAGGAAGGGCGGTCTTGTTTTTGGGACGAGAATCCTTTTTAAGCCTCTTTTTGTGTACAAGTATCTCTCCTTTTTTTTTTTTTTTTTTTTTTTTTTACTCCCGCTGTATCTGCCGAGTGTGACGGCTTACGAGAAACACAACGTGGTACAGAGATGAATGGGTTTGACGCTCTGATGTCCAACTTTGATAGTCGAACAAGACATGGACCGGGATGTTCCCTTGCTAGGCGAGCACAACTCCACACCCCTTGCTCTTCCGTGCCTTGAAACACTTCGGCAAGTCGGCATGGGGGAGAGACAAGTACCATTGAGCGGAGCAGGGCAGGACAAATCGATAGTGGCTTAATGACCACTTGGCGGATGAAAGGCACGTTTCTTTCTACCAGATGATGACTCTACACTCAACACGGTTTTCACACAGACTATCAGTAACAAGACATGGTACATCCATATCAATGTCTGCTTGTGAGGTGTCATTGTCCCCCATTGATCGACATCCAGGTCACTCCAAGAAGGAATGCCCAGCATCCAATGTCTCGCGAATTCGACGCATCTGATTTGCCAGATGAAACCAATATACAGGTGGACCTCGCACACGAAGGATCTAACCCCGGAGAGGGGGGGACGATCCGGCTGGGGACGTGTGACCCATGTCTGCCAAAGCCTTGCTTACAATTTCACTGCCTCACCTCGACCACAAGTTATCCGATGCTATTACCAAACAAGGACAAATGTATCATACTTTAAGAAATCTCAACGCCTCGTCTTAAACTAGCCTCATCGCCAAGATGACTGGAACGTGACAAGAAGAGGGGGCTGAATCGGTAGGCAGGGGTTTATAAGCCAAGCCCATTTAAAAAAGAAAGCCTTGTGGGCGGGTCCTTGCAGGGCCGACCGTTGAGTTGAGGTGTGTGCCTGGGGCGGAATATGCAGGGCAGAACGCGGAATCAAGTCGAGATTAATTAACGAGATGTCGGACGAGGCGTTGCTAAGTCCGATTGCCGCCTTTTTGATGGATAGGCTATCTATGAATAGAATCCAGAGACTGGAAGCTAATATCGCTGATGTTCCTACTCGCTGTTTGTTAATCTCCCAGTTCAAGTCTGGAGGTTGAGACCATTCCTTCCCTGCTCATGTCTCAGCCCTGCGTACTCTTCTCTTCACTCACCATGTCAGCTCTCATCACAAGGTCATCAACACCAACTTCTGAAACAGAACCATCTATTTAGGCGCCTGTCTCGCCGGAAACGACCAAGGCAACATCCGTGCCTTGTGCTAGACCAAGACTAGACCTCAACTAGAAACCAAAACTAAAAGCGCGACCGTTGAGACGTCAAGTCATGACTGTCATGTTTGGAAACCTTGACGCCTCGACTCTCTCCCGCCCTGCCGCCGCCGCCGCCGCCGCCGCCTCGTTCTTTGGCTCATTCCCCTGAGCTTCCATGATGTAAGCCCTTTCTAACCAAGGGAAACGCTCTGTCTTTTGAGTGTTTTTTTCATTTTACTGTGTTTTTTGTCCTTTCTTCCGCTGACTGCTCTGTCCGATCCGTCTTTTGCAATTCCACGTCTCATTCATTTCAGTCGCTGCAAGTCTCTTCTTACTCCTCATTGGGACCCTTGATCAGCACCTTGATCGCCTCACCCTCCTTGACCTTCTTGAAGGCCTCCTCGGCCTGCTGGAAGTCGACAATGCCCGTCACGAGCTTCTTAACGTCAACCTTGCCAGTGGCAACCAACTCGATGGCCAGAGGGTAGTCACCAGGGCCGTATCGGAACGATCCGCTGACGGTGGCCTCCTTGATGCACATGGCCATGATGGGGAAGGTAATGTCAGACTTGCCCATGCCGCCCTGCACGTAGCTGCCACCGACCTTGAGGACGTGGATGCTGGCCTGGATCGAGGGCTCGGCACCGCTGGCGTCAATGACAACGTCGGCACCATCAGGGAGGCCGGCGAGCTCGAGGATGTTCTTGGCGTTCTCCTCGGGGGAGACGCGCTGCGAGGCATAGGTGTGGGTAGCAGCAAAGTCCTTGGCAAAGTCGAGCTTGGACTGGACAATGTCGACGCTGACAATCTTGGAGGCACCGTAGGCGCGGGCGACAGCGGCGCAGAGGAGACCGACAGGACCGGCACCCATGACGACAACAGAGTCACCAGGCTTGACATTGGCCTGCTTGACGATGTGGACACCAACAGCGAGGGGCTCAATCAGAGCACCCTCCTGCTGGGAGACGTTCTCGGGCAGCTTGAAGCAAAAGTCGGCCGGGGCGCGCCAGTAGCCGGTGAGGGTGCCGTGGTAGGGAGGGGTGGCGGCAAAGACCATATCGGGGCAGAGGTTGTACTTGCCAGCAAGGCAGTTGGTGCAGCGGCGGCAAGGGTATCCGGGCTCGAGGGCGACTCGGTCGCCGACCTTGAGGGTCTTCACCTTCTCGCCGACCTCGACGATGGTACCGGCCGACTCGTGGCCCAGGACCATGGGGTCTGTGACGACAAACTTGCCAATGGAGCCATGGACCCAGTAGTGGACGTCGGAGCCACAGATACCAGTGTAGTTGATGGCGACGAGGACATCGTGGGGGTCCTCGAGGGTGGGCTTGGGGCGCTCCTCGAAGGTGACGTCGCCGGGCTTGTTGAGGACGAAAGACAGGTTCTGGAGGGTGTCAGCTAGAGTCTGGGGAGGGGACCAGTCAAAGACGTACGCTGGCCATTGTTGCTGTGGTCTGAGTCTGTGATGGATGAGGGGTTGAGAGAGAAGAGGAGGGACGAGGTTCGGTGTGGGATGTCGGTCTTCTTATACCGGATCGATATGGACGGTGGGTTGTTGAGTGTGGAGCGAGCTACCAGCTATTCTCGTGTCAAGTCAATGCTGCTGCTGATGGAAGAATTGTTTCAAAAGACACGTCTTGTTTTTTTCCATCCGGCCGGGAAAACGGGGGAAGCAGGAATCTGCTGATGAGGGCGACATGTGCAGGTCAAATAGACTGATGGGGGAAAATCAGTCCATGCCATGATTCCCGTTCTTTGCCCATGATGGATGCTGCAATCACCCCCCCACGTCACCGTGTATACAGAGAGACCCCGCGATCAAGAGCTCTTCCTCGCCAATCAAGTACCCGTCATGCTCGCTGCAACCCTCGACCGAGCTGTGTCTGCTGGCACAGGGGTGCCGGGTGCGCGGTGGTGGGTAAAAAGAGGCGGCTGCCACAAGTGCCGCACAACGGAGGTCGGCGAGAGCCCCTCTCGGGCAGTTTCTCTTGTCATGACGGGAGCGCTTCGAAGCTTCGTTTCTTCTTTGCGAGAAAGGGTAAATTTTGCTTGGAGCTCATGATCGGATTGGAATCAATTTAGCCAGAAAGACTTTACCCGCCCCAATCGAAGTACAGAAGGTAGATGGTCTGGTGGATCCCGTGACACGCCGGCTGTCAATCCGTCGGTGAGGGAAGGAAGCGGAAGCTCCAGCGGGGCGGCCACCTTAGGCAGGCACCAAAGATAGGTATGATAACTGAGAGCTCATGTTAGTGGTATAAGTCGAATTGTTATGGATGGCAACACATAATGCTCACTTACTCAATTCCTCGTTGTCACAGGTCAAACGTGGCCTGTGGAACCAACTGATTCGCCCTCACCTCACATGCGAGAGACTCTTGTGGCTGCTGATGCCGAGCGGTTATCTCTCAGATCATGATGCGCTCTGCCATGCGCTCTCTGCTTCATCCCACGCATCCTTCACTTCTTTCCCCTGTGCCTGTATCTCGCCTCGCCATTCTTACGTATGCGCGAGATAGCAATGCCGTGACATTTTCACCTCCGTTGAGCCGCATGCCGTGATCCTCTTCCCTCTTGAACACTCTGCGATCAATGCTTCCCTCCTCCCTTCGGAGCGAGCGGATCTCCAACGGCCTCGGGGCGGGCTCCGGCGCGGAGCTGCGACAATGGGTATAGCGCTCGGGGGTGTGCGGGGATGGGGCGCTGCCTTCGGAGAGGAGGGGGGGAGCATTGGCATTAGCGGATCCGCTTCACCTACAGCTTCTGGGAATCGAATGATTCTGGGGGAAGTGGATCTCTCTCTAGAGATCCGACTCTGCTTGTGTAAAATTGCGAGCTTGAGAGTCATGTCCGAGGGGGGAATGGATAGTTTATATATTTCTCCGTCGTATGATGCAACTCCATTCACCCTGATGGCCATGCCCGTTTCCGCTCTCTACAGAGTCTAAGCAGACCTTACTGGGCACATAGACGCTCCGCTGGGGTGAGATACACACGCACACGCCTCTTGCTTCATCCTACATGAGCCTCAACTGAAATGGCCTGAGAAGCAGAGATGCCAATGCCCACCAACACCTCCAAGATGCAGCTTCCGCTCATCAGAAAACAGGGACAAGGTGGACAATCTGCCGCACGCCTCTTCAATCTCACGGTTCCTCGACTTCGGATCAACGGGAATCAAAATCTCGCATATGGCCTGAGTATATGCCGGGATCACGTCGGTACTGAGCACATGTTTCGAACCATACCTAGGCATCTCAAACAGTCATGTGTACCACAGAACGTGGAATATCTCGATTCGTTGCTCTCAGGTTACATTCTCGTAAAGTAACAATAAAACGCCAGCTTCACCCCCTTGTCCTCCGCATCCCCGGAATCCTCCCCCAGTCTGGGGCCCATGCATAACATAAACACTAGTGCAGATCTCCATTAAATCACCCCAGGTTGTAGTGCGCCTCCTGGTGGCTCACGGAAGAGTGCCGTTGCGTTGTGCTGTCTTCGGGGTAGTCGTGCTCGATGCTCGGCTCGCCGACGTGCTGCCTCAGGGCCGAAGGGGGGGCCTGCGCCGCGTCACATGGGTCTCGAGGGGTCTGGTGGACTTCTTCTCGACGAGTTTCAGTTGTTCTTTGGCATCTTAGCTTTGTCTTTGACAAAAATACTCATCATCTCTCTTACTCTGGCTTTGCCTGGGTGGAAGGGACACCAGGCACGTTCTCAACAAGCGACTGGATCTTGTCTCCTGTTCGAACACCTTCGGTCTGGTATGTCTGTTCACCCCGCCTTGACTCGAGATTCTCAGTACGGGTGTTGCTAGGAACAGACTCTTGGTGTTCGGTTTGCTGGCTTTCTCCGAAGTGCACTCCATGAGACTCCTCGCCCGTGGGCTGGAGCGTCTCCTTGAGCTTATCCATGAGATCAGAAGCCATTGTGAGTTGTTGATATATGATGATTAATGCTAATTGATGAATTGAGTCGTGTAGATGTCTTGGAAGGTCTGAAGAGCTCATTCCTCAGCTCCATGGCATCCCTTTTATAAGCTCCCCCGAATTCAATCCACGGCCAATTCCATCATCCTTCTCTAATCGATCTCGCTCAGCCACGTCAATCCCCTCGAAAAACCAGGAATAATTCGTCACCCAAGCATCCTCATTCGACGACCAGAGTCCCCAGATGCCGTCATTCTCTCTAACCCAGAAGCTTCTGACGATGACGTCGATCAAGAGGCGTCATGATTGCTTGGCGTCGGCGGCGCAGGGGGCGGCAAGCTCGATAAGCATAATTCCAAACCTAATTTGCTGTTACCAATCCTCCGGGCGAACCATTCGTCTGTTCCTGTTTTTTGTGCGCAAGGGCCCTTGTTTACCGTCAGGAACCACAATGATATAATGCCAGGTCGAATCGGAGATCTACCGTGACATTGGCTAGCCTAGACGGTAAATGAATCCGGCTAAAGTCGACGTCGTTGGTGGGCCGATATGTTGAAATACCCGGATCTCGACGAGACTATGGGGCCCAGAGGCTCCAACAAGGTCTTAGGATCAATCCGTCACATTACGTGGCTTCCTATCAAGAGCAGCAGTGGATGTTCTCGGGGGTTTTCTCGGGGCCGGTGAAGAAAAGATACCAATCGAGGTGATAGCGATTTCCGTCGAGATACAGCTGTTCCTGGAATAGCCTCTCTTGGCATTGACGCCATCCCATCTACCAAGGCAGCTCAGCCTCTTGACATCACTCATGGCTCAGCACTTGCAGCTATATCGAAAAGGATGAAAAATGACTCGGTAATTGATTCTAAAGACATGAGATCCCCCTCGAATCGAAAGTAATGAGAGAGCAATCTCGGCCCGTCCGGGACTGCCCTCTCGAGATTGGGGGCTTTAACTCAATTCCTTCTCCATTCAAGTCTGGCACTCGAAGACGTGTGAGAATGTAAATTTGGAGCAATGTCTATATTAGTCTGGTTGTATTAATAAAATCTAACCCAAACGGCCTGTCTGAATATTTGATGTCCTTCATGCTTCAATCTCAGTACCGTGCCTAAAGGAACGAGACCATCCAAGCTACCATCCAAGCTACCATCCCATCCCCAAGATTCTACATCCTAATGGAATCGCCGTCAAATAACTCGGCGCTCCGCCCCAACATTATTCCTTGAGTCTGAACTCTTCCGCTCCTCATCACTATCCGTAGCGCCCTCAGTCCAAGACCCCCTGGTAGAAGCAGCCTCAATCACCGGCAACCCCTCCTCTTCCATGACCGGTCTACTAAACCGATTGAACAAAAGAAAAGAGTCTCGTCCGAGTGGTGTCCCATTCACCGGCGTCGCGGACAGACGAGAACATCTCCTAATCTCGACTGCGTCATCGTGAATGGGTTTAACTCCGCAAAAAGTGTAGATGGCATCAAGAGCTGGGATAGATAGCCCATGAATGATGATAGAGAATAAGACGAGCCAGTAGACGACAGGACCAATCGCCAGTACCAGGTCTGTCTCTTCTGTGTTCCCCTCGCCGAATTCAGGCAGGACTTCTCGAGCGTATTCGATGTAAAAGACGGCGCCAGCTCCGATCGGTCCAAAATAACCCATGAATAGCGCTTCCTTGTAGTTCTTGCAAACTTTTGGCATCAGCTTATACGCCACGAGCATGGCCGGGATCCGACGCAGAAAGAGCACCATAAAGCCAAGGCCAAAGAGCCGGCCATAGGTGAGCCCTGTGCCCCCAGGGTCTTGGAAGGCAGACCAGGGTAATACCGTGCCGATATAAAAGAAGCCTCCAAAGTTGAGAAGCATCTGTATGCTTGTGTTGACTTCGTCGCAACGGCGTTGAGATTCGGTGAGATAGTGTCCGTCCCAGTTAAGAGCGCACCCTGCCACGAAACAGGCCAACGAGTCATCCGTGCCGATGGCCCCGCATGTTCCGACAATGAACAGCCCTATAGCGGTAGGTAGAAGGAGAAAAGATTCGTTATCGATCCATTTACTGTGCTTTGTTAGCTGAGCTTCGGAGGATGTCAAGAGATTACTTGCCGTTTCAAACAGAAGCCAATACTCTTCCGAGAGAGATATCCAACCACGGCTCCATATACCACAGATAGAATCATCATGTATAGCCAAGTTTCGAGAAACCACTCTTTGAGGGCCACTCCGACTCCCATTTCTGATTCCTTGGTCCGGGAGAGCAACACCTCCGTGTCGTTAGCCCGCTCTTCCACTCCTCCCCCTCCTGTGCAGCGCATTATGTACACTGCGAGCATCAAGAACGGAAACCCGAACCCATCGTTCGCTCCAGCCTCGGCCGAGATGATCTCTCTCAGGGGACGCGCCACAAACTTGTCCGCGAAAGGACCCTTGGCTATGGCCTGCGAGAGAACCGGATCGGTACAAGTAACGCAGGATGCAATGACCAAAGCCGAAAGAACCGTGAGCTTAGGCACAGTCGCTATCACGCAGAGTGTCGTGCAGATCCACATGATGGTCATGATAGGTAGCAAGCAGAGTGCCATCTCCCGCCAGCGGGTGAGGCAGTATCGAGCCGGGAGTTGATAACCTGCCATGACAAGTTGGAGACCGATCATGACTCTAGTAACGCCCTATGATGGTCAATTCGCTGCAATCTGCCAAGCACCAAGTGGAAGACTTGCCAGTGTGATGCTCCGCGTTTGGCCCTCATGACCAGCACCCCATTTATCGGCTTCGATGAACTTGGCAGCCACAGGCCCGAGTATGATTCCGATTACCACAGCTGGAACTGCAATCGATGTAATGTTAATGCACTGTTCTTCTAGTGCGGATAGAGACTCACGAGCGATGCCTAGATACCATGACTGTCTGATCTTGACCGATATGATGCCATACAGAATCACAAAGGCGCCTCGAAGTAAGGGTCAGCTTCTAGACCACGATAATCTAGAGTAGTAACTCACCCAGCGCCCCAAGCACAATGTTGAGCTCACTAACATCGAGAGTCGGCATCTCGACAAAGACGTTTGAGAAACTCCAAAGACTAGTGCCAAGCCAAGAGAAGCTGAGGCAAAGACCTTTGGGATCTAGGCCCAGTTCTAGAAAATAGGCCCGCAGGAGATGAGCATTCGTCACCCAATGACGGGAGCATTTCTCCCTCTCCCTTGATCTACATCCTTATAAGAAAAGATCCCCCTCCCCTAACAAGCTTTTTGCCCGTGAGACAGAATCTCACAGATAAGAACGTGCCGACAGCCGACCAGAAGGATACAGAGGGATCAAACTGAGGGATACGAAGCTCAGTGTAATAATTCGCCCCTGTTTCACCGCGGAGAGGCCGAGGGGGACGTTGGCGAAGCATTGCTGATGTTGGCGTTGTACAGAGGCGGCACGAGGATTCCAGACGGGTCGGTTTTGTTTCACTATCATTGCGGCAGATGGAATAAGGAAACGAGTAATACATCAAGAATAGTAGCAATGACGATGGTTAGGCATGCGTCAACGTCGAGCTGTAATAGGCCAGTCGACTTCATACACTATCCATTGGCGTATTGCGTAATTCAGGGTCAACACGAAAGGCCCGACGATCGCAATTGGCCTTGAAACAGCAATGTCTCACTCTCGACAAAAACACATAGTACGTAGCAGTCAGCCCAAAGAGAAAAAGTAAGAAAGTGTTTGTTAGTCTTGAACTTCATCGAGTTGTCACCTCCAATATGTGATTCGCCTACGTTGTAGTGGTAGGGCTCCCACGACACCGCCTGTAGCCGCACACAAACAAATCTCATACAACCAATTTGAGCAACTTCAACCTCGACAATTCAAGTCACTACACGATGGAATCAACAAATTTATATGGTTTTACTTTATTCAAGGGAATATTTTGGGCTACTTGGGTAGGTACTCGGCAGGAACTGGAACTTCCATGATCCTCATTACAAGTCCTCCACAATCCTTTCCTCCTCCTCTTCTACACTCTCTTGGCCAGCCCATGTCCTTGGAGGGACCTTTAGTGGCATTTTTTGGGTCTTTCTGGTAGAGAGCATCTTGTGTTTTTTGCTCTCCTCCTCCACCTTTTGGAACCCTTCCACTGTCTCTCCGTTTTGTCCAATTTGGCACCTCATTCTCTGAGTTGCTTTCCTCGTGGTTCTTGTGCTTTCCTTCTTGTTTCCAGCCCAAGGGGATCATGTTATCATCTTGACCCCCAGAATTCCATTCGAGATCTTCTCTTCTTGATTGTTCCTTCACGCCTTCTTCTCCTCGTCTCGCTTCTTGGCCATAGGAGGGGGAACCTGCACCTTCTCGAGGCCGTGGCGAACGCTGGCCTCGCTCGAATCAGGAGTGAGGTACTCGCCAAAGGTTCGCTGCTCGAGGTCCATGTCCTTCCAGTCGACGCCGTCCCGGCTGCGGGCAACGTGGCGGTAGTAGACGCGCTTACCAAACTTCCAGAGCTCAATGCCACCGAAGAAGAGACCGGCAGCGATAAAGACGATGCCCCACTCCCAGGTAATACCCTTGTGCTTGAAGACAGTGTCGCTGATGACGGGGATGTACTGGAGAGGGAAGAGGGTCACGAAGCCGAGCATGATGGCCCAGAAGAGGAACTGGTTGCGCCACACATCGTGCATCCACTGGGTGAAGTACTTCTTGGAACCAGGCTGCATGCGGAAGAAGGATCGTCGCTTGTCAATCATCTCCCAGGCGAGGAACAGAGAGAACCAGGTCAGGCAGGCAAAAGTGGTGGCACGGGCCTTGAAGACGGTCTTGCAGCTCTCGCTGTACTTGTCGTTGCAGTCAATACCGAGCTCGCCGTCACCAAAGGCGTACAGGCGGAGCACGAAAGCACTGAGGCACAGGGCGGCGATCCAGAGACCATAGACGATCATGTCAATGATGAACTCGAGAGTAAAGACACCAGTCTTGAGGGGCTGAGGAGGTCGGCGGAGGATACCAGCGACGGCACGCTCGAAACCGAGACCCATGTCGGGAAGACCAGAGGTAGCCATGATGATCCACATAATCTGGACGGGGGCGATGGGGAAGACGGAGAGACCGGTGCGGTCCTTGAAGACGAGACCGACGAGGAGGACGAGAGCCTGGGCGACGTTGGTGGCGAGCACGTGGAGGATGAACTTCTGGATGTTGTCAAAGATACGGCGACCCTCCTCGATGGCAGCGACGATGGAGGCAAAGTTGTCATCACTGAGAACGATATCCGAGGCATCCTTGGCGACATCAGAACCGGCTTGACCCATGGCAATACCGACATCGGCACGGCGGAGCGAGGGAGAATCGTTGACACCATCACCAGTCTATTGCAGTCAGTACATCGTGTCATCAGGTATACAAGGAACTAGTACATACCATAGCGCAGAACTTGTCACGACGGTGCAGGGCCTCAATCATTCGGACCTTGGTCTGAGGAGCACATCGAGCAATAACAAGAGGGAGGAAAGGCAGCTGGTCAACCTCATCATCGGTAAGACCATCAAACTGGGTAGCAGTCATGACCATAGTGGCAGCAGTCTCAACGGCAACGAGATCCATGCGGGTGGGCAGGATGCCGACCTCGATGGCGATAGCCTTGGCAGTCTCGGGGTGATCACCAGTAAGCATGTGGACCGAGATACCAGCCTCGTGGCATTCTCGCACAGCGGGAGCAGACTCGGGACGGGGAGGGTCGTAGAGACCGACGAGACCACGGAAGACAAGGTCGCACTCAACGGAAGGACGGTCAATTTCGTCACCCTTCTTCATCGGGACGTTGTAGGGCTTGGAAGCGAGAGCCAGAACACGGAGACCCATACCGGCGAAAGCCTCCATGTTGCGGAGGATCTGCTCGGTGAACTCCTCGGTGATGGGAACCTGCTCCTCGTTGTCCTCGGGGCAGTAGGTGGTGCAGGCACCAATGACACGCTCGACGGCACCCTTGGTGAAGGCATAGAGCTGATCGGTACGGTTGTCCTTCATGATCACCGACATGCGCTTCACATCGGAATCGAAAGGCAGCTCGGCAATCTCGCTGAACTGGTTGGCGGCATCGTGGCTAGTGAGTCGGAGACGGTTCCAGTCGAAGCGGGAGGCAAACACCTGAATGGCAATCTCGGTAGGGTCACCACGAGCGTGCCACTCACCGTTCTTCTCGTTGACAGTGGCAAGGTTGGCAAGGGAAGCGACCTCGAGGAAGGCAGTAAGAGCAGACTTGCTCTGGCCAAGGAACTCGTTAATGGAAGCAACAACACCGCAGGCCTCACCACCCTGCTTGAGGGGAAGCTCATGGGGCTGGGATCGAGACCATCGGATATCGCCAGTGGTGGGGTTGAAAGGCTCGGTAGTGTTCTCAACAAGGTAGGTTCCCTTACCAGGAGTCCAGGCTCCACGAGCAACCATCTTACCCTGGGTAAGAGTACCAGTCTTGTCGGAGCAAATGTCGGTAACGGCACCAAGAGCCTCGAGGGACTTGAGGTTTCGGACAATGACGTTTCGCTCAACCATGCGCTTAGTACCGGCAGCCATAGTGATGGTCAAGACGACGACCAGACTAGCGGGAATCATGGACAGACCAGTGGCGACGGCATAGATGATGACCTGTTGGGAAGCATCGAAATCGTTGGCAGCAAGGACAATGATAGCGCAGATGACGGCAGTGCCGAACAGGAGAAGTGCCAGTCGAGACAGCTTCTTCTGGAGAGGAGTTCCGACGTTAACACCGAGGAAACGACCAATGGCATCAGTAAGAGTAAGAGTGTAGGCCTCGAGGTATCGGTGGGGCTTGGCAGAGCCATCAGCCTTGCGCTTGACGGGACGGACACGGCTGTCCTTCTTTCGGAGAGCAGCAGCAATGGCACCAATCTCAGTGCAGGTACCAGTAGCGAAAACGATACCCTTGGCGCGGCCCTTGGTGACGGTCGAGGAGCTGTAGGCGACGTTGATACGGTCACCGGGACCAGTGTTGTCTTCGAAAACCTCATCTTCATTCTTTCGGACAGGGAGGGACTCGCCAGTCAACATGGCCTCATCGGTCTCAAAGTTGATGGCCTCGATCAGTCTGTAGATTAAGTCAGCGCCATGCCAAGAAGCATCTGCAGGTATGCACCACTTACCGGACGTCAGCAGGGATCGTGTCGCCGACCTTGATTTCCACAAGATCACCGGGAACGACCTGCACAGAGGGGATAACCTTGGAGTCGCCATCTCGGACGACACTGGCGGTAGGAGACGACATGGATCGGAGCGAGTCCATGGTCTTCTCGGCAGAATACTCCTGGAAAAATCCAACTGTGACGTTGAGACCAATGATGAAGGCGACGACACCGCCCTCAATCCAAGACTTGATACCGAAAGAAACGGCCATAGCCAGGATCAGCACCTTGGCAAACGTCAGTCAAGATTTCACGGCATCCTTCGGGCAAACAGGGGTGAGGAGGTTGGGGCAACTATCGACACGAGACCGAATGCCAAACTAGGCAATCCGCAAGAGGAAGGTCAGGTGGCAACAAGCATCGAGATATGCTTAACAGGTAGCTGGAGAAGTGTGGGGGTTATCCAATAAATGTTAAAAGAGACTCACCATTGTCATGGCGTTGGCAACCTGGGCAATGATGATCTTGAGGGGCTGCACACCCTCAGCATCTCCGAGATCATTGTTACCAAAGGTCTCGAATCGTTGCTTGGCCTCGGTTTCAGTCAAGCCGCTGAGAGTGTCTGTCTTGAGCTCCTGGACAACCTGGTCGAAGGAGAGGGCATGAGCAGGCCGGGTCATGGGCTGGTTGCTCTGGCCAGAGACATGCTCAATCTCGGACGCCTGGTCCTTTTTAGCCATGGTGTAAGTCGGGGCTGGTAAGAGGCTCCAGCGTGGTGGTTTCTCGGAGGTAGGTTTGGTTCGGTCGAGGGAGGTTGTTGTTGTTATATCTCTTGAAGAGACTCGAAGGGGTGTTTGTGTTGGGTGACCCTCAAGCCTATGTCTGGGGATTCCTGGGAGGAGGATTCAGGAAGCCTTTCGTCTGGCGTCGAAGGGGTCGAGCAAGCAAAAGATCCTTAAGGAGGGAGATATCCGAGGAACAGAACAGCATCATGGGGTGGGGATGAGGCAGTCTTATAGACAGAGCATCGAGGAGACTGGGGCATCTTGGAAGGAGACGGACATCCATCTCCCACCCCGTCTTGCCATCTCTCTGACTCTAGTTTCCCAGGTCGCTATCGTCTTGGACAGCCACTCGTCCAAGGAAAGGTGGGTTCCATCATCCTTCTCCAGCGAGCCCCCACAATGCCAAGATTGAATCCAATTTTTCCTTCTCTACTGCTGCTTCTCTTCGAAAAGGCGGGGTTTGCGCTGGAGCGAGCGCCTTGGCGATAAGACGGAACCTTGGTTGTTGTTGTTCAACACCCGGCCCTTCCACCTCCGGCCTTGTCCGATGTGCGGCGCCGGTGGATTGCCCCGGGCCCCAGGGTGCAGGACTGGGGCCTGTGACGCTGATTGGCGTTGGGCCGTGCCGTTCTGGACGGTGTTGGGGTTTCTGAACCGTCCTCGACGGTCGGGCACCTCCCTCGCCGCCGTCCGCACGTCATCCCACCGGTGGAAAGCACCTGTGACGCGGCGTGGCGGGCTCGGCATCAATTGGCCTCTGTGAGTGGACGGCGGAGGCCTTGGCCGGGTCTTGGTATTTCTTGGGAGACCGGGGTGAAGGCCTCACGAGAGCCTGCGTTTGCTTTTGGGCCACCGAGTCCGAGGCCGAGCCTTGAGAGACGCCCATGCGCGTATCATCAGCCCTCCCCGGCGCCTTGCTTGACGCCTTGCTTGACGCCCTCACGAGGCTTCTGAGAGGCTACTCAGAACTTCCCATATCGTCACCGGTGGTGGGCCCCCTTGCTACTGCATTGGCACCCCATCGTGAACCGACGTTAGACGGGAGGGGAGAATCTCTCGGTGTTGGTGATGTGAGATAGTGCTGCAACGACACCCCCCTCCTTCCTCTTTCTTCTCAGCACCACACACACCACAGATTTTTTCTTGTGCATTTCTGGTGTTCTGACCTCTGGGGCGAGGGATTGGTATTGGCATTTCTGGGCATACGGTGCTCCGACAGAAAGGTGTCAAATCATTGGACACTTGGTCGTCATGACCGACTCTCTTGTTGCTTCGTCCTTCTTGTCGCGGTCGCCGCCGTCGCACCACCTTGTCCTGCAGGAAGGACTTGCCTGCTCTCGCCTTTTAGGCGTCAATCAAGTAATTTCTGAAGCAACCCATGATGAGCCAATCTCCAAGAGGTTCTGGACCCAATATCTGCGACCAAGTCTTTAGGGCCAATTTCTCATTGTGATGTTGCAACGGGACCGGGAACAGAGCCGCTTCTTCGTCAAGGAGGCTCTCTCTCACCCCTCCCGGTGTCGACCGGCCGGATAGGACGGAGCACCGAGTCGCAGGACGGCACGGAGCATCCACTTTTTCGCTGAGACCGTATGTCGGCTGTCACTGGTCATCACAGGGGCGCCCGAGTCGGTCGGGCGTCAGGTCTCGTCTCGTGACCTCTGCCGTGGAGATCTCGGGATCCCGATGAGATCTCGTGGGTGGTTGGATGGCACATCGGTTCGCTCGTTTCCTGGGCCTCGTTCGCGCTGCAACGCACGACAGCGGCTTCCCATGCCATCCATCGAGTACCTTGCCTTGCTGCGATCCTGTGCAATCCTTGCCAAGTATGAGGTGCAGGCACTGCCACACTCGACGAGACCTGAGGTTGTTAGCAATCAATTCTTATCTTTGCCCAGAGTCCTAGGACGCCTTAGCTAGGCAAAGTACCTCTTCGTTAGCGGCTGCAAGTGTGCAGGGGTGTGTTTCCGGTGATAGAGTATTGATATGCTACCGCACTAACTGCCAAGCCGCCGAGATGCAGAAGTTTGCAGTGTTTGTCCACACAGTCTCGCCAAGCCTCGTGGTGTTCTGTCAGTATGCTATCTCTCACGTGACCTTCCGGGACTCGTTCTAGAAGACGGCCCCTCATGCGAGATACTTGATACGTAAGCAGACCTCCACCAAGATTCCCCTGGATCTCATCCAACGTGACAATAAGCTTAAAATCGCCGACATCTTGTCGTGGGCGGCCCACCCTTGGTCGCAATGGTACCCATCTCGCGCAGAGCGCTATCAACGCCGTCGCCCTTGGCCGCGTCCGAGGCTTGTTGTTCAGGTCTCCAAGGTCCGTCGGGGCGTCTCAGGCGGCGATCACGCAAAGGCAAGGTTTCTCAATACGGTTGCATTGCAATGGGATGCGTCTCTCTTGGCCGTCGCCATCTGTGACTCGTGCGCATCCGCTAGCTTCCCACCGAGACGCGACATTGTCTCGCCTGTTGGATCCAGAAGCAGAAACTGCAAACGTGCAACTGGAGACGAGGTCCAAGATCCCTGCCGCCCATTGAGAAAAGAGACGCCAGACGCTGACGCTGACGCCTAAACGGTCGAAAAAATGAGACGCGCCGTGTGCCTCTGCCGCTGCGTTGCCGCACGCAGGATGGAGGATTTGGTCCCCACTCACGACGGCACTTTCACGTCTCTCACACACGAGGCGCTTACTGGTGCTTGCTTGTACATGATTAGCACGCCCTATACTGTACTCTCACAGGCTGTTGGGTGGTCCTCTACTGCGCAATACATGCTTGGTACATAACGAGGCTCTCACAGGCCAGCGTTGGGTCACTAGTTGCCCGCAATTGGCCAGCTCGCCCGCTCCGCTCTCCGGGATGCGGCCTTCGGGGCGGACACAGCGGGCTCCTCCCCACGGAGGTCCCACGGCACAGAGGACGTAGAGTCCAGTCGAGGCTCTCCGTGGCGGAGATAGGACTCTTGCTGCGGGGGATAGCCCGGGTATGTCGGCGTAACGATAACATACACAATCACTTACGGCTGCCGTTGTGTACACGGCGGAATGCAGCGGGTGGGGTGTGTGGCAGCAATGGCACTCACCACGATGGGGCATCGGCACACCCTGACTCCATTCAGAGGGGGACAAAGAAGAAAATCTGCGCTGCAGGTCCCAAGGTGAGGTTTCAACTTGCTCAGCATCCCAGTCCAATCTATTCGGTGGCTTGCGATTGCTTGCCGTCGTTGCCGGGTGATGGTATCAAAGACGGTTCCCATCCATCACGGAGGCGTTTGAAAGGATCCTCCGGGCAGCCACGGACGGCAGTTCGGCACCGACCACGAGGTTTCGAATGGTTTCCGCGCGGGAACGGCGGAAAACGTGAGGAAACTGGGGGAAGCTGGGGAAACCGGGGGCGGAGGGGGCAGACGGAGGTCCTTGAGCTTGAATCGCGCAAACCCTTGGACTGAACACGGGCTGGGACCAGCGCGGAAGTTGGAATCGGATCGGGGAGGTGAGAGCGCCGCCGTTCTGATAGTCCTCAGGGCTCGGAGATGAGACGGCAAGGAGTATCTGCCCACCAATCTATTCCTGGACCCAGACCAGACCTCTTGGGCAATCTTAGGCCAGCCACCGTTGTGACAGTTGCGGCTCTAGTTGCCAATTGTCGCATGTTTGTCAACACAGCTAAGCAGCTGGCTAGATGCGAGCCATTCAGAGCAATCCGGGGGGCATATCTTGGGATAGGATCGTGAGATTGACTCACATCCAACCGCAGGTCAAGTTCGGGCCTCAAAATATGCCGGCCATGTTCGGGTGGCATTGAAAGGTGATGACCAAGCTGGAAGTTGACCGAATGCCAGCGCCTGTTTCGCTCGCTTCGAGGTTATTCGGCTTGCAGTCAGCTTTACTTCGCTTCGTTGAGACTTCAAGCAGAGGGACGCCACTGCCAGGTTTCTCCAAGCCTTCGTCCCTTCTGCATTGAGCAGAATCCTGGGGTGAACCATCTCATCCAGCATCAGGCCCTCTTCTTTCAATGCAGCCAAGCCCTCAGGCTACGTGGTCTAGGCCTCGACAGCTAGAGAACCTCAGTCTTCAGCCGCACAGATGCATCTGCCTCGATGAATGAAATCATTGCGGGGTTGCAGATGCCGTTGGACAACGGTGACTGCACGGAAACTCGGCGTCTCTGCCATTGTGTCGGGTCTTCTCGGTTGGTCTCGATCAAGTCGTGTGCAGCATCTCATTTCCCTCGACAGTGCCACGGCAGGCAGACGGCGTGCATGCTTTTTGCGCGTATGAGTGTATCTGGAACGTAAGGCAGAATCCTCGATAGACTGCTGCTGCAAGGTGATCCTCTCTGGTCGAGATACCTTGGATCAAGGCCCAACCAGACCTCTCGAAGGTCCAACCTCCCCCACGATCGTCCACCGAGACCATTTTGAGAAGCCAAGCACTTGCAAGGCCTCGGGGGTCTTCGACAAGCTTTTCAACACGTGTCATGATATGTCGGATTCAACCACCATCACCACCCATGGCCCTTGGGTGACAATCTCTGTCGAGGGGGACTCGATCAGCGCAGGACACACAACGCGGCGGAAATGTCCACCCCCGTCGGAGGCTGCGTCGAGGGCGGAACGCCCAGCGGCCCCACGTCGCGCGGCGTGGGTGGGGATCGCGAGGACAGCGCTGCAGGGATAGAGGATACCTAGCGGAGGGGCGGCGGAGCCACTCGCAACACTTCGTAACAAGACCGAGAACGAAGCGGGGCACGTGCCCTCCGCTGACACCCTCGGAGCGGAGATGTCAGAGGCAGAGGAGAAGCGACCAGGATCTGTTGGGGAGGGGTCTGGGGGAAAGAAACTTGTTGGCTGGAGTCAGGGAAGAGGAAGAGACAGACAGACGAGGACGACAAAGAGAAGCAATCCCGGGAAAGGCGATGTCACCACGCAGGTGCACCCGCAGACCGGCAGTTCACATTATCTGCCTCGTTCCCGCCAAGAGCACATGGGCTTGTCTTGTCGGGGGTTGAAGAAGCATTTGACAAGGCCTTGGCTTGAGCTTGATGGAGGAACAAGAGACATTGACAGCGGTGGTGGCACAATGACCGGCATTGCTGGGGACAGACAGAGAACCGGTCAGTCGGCGCTCGCCGGGGATGGGCCATCAGCACCGATTCTATCACCGAGTGCGGACGAAAAGGGACGTTGCCAAGGACGCCTTTTTTCATGGCCGGGCCAATTGGCACGTTTGTCATTGAGGCCGACGACGTTCTCTGCAGCATTCTCGATAGTCGAGGATGCAGCAACCACCGTCTTTGACGCTTGGTAGACGTGTCGACGCTTTAGTTAGCCAATGCCCGTCCCGAGTCTGAATCATGATAACCTCGGATCGTGAGAATGCCCAGAAAGTTGGCTTGCCCGGATAGAAGGGACGGAAGGCAAAAAACGCAGGGGGGGGGAGCCAAGCATTGAAGGCAGCAGCAGTAGCAGCAGAGCCAAGAGAAGGACAAGACATTGGTGGCACACGCCCAGGAAACGCTCGTTCCCCCTCAAGAAGGCTTGACGATATGTGAAGGGATGTTGTGCAGGCGAATGGCAAAAAAATAAAAAATAAAAACGCCCAGCGAGTGCCAAGAGAAAACAAGGAGGAGGGGATGGAAAGGCAGAGGCCCAGCCTTTTGTTGAAATGGCCCCCCCGCGCAGGAATCCTTGCCTGTCCATCCAGAATGGTCAAGCTGCAGGACAGAGGCTGATGAGTGGTCAATTGAGTTTCGGTCCAGGTCCATCAAAAGCTGCTTGTTTCTTTTGGCGCTGTTCGTTAATAATGCCTCTTCCCACTGGATGAGACAGATTGTGTATAGCCGACGGGCTTGGTATTAAGCTAATATTAGCCTCAACTGTTCATCTCTCGCCAATAACGACTCCTCGATAACTATTGCGCAAGATAACACGCACGAGACCATATCAAGAAAAACAGCCTCTTTTTTTCGCCACTTTGATAATCCCTGCTATGGCTTCCACGCGAAAGAAAGGGCCCCTCCCCCTCGTTTTGGACGACGGCCGACATTATAGTCTTGGCATTTTACGAGCGGGGAAACGAGATGAACTGCATTCAATCGCATCAATTCGTTTTTTCCTTCTCCTCTCTCTCTCCAACCGAGGGAGTTCGCATCACCGGGGGGCGCGTCCGGGGGCATGGAGTTTACGCGGAACAAGGGGGGCTTCTTACATAACAGCGGACATGTAAGCCCGAGAGGTATTGTTGTTCTGGGGTAAGGATCCAGTGATACACAATTGTTGACAAGGATGGTTACGTTGAAGAAGCAAAGTCACGAGGACAGCTGAAGGTGTTAATATTAACAATTGAAACTGCATAGATATCCACTAAAAAATAAGGTCGACATCTTGGCAATGCTCGCCCAGAAGATCGAGACTCGGAGCATTGCAACCCATAGATGGACGTCTGCTGACATGCTCAGGTGGGAAGATCCTACACAACGATGAATATGTACAAGATTGAATACGGAAGCTGGTTGTTTCATTTAATAGGTGAGATAACATCATCGCACATGAATTCATTACATGGAGTACAGTACAAGAAAGAAAACGCCCAATATTCGCCTCCTCAGAACCCCCAACCCACTGCAACCCACAACCAACAAGACCCCATGTCAAGGCCCTTGCGGCCAAGAGTGACCGTCTTTCACATCCTTTCCCTTTGCAAGATTACACTTTCTACACTTGTTGAATCCAACATGATCAACGACTCGCTTCAAATCTTGGCCATATGGTGACAGCAGCACCTCCAATCTCCCCCAGGACCTTGCCTAAACACACTCGAGCACCACCCCTCAGTAGCGACCATCTCTCCTCCCTTGAGCTTCCAGGCGGTGACGCGATATGTAAGAGCCGAGGCCATCATGTCGATCTCGACAAACTCTGGCTCCCCGTGGATCTTGTACGCGGTCCACGGCTCGTAGTCGTCCTCGATGTACTCGTCGAGAGTGGGCTCCGTCTTGGGAGAGTAGACCCTCCTGTCGGGCTCTGCGAGCACCGCGTCCTTTGTGACGTACTTGCGAAACGTCTCGGGCTTGTCAGAGGTTAGGGCGCGCCAGAGGAGGGCTGAGGCTTCGAGGGTGCCCTCCTTGTTGCGGGCGAGGATTGTTCCCTTTTTCGGTTCACCCATTGTGTTTGTATTGAGTTGGTGGTAAGTTGAAAAGACGAGTTTTACTTGGGGTGTCGTGGTGATGCTATTGCAAGATGCTCTAAACTTCAAAATTGTAAAGCAGAGGAAACGATGGCAAGAAATCTTATCTCTTCCAAAGCCTGACGTATGTCTTGATATCATTGTCTTCCGATCCTTTCCCACAGACGTTGCTTGCTTCCCAAAAACCTGGCAATTGACCCATCTCCAAATCCCTGTTTTTGCCTGACGTCAGCGCTGCGCAACGTCAACCAAGACGTATTGTCACAAGGAAATCAATCACCCAATAGATGATAATTACAGGGCAACAGGATTCTTGTTCAAGGTCAATCATGTCTTGATTATCCAAATTCTTCTTCTCGTCAGCCAATTCTCCCCTCATTGGGGGACATTCCTATCCTTGACCTCAACCAACTCTGACCCCACAACTTGATCTTTGTTCACACACCACCACGTTTTCATTATCCCATCCTCATTCACCAACAACAACTCATTTTAGATTCATAGATTGCCCCATATCTCTAGATCTAGCTACACCGATAACGGAAGGTGATTGAAAACTGTTGGCTCCTTGGCTCATCGACGGCGCCCATGACGATGGAGAAATGCCAAGATGTCTAGGGTAAATGCTAAACTTTTTGATACGACCGTGAGGGGTTGGCGAGTTAAACCTGAAGAGGAAAGTCGGAGGGTGACGTCAACCTCCGTCTTCTCAAACTCCCCGAGACCATGGAGACCCCATCATGGGACCCTTGGAGCAGGGACCAGCAAGTCTATGGGTCCTTGAAAATACACGTAACAGTTACTTGACAAGATAAATACGGTGAAAACGGAGTTCTTGAGATCATTTGTGATTTAATTCATCATGTCGTTAGGTCATCATATTAGGTCATCAGGTTAAATACATGAATCCCTTCAATCTCTTCCTCCAAACAAAAAAAGTATACCTAGGTATTGTTCAGATAGGCTGCGTTTAGCCAAGCAGTGTGCAATTATATCCCACTGATGCAAAAAAGAAAAACCGGATAGTCAAGGGATTGTCGTTTCTCCCAGACATTCTTCTCCTCCTTTTCTTCCTGAGCGCCAATAGAGGGTTTCAAGAAAATAGTAGCGTCGTGCTGTTGTCTATTTGAAGGAAATGCAGAAATAAAGAAAGGATTGAACTCGTCAAGTTGACGATGATCAGTGGAATCTCTCCTTGATATACACCATGGCTGCGAATCCTGCGCAGCACTTGGTGCTCATCTCGTGCTTGCACCACGGGCACCGCACCGTCATGGAAAGGCTACCCGCGAAACCGAGCTGGTCCGTCGACGAGAGCACAGCGTCTGGGTTGGACATGGCCTCGTAGAGCTTGCTCGGCATGTCGTGGTAGTACTTGCACTCGCAACACTCGACAAACATCTTGGCCACGGGCTCACCTGGCTGCTGGTGCTCCAGGTTGGTCCTGTGACGGAGCGTCTTGATCGATGCCTCGGGGTCCGAGAGGGTCGGCCTATGACCTCGCAGCGGACTGCCTACGCGATCGAAACGCGGTGATTGAGGGTTGACAGGAGATCGGATTCGAGCCTTGCTCCTGTCCTTGTGCTTAAGTGGGGGATGCAGCTGCGTCGGTGATGATGCAAAGCTGGTCTCGGCTGAAGAGTTGAGGTCCGACCTCTTGCGCTGGAAGGCTGGGCTTCGAAGGTTAGCATTTGAGAATGCTTCCATCACCCTGTTTGCGGCCTCCTGGATAGGATCGGCCTCTGCATCTGAGCTGCTGAGATCAGAAGGCTCGAAGCGGTCGGTGGGGAGGAGTTGCGGCGAGTTGGTGTATGACCAGTATGGGCTGACCTGTTCGTACCCGTGGTTTGCTGGTGGTGGCAGCACGGGCTTGATAGTCGCCAACCTGGGGGAATGGCCCATCTCAGACTGAGGAGGAGTAGTGTGCGGTGTGCTGAGGGGTGATACGGATTGAATGGCGTCTGAGTAGGATGAGTCTGAAGAGCTCGTCGTAGGCCGACAAGTTGGAGAAGACATTGCCGGGGAAAGATGCTTATTCGCATGTCGGGAACTGTGAGTAGCATCCAGAGGAACGCCACCACTAATATTTAGCCCCCTATAAGGCTGGCTATGTGACATGATGGGTGTTGACGAGTCAGTCTTGGGAGAGTCATTTGAAGGCTCAGGCGAGACGTTTGCCGTCGAAGGACGAGAGGCGGATCCATGCGAAGAGTGGCCACGGCTGAAAGCACTCTTGGCAGCCTCTCTAAGGGTCCATTTCGTGGTCACAGCCGGTGAAGATTCAGCAGTGATGGGCTTGGGGCGCTCGCCGGCTGAAGTGTGCTCATACCGAATGCTAGGCGGGTTGTGCTTGGATGACTTGGAGGACCTGCTCGAGTCCATAGACTTCTTGTCCTTGGGCGAGCCAAAGCTGCTCTTGGAGCTCGAGGGGTCATCTTGTGGCGAGTGTGATTGCAGTCGGGTCAGGAAGATCAGAGAATTCCTCTTGGAGCTCTTTCGCGGGGGCTCAGGTGCTGTCGAGGTGGAAGCGGTGGATTCCCGTCGAGGACGAGGAATTGCCAGGGGCACAATCGGCGGCTTTGAGACGGTCGTCTTCTCCTCCGGAGCTGGTTTATCGGTGATCTTGGGGGTCTTGATCCTCAGGGGTGGAATCTCCTTCATCTTCTGGCTCTGGCTGCTCTCGGCGCTCACCGGTCTAGCCTGACTGCTCTCACTCTGAGCACGAGCCTTGAGATTATCATGGCTCTTTACTGACTTCTGGTCAGACGTGGTGTGTGAGCCGTTCTTGATGTGAACGCATCCCCTCCTTGTAAGGCCCTGAGCCTTGTTATACAAGACCTCGCTGTCGGGCGTGTGCACCCGGTTCTGCTCCTCTTCATCTTCTGTATCATCAGCCACAGCACACTCGGATGCGGCAGAGTTTCGCTTAGCGCGCGCACTCCATAGGTAAATGTTGACGGAGCCTCTTCGCTGAGGCGACTTGGCGGGCTTCATCGAGTGACCTCTCGCGGCGGCGGCCGTGTTGATCGAGATGGGCGGGTACGCCCTGCGCTGGGCGTCTGCCTCTTTGGTCTGCTGGGGGTTGGTCTTGAGAGGTGTGAATGAGCCGTGGCCAAGGAACGATTTTCGCAGAGCGGGATGCACCTTGCTGTTTCCCTTTGCCTGGTCCTCGAGGACCTTTTGATGGAAATCCTCCTTCTTCTTCTCCAGCTTGACGCCTCCGAGGAAGCCGGTGGAGCTGGTCTCGTCGAATGAAGCTCGTCGGATTTCGAATGAGCTGCGGAAGAGGGATGTGAGCGAGTTGGAGCGGCGATGGCTCCGGGGCTGTTCAGGCTCGTCGTTGTTCCTCCCGATGGAGAAGCCCAACAAGCTGGAGGATCGAGATCGCCGCTTCTGCGTCACGGGCGGTCGCGCTGGTTCGGTCATGCTTCGACCTTGAGCCGCAAAGACGGCGGGAGAGGGCGGAGGAGGATGCTTGGTCAGCTTTCTACCACGAGGCTTAGGGGCATTCTTCCAGGCCTCCTCAAGGGCCTCGTTCATGGCCTGCTCCTTTTCTTGTTCCTTTTTCTTGTCATCCTCCTTCTTCTTCTCACTCTCTTTCTTTTTCTCTTCCTTCTTCTCCTTCTTTCGTCGGTCATAGGCCTCCCATGTGGGAGACTGACAGACAGAGCGCTGCTCCTCAACGTCTGGGGGAAACATGAAAGCCACCGTCTTTTGTGTGTGCTTGTCTGCTGTGAGGTCGGTTGTGGACCCTTCCCTCGAAGATGCGCCCTGTCCAACTGGTTTTCGCTGTATCACATTGGGCGATTCAGCTCGTGCGGGAGCTGTGTGAGAGGAGAAGAGTGGCGAAGGCATGGCATTGTAGTTTCGGACTGGAGGGGGGACTTTCTTGTCCTTTGGCACCAATTCAAAGCGGCGAGGAGCGAAGCCGGGGCTTGGAGGAACAGAGCTATCCGTAACGGTGGGAGATGGTGGCACGGAGCCTTGGTGGGTTCGTTGGAACTGCAATTGCGGTCAGTCTTACATGATGCTTCCTCGGTGGTTCTGGGACCTACATTGAGCTTCTTCTCCAGGTCCAGCATGCGCTGTAAGCTGTTGGAGCGCCCTCGCGCCTGAGGCTGGATAATCTCTTGCATGATGAAGGTGTTGTAAGTCTAGCGAGTCGACCCGAAGCTGGCGACACGAAAAAATGCCTTAAAACATGCGAGATCTGTGAGGAGAATTCGGGAGAAATGTGAGCGCAAATAAATGGGTAGAGAGCAGCTCTTGTCGGATAAGATGGCGTAAGGTGGGGGTTTGTTGCAGATAAGCGCAACAATTGAGTGAGTAGCAGCTAGCGGTCTTTCGTAAGAATGAACTGCTGCGGGTGTTTGCAGTCAAAGAGCTAGCTGAAAGCGCCGAAAGAGAATCGCTCGGGTGCCGGGTTCGGCGAGAGAATCAATTCTGGCGATGGTGGACGTGGGCGTAGACGTTGGTGTTTGTTGTTGTTGCTGTTGCTATGAGCTTTCTACACTCATGCCCCGCCTTCTTTTCCTGCTCTAGAATACGAGAGAAACTGTTCAAGAATTGAGTTTCTAGAGAAAACGACGGAAGCAGCGACAAGCAAAAAAGAATCAATTGTCGAGAAGAGACGGAAGCGGTCGTGTCTCAAGATGTGGGCGGGTGAGTAGAAGCGGTGGGACAAGGCGTTGCTGTCTCGTGATTTGGAGGTTTGTATGCAGAGAGGTTGGTCTTGAGAGGTTGGATTCGGGGAGGAGGGGGGCAAAAAAGGCAACGGGAAGAGGGAGGAGCGGGAACGGATTCAAGATGAAGATAGGAATAGAATACCCGATGCAACGTAGGACTGGGATATTGAGGGTTTGTAAGAGATAGAGGAGGGAGAAGCAGGGGGGGGTCCGTCTTAAGATGAAGGACGATGATGGGATGAGACAGTGGACATGGGATGGGGATGGGGAAGCATGAGGAAGAGCAGAAAATAGAAAAGTCCCGAAAATTCCTGACGCTCGCCCTGGTGAGACTTTCTTTGTCCAGAAGCCAAATTGCAGGGCCCAAGCCAAGCAAGCAAGATCCCGATATCCCGGATGGTCTCTTGTTCTGCAGCACAGCTTGTCTTCCATGTCTGCGGTACTGTAGACTAACAAGGCTGGGCCAATCCGAATTGCCCATGACGCCCGTCGACCCAACGACACCAGCTGAGCAGCGGTCTTCCCGGATGCGATGCGATAGGATGGGTCCTCCGCATCATGGGTGCGTGATTGCGGGATGGCGGCATCTGGCCCAGCCCTAGTTAGTGTACTCTGGTCGACCCAGAAAAGCCACTGACTGTAAGCTGCCCTGGTTATTGACGTGGATGACGGCCTATTACTGGGCTAACTGGGCTAAACTGGAACCACCCAGATCTGACCTCAGGTATGAGAGCTGTTTCGGTAATGTTTGATAGCTCTTCAAGCTCCCTCTGATAAGCTGATTCTCTCATCTCCTTTGAATAATTGGATCGTCGTCCCCATCATGTGTCTCTCTGCAATCACATTCGTTAGATTGAACTTTCAGCAGTAAAAGGCACCATCCAACACCCGCATCCTGCAGTTTCTCGTAAAGACGTAAAATCAAGGTCGTCGTCTATCCATTGTGGGTTTGGGTCGGCCGAGAATACGAACTGACGAGGTGGGCACCACAGAATCAGTGTGGCTGTCATCGGCGGACCGCGTCACCCCATTGGTCGGCAACAAGCTCCCAACGCCATAATCGGCCGATCCACAGCTATGGCCTTGCAGTGGCCCTACAGCGCTCTTCAGTGGGAGGGGCCAGAAGCCCGGCACTGCTGAGGACGCACCCAAAAATAGCCCGCATTCCCTGGGCCTGATCTGACTGACGTCTGCACACCAAAATGCGAGCGTACACGAATAGAACGGGACCGCTTTCCCCAAAAAGATCGATCAAGAGGCGTCTGCCTCTAGAAAAGACACGAGTGGTGGCTGCTTGGAGCTTGGGGCTCTGGGGTTTAGCCTCATGATGGCGACAGCTCGTTTATGTTCCGTCGTTTACTGTACAGTGCTTGAGGTGAAGCCGGCGGCAGCGATGCGAGGGGACGCCATCCCAGGTTAAGCTTACAATGTTTATGGCTTCCACAATTGAGGTGGCTGGCTTCCAATGGCCGTCGAATAGGCCTTTCGAGTAGATGGTAGGATGGAGGTTGGATGAGGAGGTTGAGGTTATTATGGAGTACAAAGGATGAAGTGCAGCGCAGCACAACGTGGCAGACTCATCTCCTGCCATCCAAACTTCTTCCCGTCCGTCCATCCAACCTTTTTTCCTGTCGATCACAGCGGAATAAGAACCGATAACAACAGAAGTCATGCCATGCCCCCAAACCTAAACATACACAAGAGAAGCAGGCGGCTGGGAGCGTTGCTCGGCTAACCACGAAGAAGGGCGCCTAGCGCCTGCAAGAGCCTGCAGGACAGCTGCGCGGTGATGTGATGCCTGACGCATGGGTGGTGTTGTGCTGTTCGTGTTGTGGTACCGCCCAGACCTCGTGCTAATCTATCTGGGGCAGTCCGTGCATCACGTTTTTTCTTCCGGCGGCGGTGTGCTCATGGGTGAAAGCAGGAAATATCACCGGACACGAGAAAGAGGGCCAATATTGAAAACCCTCATAAGAGCGGCGTATAATCTTGTTTGCCTCGGTACGCTGGATGTCATGATACCACGAGAATCGACTATGGTATTTTCACAAACAAGAACTTAAGTCTCTTCGACCTTGCTCTCCTCCCTAGATCCATGAATTAGGCACCATCAATATATTAAACGGTATCCATTGCGAAGCAACAAATTGATCAACTTACAGCATCCTCCTCTCTTGATCTGGATACGATCGACGTCTAGCCCGCGGTGGATCACCCAAAATTCCTTGCTGCAAAGTGCGCCCTCGTTCTTTGGCCTCAGTGGCCCTTTACCCTCGTATTGTTGCAGCAGCAAGGACCCTGTTCCGCGTAAATATAGTAAAAAAACACCCCTGCTCGCGGTCGAGATTCTGCGAGGCAATGCAGATGACTGACTTTCTCTGGCCTGGATGGGCCTTGTAAGTGAATACGATTGCTCGGCGTTTTTTTGGTGAGGGGAGGATTCTGTGGGTTGAAGGATTGGATTGTTGGTCTACCCTACACAATGACGCGGAACATTCACAACCATCGATCTTTGTTGTTTCCATGAAAAGAAACCGGCTCAACTTGCCATCTGTGTCTGTGAACCTTTACTCTTGCTTCGATTGACATAGAGATAGAGTGCCGTTAGTAGTCGACCGACCAGTGGCAAAGATGAGCTTGTCTCCAAATACGAAAACAATGTTGTAAGTGGATAACAGGAGCGCTCACCCAACAGAAAGAGTCTCGACGTTGATAAAACACCCGACATCGTATTTCCAAGATCCCTTGTTCCAGGCTTCACTCCCAATCCGTATAACCCATGCTCCAGTTTCAAGTCCAGGAACATCAAACACGACGTGATTCAATCTCTACAATACGAACTCACTAAACTCAGGAACATACAAGATAGGGTTCCTGCAGAAAAAGGCCACGAGTTTGCTCAGAACTATGTTCCTGCATGTGCCAAATTACTTAATCTGCTGCTTTTCAGGGTCTGATTCCCGGGACGGCAGGGCAAGAGGCTAGAGTTGCACATCCATCTTGGCGACACTGCCCCGGGAGGCGATGTAACACCTGTCAGGAACCATCTTCTGTGGCACGAGGAGTGAGATGGTACCTGAATGCATGAGAATAGGCTTACGGAAGCCCTTCGAGTTCATCTTGTGTCTTGACTGCTGAGCTTGCTTCAACGTACAGTCAGACCTTTCGCAGCAACTTGCTTGGTTGGGAATATCGCCAATGACGTCATCGTAGAGGAGCTCCGTTTCTGAACACTTGAATTGAAATGAAATTCCACTGAGGGGAAATAGACAAAAAATGACAATTCTGTGAAGAAACATGGAGAGGAAAATTACATGAGATTCCTCATTGTTTTTGGGCCTCCAGACCATCGGCCGCCTGGTGAGGGAGGCACAGAGGCTCGCTGGTGCTGTAGATGCATTACATAAGCCTCAATTGTGCCACACTCCAGCCACATTCGGCTCAAGTTTATCCGAGAGGGCATCTTTTCCCCGCTCACGTGAGGGTCGCCTCCCGCCCACAATCATTTGCCAAATTCCCAAAAAATCGATCTTACCGCGCCTCCAGTCGACGACACACCATCCACATCACCACCAAGCAAATCATTCACCATGGGTAAAGTTCACGGATCTCTTGCCCGTGCCGGTACGTTGCGCCCGCCGCATCTCTTTGCGATGATGCTTTGATGATTATAACGTCGCTGACAATAACGCAGGCAAGGTCAAGTCTCAGACTCCTAAGGTACGACGGCGCCACGAATAATTTCCATCGATCCCGACGACTCCGATCACTAACCATCCGGTCCTACAGGTTGAGAAGCAGGAGAAGACCAAGGTCCCCAAGGGCCGTGCTCTTAAGCGCCTCAAGTACACCCGACGATTCGTCAACGTTACCATGACTGGTGGCAAGCGGAAGGTGAGCAGACTCGACAGGACTACAGGATCATGGGCGCTGACGATGCCGACAGATGAACCCCAATCCCGGCTCTTAAACGACTGGTTACCTAGGACAGGATTTGAGGTATTGGGAGGTTGGCTTGCAGAAACCGTTCACCGATGGTTGCTTCACTCAGCAATGGGAAGATGGATTAGGTCGGGTCGCACGATATAGGCTGAGCCCCTTGCACAAAATCAAAAAGGAATGGCGAAGAAGCACTACGACTCTACTCGGCGTCCGGTGTCGGTTGTCAATACAACAAACATTTGTTCGCGCCCACACGAATTTGCTATGGAATGTGAATGCTACGGCGCTCCATGATGAGGAACCTCGACAGGCGGAAATGGATGATGACTGCGAACCTCGTAGACCCTGCGAACCCCACTGCCATTTCGGCGAGTGACTCACGCTGATGACATCCATGTCAGAATAAATGCCTGAGGACGCTCTTGATGAATGGACCCTAGATCCTTTTGTTAATGCGACAATTCGTGCCTTGATGATCGACTAATGATGCATTTTCGATTACTGTGCAGTTCGTGATGAATTAAACCATTACGGCGCCATGTCCAGAGTCACGTGATATCAATTTCATCCTCCCGCCTGAACTCTACCCGAGCTCCCCCATCGCAACAGCAATAACACACCTCAACGCGTGCTCAATTCCTCCTACAGACCGACAACCCAAAATCACACCCTCAAAATGGCCGACGTAGAAATGGATGTCGACGTCGACGCGGCGTCCCCCCCTCCTCCCGCGCGCAACGAGTCCGACATGCAAACCCATGCGAAAGCTACGGCCGTCCGCTCCATCGAGGGTTGGATCATTGTCGTCACCAACGTCCACGAAGAGGCAGACGAGGAGTCCCTGCAGGATATTTTTGGAGAGTTCGGCGAGATCAAAAACATGCACTTGAACCTGGATCGACGAAGCGGTTACGTCAAGGTGAGTCTGCGCCAGGACACGTTGCGATGAAATGGATTGCTGATGTAGAGATGCGTCTAGGGATACGCGCTGATCGAGTACACGACCCTCGAGGAGGCCCGCGCAGCCATTGACGGCGCGCACGAGACAAAGCTCCTCGAGCAGACCATCCAGGTGGACTTTGCATTCGTTCGACCCCCGCCTGGTAAGCCCGGACGCGGACGGGGCGCGGGCGGTAGGAGGACAGGCCGGAGCAGGAGTCGAAGTCCCGAGGGCAAGGAGCGCGAGGAACGCGACTGAAAAGGATGCTTCGAGAGCCGGAGAGAGACAAAGAATGCGCAGTTGACAACATGCGGGCGCATAAAGAAACACGGCTGGAGCATCGCCGATGTGTATGACCGTGAAGGTCGAGAACACGTCGGCACGTGTAATGTCTATATATGAGGTATGTTGACGCCCTTTTACCTGAGGGGTTTAAATCTGACGAGGTGTTTAGATCAAGAAAGGATTGGACTACGTTCGCATGGCTATCGCTTTCAGAATGACGGACAAAAAGTGTTTGGATTGTATGAGCAAAGGATGCGTCAAGAGATGCACCTTGTGCTGGCTAGTTCGCATAGCTACAGTATGTCTCGCTGGCTTGACTGGATAATCTGGTCATGGCTACACTGATGAGGTTCTTTGGAATAGGTATTCATACTATCCGGAATGCTATTGCGAGAGGCACATCAGCCGTCAGTTTGTGTCGCTGGAGCCTGAGTAACAACATATCGTGTTTCATTGTGCGCCTCGTATCATGTCCCGACCTATCCAATCTCTGATGAAAACCAGGGAGCAACTGATGCTTGTTGCAAATGCGAAGAATGAGAAAGAAACAAGGCGGCTTAGAGGCTTGCCTTGGAGTTCGTTGTCTAATAGACGCTTGTAAAGGTTACTTGGGCTCCTTAGAATACCCAGGTAAACGACTCCTTGACGGAAAATCTCGTCGATTGCCTGCTCGGATTAGCCCCTGTTTTCGACATTGACTGAATCAACTCACCTGATATCAGCGCTCGACGCTCCGATGAGCACCTTAAAGGCACCCTCCTCGGCGATCCATCCAGGAACAGTCTCGTCATAGTACCCAACAGCGTACTTGTCCAAGCTGATGGTAATATGTCTCGTCTCATCCGCTTCGAGGAACACCTTTTCAAACGCCACGAGCTCCTTGTCCGGCCTTGGCAACCGACTCTTTTCATCGTGAACATATAGCTGCACCGTCTCTGCACCGGCGCGACTGCCAATGTTTGAGATGGCAAGTGTGATGTTTATGACGCCGTCGGGTGTCAGCGTTCGGGTCGAGATCTCGGGACGGCCGTACTCGAAGGTTGTGTAGGAGAGGCCGTGGCCAAATGGGAAGAGGGGGGTTATCTTGGCGTGGTCGTAGTGTCTGTAGCCGATGTAGAGGCCTTCACCGTAGAGGACTTTGTGGTTCTCGCCGGGCCAGGTGTGCCAGGCTGGAGTGTGCTCGATTCGCTTGGGGAATGTTGCCTGTGGTGGTGTTAGCGAGGATGTTGGACTTGGAGTATACACTTACTGGGAGTTTGCCGCTTGGGTTTTCGATGCCAAATAGGACATCGGCGAGGGCGTTTCCTGCTTCTTGGCCTTGGTACCATCCTTGGATGATGACGGGAACGTTGTCTGCCCAGGGCATATGAACCGGGCTGCCAGATTGGTTGACGACAATGGTTCGTGGGTTCGCTTTCACCACGGCTTCAATGAGCCTATCCTGACTCCCATCAACTGGCAGATCCATCGTCTGGCGATCATAACCCTCTGATTCCCATTCGGCGTCTACTCCAACAATCACCACAGCCACATCCGCCGCCCGAGCCGTCTCGACCGCCTCCTGGATGTAGTCGACACGATCCTGCTCCTTGAATCCGATACGGCAGCCGCCGTACTTGTGCGTGATGCCAAATTGCTTCTGCTTCGAGATGGGACGGAGTTCGTTGGTCATTTCCACGCGGAGTTCGACTGCCTTGTCTGCTTCCATGTCGACTTCGACGAGGTAGTCCACCGAGCCGTCAAACATTGCCTCTCCCTCTTCAGTCCACTCCCATAGGTCAAGGACCAACTGTCCATTGACGTATAGCTTCCCAGGACCTACACTCATGAAGCTGATGGTGTGTTTGCCGGTAGTCTTTGGCGTGAGGTACGTTGTAGCAATGGCAGACCACTCAGGTCCAACTTGCTGAAGAGGTGCTGAATCCCATAGGAAGAGATCTGTGTTTGTCCTTCGCTGTATCACCACAGGACTTCCCTCGAACTTGTCGCCCGCGAACCAGTCAATGTTGACACCAGGCTTACCAGACTTGTCGGTGCAGTAGTCGGACGCAACAGGAAGCCACTTATGGATATAACACCCCTGAGCAAAAGTGACCTTTTTCTGAGATACCTTGCGGATGCTGTCGAGGGGAATCGTGTTGTAGTACGGGTTCAGACTAGCACTTCCACCACCGCCGGCGATGGCTCTGTTGGCGTTTGGTCCGATGACAGCGACCTTGGTAGACTTGGGGCACAGCGGGAGAATGCCATTGTCGTTTTTAAGAAGGGTGAGTCCCTCATGTCCAGCAGCTCGGATGAGTTCCCGCGTCTCTTTTCGATCGTCCTCTCGCTCAGGTTCCTCTGGTGACATGTCGCTTCCCTTGAGTCGCTCTACCAATGTGAGCATGTTCTCCGCAGCTTGATCGATATCCTCCATGCTGATGAGGCCTTCGTTGGCTGCGGTGATGAGCTTGTCTAATCGCCACTTTGCTGAATAGGGGAACTCGATATCACATCCAGCCTGTACAGATTCGACGGACGAGTTGATGCCACCCCAATCCGAAACCACAGTTCTGAGAACAGTTAGTATATCCGATGAATGAAGATAAGGGCAGTTGTCAGTAACCCATCGTAACCCCATTCTCCTCGCAAAATATCCTTGAGCGTATGCTTATTCAAGTCGGCGTGGACACCATTGATGAGATTATACGAAGACATGACGGCCCAAGGATTCGCCTCCCGGATCGCAATCTCAAACGGACGGAGGTAGAGCTCTCGGAGAGGCCTCTCAGTGATGAGCGAATCTATCGTCAGCCTATTCGTCTCCTGCTCATTCCCAACAAAATCTATTCACCCTTAGCATGCTTAGACTGTCAGTTGCCGGTGTACTCTTTACGCTTGATGGTTGCTGCTACGCCCCTGTCTTGTAGACCCTTGATGTATTGAGCCGCGAGCTTTCCCGTGAGGAGGGGGTCTTCGGAGAAGGACTCAAAGTTACGGCCGCCGAGAGGGTGACGGTGCATACAGACTGTAGGAGCGAGGAGCATCTCTGCGGATCTCGCTTTTGCTTCGAGGGCTAGGTGTTGGCCGACTTGGTAGAGGAGGTCCTTGTTCCAGGTGGCTGCGAGTGAGATGCCGCATGGAAATAGGGCAGCCTGACCTATTCAGTCATCGACCATGGTGTATACTAGGTAACTGACCTTTGTGCCGCCAACAAATATCCCTCCTCTCGCTCCATTTGGTCCATCAGTCGTCTTGATAGCCGGGATGCCCTTCTCGGGTATGGCTCTTGTCCGCCAAAAGTCGGCAGCGGTAAGAAGAGAAACCTATAAAGTTTAGAATGCATAATCTGATATAGTCGACGCCCCTCCAATCATGCCTTTTCCTTCAAGCTTAGTGTCGCCAGCTTCTCCTTTGCGGCGGACCGAGTATCCCGGAGGTGCTTGCTCTTTTGCGGGGGACTGCAGGGCGGAGAGTACTCCGTGTCAGGAGTGGAAGGGGTATTTGACTCATTCATGGCGACAAATGTAATGGGGGCTTAAAATGGCAGGGAATTTGATGTATTCCCCTTGTTCGACACTTGAAGGATGCGAGTTGAGTCTGGATAAAACAGCAACCAGTCATGTGTATTTCTACAGAAATAAGAATGCAGCCGGAGAAATAAGAGGTGGGCAACCAACTTATACAGCCGGCAGACGAGTGAGGCGTCATGAGGGATTCACAAGGTCATCCGTTTATTGCACCGACATGAGGCGAGCCTGGCGAGGCAATTGGCCGAGTAGGAAGGTACAAGATAGGCAGAATTGGAAAACACCTCCAACCACAAGAGAGACAGGGATATGGGTTGTTTGAGGTCTGTCGAGAAGATTGAGGCTGGGGGAGTGGGGAAAGAATGCAACCGCAGCTGAGAGGCGATGCTAGTTGCAGATCGATTGGGATAACAAAAAACGTCCCGGTATAGACGGACCGTGAGAGCGGCCGAGCTTCGGGACGATTACGGGAGACTCGGGGGTGTGTGTGAAGGTGGTGGTGAGCACTTGTCCAAGGAGAGAGGTATAAGCCGAGATTGAAAGGAGAAGGGGTCTCTTGTATGCATACTAGAGGCAAAGACTCTGTGGGCTCATAATGATCAAAAGTTGCGAAATGCTAAGAAAGCCCATTTGACAAATAAAACTCCCATGTTTTGGGCGTGAGTGAGCGCATGCCACGTTGCACAAGGGGGCGCCTTATCAGCGGTCAGCTAAGAGCGAGCATCTTTGTACCAACGAATTGGGAGAGATGCTTGCTTGGCAGTCGATGCCGGAAAATAATATGATGATTTGTTTTGTTTTCGCTTGGATAAAGGAAGTAACTCGGCACCGAGAGACTGGATGAAGCGTGCAGTGTGTGTTGCGACAAATTACCCTATCAAGATACGAAATCCGCGTAACCAGGCACCGGTTGTCGGGGATCCCCCCAGTCTAAAAGAAAGGTGTGCGGCCCTTCGGCCCGGGATTCCCACCTTTGAGGTGCCCGACGGAGCCGGGGCAAGCGAGAGCCGGGGGATGGGGCTCCGGGGGGTTGCGTATGTGGGGATTGGGGTGGTCCCGGGGTTTGAGTTGAGAAATGTCGGCATCGCCGGACGGGAATGTTGACATGGCATCAGACGCTTTCTTTTCATTCTTGATAAGTTGTTTTTGTTCTGTAAAGATGGATTGAGTTGTGGTTCTGTGTATGGCGTTGGTGTCACTGCTTAGATGACTGGGGGGTGATATTCAAACAACAGCAACCCAAGTAAGAGATAACCCCTTATAACCATTAGAAATCTCCCAGATAACCACAGTACCATAGACTCGGCAGTTGCCAGAGTCGTAGCACATCCGAGCGCAGGTAGCAACAAGAGTGGTCCTACACCTTGCCGGCGTTTGTCTCAACAGAGCGAAAAGAGACAATGTCGGCAGCTCTCCCGAGCATGTAACATCCCTATACGTGCGGATATATGTATGTATGTCGGAAGAGCCAGATTGATCGACCTGCACAGAAGAAATGGCCCTCGGCATGGATACGACGTGTCCATGTACCGAGTTGAAATGGAACCTTGGCCGAGGCACTTCAGGGGGTGATACACTCGCATGCCGAGGCTGCAACTGAAGCTTTTCAGCTAACTGATTACAGATAAAGTATTTACCAGCCCATTTCACAAGTTATTACCCATTCAGGTGTCGTGGTCCACTCATCACTGCCAACCATCCCCTAGATGGCATCTCAACACTGCCAAACCACTGACATGGTCCATACCCTTATCATCCAAGAAAACGCAGCACAAAGTAAAGACGGGCACTGAGAGTGGCCGAACGGTCAAAGTCCATGTTCCTGACGGGGGACCAACACGGGGAAGACGAACCGCCGACGGATTGTGCGTTGACGTGTTGGGGCTGCGATCTGGAGGTTGCTGTAGGTGCTTGTCCAGCGCGTACTTTTTTGCATTTTTTGTAGGATTATGAGAGCGGAGAATTAAAATGAAAGTTGATGTATGAGAATCGTCTAGCTTTGCTCTTTTATGAGGGACTTTTGTTTTTGCTGTGTTATTGAAGTTGATGGCGATGCTTGGGTTCATAGGAGAGCATATTGGACATGAGGTTGAGTGCATCGCATCGCGACAAACACATGATTTCTCCGACTATTGCTTATCTCTGAGACGCCATTGATAAGACTAACGTAGCAAGGAAAAATACCATTAAACGAAGAAAGCTCAATTTAATCGCCGACCTCAACTCCCGTCGTACAGCCAACTCCAACCATGCTAGAACGCCATAAGGAATGCGGCTAAAAGCGTTTCAAAAACATCGGATACACACCAAAAAGCGACTCATCAAAAATAGAAAAAAACATCCCGGTTATCGGATATTAATAAAACGTCGTGTCAAAAAACATCAACACCAAAAGTTCCCCCCTGTCAATATCTCGATCGGCGGGTCGGCGGCGGTTGTTCCCCTTTCCCGCTTTCGTCACCCTTCCCCGAGATCCGCATTTTAGTTCCCGAAGCCTTGGATCGACCCGGGTCTAAAAAGTTGGTTGAGAAACGGGCGGGAAAGCCGTTTTCTTCTCTTTTGCATCATCGTGCAGATTATTTGACACGAGTCGGTGCCTCTTAGCTAACGGTTGGTGATATTTACGTTCCTGATACTGTTAGTTGTCACTCGCCACTTCAACACCACAATGCTTTCGTCAGCCAGAAGCCGCTCACCCTCGATATACTCTCTCCACGACCTCTCCCCGCGCATCACACAATCTTTATCAACTTCATCATCATCCCCGCAGTCACAACCGGACCAAGAACCGGAGCCGCGTGGGGAAGGGTCCGCCGTCCCGCCGGCCGAATCGGCCAAGACGCCGCTTGCGAGGTTCTGGTCTTCGCAAGTGAGCTGCGAGGTTGACTTTTCAGCCGCGCGTGACCACCTCGGTATGTTTTATCTCTGTGTAACTGGAGGAATAATAAATGTCCTGTCCTCTCTTCAGCACGTCAACCGTGTGCGGCTGATGCTCTTTGACATGTCCCTCGTTTCATGTGGAAGCATCCCCTTCTAGAAACCCCCCCCGTTGCTCGGCTATATAACCTGGGCTATATAGAAGGCCTTATATAGAAACCCATCTGCTAACATGATATTCCCCCATTTAGCCAACGAGCGTACCTTTCTCGGATACCTCCGTACATCCATGATGATGTCCATGGTGGGGACCCTGGTAGCCCAGCTCTTCACAATCAACCACGAGACCAACCACGGCTCCGGTTTTGGATACTTTGCTGCGGGAAAACCCCTGGCCATAACCTGCTACGCCTTCTCCATGGGCACTATCCTACTTGGGGCCGTTCGGAGCTGGAGGCATCAGCATATCATGTTGAGCGGAAAGGCCTTGTCAGGTGGCTTTGAGATTCACTGCCTCGGTATATGTTCTGTTCTTGTAGGTTGAGCTTGTGACTTTGAGGGAGTGAAACTGACATTTGGTAGCTGCTGTTTGTCTTTTTTGGGTTTCTTTTGGCTATTGATGTTGTCAAGGCGGTTTCTCCCCCTCCCAAGCCAACGTGAGTCCGAGGACTGTTACACGAGGAACGAATATTTATGCTAGGAACGAGATACGAACCATAACCTCTTTGGACTCACTTATACCCACGAGCTTGGTTTAATATGGCCTGATGATCAGGTAACTCGAGTATTCATTGCGAACAGTAAGTAAAAAGAACAACCTATTAACGAAACCCAAAACATACAGGACTTCCGACACACTTGCATCCAAGCTAACCCTCATGTCAGGCCTTCTTGCCTCGCTTCTCCTTCAAATCTTTCTTTGACTTTCTAACTCTGGCTGCTCTCCAGATTCCCGGCGCTGAATCATGTCGCCTGCCACTCCTGCGTGGCTGTCAGTCTGGGTGTTGTCGTCATGGGTTAGCAGAGAGTCATCATACCTGCGGATACCACCGTCGATGCCGTTGGATGTTCCCAGAGCCTCAGACGTAGACGTGGTCTGGATGCTTGGATCAGGCATCTCAGATGGATCGTCTTCTGCTTCAATGGGCTCGGAGGGGATCATGCCCACCATGACATAGGACGACGACTCAGTCATTGCTCGGCCAGCTATGGGCTGCAGTACTGGAGTTCGAGGCATCTTGTCATGATCACTAAGCTGAGCCTCATCACTCAAGGATGGGTCAACATCATCATCACTTGGATGTTGCCAACTGGAAGTCCCAAGAGACGAGGCAGCAGGCTCCGACCTCAGCTGCTTAACCTGAGCAGCCTTGGCCGGAGCAACACCACCAGCTCTCATCTTCTCATGGTCGTCCTCATATACAAGAAACACATCCATCGGTGCCGTCACCGTAGGCGAGGATGGAATACTCGGCTCTGAAGGGAGCAGCGGACATCCATCCTCCGGGCTCGCCTCACGGATCGTGGTGGGAGTTTGTAGTTCGTGAGGACGAAGGAGGGGAAGAGGCGACTTGGCAGAGTCAAAGACGCCCTTGTCCTTAGAGTGATGAGTCTGAGGAGAGTGTCTAGCAACATCAAGGGTCAGCATTCAACTTGACGACACTGAGTTAGGGATGGTACCTCTCTACAGGGACAGGGCCTTCTTCAAGGCTGATGCTGCTATCCCGTCTAGCCATCTTCCTAGACCGAGGAGGAGACGGACGAGAGCCATCAATACCACAAAGAGGGTCCATGCTTGGTGTGGCAAAAGCTGGGGTGAGAATATTGCTTGTTTTCTCGAAAAGAAAGAAAGCACAGGACACGGGGGAGCTAGTTATAAGGCCCCCTTCTCATCATACAAACCATGTCCCCGGACATAGAACGACGCCAGGTTACCGACAGAAAGGAACCGGGCACCCTCCCTAAGAGAATCCTCCCGTCCGCGACAGGCCCGAGCATCTGGGTCGCGCGCAGCGGCGCGAGCGGCTTCGGCTGCGAACCATGTTTCCCGTTCATGCCCCCCCTGTTTTCCCGTCATCTCTTTCCTCGACAAGGCAACCAAACCAATGCATAAGACCCAGTATACCGGGCACTCCCCCCGTTTCCATCGTGTCGGATGCATCCCCGGGCCTGTTCTACTATGTGGGGAGCCGTCAAGCGGATGGCGTTCGCCTGGTGGTTCGCCAACCCAGTCCGCCGGGTCGTGCCTACGACGGGTGATCTGCAGGAAGCGAGACACAAAAAAAAAAATGGCGTGGATTAAAGACAAAGAGGCTTTTTTGACTTGATGACAGGTAAACATGCAAGGAGAAGAAGAAAAGTCCCAGCTGAGGAAGTAGAATTCACCGTCTTTCACCCTCGAGAAAGTCAAATCCCATGAGCCATGTTAACACTCCCTTGACAGACCCAGACACACACACTCTTTCAGACCCAGGCCGGTGGGCGGGGACACACTCGGCCAACCGTCCTGCCGGTAAAAGGGGTGGTGTGCTGCAATACCCGATGGCCTGGTAAGGCGCATCTCATCTTACCCAAGTCGGCGGTAAAGGAGGCTGGACGGATCGTCCCTCTCTCGTCACCGCTTCGTTGTTGTTGTTGTTGTTGTGGATGACAAAAGAACCCTGTTGGAATCAGCTGTTTTGCAGCCGAGGTTTTCTTTGCTTTTTCTTCCTCGTTATCTGTCTCATGGGTATGGGCGTGGGTGTCTCGGCTTCGCGCTGCAATTTTCCTCGTGAGGATAATGGTTACCGGCAGTTGGGGAGGGAGTCTCGGTTAAGACTGGCGTTAGAGTTGCAAGGCAAACATTGTGTTGGCATTACGTCTATTTGGACAGAAGCAGTTAAGAATGTGAAGCTGTGTGAAGATCACTTCCAGTTGAGCTCCAACAATGAACCGACATTTTAACAAGTATCCTGTAAAGGTCCTGCAAGAGTCTGACAAACCTGTGACAGGGCGAAACACCACCGTAAAATCCAACAATTGTCCAACAATTAACCAACAATCGACATGGGTATAATACTATGGAAAACCCGCTAAATCCAACAATCAGCCAACAAGTATCCAACAAATGGCCTACAAAAGACCAACAATTGACCTACAAATGTAACAAAAACCCTGCAATCTCCCTCAATTGACCTCTCACCACTCCTTTTCCATACATACAAAAAACTCTCTCTCCCAAACCCTCCCCCTCTTTGAACGCAATCCCTGTCAAGAGTGGCAGGCCTCAAAAAAATCTCATGGACCCCCTGTTCATGCTCTAACCTCAAGCCACCCGTCCCTTGTTGTCGGGTCCGTCCCCGTGGGAGAGTCCTGAGTCAGGTTGGGTTTGTGCACGACCGGGGTTTGACTCTATGCATAGGGTACTCGGGTGCATATTTTGTTGTGCATGTTTCTTTTGCATAGCACCAACAACTGCCCGATGTCTATCGGACAAGGCATTGGCATTGGAAGGTACATACGCGAGCTGACGAGATGTTAGGAAGCGTGGGGGTAAAGATGTGGTCTCGATGCTATTGAAAGAGGACAATAGCTGAAACTGAGCACAGTCAAGAGACGAACAACTTGCAACGTTTCAATCAATGGCTTATAGATCGCCATTGTCTTATTAATGCCAAGTATGTTGTCCTCTTATCCTACATTCTCTTTGGTTGTGTAGCTTTGCACTCACATCCTCGCATCTGGCTGCTCGAGTTACACGTCACTCTGGCGAGACTGATCACATTTCTGCAAGATACAACAGTTCAGTAATCCATAATACTCTCCTCACATCACCCAGAGTAAACCGATGCACCCACCCAGTCCTTCAGCACAAAGCAAGACTGCGCGGCAAGGCACCACACTCTGAAGGAGAAGACAACAGCTGAAACTGATACAGTCAAGAGATGCATAACTTGTGATGGCTCATTCAATAGTCTATTGATCAACATTCTGAAGAAGAAAGCATTATTAGATTACTCAACTATGGTGCCTAGTAGAAATGTGAGAGAGCCATGTGAGAGGTGCGAGTAGCTCCGGCATTCAGAGAGGATGTGGGTGTAGACCTCCATCACTAACAGGATCCAGTACACGAGTCTCAAGTTAATGCAGATAATACGCCGTTTAAGAGAACCGATGTACCTACTGTCATTCAGCACAGAGCAATACAGTGCAGTAAATAGCCCAAACTGTCCTTCCAGACAAGACACAACACTCTGAAAGAGAACAGCATTCGCTCAATTTCTCGTCTATAGTATATTCGCTACCACACAAATTCTGCAGTGTAAAAAAGAAGGCCCAAAACCCAACCGCTCAATGCAAACGCCCAGTAAAATGCCCTAGTATCCATACTTCTGTTGAGAGCAAAAAACAAGATATATCCCTTGTTGTTGAAGCTTGAAAAGAGAAAACGCCCAGTGATGCCATAACCACACTCTGTTTTATATGCTTGACCCAGCCAGTTAGACTCATCTACAACTCGTCTCGGTCAATGTTGGGGAGCTGAAACTTCCACCATCGTGGTCCGACGGGAAGACCGACCCAGACGCGGTAAAGACGGTGGAACTCATAGGTAATGACGTTCCAGCTGCAATATGTCAGTATCCATTACATGATAAATCTCAAGGATCAAAACTTACAGTGCTCTGGGAGTGCGCATCCAGCCCGAGATAACCACCTTCATGGCAGCACGGACGTGAGCAAGCTCATAAGAAATATGACCGCCAAGCGAGTCATCCGCGGGCCCTCTTTGTCGAAGCTCGATAAACTCCCGCATAGCATCATCCATTTGCGCATTCGTTTCAGCCTCGGCCTCAACCTTGGCCTTGGCCGCATCCTTCTCAATCATCCTGTCAAGCTCATCCTCGCCCGCATTTCTCGCCTCCAAAAGGTGGCGGAACTCGTTGACGGCGTTGACAGAGCTGCTGATACGGGCGTATGTGTTGAACAGGGCCACAAGCTCAGTGCGCTTGAGGATGGGGATATCTTCGCTGTTGTTGTCAAACTCGAACAGAACCTTGAGGGCAGTGCCATAGCCGGCAGCCTGGAGCTTGCCCCAGAGACGGCACTTGTCACAGCCAACACAGTCCATCAGACGACTAACGTTGCGGAAGCGGTTACGGAAGTCCTCCTTCAGAGAGGGTCCCTCACCGTTAACAAACATGAGAGTCTCGTCAAAGATCTGGGGCACACTGGCAGCTCGCTGGGTAACCTCGAGAACCTTGGCACGGGTGGCCGCATCTCCAGAGGGGTCGCCGGTGCAGAAGGTGTAGTCGTCGGTCTGAAGGTATGGGCCGATCTTGGCAATAGCGCGGGTCATGAGCGCATAGTTAAAGTAGATGTTGCCAATGCGATCGGGGAACTTGTGAAGACGGTGTTCGTAGCAGGCAACGTTGGGGTGCCAGTCGCCTGTGGTCTGGTTCAGGAAGTTGTAGCACAGATGAGCGCTGATGCTGGCGTGCATTCCCGACATAACACGGTAAAAGACACGCTTCTCAAGACACTCGTCGTCAACCTCGAAGCCGGTGTTTGCAACAAATGGAGTGTTGGGGTTCTGCTGGCGCTTCTCCTGGAGCTGGGCCTGACGTCCAGCCGCATCGAGAATATGCTTGAAGTCCTGGGCGGCCGGGCCTGGCTTCCACTGGGAGGTGCCGAGATCGGCAGACTTGGGGAACGAGCTCTTCTGGAAGCAGTTCTCACGGTAGACGGCGTTCCAAACCTGCGCGGCGCCGGCGCCAGCGTATCCAGTGAATCGTTCGGGGTTTCGGACCAAGCTCACGTAGTCGCCCTTGGAGCTTGCGCTCTCGTCCTCGGGGACGCAAAAGTCTCGATCGTCGCATTCGTCATCATATTCGAAAACGCAACTCTCACCAACGTCCTCGCCAAGTTTTCCCTGGAGAGGTCGCTCAGGGTGCTGGTGCTGGGCCTTCTTGCCGGGGTGCTTGGCGCGAGGACCCTCGAGCTTGCCCAGCGCGTGGGCGCGCCAGACTTCGGGGATGTCCTCCTCGTTGTCCAGGGTCTCGACGGCGCATCCAATGTTTCCGCACATTCCATTTTCGTCGTTCCAAAAGGGACACTTCTTGTGGAAGAGGTTTACTCGGTAGTGGGAGAAGAAGTCGGTGTTGTGGGTGAGGTCGTCGACGGCGGGTTTGACTCCGGCATTGAGCTTGTCGAGGGTCGCAAACGAGGCGCAGGCATCGCCGACGATGGATTTGGGCGAGATCTGTTAGAGAGCAAAGTTAGAAAGCCCAGGACAAGAGGGTGGACTTTGCGCGGGTGGCAAGCAATGACTTACATGGCAGTCGTCCGAGGAACTCTCGCAAGAACCTGGTGCGCCCCAAAGGGCAAACACAGAAAGATAGAATAACCTGCTTGCAGACTTCATGACTGCTCAGCGACGGGCGAATTCAGAGTTTCGAGTCGATGCAGGGTGCAGAAGCGACAGCGCGGGAGTGAAGCGACGGGCCGACGTGCAGCAGGCAGTTTGACCGCAAACGTCAAAGAAAAGACGGTAGATATTCCTCTCGAGGGGATATTCCGAATCGCCAGCGAGTGAAGGCGACACAAAAAAGAAACAAGACAGTCGTTTTTGTCTATAAAGTGCTTTGTTGTAAGAGAGAGAGGAAGAAGAAGCGACGTATGAAGTAAGGCAAGTGAAGTGGGTTGACAGGACAGGACCCCCAGCGGCGTCGGCGGGCAGCGATGGACACCTTTCCTATTCTGTACAAGCGCCGTTGAGTCTCGAACGGTCAAATGTACCTTTAATTCTAGCACGAGTCTCGAACAAACAGAAGAATAAGAGATAAATGTTTAAGTAAATGGGTTGGTATGTTGAAGGCATAGAGACAAGTTATAGGGCGAGATACAAAGAAGCATCAAGCCACGTACGGAATATCCTAAAAGATGCCACGCTGGCTGTTGATACGCATGCTTCCCTCCGAGATCCGTTCCCGGACGAATATTTGAGGCGAAGCCGCAATTCGTGCGTCGTAGACCCCGACACTCCGTCAGCCTCGTCCTCCAATTGACACGATGCAAGCATCCAAGCAAGACCTTGGCGAG